ATACAAATAATCCTTATATGTGATACAAAATTCTGTTCTTTAGGCCTACTTGCAAGAATTAACTATGGCCATGGAAGAGAGGTCTTACTCTAATAGAGCGTCCAATACGGAATGCAACGGCCACGACCTAGACGTGGAAGCTGCTAACGATAGGACAAAAGTACTCGGAAATGGACAAACTAACGCAGCAGTTCAGGTTAGTATCAATTAATTAAGATTAAATGTGCAGAGATGAGCAGAAAGAGAGAGGAAGAGAGAGTGAGAGAGACTTATTATAATTTCAAAAAAGTTTCCGTTAAAAGTGTTATAATTGCTTAGTTTAAATGATTATAAAAAATGTTTTCTAACAAAGTATAAGCACCAGAAAACAAGATGAACATAGATAAAATATTAATATACAGTATTGTATATGTAAAATCGCTACTAAACAAGCAGATGAATTAAAATATTTTCAATACTATTTAACACATTTTCTTTTTTTTATCATTTCCTTCCAACATTTGAGAGGAATTAATCATCTTTTCTTTTCTTCCTATCATTCCCTTTTTTCCTCTCTCTCTCTCTCTTCGCTCCTATTTCTTTTCTCTTTTGTTCCTTTTTCCCCTTCTTTAACAAACCCATTTAAAAATAATTATCGCTTTATTTTAAGGTTGACAAATGTATTATGCAGTATCCCTCTTACAATAACAAATGATGTCGTGCGGCTTGAATAGAATTTTTTTATGTTTTAATAATAACCTTCTTAATGAAGGTTACAGAATGATGTGGGAATGGAATAGTTAAGATGACTAACTATAGAGAGAGAGAGAGTCGTTACTTAAGAATAGAAAATCAGGAAAGAACATATTAATATATATCAAGTATTTTAGGTAAAATGAGAATACATTAGTGTGCATATTTAATACAAGTATAATGAACAAGGCTGTTTTAAGTCTATTTTATTTAGTTTATGTATAGATCGCTGATGGTTGGTACAATTGTATTTAAGATTAAAGGGCTTTTAGAGAGAGGAAAAAACTGTTAATTATTCTTTTTTATTGTTAGGAGAAAAGAAGAGAATGAATCTTATCTCTTTTACTTTTCTATTTATTTGACATATTAAAGCATCTATATTTAGATGAAACTTTTAAAAAGTATTTCATTAATACATATTACTTGTCCTCATTCGACGAATCCTTTATCTCAAATATTATAAAGGTTTTTAATATCGACCTTAAGTCGTACTTTTCTATTTAATATAAAATTTTATATTTGTTTTTTTTTCTCTCTTTAAATATATTTTTAAAAGTTAAAAGTAAAGGCAAATTAGGCCTAAACCTTTCGTTTTATAACCCAATCAATATTTCATAAGGACATGAAATCGATTATTGGACATTGATGATAATGGTATAGCACGCAATGATATAAATACTTTTCTTTTATACGAGTATAAATAATAAATATATAATTGTATGTGTTTCTTTGTATATATATTATAAACACTATTTTTGTGAATTAACATATACATATATATAAATACAATATATACTATATGTATTATATCTATAAATTACATAAATATGTTTATAGATATATGTATAATCGCACGTACACTAATATATGTATGTGTATGCTAAAGATATATATACAACACTTTGCGTATTTTTTTCTTTGAGTAAAATACATTTATTTTGTTTACATCCACGTCATTAATATATTTTCTTCGTCAATTGTTTCATCAATTACAGACGCAAGCTGAAGAACTGATGCTAAGCCTCAGCGGCGAATATATAAATTTGTTAATAACGAAAAAACTTGAGCTTCCACATAGACCAAGGCATGTTAAAAATGCTCCTTGCCTCTGTCAATTTGTCGAACAGCGAATCTATAAGAGGATTGTTTGATTGGTTTCTCACTTATCTACAGTAACGACTATTACGTTTAATAATACAAATCTATTGGTTATTTTTGGACTGTTTATGACTGATTGTGAAAGAAGATTTGTTTTTTTTTATATGAAAACATGAAAGCAGATGAAATATATATGTAAATTTTTTACACAATATAAACACATATAGTATATACAGCATATACTATATATATATATATAAGTGAAAATAACATTCATTTCCAATAAAAAACATGATAATAATAGTTATAATAAGTGAAATTCTAGAAAACCCTTAGGATATATTTAAAAAATCTTTATGTTTACTTTAGAGAGTTAATTAAAATAGTAAAATTAAAAAACAAAAATATTCTCAGACTGTCTTATTATATGCTACAATTTTAAAGTTAAATTTAATGAGTATGAATAATTGTGCCTTTTTAAGGATTCATATTTCAAATAATAGAAAGTTTGGTAGTGACAATGAGAGAGAGAGAGAGAGAGAGAGAGAGAGAGAGAGAAGAAGAAAAGGCAAAAGAGAAAGAAGCAGGTGTTTCACTATATAAATTATTAATAAAAAAATTTTTATTTAATATAAGTAACATTTATAGTAAATTATTTATTTTAAATGATATTAATTGTTTCTTTTTTCATATTTTATCCTCCATTTTGTTTTCCTAAAGAATTTTATACCTAAGAATTATTGGCAAGGAAAATTATAAAGAGAGAGTCATAAATCATAAATGAAATAGACGATTTCGTCGAGATTCTTGTCTCACCTACTTCATAGGGATTTTTTTTTCAATAAATAGCTTCTAAAGACTTTAATATATTCGTACAAAAGGAAATAAAAGTTAACAATATTAAATTGTGATAAAATAAAAAAGAGACAAAAAAGAGAATCATTGATTGGTTTATTAGCATTCCTAGTTTACTCCATTCTAAGAAGTACAACTTTCTCTGTAGTAGAATCTATATGCTACTGAAAAGAATATACAACAACTTGTAAATGTACAATATTTCTTTAACACGTAGAGTAATAAATGAATTTGGCTAAAGCGTCTTGTTTTTAGCAAAGAGACATGACAAGAAAGCAAACAAATAAAGCTTTAGGAAGTGGAAAACGTGCCTCTAGTAGCTTTGTATAGTTTTTTTTTTGCGTTCATCGGGCATCAACGGAACTTAATTATCACAATAAGTTGCCTGGCGAATGGCCAATGAATTAATACGGCATTAATTATTTACTTAAGACAAATATAACCACTATGAGAGGAAACGATAAACAACATATATACATATATAAAATTATTGTTTGTTCTTTTTTTAAAATATTTCTTTGTTGAGATGTTTATAAGAAGATCAAGTATAAATCCCGGAAGAGGAGGAATAGGACAATTCTGTAATTTGATAAGGAGGCGGGTGGGATGGAGAGGGTGTTAGAGAAGTGTGGTGAAGAAATAAAACTGACGTTCTACATCTTTTTTTATTCAAAGCACGTTCAACGGACAAACATATCAAGGCAGATTTTGCAGAACGAGTCTCGATTCAATTCTTTCGAACATTTTCTCTAGTTCCATCCATTTTATTCCCTATTGAGCCTTCGATACCGAAATTTATCAACTAAAACGATAGAACAAAGTGATTATTATCCGTAATTTCTACGATTAAAATGACAGAGTAGTCACTCCCAATTAGCGGGATGATCGAGATTTGCTACCTCGTTAGTAGTTTCCCTCCTCTTTTCTACTTCTATTAGCAGGCTTTTACAATCAAGTAGGAACTTTGATAGTTAATGATCCTTTTTTTCTCACTAAATCTATAACAATTTTTTTCTATATTTCCTATACTATGCACACAAAAAAATATCAACTAGCGACATCTTTGGACGTTCTTCTCAACTAAAAAAAACATCAATAATTTAGAAATAAGCCAATAAGTCTCCCCAAAACCCTTTGGATTTGTAGATAAATAGAAATACAGAGATTTCCCAGATATCATCAGTTAATTAATAGGATTTATTATGAAAAGCTCTTATTTTTACATACTATTTACGCTGAGTATTAGATAAAAAGAAGGGTAAATAAACATAATATTGCCTAAAACATAAATATATATATACACTATATATGATAAGGATAAGAGAGAATAGTTTATTTGTCTCCCTCTATTTTTTTACAAGATAAATACATATACGCATCTGATAACTTTTTCTTTTCGTTACTTTTTATGCGTATTACTGTAATTAGGTCACTTTAGCTTCAAGTAACCGTTTTTCTATGTAAAATATATGACACATGCACACTTATTCTATTGGTTGAAAGATTGATGAAAATTTTAGGCGGCATCAGAGAACAGAAACAGCGGATTAATTTAAAATCCATTCCTAAGAATATAGCCTTCCTTAAGGGTATACTCAATAGTAATTAAAATGGTCCTGTAATTAGAGCAGTAACTTTGAAGTTTTCATTTGAACACTTAAAGGTATCTTGGAAAATTGTCTCGGAGGAAATAGAACGAAATATAGGCGGCGTCTTGAATTGACTTGCTCCCCTCTCATTTATATTACTATATAATATCTATGATGTGTTACTATTTCATAGTTGCCTTGCTCTTTTTAGGCTTTCACTAGTAAAACTCAACTGTTTGTAAAACGAATGCTATATCCATTAGAGATAAAGCAAAGTTGTAATATATGAGAAAAGTACTTTTTACTTGATCTTCATAGTTTAAAATAATATAATAGGAAACATGAAATTGATATAATCATTCACTCATTACTAGTTAACCGAAACTATACAATTATAATAACCCTATTTATACAGTAAATATATTATTCGTGTCACCCTAAAATCATTGTTGATTCAGTTATAATATTAAAACAATGCACAATCGGTATACATCACCACGGTGACAGCACAAAAATGTTCACTAGCTATTTGTCATATAAACTTTGCAGAACTTTGTTTTTTGAGTGAAAAATTATTAAAAACTACGCTTTCTATGGAAAACAGAGACATCTAATTCTTGCAATTAATATATAAAAGCAAATAATAGCTTCAATTGGAGATTCAATACTCAATGAGTGATATGATAAAAAATATTTAAATATTGTATTAAAAATCAAAAAGTAAATATTGAACAAAAATTAGAGGACAAGAGCTTTTAAACAGAGCTCAATAAAAATTATGATATATGTATATATCTTGACTTGCTTTCATATTTGACCGAAAAAATGGCTAAGTAAGCAAAAATAGAAATATCAAAACTTTTCAGTATTACAAGCTTAAAAAGTGAAATGTTTTCATTCAGTTTCAGATATAACTAACTCTCATATCACCAGGAACAGAATGAACAACACTTTCAAATGCTATAGAATCATCATCTCCACGCAATCGAGGATTTGGTCTAGTCATGCCATTCGTTTGATTAATCCAGTTGTGAATTTCCAAATTTGTTTGATTTCTGATTGTTTCTCTTGGGCCTCTTGTGCGAGAAATAAACGATACAATTTTATATATTCCGAAAGAACAAGCAATTATAATGATTACTCCCATCGCGCAAGACATCACAATGATAATTAAGAGTAATAGGTTTCGAGAAGGGGGAGGCGGATCTTCACATTGATTAACTACTTTATAACTCTTGTTGATGATTATATCGAAATCTGCTAGATTGTTTATTTGTTTGTATACATTTGAGCCGTTTACGTCTGTGGTGAAATAGTAAAATGAATACAGTGATTTACCATTACCATCCTCATTAAATATTGTAGCATCGCTGTTTTCCTTGAGTTTAACTTGTTTAAAAACCTTTAAAAAGGGTTTTTCTTCTTTATACCTACTTTCTGTATAGTGGCGGAGTTTTATTAACTCTACAGCTTTGATCACTGCAATAACACTTGTTAGAACATGGTAGCAAAATTGACGACCACTTCTGTCCAGTTTCAAACGTTTTACGCCATCACATTCCTTTTCATGATTTGATTTTTGCCAACTTTCTTGTAGATGGCACTTATTCGCCATCTGATAATATTTATTGTACCATGGATTATTTACATGTTTGTGATATTTTAAAGTTCTCTTATCTAGATATTTGTCGAACTGTTCGTTCAAGTCAGATCCTGTTGGAGAATTTATTTTTACTATTATAGCATTTTGTGCAGTTGCTTCAGAATCTTTAACTACTGTCGTACTATCGCCCCATGACTCACTTGCTATGAAAAGATATGTTTTCCGGAACCTACTGTCATGTAATCTTTTAAGTAACCTTGTAACTGGTTTATTATCTCCGAAATAAAAGATCTGCTTTGGAGAATTGTCATCTTCAAGCTTAGAAATTATTTGTGTATACTCTTTATTCTCTTCATCTGAATTCTTTTTGGCATTTTGACTAGTAAAGTTACGTTTAAAAGATATGAAAATTCCATATTTTTTGGCATATTCCTCAAGCTTATCAGCTCCCCCATTACCATATAGGTTTGTAGTGTGAATAATGCATGCACATTTCCAGTTTAGCTTTACAGCAACTTTTACCATAGCCTCAGCTTGGGCAGAATCAGATGGAACAGTTCTTAAAAAGTTGGGAAACAATTTTTTATTATCAAATACAACTGCAGTTGCTCCAAATGAAATTTGAACAACTTTCATTTGTTCAGCAAACGGAGCAATATTTCTTGTTACATCACTACTCTCCGTCCCTATAATAGCTATAACATCATCGTTATTGACTTCAACACGCTCTCCTTTTATGTTTGTTGCAACTAACGTCCCAGAAAGTAAATCAGTAAATATTTTAGCTGGCCGAAGGGGATTGTAACAATCATCGAATACTATACCATCCACATCCGTAGAATATTTTTCAATTGCATATTTAAATGCCTCAAACAGTTCATAACCAGCTGATAAATCACGTAAATCATCGGAACATTTCAAGTTAACAATTTCATCTGCTCTGTCAGAATTCTCACTAATCGGAAGTATTGCAATGATAATGAACTTATTCTTCTTCTCTGTAGTTTTATTAGCTTTAACATAAGCATATTTTAACTTTGTAATATCTTCACAATACTCTGTACATTTTGTACTAACAGGACATTGTGATTTTCCAAATGTAGTTTCTGTTGATTTTTCATTCTTTAAGATCAGCCTTTCTTTAGAAATATAACCAACAAGAGCACCTTCTCCATCTTTTTCGTTTAAACGAAAAGATTTAATGGTCAAAAGTTCATTCTTAAACTCTAAGATCAAGTCACCATTTTCATCAAGTAATGTTTTATTTCTGTTTTTATACTCCTCCGGTACAACTTCACTCCATTGTTGACCATTATAATCAAGCTGAGCACCTTTCAAAAATTTGATAACATGACTCCTCAATTCTGAACATTGTCTATATGTTTCACATTTACTCTGATTTAGCCCGTTTTTTATCGCTTGGGCATAAAAATAAAGCGCGTCTAGAGCAGCTGTGGTATATTTTGGAGGAAACTTTTGAAATTGTTTCAGTAAACAATTTCCTTGTGTTTTTTTCTGTTGACATTCAGCCCACCATGGATTCATAATGGTATCACCAGATTTCTCTTGTAAATATCTATTTACCTCTTTTAGACCTAATGTATTGGATAATTCAAGGTTTACTACAGTGAAATTTGCCAATTCGTGGTTTCGGGACATATCTTTTATTTCTTCAGTATAACTCTCAGTAACAATCCACGTTATGTTGACAAGTTTGTTTCTTAGTATTCCTCCTAAGGTTTCAACAGCAGACTTAAATGTTTCCGGTTGACCATAAAATACAATTCCAATACTTTTAAAATTAATTTTTTCAAATATTTCATTTTCAAACTTCTGTCCCCATTCGTACCAATGAATTCTACTGGTTTTTATACGAGGACATTCTATGTAGCAAATTTTTTTTTCTTTCAATAATGCATGAAGTTCTTTCAAACCTTCCGTTCCATAGGAATCATCTGTACCCATCGTTAGAATAAAGTTCCAGCCCGAATTTTCCATTAATGTAACAAGAGACTGTTCACATTATTTGAAAAGGATAAAATTATTAAAAAAAAAGAAACAAAATTTACCTGAGTTTGAATTATATCTGGGGGAACAACTCGAAAAAAGTTTGGAAATACTTGCTCGTTGCTAAGTCTAGTCGATGTTGCGGAAATTCCAAAAGTTGCCATTTCTGTGTTAGTCTTTTTAAAAAAAGTGGATATAGTTTCCGATATAGCACTAGTAGTTGGTCCAAGAATTCCTATTTATAAAATTTGCATGAAAATTACAAAAGAATAATTATATTTCATATTTATTACCAACAACGTTGTCCTTAGTATCCGAACAATTATATAGCGAACTTATATAATTGATTTTCGAAGTGTCATGTTCCAATATATCATCGATTAGATGCTTTGATGTATGAAACTTACTAAAACAAGTATCGAAAACCTTCAAACCTAAATAAAAAAAAGATGATGACATCAGTACGAGGTGAAAGAGTGTTTAACAATTGAATATTACCAAGTTTTTCTTTGCCAAAGAAGGAATGATTGTTTAATCTCTCAACAGCCCATAATAAGGCTTCATATTGATATGCAATAGCCTCGGAAATCGGTCCCGTACAGTACTCATCAGTGTGAAAAGCAAGAAATGTTGCCAAGTAGAAATCTCCTTCTACCTCAACATTTCGAAAATAGCACGACTCTGACAATATAAAATATATTGATATTATGGCAAAAATCTTCATGTTATACTTCTTTTGAATAGACCAAGTCACATTCAAATTCAGTCAAGCGAAACTTTGGTAGAATTTCAGATTTTTCTTATCTTAAATATTTAACTATTCTTCATTTGTGTTTATACTTCAAACAAAGTCACTTTTTTAAAATATAGTTTTCTTCAAGCGCTTAACTATTTCACTCAGAAATATGTCTTTGAAAAATAGTCTAGTTTAGAAATATGTAAAAACCGGAAGGAAATTATTCGACCTTTTATTGTAATAATGGAATTTTTATACGATTTTTAAACAAATTGTACATTTTTTTAAAATCAAGATGGCACTAGCGATACTATTTATTTTATATAGTTTAATCACGTAAAACAATATGTGCTCTGCAGGAGAGAATTTATTACAAACACTTTTGAAATAAATGCTAATATGTAAAAGCTTGAAAAATTAGGTATGTAAAATTTTGCACATTTTTTTGTGAATAACTTGTGCCTAAGACAGATGGCCCTAGTGGCATTTCAATCATAGCAGACGATAGTAAATAAGAGGTTCATGTGTAAATATGAATGATATGGAAGAAAAATTTATTGGAAGTTTAGTAGGAGCCGTAGTTGGCGATTGTTTGGGTTCTGAATATGAATTTGTTACGCCTATTCCATCTAGGGAAAAAATGTTAAAAACATATAATTCACCATGTATATTCAAATATACAGATGATACCGCGATGTCAAGATCGGTGGCTTTTTCCCTAATAGAGAAGAAAAAATTGGACTGTATAGATTTAGCCAAAAAGTACTTTTGTATATATATATGAAATTATACCTAATAGAACTAATCAATTTTGAAAATAGATTCACTGATGAGTATATACGAAAACCTTATGGTTATGGAGCAACTATCGGAGAAGTTTTTCACAAGTTAAATAATATATTTTCCTCCAAAGAATACGCGAGTATCACTGAAGAAGAAATATTTTCACCTTCTAAACAACAACATAGTGGCCAGGGATCATTTGGAAATGGAGCAGCTATGAGAATAGCTCCAGCTTCCTTATTTGGAATAAAAAGTGATAATAAAGAGTTTGAAGTATTGAACAATTTTCAATTATTTCCGTTTAGTATTGAAATTAAAATTTTTCTTCCTTAAAGGATTTAGTTAGAAAAATATCCTTAATTACTCACGCTCATCCATTTGGCATAAATGGTGCCATCCTGGAAGCAACAGCTGTAAAATGGGCTTTAAAATACCCAAATAACGACTCTGACCTGTTAGATAAATTAGAAACCTTTGCAAAGAGCCTAGAAGTGGATAGTGAACAGTAAATTGCCTTTTTACGTGAAATATCCGTATAATTTAATTTTACTCGCAAATAGAAAAGTTTATCAAGAAAAGATAACATTAATCAGGCAGTTAATGTTGGAATATGAGACAAGTGAAGAAGACGTGGCTACCAAATTAGGTTTATTATTCTTTACATGTAATAATTCGATCTTATTCAACAACTCCATTCTATAGGAAATGATGTAACTGCCTTAAATTCCGTACCTGCTGCTATTTATTCATTTTTACGGACGACGAAAGAAAGATTCTCGAATTTATCACCAGAAGAAAAATTTAAGGAGACTATATTATTCTCTATATCGCTGGGCGGGGATACAGATACTATAGCTTCAATGGCAGGAGCTATTGCTGGTGCAGCGTATTCAATAAATTGTATACCTAAAAATTGGATAAAGATTTGTGAGGGCGTTGACGATGCAAGAAAACAGGCCCATAAACTCTATGAATTGCAGCATTGCAAATGAATAAATGAACATTCCACCTAAATCCCTTATCTGATATCTTATCGACACCACCTCTAATTCAGCAACTGTTACAGCTACTCAGATGTATTATAAACCTCTGTATAAAGAGCACTGGCGATCTTTATTCCTTATCTTTAATTCATGAAAGTATAATCAGATAGTTGACGCTAAAATTAAATCAAATTAAATAATAAGAAGACAAAAAGTCGCTTTTTAAATATATTTTTATTGGTGATAACCTGTCAACTGGGTAAATGGCTTAACCATTGAATAATTTAAACTATTAATATAATGTACATACATAGTATGTAGTAAAAAACAAAGTTTTCACATCTGATTACACCCTACAATAAATACATAAGTGTTTTCTTTCAGCTGCACATTAAATTAAAATTGAGGAAATAAGACTAAATTTTATAAGTGATATTGAATTTTTGAGGTCTGGGACATTAAAGAACTTATTTAGGAGAATATCATGTCATCATCTTTAAGGTTGTTCACCTCTTGCCAATCTTTCGTTAATATCTTCAACGACGGCTGGTAGCTCTGCTATTGAATCAATGACGTAATGAACTCCTGTTTCTCTAAGTTTCTGTTTGGATTTTTCTGTTCTAGCCTCGATCTCTTCCCTTGTGTAATTTTCCTCTTCTTCAAAGCTGTTAATGTCCATATAGTTGGAATACCTTGCGACCCCGACTCCCCAACATCCAGCTTCCAGAGCCTCTCCCACACCTGATGTTGTATCGTCGACTTTAATAACACTCTGGATTGGATGCACATTCATTAAATCCATATTCTTGTAAATCATAAAGGGTTTGGGTCTTGAACCATTAATGACTTCATCACCAGCTACTGTAGCATCGAAATCCAAACCTTGTTTTCTGGCACCTTCAACAAGAATGTCAACCATTGGCCTGCTAAATCCCGTAGTTGAGCCAACTTTTATACCGTAACCGTCTCTTAAAGTCTTGATTGATTTAGCTGCACCAGGTATTAAATCAGTATATTTTGGTAGACATTCCAGCTGAGCAGGAATGTAATTTTTGTACATTTCTTCAACATCACCCTGATTTGGATACCTTCCTTTTGCATTAAACCATCTTTGCCTTACAGAAGGATTATTGCAAATTGTCGCAATATGTAAATCTTTTCTTATTCCCATAGGTTCTCTTGCCTCACTCATCGAAATAGGAACGCCAGCCTTTTCAAAAACATGAGCAAAGACTACGGCTGGTGCAATTACATATTTATCAGCTGTAGTACCAGACCAATCCAAAATGACTGCTTTCACTCTTCCAGTATATCTTCTGCTAAATTGGTAAGCTGTTCTCAACCGAGACATAGTTTGAATAATGTTTCTTCAACAACTTCAGCGCTAGTGACTCCTCACTGTTTCGAAAAGTGTTATCATATGATGTCCCAAGGACAACATATTAGAAGAGAGTCGACTGCTATGCTTTTATACTCCCTGTTTCCTACGTTTATCTCTACATTATCATTAGTGGCGTCTATAGAGCAATTGTTCTTAAGTTTTACTAGATTAAATTTTTGTTAAAGACATTTTGTCAGCCGCCTAATTTGTACTATCGATCTATAATCAAAGAGTTAGTCGATAACTTATATACTTTCTCCTACTATTTATCATAAATATCTACTGAACTGTACTAAATAGTATATTACTTAGAATAACCAAATTAAAGTAGAATAGTTATTTTTAGCAGGTGAATAAAAATATCACCTGGAAATATTGATTATAAATTCTATATACGCTTCTATTTGGATTACGCAATACATTTACGCAGCTAGCGAAAAAATAAGTTAAATGATAATATATATATATATATATATATATATATATATAATTCTAGGCATTTTCCTCCGAAAGGAAACATAAAATAAAGTATCGTAAAATTCCTATAGACTTCTCTTGAGTAGAAAATTGTAATCAAACTCTATAAGAAAAAGTTGGTATCATTTTTACAAACCAATACAGTAAAGGCAACCGCTTTGTTCAATAACAAGTGATTAACTGATAAATAGGCGTATACTTTTTAATGTCTGCTACATTAAAAGTTTTTCAGCACAAGATATCTTTGCCTGGTACAAAAATAATTTAAAATATTTTGCTTGATAATAATCACTTGTTCTTTTTTTTAAATAATTTAAATAAACTCTGGGCAAAAACAGAATATAGTTCATAAAAGTTAAGTTAATGACAATTAAATTGTAAAGTTCATTAATAAAGGAGAATAATAAATATAAACAAAAGTTTCAACAGACCATTCTCTTAAAAGAAACCCCTTTGGTCATATCAATCATGACGTTACCGTGTTGTTTTCTTTAAACTACACTAACGTCACCTATAAACAACTTTGACCTTTGCACATAATGTCTATATTTATTATAGCAGTATTATTAATAAGTACGTTTTATTTATGCAAAAATTACCTATATGAGGCAAGCTTTTACAAAATTCAAAATGGCTGTGCTAATTTTAAAAATCCCCAACTTTGTTTTGATATTTGAAAAAAGTATTTGTTTTTTACAATTAAAGACAAAAGCTGAAAAATAATAAACAACTCGTTTGAAATTTTAAGACGCATTTGCAAAAAAAAAAAAAAAATATATGTAGACTTTAACCCATATAAGTTGCATACAAGAAATATTTACGTTCCGCTAACTCTATATTATCGCTCATCAAATTTTAGCCGATATTTCTTATGTATTTTGTATAAAATATTATAATTATTCTCATATAGTTTTATTTTAATAAATAAATATTGTATGTTAATTTTTTAAGTTATACGTTAAAAAAAAGATGCGAACGAATTTTTTTTAAAATATGTTAATAGGCACGCACGCTTCACGTGGCCAAACAATATTGGCCTCACTCAGCGACAACGCATCAAACTGAACTCACTGGTAAGCATTTCAAGCATATAAATACAAATAATTTCTAAAATCTATTCAGTAAGCAATCATAACACTAATTTTTCAGTTCGTTCAATGGTAAAATCTGCAATTGTAAGAATTTTTATAAGAAATTTCAACGAGGTCGACAGACGACCAAAGAGAAGGAATTCCAGAAGCAAGTATTGTGGTTCTTAAAGCGATTTTCAAAACAAATGGAAATGGTTCCCGTTGAAGTTACAGAACACGGAAAGGAAGCCAAGGGGCAACCAAAATCTCCAAGGTAAGAACATATGTCAAAAGACTGGTTATTGTGTGTACGTTCTTTGTGTTAATTCTGCATTCTACTTTTCTTTAAAGGAAGAGAACAATGTCAGCTACAACTCAAACAGAAGACAAAAGGGCTAAAGTTGAAGATAACGTTTGGGGAGAAATCTTCAAGAATCGTGAAAATTTCGTAGAGATGCATATATGCTAGAGATTAGTGAAGAACGTAATCCTCGTCGTCATTAAACGACATATTCTATATATCCCTCATCAAATTACTATGTAATTGACATACTTTTAACTGTCCTATCTATGAATAGTGTTTGTTTCCCTGAACTTCGCCAATATTTGGTACAGTTTACTCAAGTTTTCTAGTGTTAACAGTAAATTTTATTTGTTTCTGTTTAGCCTCCCAGATTGTGAAAAATATATGTGTGGGCCTACAATATTATACATTTCGGTCATAGCTTTGTATCAACATTTATAGTCATAATAAATTTATTTTTTCCACTTGCTTCAATAGAACTTGAATTGAAATTTGTTTGCTAATTTACTATATCGTTTATTCGAAGTAAGGCAAGCATAGATTATAAATAATAATAAGTTAAGATGTATATGGCGAAAGAGGTACAGTTATATTAAAGAAAAACCATATTTGGCAAAATTTTCAATGGATTTATATTGAATATATTTTTTAATACTGTTCTTGTTCAAGAAAATTCTCTTTTATTGAGAATTGGCAACAATCTGGGGCAAAGTTTCTTGAACAGACACCGATACCCTTCTAGAACTTTGATTGGAAGCGGAATAATTACTCATTTGACCAGTATTTGACTCAGATGTTGGCTGGATGGATGATTCTCCCGTGTGATCTGTTAGGGTCTGTTGGCTATCTCTAGGACTTGTTCCAAAATCGATACTTTCCGACATTCTCTTTGTTACCAGCGCTTGTCCTTTTCTAAAGAGAAATAAGAAAAGAAGACTCGTTTTATATAAATATATATATTGTTATGAAATATTTTTTTTGATGAAAAGCCTATAATTTCTGAATAGTTGCATATTTTGTTTTCTAGCTGTTATTTAGAGCATCGTTTAGGCCTACCAGCAGAGAAAAAGCTTACTGTATTGGAGGTAAACCAATTCGGCGAAAATGGTCCCATGCTTCTAAAAAGGCTGGAGCTAATTTGGCATTTGTATGCCGAGTGTACCAAAAAATAACTTTGAATGAATATGGTTCTTTGCGGCAAGCATTTAATAATTGTCGTCTACCAGTGTGATTGAAGGAGAGATAGCCTAATGCAATAGCAGCACTTCCTTTTACCTGTAAAAGCAAAAGAAAATTATAGGTATTTCCGTTTAACACATATCATTCATATCAACCTGATCGGTTTCGGATTTTAAAAGTTCACAAAGCGATAACACAGTGTCTATTGAAACGAATGCATCTGGTATGCCAGCTCTTGTATGAGACAATCTTGCTACACAATCAGCGGCTAGTGCTTGAATTAGGTCACTTTTTGATTCATTTATAAGATCAGTTATTAATTTTATGCCGGCAGCTGATGAGAGGGCTTGCTCCTCATCTGGTATAATTCTAGCTAAGACTACTATTTGGAAGGCGGCATTACATCTGTAAAATTCATCTGAAGACTCTAAAAACGGCACAAAGCAAGCAAATCTAACGCCACCATCTTCAGCAATTGCCCTTTGTTGAGTAATATTATTGAAAGAGAATGTCGCTAGAGTATTCCCCGCCAATAGCCTGACAATTTCCTCATGCGAGTACATCATTTTCAAGATTCTAACATAGCTGAAATCTGGATTGGATCGAATCTCATCTAGAAGTTCGTTATTTCCTAAAGCTACCCCTGCCAAAGCATGAGCAGCTTCAACTTGTATAACCTCATTTTTTGAATGAACCATTAAGGCAATGAGATAACGTATGCCCCTCGATTGTGATACTTTGATTTGATTTTGTTTATGGGGTACGAAAGCCACTCCAACGCATAAATGTCGCAGAGTTCGAATTGCGCTGAGTACAATATGTTCCTTGTCAGAACGAAGTAGCCGAACCTAAAAATTTAGATCAATAAATCAAAAAGAAAATATTTAGTGATAAATTGATAATTATTTGTCAATTGAACATTGGATGTACTCTGGCTTAAGTTTTAACCATTCATATTAGTTATAGTTATCAAAAGATCCTTTAATCTACTATATTTACTTAGATATTGTGAAATTCTATATCTCTATGTTCTTAATAAAAAAAATAGAGTTTGACTTGTAATTTATACTTTAGTGAATCAGTTTAAATTGTCAAACTTATTACAAAACTTGGCCTAAAAAAAAATGTTGTTATTTTGCTGTTCAAATGAAATGAACCCAAGCTATTCATTTTAATTCTATAAAAAGAGCTATATTTTCAAAACAGCTAGACTCTTTCATAGTATTTATAGATGAATCATTATTACAATGAATATATAAACTATACGCAGTTTATATCATCAGCTCATAAAGAGTGATTAATATAAACTAAAACTTATGAATATGACTAATTTTTATATTCAATAATTGTTTTAATTTGAATAATTCGATATAAGAAAAAAGATTTTTTCACAAATGTTACCAATTGATGCTTTCTTTAGTTTTATATTTAAAAATATTATCTAAATTGATATTAATCATATTTTAACAACTAAATGGATAATATTTAATACAATGGTCAATTTTCTATTTTAATAATTTTGCCTGTTTATTGATCTCCTGCTGACCTTCGCTATTGAAAATATAGGCCTACTCTTCTAAACTTACACCTAATAGAATAAGATTGTTTAAAATTAATGGTAAACACTTTTTTCCTAACGATTTCAAAGTGCAAATTTAAAATTTGGAATTTAACTCTGTCTATTTTTCATTGATTAATTACCTTATCTTCTAAATTTATCCAATGTTTGTATTTTTCAAGGTCTTATGTGAAATTGTTTAAAATAAAATTACTAACCAATAGGTTTAAACCATTTACTCGGCCAATGGCTGTTTGTTCAGATTTTGGTCCTTGAGCCAAAACCCCTAAACCTTCTGAACCTATGTAGTGTAAATTTTCGGATAAACTACTCAAGAATTCTATAAATAATGAAACACCCATGTCAGTTGCCATGTTTCTCCTTTCCCTATGATCCCCACTGGCTAGTGCCCACAAGGCAACAGCCGTTTCTTCTTGGAGAATTGGTGATCTAGATTTTTTCAACATTTGCATAAGTGGAAGATTAACAGTAGGTAATATAGCTTTCTGGGTAACCGGGTTCTCTTCTGCTAAACGATGTATAGCTTTCACTGCACTTAATTGCAAATCTGCGTGTCGTGTTTTGGTCAAAGTTGAAACATGTGCAGCTACTCCTCCGTCGACAAGCGCCCTCTGGTTTTCATCATGTAATTTTGCTGCACTGGCGACACATTTTGTGAGAGCAAGTAATAGAGCTTTATCGCTAGCTCCTTGAAACAATTCGACAAGTGATTGTATGCCATTAGGAGTGGTATTAAATGCTGTTCTGTGTGCATCGTTACCAGCAACGACATTTGCCAAGCTCAAAATAGCTTCGGCAAGAACGTCAGTCTCCCTGATATTCGATTGAAGGACTTTTACAATAGCCGGAAGGAAACCGGCTTGAACAGCGGCACCTGTATGTTTAGGATCTTCGCAGATTGATTTAACAGACATGGCTGCTAACTTAACCGTATCTAAACAAGTCGTCTCCGGTGTTACCTGAATAGTTAATCGTTTAAAATGAATAATTGAGACTTGAACAATAGTTGTAGACAAACCTTTAACAATCTTACACATGCTGCCATACCGCCGCAAGAGACGAACTGTTCTCTAACTTGATCATTCGATGAAATATCCAAAAGTGTCTCAAAAGTATTAACTTTTGATTCGTCACCAACCCCAGATTTAATAACTCTAACTATTGTTGGAACAATCCCATTCGTGAAGCTTTCGTATAAATATTTTTCATTGTCATGAAGTAAGACGTGACATAATTTAGCTGCAGCAGTAACATCTTCATCGGTTGAACTGTCCAAAAATTGTACTAATTTTTTCCAACTAGGTAACTTAGGATTATTCTTGGAAGCGAAAAACTCGAAAATGCCTTTATGGCCATTTAAAGCGCAAACTTCTATTACACCATGATTGTGTCTGAAGTTTAATTACTTTTAATGACTATTCAAGGTTGAATATTTGAACTGATTATAGGAATTTCTACTTTGAACATACCTATCGATGACATCGATTTTTGCACCAAAATCGACAAGCCATTCAATCGTCTGCAAATTATCCCCTTTTACTGCAAGCAGTAAAGGCGTTGAATGTAATTCATCACCAGTTTCTAGCTCTAATTGATCATCAGATGCTTTCACAAATCTTTCAACGGACTTAATAAAGCCCCGAAAAGCAGCATGATGGATAGGAGCCCAACCCTGCTCATCCAATTCATTCATTTCCCCAACTTCTGTCAAGTGTTGAACGTTTTGAACGGGAACAGCTAAAAAGCGCTGAGCGTTGACCGTCTGTTGTGCTCTGAAAAGCGGAAATGAATTGTTTTATATAGGAAATTCATTGACAGTATTCTTTCAAGAAGAACAAAATTGAGTATATTAATATTTAAAAGAAAGAAAAGCCTTATCACCACCTCTAAAAACCAGTCAAAATGTTTGTATTGTTTTCTATTGCTTTCTATTGTTTCCGGAATAAATTCAAGCTCTTAAAAATTCATTCAGGTCGGTTCTCAATGACTTTTAGGTTAAAAACTTACCCACTCATAAAATCCATTGTTCAAGGCTCAAGGAATGGAATTGATTACGATTAAGATTGTAAAATATAATAAAACTATTTATATTATATAGTAAAAAATAATTAAATATACAAATTTTCCCTTTTATTTGAAAAGTTTTATAAACACATTTTTTATGGGAAACGTGTGAAAACAAAACTAATCAATAAAGATTAAGAGAACAATTTTTAGGCCTATCCATTTTTTGAAAGACAGAGATTCCAACTCACTCAATTTTTTATAAAATCTCTTTTCTATTTATTTTAAACGGTCCAGTCGACTATACTATAATTTTTTTTAAAGGGCTCTAGAAGAATTGATTGGCATTATTGCGTTGTTCTCTTAGAATGTAAAACTTGGCTTTAAAAAGCTATGGTTTGAAATGATAAAATTAATCGTATTTTAATAAAGCATTGTTATATGGTACATATATACAGTACATACAGTATATACAGTATATATATATATATATATATGTTCTAAGGATAAATATATATATAGACAAAAAATGTATATATAATACAGTATATATAGTTAAAGTATAAAACTATACAATTATTTGGAAATAGTAGAGCAACTCAATATTGAGACTTTTTTTTCCCTGTTCAGTCATTTTTACTGACGTCGACAAACAAATATATATTCAAATAGAAAGACATACCGTTCTTTTGAATAATTAATATTTATATTTAAAAAAAAAGAGAGAAAGAAACAGATTAATTAGAAAGTTGTTAATTAGATTTTTTATTTGTTCATTCGTCGATCTTTATAAAAATGTATATAGCAAGCTTAAAACCTATTTTAGAAACTAATCTACACATTAACAATGTAAATGCTTAGAGACGTTAAATAAGAAATTATTTATTACTACAATACCTATTTTTCTCCTCCTCTTTAAGTGAATATATAGCGAAGTTAAAATGTAGTTTTCACTTTTTAATCTTAAAAGCACAGAAAATAAACTTGTTATCTTATAGTCCTTTACTTTAAGATTTTGATACTATATTGGTTATCAAAACAACGAAACTTGAGATATCAATATTTCTGTATCATTTTTACTTCATAAAAAGAGACGTCTTTTCTTTAAGAATCAAATAAAAAAAAGCGTAAATATATAAAAACATATTCTCTCTAAATACGAATAAATTTACATTTGGTATGTATATAGACAGAGGCTGAGATATAGAAGGGATAAAAAACAAGTAAAAAAATTCGATGCGAATAATCCATTTTTTCTCCCTAAGGTAATCTTACATGAACTAGTCAACAATTACCCAGTTGTTTGCTTTGGTCACTAAATCAGGATAATTGATTGATAATTCTAAATATTTAAGTATGACCAACTTAATGTAACATTTCTGCTTAATACAAACATAACTTGTTGACATAAAATATCTTATGCATCTTATCTATTTAGCATTTATACTTAAAAGATGAGCTAAATCAAGAGTTAGACGAATTATTCATTTAAGTAAAGTTCGATTATTTTCTTTGTAAATGTTCTTTTAAAAATGAGGAATACCTTGACTCTTTTCTACTCTGAATATTAACTGAAGTTCTCCGAGAGAGTGACAGACTTATCGGCGAATTATCCATCTTGTTTGTCAAAGGTTTAAAATATCAACTAAATTCGCACGTATTACCTGACCGACTGGCAATTAAGCACGACGGCATCATCAATTATTGGCGCAGCGTCGTTGATCGATTTTCTGTATTCATTCTATATGGTTTTTTTCTATACTTATTCAACTACCAAACTCCGATATGGCTTTGCAACACGCCAACTAGTTTTATAATTTCCTAACCGATAAGAGCTTTGATTTGTACTGATTGTATGTTGATAAAACACTTCTGGTTGTAATACAAATTATCTTCATGTTTAACATAAAAAATAATTACTTATATATATATATTAATATCTAAATATAAAATATAATATATATTTATATATAAAGAATATATATAGATATATATTTCTATTAAAATATATCAGTTTCTTTAAAGAGCATACAAAACGAATATCTATGAATTTATAATTGTTTTCTTTTCAAATATTTAAGACAAAACTTTCATTTTAAAAGATAAACTTACGTTCCAGTATGCATGATTAGAAGGTGATATAATAACAAAATTTAATTGTGAATATAGCAGTATATGGTAGCGTCTCCATGTACCATATGAAAAGAAAATCATTAGATCGTTAAATAAATAGGTGGCGTTAAACTTGAATGATTTTAGAACGATAATTAACTCTAAATGCCCTAGCGCCAACGCTATCATTGTTACAAATTTGCTTTAATTAAAAATTAGGTGTTTATCAAAATTTATTATTTTTATCACTTAATTTAGAATAAGTTCTCTCTTTTTTATTATTAGGGCACCTTTTTTCTATAAAGATAGGATGATACTTCTAATATACTCTTTCACGATTATGAGTAATAAAGTTTGCTGTAATAGATTGCAGATGGCGTCTAGAACGATTAAACAAGTATGGGATAGGCTTCTGTTTTCACTTTTTCTATTTGTTCCTAAAATAAGAGTTTGCTTAGATCGATAATCTATCATTTTATCCAAAAGAAAACAATTAATTGTATATGTAAAATTGATATCAGCTATGTTGATTTTATATTAATGATGTAGATCACCTTAAAAATCTTCATAATTCCTTATCAATAGGCAATTCAAATCTCTAAAAAAAAACTTCTCCAAAGATTGGCTTTATATCACTTAGTTTATCTAAAACCATTCAGTTAATCTCTATGAAAAAAAATGGCAATACTACTTAAAAAAGAGACATTCTTCGGCGTAAAAGATCGTATGGAAAGTCTTTTTGTAATAATCATAACGACAAAAAAGTCCTAATAATAACAGTAAAGACTATAAAAAGACGAGAGAATTGAATATTATTAATATAGAATGTTTCAAAATGTATAAAACATAAAGACAATTGAAAACAATAGTCATTATATTCGTCTAAAAAAATTAAGACAAAGGATGATAGATATAATGAATTCGTTTTATTCATTTATATTTCATTATTTCCTAAACGGAGGAGTATTCTAAATCTCATCGATTAATTATTGGTAGTTTCTATTCTCATTAATTAGATGATCTACATACTGAAAAAAGTCTGTCATATTTAAGCTGGCCTTACAATAAGTATTTAATTTAATGTTACAATAATGAAATAGTTAATCCGTAATCTTAACATAATCTTAGATACCTGAAAGTTTTTTATTCGTAATTCCTATACAAATTAAATAATCATTTACTGTTTTAGAGTGTAAATGTTGCAAAAAAGTTAACGTTTTTTGTTAATTGAACATATATAATAAGATATAATTGATTCTAACAAGAAATAATAATAATCATGGAACTTCATTGACGACTTGAATTATTTATCAGATGATAAAAAGCGTTAATCAGAGAAATTTCAATATAAATTAATGCTTAACTTTAACATACAAGATTTAAGGTAAATAAAGACAGAGTCTTAATCAATAATTTTATTTTATTCTTTATAATCTAAGTTATACACTTTTATTAAATTTTATAGCATAAACAAACTGATCTGCTCTTCCTTTAGGAGTTATAGTACAAGATATACTATGATAAACACTTATTACAATTTGTATTTATTTATTAACAATAACAAAAAAACTTACATCCTTCGAAACATGATCAGCAGATAATTCACTTGCTAATTTACTAATAAAGGAAGTGCTCTCAAAACGAGAGTATTAGATCGTTAAAATTCTAGGTGGCGTCTAAATTAAACGTTTACAAAGCTATTACGCAGGCCTACTTACCACGTCTAGATCGATTAGAAGAAAAAATTGGCGTTACCAATGAAATTTACAGTTTGACAAATACAAATGGCGATATAGTGCCAAAGGATTATACAGGATCTTCGTATTTGCCAATGGATTATTGGCCTAAGGCGTATGCATTGGCTGCCTTGGTGATTTCAATGCCGATTGTTAATACTGCTGTTTTTCAGATTTACTTGTATTACTTTCAACCTATTTGTACAAGCATTTTGCTTTGATATATATTTTTAACTGGAGTCTTTATTTTTAGCTGCTAGTTCAGTCAGTTTCGAATTTAAAGCGGCCGCGAAGTCGTTTCTATAGGCAACGGAATTCGCATCTAAGAGAGCGTTTATTGTTGTATAATACGTTCCGTCAACTATTGTATTGCTATCAAACTTTTCGGCAACAATCTGAAAATCATTTGAAAGTTTCATTTAAATTTCATTGTTTATTTCTTAGAATAAATTATATTGTTCATCTCTTTGGTACTTTTAGACAACGCAAAAGTAAACGAAATAAGAAGATCGCACGAAAATTTACTTACTCGAAAGCCGCTTTGAGTTAACTCAACTGTTAAGTCTTTATTTTCTTTAATTCGAATATTTATAAAGGCTTGGTTCGCAGAATTCTCTAACTTAGATGATAACTCTACAAAATTGACAGCATAGGATATCTCTTTAATGGCTAAGAGTGCTTCTTCATTCATTATCGCTATTCAAAATTTACCAGTTTTTAAACTTCATTAAAGGCGGAATATTTAAATAAATTTCACAATATAGCAATGTTCGAATAATTGACCCGTACATTTGGCATTTGTTTGCATAATTGTAAGCAAATCGATGTTAACACTATGAATATTTTTGCAGTTCAATTTTTGCTTAACAATAGAAGCTTGAAGGTACCCGGTCGGTTTATTGATATTCATTTCAAGGCGTCTAGATTATCCGTCTCATATAGCTAGTCGATTCTCGAAGCAAACAGTTGATTCTTGGTTTCCAACGGAATACAAAACTTTGCTTTACCGAAGATGAAAACTTTGTCGGGAATAAAGTTTATTGCAATAATTTTTCTTCCTTTCAACAAATTTTTCGCCTGGGCTGGTCATAATATTGCAGTCGCCAAGATGGACGTTTATACACATGCCGAAGTTTCATCATGTATTGCAGACTATGGAGATTACGATTGCAAAGTTAATATGATTCCATACGCCAACAATTTTATTCCACATCCTGTTATGAACTATAATTCCTGGCATTATATTAGACTCATTATTAACTTTAAGGAGCAATCTCGCTTTACTCATGCTGTTTTACATTCGAGAAATTATCACACATTCATGGATTTTAGATACCCTGGCCAAAACGATTTGCGAGTGATAAGCAATACGCAGAATAACGTTGGAAGACCTTGTTTCATCCCTGTTTTAGATCGTGAATTTAAAAATTTAGAATTAGGAATTTTCAGCAACGAAAATAATAAAAGACCAGGACTTGTTAAGCTCATATTTTATAGGAAAAAACATTACTCCGGTAAAAAAATGGTCGCTCAACTCTACATTGATAATCTGGCATATATATCGAGCTGTGTGTCCAGTGATGATCCTTCTGGATCTAATCCAGCGAGAAATTGCTTTAAGGCAATGGACACTATAACAAAACTGGAAAATAAGATTTACAATCCACCTGAAAATAGCTACCAAAACTATTATAGCAACTGGGATGTTTCGAAGAATTCAGCATGGTATAAAGTACAGTTTAGACATACTCTGATTTTAAAAGCTGTAAGAATAAAACCAAAAAACGCAGGTTCTGAAAATGACGCCACTCAATGGCTATTACAGGTTGCTGATGGTTCTACTTACGATCTTCATGTCACAAATGCCAATGGTTGGAATGAAAAAGTTCTAGATAGCGCAGAATTTACCAACACTGTCACACTAAAGCAACCTACAGTTCGCCCAGGAGCGAGCAAGGTAGGTTTTTTAGAAGTTAGTTTTAAAGCGTATCAGCCTACATCAGCAGCGCTTCAATATGAAACAGTATATTCCAATTTTACTGATTTTACTGAAAACACTGCAACCAAATGTACTTTTTTGGCTACGCCTTGTGAAGATCGGTTGAAAGGTGAAGGTTCTTCTCTTCCCCCTCAGCTTGTTTCGGTTCCCGTTCAGTATACGATAAACTAGCATATTCTTATCCTATTTTTGCTGTTGCCATAACTGCTTTTCAACAGAGTATCAAGATTACAGTCGGTAATTATGAAAGTACTATCACCTTCGGTTCGGATATATTTGCAGAAAGGAAATTTTACCATTTACCAGAATATCAACAAGAAAAAATAGTAATTTTGGAAGCTTCAGAGGATACCTCTAGCAATGGAAAAGTATTAAAAATACATGATATAGATATTCTAGGTCCAGCAGCTTTTGCGCTTACAACGCCATGTTCTTCAAATACCTCTATGTGTCAATTTATAAACAAACAAATGACTTATGCAATTGGAGTCGACAGAAGTAAATTTAAAATACTTTTTGAAGGATATCATTTAGGAACAGATGAAAGTGTAAGTATTGCATTGCCTAAATATCCTCAAAAGACAAAAAAAAAGAACTGTAGTGGTTGTTACACAACAAAAGTTGAAGAGTCTACGACAGCAAGCACACTTTTAAATTTAGATGCAGGAAACAAAACGAGTACCGTGACTCCAAAAATGAACAAATACGAGTCATTGTGTAATTGTGCAGATAATAATGCTAAGACACAAACATTTACAATATTAGCCAAATCATTTTTTCTCTGCTCTATTGAAATATTGAACTTGTCATAATGTGATGGTAAACGTGATGTAGTGTTCACTCTCCTTTTATCTACTAATTTTAATAATTGAATAAATAAAGATAAAACACTATCCAATAAAAAAAAACTGACGATTTTATAATAGCCATTAATGTTCTCCTCGTTGAATAGGTTTCTTTACCAAGAGAAAACAGAATTAAATGTAAAGCTGCCATCAATTATGTATCTTTGAGTTGTCGGCATAATTTCAAAAAGGGAAAGGCAATACGTTAAATGAGAACATTTGCCATGTTCTAAAAACTAATTGTTATATTCTCTCTATATATATTATAAAGAATAATTTATACATAGATATTCAGTTCAAGGTTATTTCAAAGTAACCTCTATTTTTATACTCTAATATAAATATTCCCTTAGAGCATAATTAGTCCATTATGTAATATATTTCTAGATTTCTAAGATTTATATATACATGTATATAACAGCATTTTAATCTATACTAAGTATATTCCATATAATTCTCTTTAATAAAAAATAATTAGCACTAATAAGAAAAGAACTTTTTGAATATTATTTGATATTTGGAAATAGATTGTTCTCTCTTTTGTAAAAGGTTAACTCGAAGCTATTGAGGTTATTTCTATATAGTTATACTTTAGAGGAATCAAGAGAGAAAATATTAAAAAACGAAAATATCGAAAAAGATCAAAATTCTTCAAAATACTAACAGAAATAAGTACATTCGCAATTGAAGCAAAACGGATAAAATAGATTAATAATGTTAATTAAATTAAGTAAATAATATATTATGTTAGTTTATATTGAAATAGATATCATAATTGAATAAGTTACTATTCTCGATAGCGAATGAAAAGAGATATCTCTTTTTGTTTATCTAGTTTTATCACTTTTGTACATTTTCAGCTTGAATTTGAATTTTTATCAATATCTTTGCTCTCAACAACTCTCATAAAGATTTATCATATCATTATAGATACTTATGAAAGAAATAAGAGATTAAGTAAATACTATAAATAATATATATGCTATTTCCATTGGAATTCAGTACATAACATAGCCAATAGCAGAGATTGATTAAGATTTACTAAAAATGGAAAACATTTACGTCTGTTATCTTAATCAATTCACCGAAGTAACAATAGAAATTCGAACCAAGATATAATCAATTACTTTTTGTTTTTTTGGACAGGAAGTCTTTAATTCGTAAGTTTAGTCATATTTCCATTGGACTTTTTATTATTAACTAATTAATAATACCCTACGCTCATTTACTACTTTGGTCATACTTATAATGAAATAATTACTATAGAATTAATATAAAGAACGGTAAATATTGAGAGAACTACAATACTACTTAAAAGTACGAGTCCAAAAGACGACTGTGCTATGTAAACAAGCCGTTTTTGGAAAACATATACAATGAATTCTTTTTAACAAGAAATTTATAGTATTTATATATAATAGTAGTTTTTACAACGCTTTACAAATACATTACGCTTTTTATGATTAATCTTAACACCATTTTTAAATTGAATAGCCTCTCAATGCTTTAATCAACGAAAGTAGTATTTTCCACGCGTAAATATGCTTTTCAAGAGAGTCGTTACAGCTATAAAACTAGATGTGATAAATTTACTGCAATTACAATCCAATTTAATTGACTTAATTGACGAATTCTAAAATTGAAAAGATGCAATATGGCGCCAAAAATTCGCTGCAAAAGGGGTTTTGTATTCGAATCGTATATTGATTGTTACTCATTGAAAGGGAATACAAACCACCAGATCACGTGACCGAAAATAACAAAGAACGCTATTGGTCGATATTTAGCAGTAACCAATGAAAAGGGGGGACAGAAGTGAATTATTCCGCATGATTCAGGCCTACTGCATCAATTAACTCCAAAATTTACTTAACAAGAAATCACTGCTCTGATAAAGGTAAATTTACGGATATATTTCATCCTTGAGACTCTTAAAAAAATCGCTGAAACGCTATCGGTATGTATGCTGATAATAACTCTAGTAAGTGTCGATTTATGATAATGACAGGGCATGGCCGGCTAGATTTGCAGTTTTACTATGGAATATAGGCCTTCTCCTGAATATCTAAGAATGGTCGACTACAAGGATTCTAAAGAATTTGTTAAATTTTTTCATAACCTACCTCATTTTAACTTAACGCTGAAGACTATCGATTCGACATTCAGACCGGAAAATGCGAAATACAGAGAATCTTTAGTTCTTTGGGCGGCTGTGCCTGTTTTACTCTTGGTATTAACTCTAGTTCTCTTTCTTATCTACTTCTGCTACAGATGTTGCCAAAAAGAGAGTTCAAGACCTAAGAAAAACAATGAATTATCTTGTTTGAGGTGGACATTGGCTATAATTACTTTTTTGGTTTGTGGTCTCGTAGGCCTTGCTATGTTTGCTAATGAAGATAGCTATAAAGGCAGGTTTCCCAATCATTACGAGATAATGTTAAAATATTTAAGCTTTTATATTGGAGAAGAATGCCATAACCTAAATTTTAAGTCTTGACGTACAAAGCAGATGTGAATATCCAAGTATTACATATAGACAAATATCCTAGGATAAATTAGTACGAAAACTTCAAAATTTCAATTATTGCCTAGATTTATACACAAAAAAAATGTTTAAAACAGGCTTCTTTGTTTTTCTTTGTTAGGCAACAGATCGAATTCTTTCAGTACTTTCATGCTGCATTCTACTCCCAATAGGTCTAGATTGTAGCTTATTTATTTAACACTTTATTATAAACTACAGAAAAATGATATCCCTGTTGATTCTGTATAGATAACCGGCTCAACTGCCGCAGACGTAGCTCTCTCTCCTAATTGTGCTATTGTATTATGTTAATTATCTTCTTAATTGAGCACGATGGTTATCTATAGAGAAAAAAGGCATGAATTCTTAATAGCTTGCTATCATTAAAATAATTATAAGAATATAAATGATGATTGGAAAATCTGTTAAAAGGTTTAAAAGACTTCTGTCAGTCTATAAATGGAGCAGGACGAATAATGAGTGATCTAAACTATGACAGCAGCGACTTTCAGAAGAAGAGTAAAACTCTTAGAGAAAATTTGGACATGCTACAGAATCAAATAAATTCACAAATGAGGGGATCTCAAGCTCAGAGGTCTAAAGCTATTACAAGAAAATTAATTGAATCAGTTTCGAAATGTGCTGTTAAAATTGAACAAGTTAACGATCGCTTCAAAAACGTGAAAACCGACACAATGAAATACTTTGCCGAACAAGGAAGTTTCTACAGATGGCTAGTGAGCTTGTGCCTCTTGTCATGGACAGTAGCTTTATGCTTAATCCTGTTAATTGGAATTGGTAAAGCCTCGAAATGCATTCTACTAATTTTCTGTGCCACGGGCACTTTTACTTTGGTTCTCTCATGGATGTTTATCGGACTTCAATTAGCACTTACCATAGGTCAGAAATCCAATAAAAACTTTTTTAAATCTGTTATATTTATTCATTTTCCATTCATTTATTTGCTTAGAGCGATCAATCAATTAATCATGATAAGGTTATATATATTTTTTTTGGAACAGGTTCAGCCGATTTTTGCAGTAACACTACGGATTATTTAGCACGGAAATTTCCAGCCGTTCAAGTTGACGTTTTAAACTCCTATCTAAATTGCCAATATTGGGAAAATAAACAGTTTAGTGACCTTCGATCAACTTGTAGAAAAGGATTACACACTGCCAAAATTCAAATCAACTCCATCAAAGAAAAATATCCCAGTGTTAATTCGAACGAAGTTAAAGAAATTGAAAATACTTTGGCTAATTTAGATGTTGCCTATACTGGATTTATGGCTGCCTTGGATTGCCGACTATTTCACAAAGAGTACAAAATCGGGGCGGATGGTGTTTGTAAAACAAACATAGTCGCTTCTGTTATCATGCTACTGTCTTGTACAGTAGTAGTATTACTACTTACGGTATTGATCATATTATCTTCCCATGCCTGGAGGCATTTTAGTAAGCCGGACGAGCCGGTTGCTGATTGTAATAAGGGGAATGTTATGTATGAAGAGTTGATGCTCTACTTGCCTCGAAAGGGCTACGCCAGCGTAGACGAAGATGACCCCTTTCTACCAAGAGAAACGGATAGCCCTATCCGGGGAAATTCAGACGATATCTCAAGCGTTCCCATTCAATTAAGTGGAGGATCAACGGAGAATAGTATCGATTACAATTCAACGCCCAAATATTCGAATTATCGAGGCTCAAATACGCTGCCTAATAACAGTCATCACAAAACATCGGTTATAAATTCAACTCCAATGGATGGAACAATGCCGAGAAGTCATTATCGGGTAGTTTAGACACCTTATTTAAACATTTCTCTTACATATGAAAGCATGCTCATAAAGTATTTGACTTTTTTGTTAATGATTTTTTTATGCTTTCGTAAAGTCGACGTGCTAAATTACACTAGTGTTAAAAAAGTAGCTCTGAAATGAGGAGTGTATGATATGTAATATTTGTATACTAATACGATATTCTATTTTAGATCTATGGTATTTATTTATATATATAAGTTTATACAATATATTGTATGATAATTTATATATAATGGAAAATTTATCTATCAATGTATTACCAATAAGAGATATTAAGAATTTTCAAAATTTTGTTATATATATATATATATATAAGAAAAAAGTGTTTTATTATAATAAACGTATACATTTCTTTTTGACTATATTCTTAGCCTTTACTTTGCTATAATTTCGTAGGTTTAGTTATTCTATAGTATAAATTAAAATAATGTGTTGTTTTTGACAAAGACTTCGAATTTACCTTCTATATTTGGTTAGTAGTTTTTTCTAACACCCTTTTATTTAGTATCTGTTGGATATAGGCTATATATATATATATATATATATATATATATATATAGTGTATAACTATATTAGTCAACATTTATATATGTTAATGTAGATATAGATATTTCCAAGTGTATTAGAAATATACACCACCTGCCGCTGCAACTATATTCATATTAAATAAGCAATTGGAATATTTTAATGTAAGAAAAACTGAAAAAAATGAAGGAGCACAAAAGCAAGCGCTAGCTCGTATTGACCTGGGTGTTAGGCAAACAAGGTCTGCAAAAGTATACTAAAAACAGATGTTAAAAAAAGGCTATATGCTCTCAGTAAAAGGAGAATAGTCTTAACAACAGCTGAAATAGCAGGACTTTTTTTTTAAAGTTTTCTATTGAAACGTTCAAAGATTTTAATATCCTGTTTCATATTGACTAAGCAATAATCATCTATACTCTTTTAATCATAATAGCATTACTAATTTAACTCTATTTTCCTCGTATATCCTCAAACACTGTCAACTTAAATTTTGTTCAAATAGCATTGGCAAGGTAAAATTGCTGAATTGATTATTACTCTTTGATCTACCGCTCAATACAAATAATTTACAAAATTTAAGACTTAAAAAAGAAAACTTTTTTTTAAATCCTCTTTTTATTAGACGCGTGTGTTTTTCTACTGATATTCTCCATACATTCACTAGCTCTGGACTCAACCTAATAGAAGGTATAAAGTTTTTTCAAGTGTGAAGCCAGTATATTTACTTAAAAAGAAAATACTTTTTATTAAGAAGCCATTCAAATGTCTTAAAGAGGAATATAGAATCACCTGATACCTTAAAATTTAATGATATATATTGCAAAAAAAAAAATGAGAAAACTTTCAAGAAAACGATTAATTGCTTAGCCTCTTCAACTGGATAAGAAAGTTGATCCTTAGTTAGAGGATCAAGAAAAAAAAACAAGAAATTTTTAATTTTACTCTAGTTTAAGTAGGCTATAGAGGAGTGGGGCGGTAGTAGGGGGGAGGGGGAGGGGGAGAGCACTGGGGTTGGAAGTTTGGGGGAGGGAAGTAAACAAAAATGAAAAGAAAGAGAGAAACTCCTTCATTCGCTTCCTAAAGTATTGTGCCAGTTTTGAAAGGTTCATACAATAGCATTCTTAAAGTCCAAAAGAATTGAACTAAAGTTTTCTAGTGCAAAACTAGTAATACTGGTCATTCATGCAATTGGAGACAACCCTAAATATTCAAATATAAAATAATAACTTCATTTGTATACTGTTAGTATTATAGAGGATATTAGGCCTATTTGGTATATTCTAGTGGAACGAATGATAAAATTATATCTGTATTCATTACGAATACTGTCTATGATTCAGAGAGTCCATAAACTGGTTTCAAAAGTGATGAAATATATGTTTTTTCCTTTTCTAGCTTGTTTCGCGAACTATACATTTTTCAACGTCGATGACTAACGGATCAGTCATAGACGATTAGCCATTATTACCATCAGAGCTGATAGATGGCGTTCCAGTAATTCTTCCCTATCAGCTTCAGCGTAAATTTAAAAATTGATGTTGATTAACTACTCGTACTTCAATTTATACTGGTAGTTTATTATGTTTAAAAAAAATAGATAATAAATCCAGAATTTTGCATAAAAATACTAGATGGCGCAATTTGATAGATCTATCATCTGCAATTAATTCACATTAAAGGATATTGGCCATTAGTATGTGCCCCAGGATGGTGCAATGTGCGCATTGGTACGTTAGAACGCAAGCATCTCACACAAAGCTAAAAATAGTTTTAACCAAACTGTTCTATTTTTAGAAAGGGTATGCCGAATCTATTTTTAGCAGTTTTGTCGCGTTAACAAGCAGAACTGTATTCAATTATAAGAGCTTAGTTTTCTAAAAATAAATACGCTATATACTAGGAGATTTTGACGTCCTCCAAAGAGAAGTATAATTTACTAGGCTACATAAATATATAAATAAATAATAATTCTTATTGCTTCTTTATACACATTCACAATTTGCACTTATTCCCAGCCTAATTTGCATATCGAAAAAAATAAATTTTAACGGAAGACGACTTTTGCAGTGTGAACTACTTATTGATAACGAAATGTGCATTATCTTCATTCAGGTATTCTGTTAAAACTTTTTGTCCTTCCAAAGAAACATATAAGTTAAAGAATAAATAGAAACGAAAAGAAAAAACAAAACTGCTTCACCCAAATCGTAAGCTTTTATGTAATAAATATTAAAAAAAACGTTACTTTATATGTTTTAACTCCAAATCGGGTGATGCCATCTGTCGTTGTTCAGTGATTAATAGAAAACTACTAAACAAAAAAAACGAGTGCATATAGTGATGCTAAGTGACACCCATTTTCGAGAGTCAAGCTGTCAAACGTTCAATTTGGGTATCTATCCTAGTAACTTTGGTCGGGACGCCTTTCCTCTTATTCGATCTTTTTTCAGTTGTCAGAATAGACGCTATGTTTACGTCGTTTAAAATTTTAGAATTAGGCAATATTTCCCTTTTCTTCTGGCAGTGTAACTTAGGATTAGGATTGGCGCTGTGTCTATTGCGAGACCTTCTTGAAGAAAAGGTCATACTGCACCCTTCCACTGTACATTTATGCATCTCTTTCAGATGAACGGCTGAGTAGTGAATTTTCAAAGCGCCTTTATCGCAGAATGTCTTATTACAAGCCGTGCATAAAACACGTTTTTTCCCGGAGGACGAGGTCGTTGTGCTGTTCGATGGCGACTTCTTACCGGATAAGTCGAGAACCTCAGGAAGTTTTGATCTTAATTTCTCTTCGTTTGGTTGACCAAAAGGTAGAAATCTCGGAGACAGGAGGGGATAGGCGATTAATCTGGGATCGAAGACAGTCGGCATAAGTGGCTCTTCTTCGGCAGCTTTCTTTGGAGATGCTTGAGGCGTTAGAGAGTCCCTGACATCTTGCTCTAAGAGGTCTTGTGCTATACTTCGAAATTCCGGCATCTTTAAAAATTGTTGAAGAATTAGGTTTTCTTCATCCCGAGTGACCATAGTCCAAGACTCTACTACTCGGCCCACTTGATCCTGTCAATCAAAAGAGAGAAAAACCCATTAATTATACTTTAAGGGAAAGCTTTCTGAGGGATTTTCAAGGGCGATAATCCGCGAAATTGTGATAATCTTTATCAGATCTTGGGTGCTTGAGAAGACCAGTTAAAAGGAATCGGAATATTCTCATTCGGTTAGTAAGTGATCTTATACTATATTGAATTTAGAAGATAAAAGCAGATTATTAAGTGGCTATTTACTCTTTACATTGTAATTTGAAACAACGGTAAGTTTTGTAAATCTGTTAATTATAACTTAATGAGTACTTTTCACCACTTTATCTCTTAAACTCAAGGGAATATTTAAGAGCTAAACAGCAGACTTTTGTTTGTATTTTCAGGAACAGGAGGCGACTAAAAATCCCTGTGCAATTTGCTCATTTCTTATTACAGCACTTCTATACTTCATTCATATATAATCTCCAACTAATTCGCTAAGTAAAGACGAGCGTCGCGGGACGGTCGGACATCAGATCGATACGAGGACTTCCTGCTGGCTTTGTGACTCTAATCAATTGTTTTAGCATAGACTCTTTGAGCACAGAGGTTGGCGAAGAAATGTCTCTTCGCGTGCATCATAATTACGAAATCGACGCCAGTCACGTGATAATTCCAGTTGTAAGACTTGTAACCGAATCACTGTCGCCGATTATTGATTAGGCGATTTTTCCGATAAACGGTCGATATTGTTCGGAGACTGAGCCGCTTTGACGGCGTCACTTTCGTCAATTAAGCGAGCGACAACAAAAAAAGAGGCGTCGATACGAACCGGAACGGTCGAGAGACGCTTCGACAAGTGCCCGGCACAAAAGGGAAGAAGGGCTCTTAATTTAGCCGCGGGATTTTTAACGCTCTTTAACTTCTCTCTCTCTCTCTCTCTCTCGTTTCCAATTCTTTCCCTCACCTCTTTCTTGGTTTTTGCTCCTCTTCACCTACTTTGTATTTACAGGGTTCACTCACGTGACTTGGCTTGTAATAAAGCCGTCGGGGGTTAGTGAAGGAAAGCGGGAATTTCTTTATTTATTTGCTTTGGGCACCGTTGTTTTCTAACTGATTTCCACATTTGCTAAAATGGTGTGTTATCTCGTGCCAGAACGACGTCACACAAATAAAACTTTTGTACCCTTTCAAACTATTGACGTCACCGATAAGCGGAAGACAAACGCGCTTTTTACGAGCAAACAAAGTAAGAAAATTATGTCATTTTATGAAAAGCTAAGAGAGTGTCTTTTCAAGTAACTCTAAACGCGTTGTATCGACTTCGTCTTTCAAATGTTATATAATTATAGATGAATTATATAAAAGTAAATAGGTTTAGTTAGCAATCCATCGATGGCACACAATGAATTACAGATTTATTAACGAAGGAAAAGAAACCAACCTGCATTATATAGCCTCGGTTATAATCTTCTAAAGTCCAACCGAAAGCAGCTAAAATTCCTAGCATTTCATGCCGTTTAAAAGTAGAAAGTAGCCTGTCCAGTAAAATCTTAAGCCTTACAGGAATAGCAGTGACGCCGTATAAAAGAAGAGCTGCGCCATCGAAAGCGACCGTCTCTCCAGATCGCAATTTCTCGATTGCTTTAAAAAAAAAGATAAGATAGTTGATTAGGTTTTGTAAGAACCAATACTTTATGCCTAAACCAATTAAAAGTTGCATATGTATTAGTTTTAAAGGTATTGTTAGTAAAACATGAACCAAGATGAAAGACATTACAACTCTTTAGAAGTTAGCACTGGAACATTCTAGCATAAATGTATGCATTAAAATAGATAAAAGTTTCTTGTGCCTGTAGAATCAAGTAGATTAAAGAAAAGAAATTATATGGTTCATCCAACTCAACGCCATCTGCTGTTCGGAACAAATATAGAAGTTAGACTAACAGTCTTTGTCAAACAGATAGCATCGCTAATTAAATTGTAGCACCAAAGCGTTTTTCTATAGTGAACCGGAAGCGAGCTGGACAGGAAGTGGACACGCGCCACAATGAAGATATTGGACGAGTTGCCATAGAGACGTCTATAGGCGTCTTTGAAGTGACGCGCTTCGATTTCGCGCGTCGCTTAATTTTTACCGGTCTGCACACGAGTTATTAATATTAGGGCTAATTAACACACCCTTTTATGACTAATGAGTTGTTAGTGGTAGGTGGTAGCGACGCTTTGACAAACTCGGCTTGAGTTTGACGCGAAGCTATTGAACGCTCTCTAGCATATTTTGCGCGCTTTTTGACTGCCTTTTTATATCAGCTTGTTAATCCTTAATTCCTTTTAATCACAAAATTTTTCACATTACTAATCTTCTTAAGGTGACGAACTACCTTAGGCCCTATTTATTATTTTTACACAAACAAAGAAAACGAAAGAGATAGTATTTGCAAAACTGTAAAAAATAAAACCAACTAGAACCAAGAAGAGAAGCATCATTTTTTCCTCTTAAGATATCATTATCATAAATATTTCATAGTAAAATTATATTTATTAATTAATTGAGACCTTTTAGTTATATTCATTCTCCTTTCAAAAACAGATTTGAAATTGTAAATGGTCGCCAGTTTGCCCTAATCTCGTACTGTATTTACTTTTACAGTAATAGAAAGGAGTGTGTTTTTTAAAATTATACTAGGCTGACATTTTCGAGCAGAACAAAATTGTCCCGCATTGAAGAGTCCTCATAAAATTAATTGATTATTAAATCGATGTTTGTCATTGCAACCTCTGTTAAGTTCGCGCGATATTGATGTACACAATCAGAAAAGTGTACGGTATTGCTAAGATAATAAACTTTTCAAAGGACACTTCGATAAAAGAAACAATACCAATATATAGAAACTAGAGTTTCTAGTCTCCTCAGGTATGCCGTTGCGTCTCGGTGACAAACACAAATTACACGCACATCTTTTATACGGATAATCCGAATACATAATTACGTTGTACACGCTCATTGTTATTTGTCCTTAATAATCTACTTACCATGCGTAACCCATGAATGTTTACAGGCGTCGCAATTCTTCGTCAACTTACTTGCCATGAACCTCTCACAACCGCAATTTATAGCGGTACAACGGACTGGCTGCAAAGAGAAAATAGAATAAAAATGTTAGAAGAAATCTCTGAAAAGATGTAAATAGACCTCGACTGCGCGTCTTTTGCGCTGGGTGACGCCCGGAAAAACGTCGTCCATGAATAAGTGACGCTTTATTAACTGACGTATTTTTGCGGTCCGACTAGCGCTTATATTATTTTACCAATGTGCAATTCCACAGCGTTGACGCACCTGTGACAGAGGTGAAACACATCTGCCGCTATTATGCCTTGAAAAACTAGAATACTGCAAAAAATTTGTAACAGTTTGCAGTATGCTGTTTTGTAGAATGACGACAGGTATATATAAAATACATTATATACAGTAGAACTTTCGTGACAATTTCTCTCTGGCCGAATTATTGCACATGAATGACCATCAAAACCTTTGAAGTTGCGGAGACGCTTGAAAGACGCCTTAGACTGATTGGACGTCGCAAGACGCTCAATTTCCTGGACGTAGAAAGTTTTGACAAACAATTTCTCTTACCTGCAAACAAGCGACGAACGGTGCGGCGGACATCGGCTGCTCGTCTGTCACTATTTTTAGCAGGGTAGGGCGTTTGTCAAAAATTTTGCGCCACCTATCGATAGGAACCTTTGACAAACTAGGCTTAACTAGAAAAGTTAAAAAGTAATAGCGTGACACGCCTTCGGCATTGCGACTTTAAACATCACTACGGATTTCTTGAGATCTTGTTTGTCAAACATTACGCACGATTTTCATGAAACGACATACCGATCATGAACTTAATTCATACCTGATATGTTGAAGCCATGAGACGGTGATCGAGGCGGTGACAAACTTGACAAAGTAGGCGGAGTTTAAAATGATAGACAGTTAGAGGCGTCTACAGAACATCGAAGTGATGCTTTGTCAAGTGACGTCGCGCGCTGTTCTCTTAATTATGTATCGTTCTTCCTTTTCGGCGACGGTGTTGATAGATGGCGCTCATGTAGCGGAATGAGATAAAGGAGGAAAGCGTACATGGTGCTGACGCGAGCTATGTTTAGACGAATGACAAACAAATGTTTTGATAAGAGATAGGCAGATGGCGGTCGTATTTTTAGCATTTACAGATGGCGCTTTTCACCAAGACGACGAGAACATTATCTTCATCCAAATATAAAATATTCCGAAAATACTTTTATCCCACAAAAGCCTGCGCAGCCGTGAAACATGTAAAATATATAACTTTTCATATACTCAAAAAACAGATGTCACTACATATCGACCGATTACTTTTTGAGGCCAAATAACAAAGAAACTTCTTAAAATTCAATATTTCGATAATAAAGAGATCTCTACTCATTAAAGTGCTATATATGCATGCAACTATTCATTTATGTGCATAGTTAATTCATGTAAAAAAAAAACTCAGTCAAAACCAAGTACTTCTTAGCCTAGTAGCACATTTCTAAATCATTAAAAATAATATTCATTTAATATTTTATGCTAAATTATTAAACCGGAAATAGGATTAGGAAAGAGATGAAAATTTCTTAGAAATAGCGATTATACTGTTGATAGAATTAAGAGAGAGAGAGAGAGAGAGGGGGGAGAGTCTTCTTTACAATCTTCGCAAAATGGGACAAAGTCTATTATTGAGAAATCTTCGAGTCAAAATAGAGTTTTCCTAATGAATGTTATGCTAGTAATTAGTCAATCGAGCGTTCAGGATAGAGTTACATGAACGAAGAAAATTGCAAACAGATTTTAATGGTCCTGTAGTCTTAATTACAATTATTTGACACAATTCAAAGGTGTTGATGGTCTCTTATCGACCATTAAAGGAATGTGGTGAAAGCTTTATGGAACCAAAAAGGCTGATGTAAAGAGTTGACCAGGTGAATATTTGAGTAATTCTCTTTGAAGACGATAGTTGTTGAAGTGTTAGCTAATTTGTTTCTGAAAGTTGACACAGATTTACATCAAATAAAGGGATTTTCAGTAAATTAACAAATGTTATGAGATTTTTAAAACTCAGATAAACGTCTAAAGCGTCGAATTTTGAGGTAATAAAATATTTCATTATCGTACTACCTGTTCTACCAAAGATATTTGATGAGGTGATAAACGGTGGGGAGTAAGATTAAGTCGCCATATGCTTAATAAGGTACATAGTGAATGCTAAAAAACGATAGGAACAAAGGTCCGAACCAAGAGCCCAGGGATCTATCAAAAACGTTTCCCACAGGGACTGGACGTAAGAAATAAGTCAGTCTTATCTCTTAGATTGAATATTTAACATTCTTGTCGAATTATATAAGACTTATCTCGCCGATTAATAACAGAAGAAAAGCTAATAAAACGCCTTAAAGGGTTAATACTTTTTGACTTTTTTTTAAAAAAAGCATTTAATCCATACTATAATCTTAGTTTGTAACAACAAAAAAAGTGAAATAACGTTAAAAGTACTTTTTATAAATTTTCCAAAATTATACTCACAGTAGTTAGTTGGATAATTTATTGGAAACGGAATTGTATTTGCAGAAAATCGATTTTTTATATAATTAATCGGCAATCCATTGGAAAATCTTGACTTTTACTGGTCTAGAAATATGTCCACAAGATGGAGTAAATATCAGTAAAAATTATCCATATATAGAATAAATACAGTGTAAAAATTAGTATATTAAGGAAATAATAACAAATATTAAGGCCTAATATAAAATATTTTAACAGATATAAACATGGAAACGAATACGAATGTTAGAGAATTTTGGCAATAATTGGTATAATTTTTCGTATGAAAGGATATGTGTGATGTATATATTATGCTTATACATGATTTAGTTTCCTTAATTATCCATTTATTAAAAAGTATCTCGTTTAAATAACTAATTAAATATCCGGTTCTAAAATTTTCTGCGGTGTAGAATCATCAGAGTTTTTTATTAATTCTTCCAACTTATTTGTTTCTTTTAATAAGAATAAGTAATTATTACCAATACTAGAATCTTTAGATGAAGCCATACATCCGCTACGAAAACAATTTACACTTAATTCTTTATCACCAGATGAATAGTGTAAGTAGCCAACAAATTCGTACGACTTTGATAATATATATTCAAGATTATTCGCTTCGTGTGTGAAGAGGATGGATAGCTCTTTCTTCTCAACTGAAGACTTTTTACTTGATATCAGTTCAATTAAACTCTCAATAACTCTATCGAAAGATTTTAAAGCTTTGGCGTTTCTTTTCGTCTTGAAATATATAATAGCTTTGTAATACTCTGTCATAATAATATGTCTATCAGTAATTACACCATCTGTAAAGTTGTCACCTAAAAAATCGTCTTCCTCTTCTTCCTCCATCATTGAATTGCATATTTCCATCGCTTCCTCTAAATCATTGCATTTTATTAAGCAGTGTATTAACCACAATTTGGCATTAGTGAGGCAAATTCCTTCTTGAAGTTGATATTGATCGTTATGATCCTCTACATGCCCGAATAATTTACATATACTATCTGCAGCTTCTTCATACCTTCCTAAATTGAAATATTTCGAAGCAATCACATAGGAGACTCCAATAGATGATGCATAATTAAATGAATCAATTTTTGGTGTGTCGAATTGTATTCTTGAACAAATTAAATCTTGTAAATCGTCTTTTCGATCTTCGTCAAAAATATTGGCATTACTTTCTTCCAATAATTTGTTATATAAAAGATTTAACATTTTTAATTCTTTAATATTATCCTTTTTTATAAAATAGTAACAGGATAGATTATATAATACGATTGGATGAGCAGAGATTTGTAAAGCGTTAAACCAAAAGCACATTGCCTGTGTCCAATTGTTAAGCTTAACACTGCAATTTCCCATTAAAATTAATATAAACTGTTTAAGATTTTCATTCGAATCAATATCACTGGAAGGTAATTGTTTAAGGTATGTTATACAATCATTATACTCTTGATTCTCATAATAACAAAGACCTCCAACAATATACCATTTTTCCCGTAGACTGGTCTCTTTCTTAATTATTTCCAGACAATTTGTGTAATCTTTATCAAGAAAGTATAATAAACATTTTAAACTTGATTTCAGTGTCTTTAAATTATCGATATTTTCTATGGGAACTATTGACGAATTTACAAAACCCAATTTTGATGATTTAAAGTAAAATTCATCCTCTTTGGCAATTATATCATAAGATTCTATATCATTTAATAATTTTTCACCATCTTCTATTTTATTATCAATAATTAACCATAAAACTTGAATACAATGAAGATAATATGTCCATTGTGATAATTCATTGTTCGAGAAATTGTCACGAGGAAAGAGTGAATTACTGATCGTATTAAAACTATTTAGATATCTTGTACATTGTTGATTAAACGTCTTCGAAGATTTTGTTTTACTGTATAAATATAATAATAGATAGTTAGTTATTATAACGGCTTCTAAATCAATACTTCTATAATTTTTGCTCATTGATTGTAAGGATAGAATTACAGTGTCTAAGCTCTTTAATATTTTAGATATTTTTGAGATAGATCTTTCTTTTTCCAATATAACAGATGTACAATTTGTGTACCATTCGTTTAAATCTTTGAACTGTTTCTCAGTGTTCATTCTGCAAAAACTATATCAACGAAGTAGAGTAAGATAATATCGCTCAAAAAAAAGCTGAGTTTGCTTCGATTGTTGAGATAAAGTTTCCATTTGTTGACATATTGTAAATTCGATTATATCCACAAGGAAATCCTGCTTTAGCACAAATAAACTTTATTTGTTTAAAATGAAATAGTTATCATGAAATTTAAACTTTGACTAAACTGGTAGAAAATTTACGTTTTACCATTATATTGTAAAAAAGCCACCAGATGCCGCCATTGTATTTTCGTAAAAACTCCCTAAAATTTATTTTTTACCAATTTGTTACATAATAATAAGATAATGTGAAATTTGTGATTGAAAATGAGGCTAAATAAGCACATTTTATTGGTACTTTCGAAAATACAATCCAAAGCTAAAACAATGCTTAATATGCAAATGAGATATGAAATGTGTATCAAGCCAGATCACTCTTTAAGCAAATGACAGCTCTTAGCCGTTAAACTTACTTGGCGGAGAGTCATCGCGTGATCACGAAGGCGCGAGGCTTCGGAGCGAGGCCCTTCATTGCACTGGGATTGGCTGAACTCTGCGATTGTCCCACATTGGGTCAATTCGGCCGCGTAATTTTTGTTAGTGAGAGATCTTGCGTTCGCGCGGTCTCTCTTCCTATTCGTTAGTCTACTGGGCAAACTGACCAAACTCAAATATCGTAAATAGTATTCTAATTATACCGTTTAAAAGCTACTACAACTATAAACTTTCTCAAACATGTGCTTTTATATAGTCTCTATTAATAAAATGAATAAGATCATAAAGAAATTCTTACACAAATCCTGCCTCGTCCTATGACTATCAAAGCCAAAACTTAAGTGTTTCACACATATCGTTTACATATAAAAAAAAGAGAGAAAATCAATAAGTCGGTTGGAAAAAATATCATGAAAACGATGAAATTCGTTAAATAGTTCAGCATTAAATGAAACAAAGCTTTCCTAACTTTAATGTATAAAGAAGAAATATTTAAAAAACCGAACTTACCCTACAATTTAAAAGATACAACTGCAAAATTAATACAAAACAATTAAAGGAAGATTATTATCAGTTAATACTTACATCATTTTTATACTTTAAATTAAAAATAATAACAATAAAGTAAAACACATCTCATAAAATTTATACTTGTAAATGGTGGATGCAAGCCGTCAACTATCAACTGTCCAGAAAAATCCGTTGCCCGGTCATAAATTGACATATGTCGATAAAAAACATAGCAAAGAGCAAAGATTTCGTTATGGTAAGTACACATTTCTTATGTACATTTTTAACATATTTATAATCCATTTCTTACTTTGTTCCTTTATTCTAATACCAACATTTCCCAACTTGATGACATATTCATCTTACTCTGTAATTCATTTCAATCTATCTGTTATATTTTCGTAGATGAAGATGCTGTTAGCATGAGAAACTTTATGGAAATGAATCCGAAAATGTTGGAGCAGTATGTTATTGATTGTATACCTTTAGAGGTAATAAAAAACTGGTTAATAAGAAAAAAGAAGTTAGTGTTGAAAGATGAATTAGACGATGATTTATGTGATGATATTGTATGTTTTGTTGTATTTGTCTTAGATGTAAAATCACAGTGTTTTTCTTTCGTTTTAAGTTCAAGGAAAAGAAAATAAAGCAAGTACAGAAAAAACTTCTTAGGGACGCTGATAATGAATTGGAGACCAGGCGTAATTTACATAGGCACACGTATCACATGACTTCTTTACTATCGACTTGTTCGTATTTCTTTTGATTAGCAATTTAATAATTTTCTTAGATAATCATTAATTAACAGGTATAAACGCTGATCAGTTTGATTTAATAATTCTTGGGTATTCTGGCGTTAGTAGCTTATTTATATATTAATATATAGGTTATCTCTCTTGTTTCTTCTCTAGGATAAAGATCTGTATTCATATACATTCAACAAGAAAACAAAGTTTACACTTATTAAATTTTTATTATCATTTTCTCTCTTCCAGAAATGTAGATACGATCTACATAGTAATTCACTCTTTTCAATCCCATAGAAAATGGTCATTTATACCTTACGGAGAGATAAAAAAAAACTCAACGGTTGCAGCTTATTCTGCAATAAATCAAGAAGTAATATTTTCTAAGGATGTTGCTCTAGATGAAAGATTCCCAGAGAATATTCCATGCATGAATTCTTTGTTTAAACAATCTGTCATAGCTGCACCAATATGTCTTCCTAAAGGCGATATTTTGTGTATTAATCGGCTTTATATTAAATTCAATATGCTCGTTTGTAAATTGTTTCCCTTTTTGACAGATATTATACAGTTTCAGAAGAATTCTGATAAGAATCCGTTCTCACAGTGGCACTTACGATTGGTTATCACTGTTTCAGCCTGGTTTGGTATTTTACTTAATCGACTTCATGTTAGATGACATTCTTTAACTCTTTTCCTTTTCTTTTATATATACTTATATCAGTGCAAAGATAAATATCATATTTCTTTATCTTCAGGCAAATTTCTCTTCCGAAAAGCAAAATCAATTAAATAATTACTTACTAAACTTTCATTACAACTCTTTCACTGATACCTTTGATTTACCTCTTCTACCTGAATATGTAGAGACATTTATCACTGATAAATTAATAGGGGCTGAGAAATCCATCATATATCAAGTCGAAGAAGAAGATAGAGTGATATCATCCATCTCTAATGATAAAAGAATCGAATTTTCTTTAGAAGAAGGTATAGCCGGTTACGTTGCTCGAAAGTGTGAACTTGTTAGAATCAACAACGTCCTTCGCGATAGTAGATTCGATGAGAAAATTGACGGGCATTTTACAAGAAATATCCTGGCTTTTCCAATCAAGGTAATTGCATGGTTAATCGGAAAAATTTCTCTTCCTTGATCAGATTTTCTTTTAGAATTGTATAAAAAAAATCATCTTATTTCGTTGCGCTTTAACTATGACTATTCAAAGGGATACTAATATTTTCATAGCTTATACATAAACAAATTATCATTTAGATTAACTAGCAAACATTTTGTATTTATAAACTTTATCAGATGACAAACAAATATAGATATGGTTTTATTGTTTTTTGAAAAAGGAAAATGACAAGGTTGTAGCTGTTATAGAGTTAATAAATAAAAGGAACTTTGAAGGCGGTTTTACTTCTAATGACATTGAGACTATACAGTCAATTGAGGCTCATTTAAAATTGATTATTAACTACTCCAAACTAGTAGACAAATTGAAAATGAACGCTTATACTACAAAAATTTGTGAGGATGTACTTTCGCATCACATGTGGTGCGGTGAGGATATTCAAGCAGCTATTAAAAGTAAAGCCATCCTTAATCCTGTCAAAATACCCGATAATATAGATAATCATTCGTTTACTTTTCATGACTGCGAGAACATACTACCCCAACTTATTATCTACATGTGCCAACAGCTAGCAGGTTTACGTTAAAAACGAGATAAGAATAAATGAAAGATTCTATATTTTTTTTTACAGATTTTTATGTTAATTATATATAATAATCAATTTTTATTCAATTTCTAGGACCAAACGGCTTTCAACTAAACAAATTAGTTGGATTTATACTGTCAGCTAAAAAATCTTATAGGCCTGTACCATTTCATAATTGGAAGAATGCTTGCCGAACTGCTCATTTTGTTTATACCATTTTGAAAAAGATTAGAGGCGATGTTAAATTACCTATTATTCAAGTTAAAGCGATCTTCATTGCGTGTCTATGCCTTCATATCGATCACAGAGGCGTCAACAACGATTATCTAAAATCAACGAATGATCCCATGTCTTTAATCTACAAATGCTCAATAATAGAACAACATCATCTAAAAATAACCTACTTGTTACTGCAAAATTCAGAAATAAACATCTTCTATGACCTTAATGAAACTGATTATGAAGAAGTATTGAAGACGATAAGACTATGTATTTTATCAACAAGACAAAATAATTTGGTAGGAGTTGTAAATGATATAGCAGCTTTAGCAAACCTTGAAGAAATGAATATAGAAAATACAACTTGGAAGGAACGTATTATAAGTTTAATATCAAGTTTATCAAATCTTTACTATTGTTGTTTACCTTGGGAGGAGCATAGAATCGCTTGTGATCTTCTAGAATCCGAGATGAATAAAGAAGATGAATTATTTAAAGCTGCTAATGGAAGATATGATAAATTATACCGGGAGAAAGATCTTATAAATAATCATATTGAACTCTTTGCAAACGCTATACTTCCAGGGTTAAAAATTCTTGTTGGTCTCTTTCCATCTTTAATAGAAATTTACAATGAAGCAGATAAAAATTATCTTGGTTGGATAAGAATAAAAGAACAAAATTTATCTCTTTAAATATTCATGCAATAATAACTCATTGTCTTTTTTTTTGTAAATATTTTAAACTTTTAATGCCTTAAAATATAACATCAGGATGAAAAAAAGAGAAAAATTATGAAATATTGCGAGTATTTTATTGAAAATCGCAAAAAAAGCGTTATAGAGAAACGCATAATTCTATTACTTGATTCTCAATGACATTATTATAAAGCACAAATATTTACCTATACATAAGCGCTGAATTTCGGCTAAAAAGAATTACAACACTGCCGATAACAGGGGATTTTCTTGACGCTTTTCTTTCTTTTTTAATTTTTTTTTGTTTTAGTATTTTTTTAACGTTTCGTTAAATTTCTTCATTCCTTAAGTTAGTCGAACTTTTCCAGGAATGTAGTTTTTATCAATAACTGGTTCCTGCAAGAACATGTGAAGGCATCTTTCGTTCTGCGCTAATGGATGGCCAGCAACTCTATAAAGGATAACAAAAGAAAAAACTATAAAAATCTGTAAACATACTTAGGTGTTTATAAATAAAGTAAATGAGTTTAATTGGTATATAGGTTGAATGTTAACTACTCATCATTATTTATGTTGAAAACCTAATTTATCAGAGTAATTCGATCGAAAGTAAAAAGTTTATATGTATAACATATATTTACTTGTTGATAAATGTTTCTAGTCCCCTACGACGTTCATCGATGAATTCATCTTCAAAAATGCCATCATCTCCTCGGAAAGGAAGTTGCCTTGACCAAGCTTTCGGTGGGAGTGGCGGGACAACAATCTATTATTTTATTGTTTTTTGTTTATTAAGTGTAAAATAAGAACTTTTTTTTAAATAAGAATTGTTATTTTTTATGAAAAAGCCACCAAACAAACCTTGCTATCTCTTTCAAGTTCGACTTTTAACCAATCAAAGTCACTATATCTCCTTCTAACGCTCGATTCTTTTACTTTAAACACCGGCAAATTAGTCTGAAAAAATTTGATGAGTCATTATCATCCATTCTCAGCTTCACAAACATTTAATTTAATCATTTTGACATTATAACGTTACATCAAAAGCATAATATATCAAATAAAAATAGTTTGAAGATTGATAAATATGTTCAAAATTGATGAAATTAATAGGAAACACCCACTTTCATTCTAACTTCATAATCCGTATATCTTTTTTTGCCAACGCCATGGGTTTGAGGGTCAATAACATCTATTTCTAGGAAATTAGCTGGAGGAGAGTAGGCATCTTCCAGTGTTTGTTTTTTAACTGGAATTTTTGCTGTAGCCCCGTTGTTGGCCATTTTAGAACCACTACCAGTTTATCACTATGATTCTTAGTGAATAGAAACTTCCGGCAGAGGTGTATGTTTCTCGGAATGTGTCCAACTAGATGGCACCATCGTAGTTTTTGTATATTGAAAATTTCGTGCAGTTCACAAACTTACGAAATGGCAGACGGAAAAGTATTTCTTGCTGACTATGCTAAACGAGTTGCTAATTGTAAACGTTGCAAGACTAAACTCGAAAAAGGGAGTCTTAGAGTAGCCAAGTTAACATCAAATTATTTCGCTGGAGACGATGATGGCAGTTTAATGAAAAGTTACTTTCACCCAGTATGTATATTTGAATCTTTCTTAAAAGCTAAGGCTACCACCAAAATAATCGAAGAAGAGGAAGATATCGATTGCTTTGGTGATTTAGAGGATGAAGACAAAAAGACAATCTCAAAGTTAATTAAAGGTATACATATTTCGAAATGATTACAAATAAGATCTTTCTTAAGATTACATAATACGCCCTTACAAATCTACTTAGAAACATTAGAAAAAAGGGCACAATCTCCATCGAAGAAAAAGAAACTGGTACAAGCTCAATTAGATTTAAAGAAAACAGGAGGATCACCAATTAAAAAACCAGAAAAAAAGCAGGAACCGTCAAGATCTATAACACCTCCGCTCCCTCTAGATCCGGACATACCTATTGGAAGATGTGATAATTTTCGGGAATATCGTAAATTATGTGCTGGAATTGCAGAAGTTAGTGGCTACTTGGCAAAGACGGAAGTTGTTAAAAATTTCATCCAAAAAGGTATCGATAGCTTTGTAAAATCAATTTTAATAATTAAGATTTCCAATCTTAATTAGATAAATTTGACGGAGATTTGTTCCTATTATTTAAACTTCTACTTCCGGGAGTTGTGAAAAGAGTATACAATTTGAACAATAAACAGTTAGTTAAATTATTTAGTCAGGTTAGTTCTGATTCTATTGTCAAAAGTCTATATAGTATAATGCAGCGGTATTCTTATCCTCTCACAGATCTTTCAAACAAATTTGGATGAAATGGTAAATGATTTGGAAAAAGGCGATGTGGCCGATACTATTCAAGTTTTCTTTAAGAAATCAAGCAAATTAAAGCCTGTTAAGAAGAGTACTCTAACCAATCAGGAACTTGATAATATGTTAGAGAATCTGTCCACTAGAACGAAAGAAGATGAACAATTAAGCTGTCTTAAGAACATAGCTTCCAAATGTACATACAACGATTTAAAAATGGTCATTCGCTTAATCAAGCATGATTTGAGAATAAATGCTGGAGCCAAGCATATTTTGGACGCTTTAGATCCCAATGCTTATGAAGCCTTTAAGGCATCTCATAATTTAAAAGATGTCGTAGATAGAGTAATAAAAAGACGAAGTGGAGAATTGGTTAAGGAATTAAGTATAAAAGCCTGTTTAATGACTCCCGTGAAACCTATGCTCGCCGAAGCTTGCAAGTCAATCGAATCGGCAATGGCTAAATGTCCAAATGGAATGTTTGCTGAGATTAAATATGATGGGGAGAGAGTTCAGCTACATAAAAGTGGTGATAAATTTTGCTATTTTTCCAGAAGTTTGAAGCCAGTTCAAGTACTGCTTTGTCTTTTTTTTTCTTTAACATTAGAAAATTTGCTGACATTTTTCTTATGTTATAGGCTCACAAAGTATCACATTTTAAAGAATTCATCCCTAAAGCATTTCCTGGAATATCAGATTTAATTTTGGATTGTGAGGTTTTACTAATTGATAATAAAACGTCCAAGCCGCTGCCCTTCGGTACATTAGGAGTCCACAAGAAAGCTGCTTTCAAGGATGCAAACGTGTGCTTATTTATTTTTGATTGTTTACTTTGCAAAGGGGAAAACCTAATGGATAGACCGTTAAAAGAAAGACGAGCGCTTTTGGAAGATAGTATGATAGAGATACCAAACAGAATTTTATTTTCAGAAAACCATAAGATAAAGAAAGCTGCCGATTTAAGATCCTTATTAACCAGAGTGTTTAATGAAAAACTAGAGGGTCTTGTTTTAAAAGATGCAAAGAGCATCTATGAACCTGGAAAAAGGCATTGGTTAAAAGTTAAAAAAGACTATCTAGCTTCTGGAGCAATGGCAGATACAGCTGATCTAGTGGTATTAGGAGCTTATTTTGGAACAGGTACAAAGGGAGGGCTTATGTCTATATTTTTGATGGGTGTTTACGATTCTGATGAAAAGAAATGGGTAACAGTTACAAAGTGCGGTTCAGGATTTGACGATAAAACGCTAGATAAACTGCAAAGTGAACTAGATGTTATTAAAATTTCGCAAGATAAGGGAAAGGTACCTTCTTGGTTGAAAGTTAGCAATGGATATGTTCCTGACTTTGTTGTTAGAGATCCAAAGAATGCTCCAGTATGGGAGGTCACTGGAACTGAATTTAGTAAGTCTGAGGCTCATACAGCTGATGGTATTTCCATAAGGTTTCCAAGGTGTACAAAAAGAAGAGACGACAAGTCTTGGGAAGAAGCAACGAGTCTCCAACAATTGAAAGTACTATTTGAAGAATCTAAAAAAAACACAGATATAGTTATTCCTGGTGCTGAAGCAGAAGATAGCGAGGATGAAGATACAATAGATGATAATAGCGACGGTGAATCTGCACCGAAGAGAAGAAAACTGGATGATTCCGTAAAGGTTCGTAGTTTTGAGATAATTTTTATGAGTAAATTTTCTTTTATCTCTCTAGTCTAAAAAGGAGGCGAACGGATCAGGAGATACAGAATCTGGAACCTATTTCGGACCAAAAAATGTAATTTAAGCTGTTTTGTACCTTAACTATTATATGAATGATATTAATTACTTTAATCAAACAAAACAACAGAAACTACCAGATTACTTCAAGGACGCAACTTTCTTTATTAAGAAAGAATTAGAAAATTATAAACAGCTGAAACGTTACATAATAGCTTTTGGAGGATTACTCGTAAAAGATACAGACAAAGATAGCGCTGATTATGTCATAAGTGACGAAAATTCTGATAATAAGAAGTACAGAACTGAAGAGTGGTTACATAAATGCATAAACAGTAAAAGAATTGTAAAAAAACTTTGAATAACTTCGGTTTAGAAATATGTATATCCCTCAAACTGAAGATTTTATTCTGCTTTGCCTTTTCCGTCCAATTAAAGAGAGAAGTTAAAACAGTTTTATAATAAGATATATAGTTATTTCAACAGAGATGAAAACAAACTTGACTATTTAATTGAATATTTTAAATTTTTAAACTATTCAACTTTTCAATAAATTATTTAATAACAGAAATTATGAAATGGAAAATATTTGTACCAGTTTTTGAAATTCTTTCTGTATGTTTTAATAATATTTAAGAAAATTATACTTTTTCTTTTACATATAAATACATTTTTAGTTTATACCTTTAACATTTCAATGGTCAATTTTAATGACTTTCTTAAGAGCGCAGTCTGATGTTCCTCGGAATATGTGGACTTTTGAGCTAAATGTGTGCGCTTATAATTCTCGTAATGCCACTACTGCTGTAGGATGTTTCAAAAGATTAAAATCAAATGAATTTGAATTAGCCACTGGTGATCTTGTTGAAGGTCTGTTCTTGGAAAGAGCGCAATATTTATTCGAATTACCTGGTTACTATGTTGGTATCTTAATCGTTTAAAAGATAAAGAAAATTATTTAACATTTTATCCTTAAAATTCATAAATATCTCATTTTACAGCCTTCGAGTCATGTTGTGTATCTTGAATTGTCAGTTACATTAAAATATCCATCTGACTATAAGTACTTTTTTGGGCATTTTCCTGTAAAATTGAAAAAGAAAACGGATAATAATAAATACAATGTGATATGTAAAGACAACAAATTTATGATAAAGTATGATTACAATATTAATGAATTTGGATGTTTTACTTTATCTTATTCTTTAAAATCAGTGTAACATTTCAATATCAAGTAGATTGTAAACAGAAGTATTACAATTCAGACTGTTCGAAATATTGTAATTCTGAGGGGAAACCTCAATACATCTGCGACAATACCGGTAAACTAATATGTACTCAAGGTTTTTAAAATTAATTTAATTTTATAAAATAGAACTTAAGAGACTTTTTTTATAATTTAGGTTGGACAGGAAAGTTTTGTAATATAAAAGACAAAAGTGCAAAGGAGAGTGACAATTCAACGTGTTTAAATTGTCTACACGGAGGAAGCTGTGAAATGGTCCAGGACAAACCGATATGTATTTGTCCAACAGGATACACTGGTATATACTGCGAAGATATTGAAGATTTTAAACTACCTTTCGACAAAGATGATGATGATGAGCTTTTAACTGATTCAACCGATTCTGTAAGTATATTTGTATCATAATAACTATAGAAAATTTATTCCATGGTTACAGGTTGAAATTGGTCAAAATCCTAGGAGAGCTATCAAGGTTGTTTTTAGTTATTTAACTAGAATTCAATAGAGTATATGCCAGCATACATCATATTTGCACTTTTTGATATACTTCAGGGCAAAAAACCATTATTCGTTGTAATATCTGTAGTTGTTGCTGTGACTCTGTTGGCTACAATAATTGTTATAGTTGCAATAGCTTACTTAAAAACGAGGTTTGATAAATTTTGTATTTTTATAATCATCTTATTTTACTAATCTAATTTAGAGATAAAAACTTGGGTCTTTCATCTCCAAATATGTCAAATGTTCAAAACTTTCCTCAGTACTCAAGTGTCAATATGAATAAGGGTCCTAGTTATAGATCAAACTTTGGGGGGAGCCCATCAAACAACAAGCAGAATCAGCTATCAAAAAGTGTTCTAGGTATTTCAAGTAATCAAAAAGAAATGGTATATTACGACTATTAAGAATGGAGAGCTATTTTTATTTGATCTTAAAAAAATACTGTTTTTTCTATTTAAAAAAAAATTATTATCAATAAAATATAATCAGTTTGTGAACACTTGGATTCTTTTTTCTGTCATATTTCGCTAAATTTCATACTTAATTCCCGCTCTAATTGATCAATTGAAGGGTCTATCCGAGTTTTCATTCCTTCTTGTATTGAGAGCTGGAAAAAGGTTCAAAAGTCTTAATTTTAATGAACGACAACTCAACAAATGTATTTATTACCACTTCGCATTGTTTTGCGTCTAGAGCGTAAGATAAGGCCTTAAGTATTTCATTCTTTTCCTTGTAAATTTTTGCTATGACATAAAATGTCATACCTTCAATATCAGCTGGGGGGGATAAATATAAAGCTTCTTGAGCCGATTTCAGTGCAACATCACAATAATAATCTGGTTCCTTTAGGTTAACGTTAAAATGTAATAAAGTATAATATGGGATAACCCATGATAAATATAACCTCTTTGGCTAGTTTTAATTGAGCTAACGCTTTGTTTCTTCTTAAATGAACTGCTAACTGTCTAACTTTTCTGTCTTGCGCAGCGGATGAACCGAATTTTTTCTTTAACAAGTCAAGCAGTTCCGTTCCACTATTAAAAGCTTTAATAGAGTTTGTTAATCGATTGTCATAACGATAACACTCATTCCCCAAAAATTTACAAATGGTAGCAATTTTGAATAAATCATTCTGCAAGAAACATGTTAACTCGAAATTATTACATAATTAAAAAAGCATAATATACCTCTGTTGGGGGAATATTACATTTGTCGAAAAGAGTCTCAATATCTTTTACTATGTTTCTCGACACGCAATTTATTAATCCTAAACGGCAAATTGCAGTTGCTGCAGTCATCTGTGCAAAAATAACAGAAATAATCAATGGGCTATTGTCAAATTAATTACACTGGAAATAAACCAACTATAAGATAGCGATCTTCTTTATGTTTCTGTCGTTTTATTGTTACTCTTATAAAGTCAGAAATTATGGTACTCAAATGTTCCCTTATCTCATTATCAAAATATGTACTATTTATCTCCAACCATTCAAGCCAACAGAGCTCAGCAGCTTCTTTTTTCCATATGTACCTAATTTTTTGATTCGTTTCAAAGTTCTCGCTATCTTCTGCTGAATCAAAGCATAGTTCAGTACAACTTAAGTAAGTAGATGCTTCTTTCAGATAATACTGTCAATTGGAGAAAATCAAAGGTTTAAGGTATTTTAAAATGGTTTATGACGGTTTCTACTTGCATTATCTATGATTTCGTTACCATCTCCCTTTTGTCTTGACATCCACATATCTTGTAATTCTCTTTTTAATGTAAGGACATTCTGATCAAGTTGACTCCGTTTTCCTTCAAACACTTCTTCCTTAATATTTTAAAAGGAGTAATTAGATAAATAAAATCTTTGCAAATCAACAAACATTCTGACGATCTTCCGCTAATTCAATACATCGTAAAGCCATATTAATCTGATTGCCATCTCTCCATATTTCAGCCAGTCTAAGATACAAATGAGAAAAGGACTGATCCATCCTCTTTATGTCAGGAACAACTTAAAAGCATATCGATAATCATTATATACTGATAGTATTAAATAATTAATGATTTTTTTTTACTTCCAGCTAACTTACTCATATAAGCAGTTGTTAGTCGACTTTCCCAAAGATCAAACGATTTATCATCTAAATAACATTGAAATTCAACATCTAATAATTTTAATGCTATTTGAGTTAGAATTGGTTTATATTTCTCGTTCTCTCCGTAGATTTTAGCAACAGTCGATTTTAGGAAAACACAGCCGTAGAAATAAGCTTTACGGGAATCTCCTATCAAAGAAAACTTAAAACAATCGTCTCCAATTTCTTGTAAGATTTTACACCATTCATAACAATATTTTACATCACGATGAACTCCGCAAACCTTTAACGGTCCAATGAAATCGAACGATGGTCTAGTTACAGTTCCATGATTTTTTATGATATAGTATCTTGCTATATTTTTCATTTGTCTTATCTTTAAAGTAAATAAACAAAGAAAGGTAAATACTTTATAGAAATTAGGTAAGATGATGAAAAAATAGAATAGGAACCTTAAATTGATCTGTAGAATTATCTATCAAAGCAGTTCTTCTTAAACTAAGTTCGTAGAACATTTCAAAATTATGCTTTAAAAACTTGATTAAGTCATTTTTATTTTTATAGTTTAAAAACGCTTCCCAGCATAAATCTACACTCTCCAAAGCTAATTCATATTCTTCTTCAGTTGGTGGCGAATTTTGAATTAAATACCGTTTTCTGGGATATTTCATACGACGAACAATATCCACTTTAACTTTATTCTTTGAAATGAAATAATTAATGAATAAAGAGATATAGGATATTACTATATTTATGATACACTTAACTATTTCATCAATGGTTCCCATCTTCTTTTCTACTAAAGAATGGACTTTCTTAAGAGAAAAGAAGCAAATGATCTCTCTTCTAATCAGTAAACACAAACTGGTGGGCGATCGCATTAGTTTTAATTATTGGCAAACTTGAACGGGAACGGGTAACCATATTAGTGAAAGTTAAAGTCGAGAATGCTCTCGTGGGATAGTTTAAGTGAAATAAGATGACATTAGATAAGAATTTGAGGAAAGGTAATGTATACTAGTTGATAAAAATTTAAATGTAAGAGTAGCCATCATTGTTTAGTTATGTAACTGCCTAATTTTTATCTTATTCTAGTTGACTTGTTAATGGAAACTTTACGACTTTACCTGAGGCTATACAAATTTTATTATGTTTTTGTTTAATTATTGACATATATTTAGTTATTTATCACACAGTCTGCGGGGGTTGAAAGAGAAACTTAAGCTAATACTATTAACTTATTTCGAGGTTAAGTCAGTAGTTCTTTTAGATTTAATGAAACGATATCTATAACCTTCTTTACCCCCAAGTGAGTAGTAACGTCTAAAGCCGTTTTCCAATATCATCGGCTCTTTTCCCCTACTCGTTAAAGACGGAAGACTCGACGGACTAGTTCGATTTGTAAGAACATCTGTTGAATAGATCTCATCTAGCCAACTTTCAAGTTCAATTATTCTATTATCGGCTTTTTTTAATTTGGCTCTTGTAGATTGTAACTCCCGCTCGAAATCCGAGCCGACGTTTGAACTTTGTACATGCAGCATTTTCTTTTGATTTAATTCATTCTTTAATCTTCTATTATCGTCTATTAACTTTCTATGGGCGCTTTGAATATCTTCCAATTGCGATTGAAGGGAGTCCAATGATATTCTTTCATTTCTGGATTGTTGAATATCTGATTGAGACATTTCTAACTCCTTTCTTAAATCCGATATTTGCCTATTTTTAACACTTAACGAATTAGTTAAATTTAAGGTAGACGCTTCTAGAGCTTCTAACTGTCTTTTACCCTCATCATTTAGTAATTTCAATTTTTCATAATCACTATTTAATTTTATCTTTTCGTCTTTCAACTCTTCTAATTTGATTATGACGTTTTGTTTCTCTTCTAGAACTCTTTGATAATTCTCTTTTGCAGAGGAGATTTCAATTTCCGCGCTTGCGCTCTTCTCTTTTTTCGTTTTTAAATTTTTATATTTATCTTTCATGCTTTCGTAATCTTCGTTTAAGTCTTTATACTTTTGATTTGAAATTCTTAATTCTTTCTCCAAATCTTGTATCCTTTCATCAGTTTCGAATTCTGCCATAAAATCTTTACTCCTCTCTCCTTTGAGCCGTTCGTATTTCTCTTCTAAGTTATTATAATCACCTTTCAACGTTTTTAATTTTTGAACACCTTCCTTCAAGTCCATTCGTAGTCCTTCTAATTCTTCTTGAAGTTCGTTTGATGATTTCTTTGAATCGCTATGATAGTTATCAATTTCCTCTTGTAAATCACCAACTTTTTCATTTAACCTTCTCTTGTCCCTTTTTAAATTTTCGATCTCTTCTTCTTTGCGAATTAATTCTTGTTTATTCGATTTCATAGTTTCTCTTATCTTTTGAGTTAGACTCTCATTTTCTGATTGTTCCTTTGATAGTTGATTTTGCAATCTTTCAATTTCCAATTGGAGTTCGTCATGGCTTTCTTCCAAATTGGTTACTCTATCCGATTTTGAGTTCGACGAATCATTTAGTTGAATTTTTAAAGCTTGATTATCCTCTTTTAGTTCTTCACATTTCTCAATTAATTCAGCATTCTCGCTCTTCAATCTATGTAATTCATCATCATTCGATTTGTTTTCTTCAATGATTTTATTCATGCTACTCAATAATCTTTCATTGTCTTGTCTTAGAGTCACATTTTCATTTTCAATTCTATCAGTCCTCTCTAGAAAGTTTGTAGCAACAGTTTCAAGATTTTTAGGAGATTCTCTTTTCTTACGTTCTGAAGATTTTGCAGATTTTCTTGCTTTGGACGTGACGGGTCTAGAATTGGCCGACATGGATTTATTGTAGGACATATCTATATCCAATCTTCTTAATAGATCCAAGTTATCTCGGTACAACTGCATGTTTTTCTCATGAGTTGACCGAAAATCTTTACCGTTGTCCATTTAGCTTTGGTAAAATTTCAGAAACATAAATCAAAACTTTCAAAAAATGTAAATGAAAGAGGAGTCTTCATGAGTACATGAGTTAAGAGTGAACGAAAACTAGAATATTCAACTTTAGCCGATAATTCAAGGCAACCGCATGACTGAAAACGTAGTTATGGACATTCAAAAAACAAGGTAAATAATCCAGAATAGGGAAAGAAGAGAGATATTAAACGATTATGAAAATTAACTAGTCTAGAGAACCTTGTATTCATGGACAACAGCATGATCCTGTTCGGTTGTTATGTGATTTCGTAAAAAGTTAAATAATAAGAAAAATATTAATATTTATACTATTAGTCAAAACAATTTTATTCGACAAAGTATATTTCTTTCAAAAGCCTTTATTAGTGGATAAATCTGTTTTCTCTCCTTTTATTTATTTATTTAATAATAAATTGTCATTTAGACGTAAGGAACGATTTCAAAGAATTATAAACACAGACAAACTGTCACTGATGCAAGAATCGAGACAACCATTAATGTATACAGATGAAAGACATTCGTATTAGATATTAGACATCACTTGAATTTCATTATTAATTAAATTAATTTTGTTTAGGAAAGAGCTAGCAAAGATTTATATTTGATAAATGAAAATTGTTTCTAGATCATAGAGAGATATAAAAATGTAGTAATTAAACAAGCAAGTCATCGTCACTATCTTCTCTATACCTTTTACTCTTTGATGGCAGTGATGATACTGAGGGTGTGGATGAAGAATGTTTTTGTTTATCTCCCTTCTTCTTCTTTGATTGGTTTTTCTTCTGCTTGACAGAAGTTTGAGGTCTGTCATTATCCGAACCAAATCCTAGGTCATCTCCGGTAATGAGTTTATCGTCTCTTTTTTGCGAATGCCACTCAACCTGCACATCATTACTAAAAGGTGATCCCCTAATATTGCACTCTTCAGAAAAGGCAACATTTTCAGCAGCGTCTATTAGATGATCTTCATCATCTTCAATATTGGCATAGTAATCTGCATTAAACCTTCTCCTCCTCCAATAAAGCATAATTCTTCTTCTTTTAACAAAAACTATACCAACAACTAACAAACAAATTAAACAACCAATTATAATCATAAAGATTTTCAATTTATTCGAATTCTTCTTGACAACTCTAAATAATAATCATAATTTTTTAATAATAAATATTAAAAACTATTGTATTCTTTTAAAAACTTACGTTTTGGAATTTTTCAAAGGTTTAGTAAGGCACGTAGCTTTAGTTTTCCAATTGATAGTGTATATTCTATCTTCACGTATACTTAATTCTGGTTTTTCCTAAAGAACAAAAGAATGAAACAAAACCTGTTATTCATTTAAAAAATAATAAAAGAAAAAGAATATTTTTTTTACATCTTTATCAGAACATTGAAAATAGACGGTAGTTGAATAATAACTCAATCGACTTGTCATTAGAAATTGATAATTCTCAATATAATACTTGATATTTGAAGCCTTAGCTATTGTTTTATCATTCTCCTCTGAGCTGATAATAGCTCCCTTCTTTTCAGCCAAATTAATTGTAATTTTTTTGTTACTCTTCGCATCGGTTACAGTTGTTTTCTTATATACGCTGGAATTTGATAAATCTATAACAAACGGTCCTTCCTTGATTATTCCATCTTTTATTTGAACTAAATGCCTTTTGGAATGGAAGAAAATATTATAATACTAATAGATTATACATAAAATCTCAAGTTAGGTAAATTATTACTTAGTAGTTGGGCATCCGTAATACGTTTTCCACCGTAAACTTAGTTGACATTTATCACTGTCCCTATTTGAAGAAAAAAGTAAATAATTTTCCCATTAACTATTAAGCATTTGATTGAAAAGTAATTAACAACCATGATATAAATTCCATAGCACCAATATTTTCTTTATCACAAATGAAATAAATTGCTACTTGAACGTATTTATTACCGCATTCTGTATAATATATTGGGGCGGAAGTATATGTTAGTACAAGAGGTTCATTTGTTTTTTCAAACTCTTGTAATTTTTTAGTATTAAGGTACGCCATAGGGAGAAATTTACCAGATTTTTCCAAACATACAACGGTATTTTTAGGACAACCATCTATGTTTTTTATCCCATTACAAATTCCAACATGATAGATACTGTCTTTATTTTTCACGTGATTAATTTCGTTCATTAGAGGACTTAGGTTGTAGTGGTCAGATGCACATAATACTTTTTGAGTTGGGCAAGCTTGAGGAGTTTCGTACACAAATGACAATTCACAATCCGTTTTCATATACTCCCTCAAAAACTGCTTGTCTTTGCATGCTATCACAAACTTCGAGGATTTCTTTCCTTCAGAACATTTATCACCATTGTTGAAATTAACTTCAAAGCCGTCACTTATTTTTTTATAGTTACAACTTTCCCACGAACCGTAAGATGCATCTTGATATTTGATAGCAGAACATTTATGATCCTTACTCTTAAGACAATCTCCGAGCTTCGTATTGGATTTGGAAATATCACTGAGAATACTATTAAGATTATATCCAAAATCTCTTTGCACGCTTTTCACACAAGTTTCTTCGCAAAGTCTTGGCATAGACCAGTATATTAAAAATGTACAATCGTAATACTCCGCACGCATTGAAGTTTCTAAACCGCAGTCAATTATGATTTTTGTTGTTACTCTTTTTGATTTATCTTCAGTACAGGCACTACCATTGCTGTAGAAGACATGAATCGCACCATTTTTATATTCTAAAGGCTTATCATTCAGTCCAGAGCCCAAGCTAAGATATTGATTTGAGCCAATTACTTTTGCGCATGCAAAAGAGTCTGATGAACAATCTTTCATTCCTCTTACATATCCACAAAGATTAAAATACAGTGTATATTTACTTGTTTTTACTTTATAGCTTTCCTTATTCAGGATCAGATCAGATAAATCGAAATATCTATTTTTATTATTTTTTACAGAACATTTCATCGGTCTTTCGCACATTTGTTTTGTAAACCACGTCATAGAATAGTCACAGTGAGATATTTCTATAATTTGTGGTTCCAAATCTATTTGACTTGTTTCAGGACATTTAATAGCAATAGAAATATTTCTCTCCTTTTTCGAACTGCATTTATTGCCTAATGTATAATTTACGTAGATGGCTCCTCCTTTAAACTCTACAGCTGATTTCTTTGTTCCCAGTGAAAAACTTTTCTTTAAACCTGATAATTCGGTTTGACAGGCGTACGAATTCTTACATGAAGTCTCCTCTTCTTTCAATAAATGGCAGAAAGATATTTTGTACTCATATTTCTCAGTTTTAAACGTAAGTGGTGTTTTACTGAAATGATTTAAATCGAAAACATACCCAGTTTCTTTATCAATTACTTTACAATCTTTACCAATTGTTTCATCAGGTTTTGTATCAATTGGACAAAAATATTTACTTGACCATATAAATTTATATTCTTTAATGCTATCTTTTTCTTCTTGCGAAACAAATTCTGGTTCACCTTCGTTTTCTGAACATTCTGCTGCTATATTCACTTTATGTTTTGAATCCTTAAAATTGATATCAACTTTTCCATCAGATACACTGAATTCTGTTGCTACAACCGAACTTAACATTTCTGATTTTTCATGATCTTTAAGTAGGCAAACAGAGCTATGAGCTGGACAGTTTACACCTATCTGACCAACCTTATAGGGTTTATCAATTACTGGGGCGCATAAATTTATAGCAAATTTTACGTCTTTACCGTCTACAATATAGTTTGAAGATGTCTTTGTCAGAGGTGAAAAATTATAGATTTTATTATTTTTTGAGTCCTCAGCTGAGCATGTAGGTGTTGTCTCAAACGATCTACAGGCCAATGCTGTAAACCATTCGAATTGATATTCGCAATTCTCTGTTTCATTAATGTATACAATCTTTTCCACTTGTCTATCGCAAATGAAGTCTATAACGGTTGATCTTTTAAATATTCCATGGCATTTTGTACCACCTGTATATTTCAGTCTCAATTTTTGATTAACCCATTGTAATTTATCATTAATATTTCCCATCATCATTTTTTTCGCAACAGGATCTTGTACTATTTCTTGGCAAGCTCCAATTCCTTTTTCACACGGACTATTTTTGTCAGCTTGACAGACGCTTAGAAAAAAGTTATACTGCTTGTCGTTTGATTCAACTTTATTTGTTTTGGCTTTCAGCGACGAAAGATCAAATTTGTAATTATAAACTGGATCTGTAACCGAGCAATCAGAACCAATTCTCTTTTCACTATTCTTGTAAGCAGGAGTTAAAAATTGAAAATTATATTCGCAATCATCTGTTCCCTGACGTTTAAATTCAAAACCATCTTTGACTAGAAACGTTATAGTAACTTTAGAGGCGCCATTACATTTTTTACCACCTTTGTAAGTAATTATTGCACCATCTCCATCGGATTCTAAATGAGATTGCAAGTATCCTAAGGAAACTTTTGTACCATTCTTATATTCTAAACAAGCGCCTGCACCTCTACAAGGGCCTTCGAATTTTGGTGGCAGGCTTTGGCATATACTTAAGAAAAGTTTTCCATTGGTATCTTCAATTTCGTAATAGGGTTTCGACCTCAAGAAATCAAAACTGAATTGAGGCGTCTCACAACCAACGCTTGTTTTGTATTCACAAACTTCAGCTATCCAAAGAATAATCACAATTGTTGAGTCATCTTCTTTAACTCTAACTTTCGTTTGTTTTTTCCTATCGCATCCAAATCTGACTTCTAAATTTGGTTTCTTTTTATCTATTTGTGTAAAGTCAACTTTGAAGTTAGTTCTATGATCATTTATCGTCTCTAACTCATTATTTGATGAATAATATTGCTCGTCATTCTTATAAATTCCTGATTTTTCACCGCAAGCTTGCAATGTAAAATCTTCTTCTTTATCATTAATTTTCAATTGAATAGTCTTTTTAATCGGTTCAATCAAATACTTTTGACCTTGATATTCAATAGAGCAATTTTTTCGGTTTTCATAATGTTTAACAGGACAAACCAGTGGAGTATGAAAGTTGATAATATGATTATAAGCGAAGTCGGTCAATATAGTGTAAGATTGTTGCGTTGAACATTGAAAAGATATATGAGTTTTATTTTGTTCACCGTCCTCCGGATTTGGATAAGTGATAAGTATATGTCCACCGAGATCTTCCATTTTAGCGCCTGTGATTGTGGCAATTTCTGGAAGGACTTCCTAAAGAAAAGGAATAAGTTTAAAGATTTACAACAAGTTTATAATTAACTTATACTTCGGTTTCCTTATCTTTGGCGCATAGGGTAGATGTTTCATGGCAATTAAAAGGAACATCTTTCAAAGGTGTACAAATAGAAAATCTGTAATCATATTTCGAATCTTCTATTGCATATGATATTCCAGCAAGTTTTGTTAGATCAAACTTATTTCCTTTTCTATCTATGTAAGTACATTCCATAGATGGGTTAATACATGCATGAGGAGTTCTTACTTCAATTGCAGTTGTTGCCTTATTCCGTTGCTAAACAAATTTGATAATTAAAATCAATTCAACAACTCGAATATACTTACAGAAATTTCTAGTTCCGCTAAGGAGACATCTCGATCACATATAAAACTAATCTTTACTTTCGGTGAACCCTTGTCTGAATATATTAATTGCAAAACTTGATCTTTATACTGCAATTTCTGATTAGCTGGAGCAAGGTCTTTACATCTGATCGGTAAGAGATTATGAGTAAAAAAGTTTAAGGTAAAATAAAATTTGTAAATTATCTATAAATTAAAAGAACAGTTAACTTACTTGTCCTTGACACACCGGCGTGCTGCCCAGTTCGATAATTCAAAATTATTACAGATTTTTAATTTATAATATTCATCAGTTCCATTTATTGTAAATACTTCGTGGGTCAATGGAAATAGATTTATATCATATCCATTAACGCTAACTTTACATTCATCACCGACAATGATATTTGATTGACAAGCATATTTGGTAAACCAATCTATGTAGAGGATATTTTCTTCTTTTATATAGGTCGGAGTTGACGTTTCGTCAGTACCACATTCAAAATTGATTTCTGCTTTTCGTGGTTTATTATTACCAATGTAGAGATCTCCACCAACAGAGGTCATTTTCAAACTTTTAGTGTCTTTATCGTAAACAGGACTCATAGATAAATTACCGTATCTAAAACCATATTTATCATCTGGTTTGCTAAGACATACACTGGTCGGAATATGATTGCATTTTATTTCTTCACTTGAAGGATTCAAGAATGAGCAAGGAGATATAAAAATTTCATCTTTATTTTCATTGTCTTGAGGAAGAACTCTCCAATTTTTATTTTTCAAGGGAGATATATCAAATACTTGTCCATTGTGTTCAACGAGACAGGGTTGAAATATTTTTCTATTATTATGCAGGCAGGCTTGTTTTGTATAAGCTTCAAAGAAATATAAACAGTGATCTTCTCTAATATGTTTCAGAACAACATTTTTAGCGCTTGGATCACATATGAAATCTATAATTGTTTGACGGTGAAATTTATCTCGGCAAGGTCTTCCATCTTTAATAGTTAAAGTAATCTTTCCATCAAAATAACTTAAATATTCATCCAAACCTCCAATCTTTTGATTTGAGTTTTGATATTTCTGGCAGGCCAATGCATGTTCCAAACCACAGGCCTCTAATATTTTTGAGCCTTTATTAAAACCTATGAAATATGTATATTTGTCAGTTGAAGTATTGTAGGCGTTGTCTGAGAATACGGCTAAATCGAAATTAATTCCATTTTTCTCCATAGTCAATTTATTTCCTTTGACTATTTGATTCCTCAGAGGACATGCGTATTCAGTTTCTATTTCAAATTCATAACTATCTTCAATGTTACTGATTAATTTGATTTGACCTATTCCAGTGTCATCTTTAGGACAGCGAAAAGTTACTTTTGTTTCGGATGTAGCAGACTTATAAGTAATTGTTAAAGATTCGTCGTCGTTTAGCTGAATTCCTTTCGAAGGTCTTCCCAATTTTTTTGCTTTTTCATCAGCGAAAGTTTTGCATACAGCCTCAGATGAGCAATCCTTTAAATGTTTACTTGGAATGGTTGAGCATACAGAAATGTGAATAGTAGAATTATCAGACATTAAGTATTTAAAAGGATTTCTCAAACCCAAAGGATTTAAATCAATCAGTTCATGATTTTTGTTATAAGCATAACATGGCACAAATTTTCTTGCTGGAGGAATTGCACATGCACTTCCTGTTTCCCATTTTATAGAAACTGCTTCGGTGTTTTCAGAGTGTTCTTCTACAGTAATTTTTGGTGTTCCCTTCAAAGAAAATTTTCAATTAAAGATAAACAAATGATAGAAATAATCAAGTATCTTTTTACCAGAGTTTTACCACATAACAAGAGAACATTCAAGTTTTGTTCTTTCTTATTGTCAGTAAAATCTAATATTGTTGAGCTGTCATCGTTTGTTATATTAACACTTTTAAGTTCCGCTAAATGAGAAGAAAGAAATGAATATATACTTTATCCTTGCTTTGAAGTTAAATTAATATAGTTATTACCGAATGGTGTTGATGTGGCGGTCGTTTTGTTACACATAACAGCGTCAGTACTATCTCCACAGCTTACAGCATTACATAAGTTGAACGTGTAATCATGATATCTCCCTGAGTCATTATAGACAACTCTCAAGTCCCTGTGAGAATAATTTTATCATTGCTTTGGTGTAAAGTTTAAATTGCACTGAAGAATTACCCAGGGATAATAGCGAACTTTAATTTTGTAACTGAACACGTTTCTGAATTTGTACTTGAACCTAAAAATCCAATGATAATTAATATATTTATCAACAATTTGTGAAAATTTCTCCTTTTATTCAATAGCAAGATAGACTCCATATTATTGTGATACTGTCACATGACAATACTTTTATTAACATGAGATGGCGTAGTCAATTAAATAAATAAATTCATTTTTTTTATATTTTAAGTAGTCTGATATACTTTTAAGTAATAACCGTGCCAATATAGTTACATAATGTAAACTCCTAATTGCTTAATTGTATATTCATACAAAAAAGAGTTTTATGCAAACAAAGTTTACTATGCCATCTTTCGTGTAATATATTTACTAAAAATAGTTCCGTTGGAAAAATACGAATTAAAACAAAATAAATAATCGATTAATAAAATAATTTAAGTAGTAAATTTATATAAATTTACAAATCATTTTCATTAAGAATCGAATGTCAAAAGTCTCTTGTTAATTATCATTCAGCGTAACATTGCGAAAAGAAGTTCGTTCGATTCATTATAACCGTTCCGCTGTCTACTTATTTTTTTTTTTAATTTTTCCTCCCGAAAGGCAGTGATGTCCGAACAAATAACTCAGTCAGAAATGTCAAAATATGTCAAATTGAATGTTGGGGGAACATTACACTACACGACAATATCGACATTATGTAAACAAGAAAATAATATGTTGAAAGCTATGTTTTCTGGTCGTTTAGGAGTTACAACGGATAGTGAAGGATGGGTTTTGATTGACCGGAGTGGAAAACATTTCGATGTGATTTTAAATTATTTAAGGGATAATGACTGCCAACTGCCAAACTCACTACGTGAATTGAAAGAGCTTTTAGCTGAAGCGAAGTGAGTCCTTTTTTAGTATCAACAATTATAAGACACCTATGTAGGATCAACTTATCAATGAATAATAATAGGAAGAAGCTGATACGCCCTATTTGTCTTATTTATTCATGCTCATTTTTTTGCCAGTATGTCTAAGATATATATGTACACATTGCAGATATTATTTGATTACTGGTTTATGCGATATGATCGAAGAGAAGATACAAGAAAGAAGTCAAATGAGGACGGAAAGTGTTTGTCATATTCCTGTTGTTAGCAATGGAGAAGATCAAGCTATGATTGCTAAGAGCCGAAAGCCGGTCATAAAATTGTTGATTAATAGACATAACAATAAATTTAGTTATACTGCAAATTCTGATGATAATCTGTTGAGAAACTTAGAAATGTTTGACAAACTTGCGGTGAAATTTCACCATCGAATTCTCTTTATTAAGGTATATAGTGTTCTATTAAATTCTTTTTAATCTGATGAAAAATAGTTAACTCTTAACTCTTTTTAATCTTTAAAGGACATTAATAGTAATCCAAGTGATACAAATGAAATTTGTACTTGGTATTTTTACGGTCACGGTAAAAAGCATGCTGAGGTTTGTTGTACGTCAATTGTTTATGGAACTGATAAGAAACATACAAAAGTTGAATGCCCCGAGGCAAAAATCCTAGAAGAAACTCTAACTATACTGCTTTGCGAAGATGTTCCGAATGGAAGCAATAAACAAGTAGAAAACCTAAAATTAACCTCAGAATTGGCTAACTGTTCAATCGATGACGACGAAGAAGTCTCAGTCGGAGCTTGTGGTACTACCAAGTACAGACGGAAATAATAATAAAAAGACAAAGATAATTGAGTATTACTAATTTGTGGAGTAAGATCTAAATTCCATCATGTTTCTTTTCTTATATAATATACATATGACTTTTTTTTTAATTAATAATTATAATGAACGTATTAATAGTTTCTTGAAAATATCTGTTATTTTTTCTATAGTTCTGTAAGCCAACAGTGATTATAGAATAAATCATTATTTCATAATAATAATAATAATAATAACATTCTTACATTTATTATTGCTGTTTTCTATTTTCAATATTATATTAAGAATGTATTTATATTGATATATTACATTTTTAGATAAGAGATAAATGACGAATAGAAGAGTTGTAAACATTGCAAGCTTACTAATTTAATTCGAAAGGCCAAAGTTTGACTAGACTTTATTACTATTGTTTTCCTGCTTTATTAGCGTCCAAGGCCGTGCCAACTAGGCTGTTTCATTGCTGAAATAAAGAAAATATTACAGTATTGTCGCTTTCTTAAATTGATTAATGATTTCGATCAAATGGAGCTTGCCTGCTATTTTAGAACCAATAGTACCATAACATTTGGATCCTTTACATTTCTTTTTATCCTTTCCGGTTAATCTATAAACGGGTTTGACGGACACTTCTTCGGGTCGAAACATGCTGCTTTCATTTTCGCAAAATAGACTTGCTCCATCTGACTGAACCCAAGTTGCAGCAGTTCTTAATGCTATTGTAAATTTAAGAATATATATAATCGTTATACTGAAATTTTATTACATTATTTACCCATAAGTTTTGTCCTAATTCCAGTTGTATCCCAAAATCTGTAATCCATTATTTCATTCCTCTCCTCTCTGTGGAAAATGAAAAAGGATAATTAAATCAGGTCTACAAGTTGATCAATGATTCTCTTACATGATTTCATCGTATACATTTTTGTTGGAGCCTGAAGGTCTGTTTTGGTCTAATTTCCTAAAAGAAAATTAATAATGATAACTTTATACGATATAATAAAAATAAGATTTCAAAATAATTCTCCCTCAATTACCCTGCCTCTATTCTTGTACTAAGGAAGATTAGGAAAAGAACGAAAACGTGAAATAGTAGTAATATTCTATTCATATTGTTGTCTTATTTAGATAAGACTTGTAGTCGTAAAATCTTTCTAAATAATAAGTTTCAACATATTTCTCTACTTTTATGTCAGTGAAAAAATCGTTTTTTAAAGTTTATTGTAGTAAATTAAAAAGGTAAAAAAAGCATATTCCATTATAAAAACAGTTGGGTGTCTTTCGTCGAATGTCTGCTATTGTTTAGGCTACAACTGCTGTTCAACACGCCATCTTTCGTGATATTTTTTTAGTTGAAATTCATGAAATTAGGTGAAATTGTCACGAAATGTAAAAATTCAGTCTATTGAGAATATAAATACAGCGTAGTTATACATTGTTATCAACTAATAGCTTCTTCAGTCATAAAAAAAAATAGATATATACAAAAAATATATGAATAAATTTTCACTATATTTTTAAGGTCTTTTGTTTAAAGTCTTAATTAGATAAAAGATTGATTAAAAGAGTGAAAAAATAATCGAGAAAAATAGACAATAACAATAAGAATTATAGGAAAATATATATATACTTTATATATATATATATATATATATATATGTATATGAACATATATACCAAACGGTATATCACATATATTTACTGTAAATCTATATAAGGGCATCACCCACAGACACAGGTTTTTTATAGTCTGTGGATTTGATCTTTTATTCCAAGGGTTCGCATTGGTATACATGTTGCATAGAAAATGATGGGAATCTTTTCATTAAGATACTTTTCAATCGTTAGCGTTTTAAGTGCTGATATGTCGGCAAGTGTTCTTTAAAATGTATTTCCTACTTCGAAAGCTGGGAAGTTTAAATAATCAATCAACTATTTCCGGTCCGGTAGGAGGTTTCATAGCGTTTTCATCAGGATATCTCTGCTTAAACCTCTTAACGCAGTCTGGTTCTAATAGTTTAACTCCATCCAATTGATTTCCCAGTGTAATCCAATTTGGTTGAACGTTATGCATTCGACCAAATAATTCGATCTTTCTGGCACCCGGAGATAGTCTTTCGATAATGCCATAAATTTCATCGGGTTTGTGAGACGTTTCTCTAACTTCCGCTACAATAACGTCGCAATCTAGGCCCTTGTTAAAATTAGTAGGAAAGCCCTTTACACCAACGAGACAGTGCTCTTTTCCATGGTTTAGCCAATGCCCAGTTCTTCCTGTTCGAATTATCCGTTGTAATTGATTTGTTTTAACCCAAATAAGTTCATCACATCTCTCATAGCCCCAAACTTTGAGACATTCCCTTCCCAATTCCATAGCTCTACCAGTAACCCATAAAAATATATATCCGTCATCTTGGAGGGTTGGTACATCTAAAGTTCTCATTTCTTCATCGCTCATTGTTCCATATGGCAACTCCATATGAATATCCCACGGAGGGTCAGCCATGATCACAGCAAATTTACCAAGGACTTTCATATCTAACGCTCTGATATCACATTGAACCCATTGGGGTGCAAAGAGACGAGTCGTATTTTGTTTGTCAAACTTGGAGATTGCAGAGCAAGATGATTTGCTCTTAGGTTCGTCGGAGTATTCGATAGTGTAATGAACATATTTACAAGTATCCATATGAAAGCAGGTATTTAAGAAAGAGCAATCTCCGAGAGAAGCTTTAATAAAATAATACATTATTAATTATCAATTTACAATGGACTAATAAATAATAGTGATAGACTGTACGTATAGTAAAATGTAATATTATTATATACATTGTACATGCTGTACAGAGTTAAATGAATGAAATGCTTACGATCGGTATGCTTGTGAATCAGCTTCTTGAAATGTAATTTTCCACATGCAGTCTTACTTCCGCTGATCTGTTTACATTCTTCTCTAGTTCCGTGTGCGCAGAATTCTTTTAAGTGACCACCCTTGGACTGAAATTTTTCTTGCATAGATAGTTCTTTAGCTGTTGGAGCTTCTAACAATTTGCGAATTTCTTCAATTGGTTTCATATTTTCTCTCTCTTTAGTGGTTCGAGATGATAGGAGACTCTGGAGAGATTATATAAATTGTAGCGGTTAAAAAAGTAAATTATCATTTTAAATGAATTACCTCTAAGTCTTTCGCTGAATCCATTTTGGACACTTTAGCTGCTTTCTTCTCACTTTCAAACTCATCTTCTTCTCTCTTTCTCTTAGGAACTGTGCCGTGATAGAAAGCTGTAATCTTTACAAAGTCTACACTCTCAACAGTAATATCCTCGTTTTCTCCTTCTTTTATCTTGATAAATTTTTGAGCAGAGAATTTGAAAAGTAGTTCTTTGATTACATTTAAAGCTATTTTTTCTCCGTTTTCGTTCATACTCTTTTCAATTGATCGTAATGGAGCAGGAAAGTCCAAATTAACATCCGTTAAAATAGTAAAGAGTTTTTTCTCAAATGATTGCAAATTTTCAGGAGATATTTCTTGCGACTTTGTTGGTTGTTGGTTTAGTAGGTTGGGTTTCGCCACTGGCTCTTTTGTATCAACTATATTGTTTTGTACCCATTTTCTATTGCGCATCAGCTCTTTTATATTTTTATTTTTGTTTTTTGCGGCTTGAAGAGCATTCCAAGTGTCAGACATTGTTGTTTTTAATTATTTCCCGCGACGAAAAAAAAGTCTTGCCCGAAAAAATGTTATTTTTCAAAATTTTGTTGGTAATAATTTTAAAAAATTCAGAGAAGACTAATTATCCACTTAAAATCGATAACAATAAGTCATTTGCTTTCAAAAACGACGTGTATTCGAGACTATTTTGTATATTTAGCTAGAATTTACTAGAATTAACCGTATAATTAAACAGAGATACTGTTCGTTGAATCTGAGTTGGAACTGTTTTCGTCAACAATTATATTAAATATATAAGACTATGAACTATGTTAAAAATTAGTTTGTTGAGTAATTATGATATTAAAGACAAATAAATCTCTTGGGCTTTTCATTTGAAATCATCAGTTTTTCGTGCAACATATCTACATCAATATCTAGGTAACTAACTATTAGACATATTTGTAATGGATAAGGTTTTTGTAGGCACTTGGTACTTTTTAATTTTATTTCATGTTAATTGTATAATATTAATAAATATATTATATATAAAAATAAAAGTATAACTCTTTATCCTTACATTTTCTTTTCTATATAGAAATTTACATGAATTTCTGTGAAGAAGATATTAAGAACAGTCGATAATAATAAAATAGCATGCATTTTAAAACAACTAAGTTGTTCGATTTAATCTGAAAATATTAAAAATGTGCTTCTATAATTTCGCGATATAGATGAAAATAGTAGATATTGTAAAATTTAGCTTTTCAAAATGGCGGAATATATTGTTGAATCATCAATAGCCTACTTTATGAAGTCCAATAGAGAGATTTAACTATTTACAGAGGCATTTGTTTCATATTTTGGTTTACGTAATACTATCACGAGATGGCGTAAACCCTTTCCGCTTTTCCACGATAATAAGAAAGGTAACCAATCATCGTCCTTATACATAATTCATGTATCGCAGTTGACGTCTATGGAAATTCTGTTTAAACCTAGGTAGTCTGACTGAATTGATTCGTAGAATATTATGGTATTGCATAATACTGACTAGTTCAGATTGCCAACGTGTAAAATAACACGATAGTATTTAATCATTTCGCCATTCATTTAGTTACTGGGCGTTTCGGTTGCATAGTCTATGCTAATGTGAAGTAGACAATTGAGAAAGGAAATAGGATCGAAATATGACGACTGTAAGTAAAACTTGTAGTTTAAAAAGATTATTATAATTTTTATATTATTTTTAATAGATGAAGATAGCAAAGTCCTTAACGGACGAAATGAGTTATAGCAATAGGGTTGGAGTCCATCCTCAAGATTTGGATGAAAATGTAAAGCACATTTTTATGAAGACGAGCGCTGGAGATTTTTGTTTTTCTCTCGTAAGAGAAACGAGAATGCCAAGAGGTACAATTGCATTAAGCGGACCTCAGAGAAAATGGGCTTATGTTACAGTTGGCGAACAAGTGCGGGTAATTAGATTTTCAATAATTTCATCAATTGCTATCTTTCCGGGTAAGAGGAGGAAACAACAATTTTATTTAACTAGAAATTGGCCTATTGAGAAATTATCATAAAAATAAAAGAGTAATAGTATGCCTTTCTATAAGGCTTTCCCGTGTATCGATTTTGGATCTCAAGGGATCAGATGTGGAAGCTACATTTGTAGGCATATTACGCATTGCTAATCCTTTCTAAAGATATTTATAGAGTAGCTCAAAAGGGAACACCAATAATATGTCGACAACATTAAATAGATGTATTATATGTCAATGAGAACTTTACGTTGAGTTAATTATAATGAAGTTCAATATTATTAATTCATAGTGAATGTTTTCCCTCCTTTCTTCTCTTTCGTTATTATACTGATAATCAATACTTTCACCTTTGTAGGTTACAAACTTTTCCCCGTCTTCCGAACAACGGATGGTTTGTCAAGTTGTTCTTGATGCCGAATATATAGGAAAAACCCAAGACACAACGAGGGTTGATAGTGATGCATTGGCAAGGGAATTTCAACAGTTATGCGCTGGAGTTGTATTAATGAGAAACGAGCCGCTGGTTATGATTATACCTAATTCATCGAAGAAGCTCCTGCTCAACGTAAAATCTATTCTTCTATCATCATTGGATTCTAAGTCAACGAAGGAATCAAATATTGGTATAATGAATGCGAATGCTGGTTGTACGTTTGAAAGAGGTGAAGGATCTAGTCTAAATCTCACTGGAAAATCTAAGGGAAAAGGAGTAATTCAAACTTCTGTTATAAATCCCGATTGGGATTTCGATAAAATGGGAATTGGTGGTTTAGACAATGAGTTTTCGGCTATTTTTCGAAGAGCGTTTGCCTCCCGAGTCTTCCCTCCAGATATAATTGAACAGTTGGGAATGAAACACGTCAGAGGTATTTTACTCCACGGTCCACCAGGTACTGGTAAAACTCTCCTTGCAAGACAAATTGGCCAAATGCTTAATGCAAGACCTCCAAAGATTGTTAATGGCCCGCAAATTCTGGATAAATTTGTTGGTGAGAGCGAAGCAAATATACGCAAATTGTTTGCGGAAGCTGATGAGGAGGAAAAGAGATTAGGCCCAAATTCTGGATTACATATCATCATTTTTGATGAAATCGATGCAATATGCAAACAAAGAGGCAGTATGGCTGGAGGAACTCCTGTTCACGATACGGTTGTAAATCAATTGCTGTCAAAATTGGATGGCGTAGATCAATTGAATAATGTCCTGGTAATAGGAATGACAAACAGAAAAGATATGATAGATGATGCTCTTCTTCGGCCTGGAAGGTTGGAAGTGCATTGTGAAATAGGCCTACCGGATGAATCTGGTCGTCAGCATATTCTTAGAATTCATACAGCAAAACTAAAAGAAAACGAAAAGCTGGGCAAAGACGTAGATTTAAAAGATTTAGCAAGTAGAACTGAGAATTTTTCAGGAGCAGAAATAGAAGGTTTAGTTAGAACCGCTACGGCTACTGCCATGAATAGACTGATTCAGACCAAAGGAGGAGTTCATGTTGATACGGATGCGAGTGAAAAGTTGCAAGTTTACAAATCCGATTTTGACAATGCTTTAAGCAATGATTGTAAACCTGCCTTTGGTAGGGCAGCTGATGCATTGGAAGGATTACTTACAAACGGAATTGTTAATTGGGGATCACCAGTCGCAAGGGCATTGGAGGATTGTCAAATGTTAATGAGACAAGCAAAATTCTCAGATAGAACACCCCTCGTTTCAGCTCTGTTAGAAGGCCCGCCAAGTAGTGGCAAGACTGCGTTAGCTGCACATATCGCTAAAAATGCTGGCTTTCCTTTTGTTAAAGTTCTTGCACCGTCTGATGTGGTCGGTTATAACGAACCAGCCAAAGTTCATCATATTAAACGAGTGTTTGACGATGCAATTAGGTCTCCTCTAAGTATAATTGTGTTGGATGATATCGAACGATTAATCGACTATTCGCCACTGGGACAGAGATATTCCAATACTGTTCTCCAAGGTGTAATGGTTTTGATCAAGAGACCTCCACCACCGGGTCACAGGCTATTTGTTCTCGCCACATCCTCAAGAAGAGAGTTGCTACACGAGCTGGATATTTTGAACAGCTTTACAGCGATAATACATGTCTCCAATCTATCACGGTCTGAACAGGCTGTTAAGGCCCTAAAAGAAATGAACTTGTTTGACGACAAACAATGCCAAGAGTTCCATCAGAAAACAGCTGGAAGAAAGTTATGGATTGGAATAAAGAAGTTGATTGCATCGGCTGAAATGGCAAGACAAGCAGAAAATGACTATGAAATTCCTACAAAATTAATCGGCCTTCTAGAGGACGATCAGGCTTTGCAACTGCCGAATTGCTAGTCGAAACTTATTTAAATATGAATATCTTCTGCATTCCCTTATTAGCAAATATTTCTATAGCAATACTTTCAACTGTTTTACTACTTCATTCTGCTCTTCTATTTCATTCTGTACCGTTATTGTTGTGCTCTCTATGTACGAACTTTGTCTGAATGTTTATGTATTCAGGTAAGGCTTCACTATTTTATAGTTCAATTGCAGAGAATTATAGAAAAGTGTATTATTAAATAAAATGGCTCGAATCATTAGAATTAAAATAAAAATTGTTTTATTTTGAACTTTACGCCATCTATCGGACTTTCACTTATTTACCGTTTATTTTCCAACCTTATAAAAAGGCTTTAAAACCTTGCTCGATATAAAATTATACAGAATAACGTCAATTAATGATAATGGATGAAAATAATACAAATTTCATGTATATTATGGCTTTCTCATGTCTAATTAGGTCATTTTATTTATTCATACTATAAATAGAATACAGAGGTGAACCAAACGCTCTTTTCATCACCGAAATATTGCCAAACATTCGCAGCAAATATGTAATTTTTTTATTGTTTCCTTAAATGTGCGTACAGACACCTACACCTTTTCTGGTCAACATCTTTACCACTTAAAAGATACGATTTTCCCCATTGAAAGAGATGTTTATTGAGATTAAAATAAAGACAACATTTTTAAGAAGATTCTCTTCAATAAATATAGTCGAATGTTATTTTTCCACTCCCATCTAATTCCGCCTTTCTTGGAAATGCGTCAAAATTTTTAATGTTTTCACGCTCTTCTCCTTTGTTAATTACTAGAAAAACTTAACTGAATGTATTGTATTTCTTTATTTCTTTTCCGATAGAAGACATGTTACACCTTGTTAAAATACTTAAATTGGATAGATAACTAATTATCTCTACCTTATTCGATTACAGGATACTCGAAAGGAAGAAGGGGAAACGATAAGGATAAATATAGAATATTTACTATAGAAGATAAATGCATTGAATTCTTCTCAGGAAGGGAATATTTAGACCTCTCTTTCGATTTTCTGTCTTCTCACAGCAGTTAGTCTGTTCGATTTAGGTGAGATAGAGCTCTCAATGAGGACAGATACCATGTCATTAATACGTAAGGAAGCATCTCTCAACCACCTACACATTTTTCTCATTTGTTTATTATAATGCATCCTTTAAAAAGAACTCCCCCACCCCTCGTCTCGATCAAATACACATGTCATTGTTTAAGCATAACTTGTATTGTCCCTGAATATAAAATTAAGCCTAGTATTCTTTAGCTATAAATATATAAATATGTTTTAAAAAGAGACAGAGTTAACGCCAGGTATACAGAATTATTACATTGAAAAAACCCTTTAGACTCTTTTATTAATGAATTGTTTACCTAGTACAGACATGTCAGATAGGAGTCAAGATAAATTCATCAATCTTTAAGCCTATTCCTTCAATTTTTTATATTGACAACTAATGACGCCTTCACTCCTTTTAGTTTTGATGAATTCGTAATTTACTAATAGGATTTTCTTTCCTACTTTTAGTAATTAAATTGTTCGATTTATAATACTTGAAAAAATAGTCTTATTGCTAAGATTTAAATACAAAAGTTATATTATATTTCATCTTTTTTAATTCAGAAGACTTATTTTAAAAAGTTTTATATGGTTAGCATATGTAATATATGTTTACTTTTCTACGTTTATATTATAGTATTTAATGTTTTCTTTACAATCAAGGAATTGTTATGATAATCTGAATACTTTCTAAAAATATATGCTAAAAAATCATTAAATAAACAAAGAACTTGGTAATAGAATAAAAAATTAGATATTAAAATATCAAGAAACCGGAAGTTGGAAGGATAAATGATAGGTTCGGAATGAATTAAAATTTTTGGCGAAAAACTTGCAAAAAGTTTTAAGTTTTAGCTGAAAGATTTTTACAAGGAAATAAAAAAAATATAGAAAGAGGGTAAAGGATGAAGATGTTTGCCATATTTCTTCCAATATTACATATAAACATATGGAAAAGGTCTAGAGGATACGGAGAAGAAAAAAAAGAAAAAGAAGAAAAACGATCTATCAATCTAATCAATCTATCCATTATAAATTATACACTGTTTTTAACTTGTGACTATAGTTGAAGTATATATATGTATACTTGCTTACTTTCAAACAAAGAAAAAGAAAAGCAGCCCTTCATTTAGCTCAATTTATAATACGTTTCAATATAAAAATAGAATACATTTCCTGTTGATAGTTTATTAATTAAACTTTTGAGGCTATATGCGTGATACTTTCGAGTGAGAAATAGTTTAAATTCAATTATAAATTAAAATCTAGATTATTCTTAGATTTTTCCCTCTGTGTTTGAGAGTTTTCTTTAATGGAATTATGTTGTTAAACAAATAACGATATTTTGCTTTTTTCATAATTTTAATATAATTGTATTAGTTGAAAGTGCATCAACCTATTTACAACACATGAAAAATGTAAAACATGGCATTATATTGTTAAATCTAAAATATATCTCTCTTTTTTTTTTAAAGATCTTTTAGGATGCAAAAAGTATGCAGTAATCGTCAAAAAAAGAAATCTCACTGTACATTTTTGCTCTTTAGCTAATAGACGTTCTGAAGCGTCTCTCTCAAAGATATATTACTTTTATCATTGTTTTGTTTTTAATTATTAAAAAAGAAGAAATAGTGCTCATCATTTTTTTAGTATAAAAAAATGACGCCTCGTTCGTTATCTATCAGCCATTTTTTTAATGGGATTCTAAACAAAAACAAACACACAAGTGCAAACAGGTAAAGTTTTCTCGTCATTCCTTAATATTTTCCCATCTTAAATAGTAATCATGACAACAAAGCTCTAATAGCTAATTATGTCCAGAAGATTCATCAGCAAAATCTTCGTCGTCCATTGAATACAACTTTTCCGTTTTCGGCATTTTAGTTTTCACCAATTCCACCTTTGGTGTAGGCGAAGGAGTCGGTCCGAAAGGGGGATTAGGATCAATAGGCTCTAAAAAATATGATAGAAAGTATATAAATGAAAGTTTGGATAAATTCTTGAACAACAGATTGCCTATGTAGGCATTTTCGTATTAGCCTTTTGGGAAATAAGCGAATAAAGCTCTAGTTTTACGCTTAAGTGAATAACTAACATAAGACGGAAACGACAGGTGTCTATTTCTATCTTTAATTGTAAAATTTTCGGTACCATACTGGTACTCGGCCTCCTTTTTTTTAAAAGCTATCCAATAAGAATTCAATCAGCCTAGTCGCATATAAAATATAAAACTTCTTACTTTTATGCATTTTGAAAACTTGCCAATTGGAGAGGTTTTCAGTTTGAAAATGACAGATATAATTTCCATTGTCTATATTATCAAACGTTCGTATGATTAACGTCGACTCGGCCCGATAAGGTTTAGAAGATTTCGTATAATCCTGCAAACAATTAGGTACAATAAAAAAAAACCAGGCATACTTATTCAATTATGAGATTTAAAAAAAATAAGTAAAGTATTCAAGGAATTAGGTTATCCTTAGAAACATTCTTTTTTTTCACAGGCATTCAGTAAATACTTGGAATATCTCTTTTTTAGGAAAAATTCCACCCCTTTACCGCCTATGTTTTTTTCCCTCAATGATCCCGGTGAAAAATAAGAGAAAAACGGCTTTTAAAGAAGCCCTGGGGGGAATTTTACGAGTGCCTTATCACTTCGTCAAAACATTCAAGCATAGGCTAAAATCTAACTTGTAAGTAATTACATACCAGAATCATAAACCTTTTGGAATATCTCTTCAGTTTCTTGTTTTCCTTAAACCAGGTCATGTGTATTTTCATGTTCGGGTTATAATCTTCCATATACATCTTATAGACTAAGATGTAAGCCCTGCCCCTCACAGGTGGAGGAGCGTGTTTCATGTTCTCTCCAACGTACAACTTCGGTGAATCGTACCTGAACATCTCCGCTTCAAACTTCGCCTTAGTTTCCTCTATTGAACGTTGGAAAAAGATAGATATGAAAAAAGGTGCTAATTTTCGCATTGTTAATTGATCCACTATTAATTTACATTGTCAATATTAACTTAATGAAAAGTAAACAATAAAAGAAGAAGTTTCTTTACTAGATGGCACTACTTACTATTTAAGATCTTTAATTTGAAGACGTACGACATGATAGGTTGAACAAAATTGTCAACGTAGCATAGGTAACTTCCTCCGTCAGTTTTCTTAGTATTTGAAACTTGCAAACTATTACCCCAATGCTGATAGGTTCCATCCGGAAGTTTGTCGTGAGAGTTCTCTCTTGTCCAATAAATCATTGGACGCGGGTAACCAGTAGCATTGCACCACAATGTCACATTTTCACCTACATAACCCTTGACCTCGTCAGGGCTAGTTTGGGCTTCAATACTGGAATCTGTTATAATTGCATAGCAGGGATTAGATATAATAAACAATTGACTATATTGAGGTAATATAACTCCTTTTCCATTATATGAAAATCGTTGAATAAAATATTAGTATATAATATCTATCAAAGAGAAGACAGAGAATTTTTTAAAAATAAGGTCGAAAAAAGAGCTAGATTAAATAAATCCTTAATCCATCAGCGCTAACTGACTCTTTTAATCCCCCAACTGCCAAATATTTTCTCACCTGTCACATTCAGTAGCAAATACTTGTGCCTGTGTCCAGAATCGCTCAGATTACACCTGAATAATCCCGAGTCGCTTTTCTTTGCTCTCCTGATAATTAAGACGGACAGAGCTGTTCCACTTGGCGTGAAGACTCTGATTGATTAAAACAAAATTTAGATAGTAATTTCCGCCTGAAATACTCTTTAATACAAATTTGATGAGTATATACTGTAATCCTATACCAATGTATATTTCCATACAAGTTTTAGAGTATCAGAAAAACGATGCAAATGACAAGAAAGGAAATTTAAGATGAGTGCTTAATAGATGACTAGGCTTAAAGGTTTGCTTCTTTTTCGAGGATCTCTTTGCCAAACAATTCCCTCATAGGGGATCATCTTTCTTTTTACCGGACTAATTCTTTGCCTTTTCTCGCCTTGCTTCCTTAGATATTGATAAAAAGAAACTTTGCCAAAGTAGACCGAAAAGTTATCGATCATGTATAAGGGATAAAAGGTGAGGGTAACGAGAAGAGGGCGTGGTCAAAAAATAGGAAAGAAAGAGATAGGGAAAGCGGAAGCAACGAATAATAAAAGGGAGAGTAACAAATACACGAAGGTCTTCTCTTTTAAAATTTCCATTAACTTTAACCTTAGGCAAAGAATCCCCCCATTCTACGTTTTTCTAATTTAATCGTTTTATTTGAATTACGCAACTGTCTTATTCAACTGTCACTTATTTAAAAGGCCTCTAAGGCAATAAAAGAGAAATTCTAATATTCTTGTACAAAATGAAAGACTCGAATTTAGTTTAATCATTCTCGCATACGTTTCCTATTTTTGTCTGTCTCTTCTTCAAGGTTTGCAGAACTAAACGGATACGAACTTAAAAATTCTTTTTACGATTATACTATTTTATATTCTCTTTCTTTCTCTCTCTCTCTCTCTCTCTCTTTCTCTGAAACCTAATTATCTTCTCCGTGTTCCCCCCTCCCGCTTCCTCTCCATCCCCCTTCCCCCCTCTCTCTCTCTTTACTTCTTCACTTTCTACCTTTCACTTATCTACTTAAACTTTTTAGAATAAAATATAAAGTCACGTGGCTTTGTATTGCCCCTCGGCGGTTCCGCAACACACTGTAAACATCTCTCGCACCCCACTAATCAACTGCAAAACGTTTTCATCATTCACCTGTATCGATTGTTGTTATCGTACACCATCTTATCTCCTGTAGCCAACAATTTCCCCTTTCCGCTCTTCTCATGAGGTTCTTTCGTCCAGTCGATCTATTAGGGAATAATAATTGAAAGGAAAGAAAGAAAGAAAACTTGAATAAATTAAGAGGTTGGTTAGGATGAAAAAAGTATATGAATATGAAATGCTTTCAGTTCGTTTATCACGTAACTCAAGCCACCTGATGCAGTAGATTTAACTTGGAAAATAGTACAACAACCACAGTACTGCAGTATTTTATGCATTAACCTAAGTTTTAAAAAGATTTAATACTTTTATTATGACTCTTTTAAGTACTATTTTGTTGCGTTTATAAGTCTTTGTAGATTTTGCTATCTGGCTCCAGTCGCTGGAGTCTGTTAAAAGCCTACTGCAAAAGTTTGTAGTGTTGTAACACTAGACGGCTTGCAACGATTGAATGCTTATGTTAAGCTTCTTTTCGGAAGTGGTTCTAAATATCTTCTTTATTCTTTTTCTTTTTGTTTTATGAGTGTAACTTTTTGTATATTTTCTTCATAATCTATTATTTTTTCAGGGTTATATTTCAATTTCCAGGGGTACAATTCAAAAATATAGCCCTATAAATCTTAAAATATCATCTCCTTATCAGCCAATCTCAACAATTCTCCCCTCCCTGCCCCGCCTCATATTCTTTCTTTTTCCGTTAAATATCTAGCCTACTCTCTTCCTTTTTTCACGCAAAAATATTGTATTTCTGTTTATATTTGCATAAGTTTATTCAGCCGTATAACATTGTGAGTAATGCGAGATTGTTTGTCAAAAGTTTATAAGAGTCTTTATATGAAAATGGGAAGATAGGTTAATACTTTGATTAGTTTCCTATTCCTTTAATTATATTTACGCAATTTATTTAAGAACTTTACTTCCTAAATATATTTATATATTGTACGACTATATGAAATATACTTTGTTCACTTTTTCTATTTTCTAAAAGGAATATATACCGTTAAAAAGAGTTATGTAAATCTTTTACTGTATATGTGATATAGGACGAATATTATTGTATAGAGTACAGTCAACATCCCTTTCGATAAAGTTATATTTAATTTAATATTATATATACAATTTATATATATATGTCTAGACGATTCTAAACGTAAACTCAAAACGAATGAGAAATACCCAAGTTCTGTTATTGTAAATAAATTTAGTTTGCAAAATATCGCACCTGTTTAATGTCAAGATAATGAAAATTTTTTTAGTTAATATTATTTTAATAATAGAGAGAATTACTCTCTCTCTCTCGCTCTCTCTTCCCATTGAGTATATAGAAGAAGATTGCGATTATTACTTGGAGGGATAACCAAGATATACATCTATATATATATATATATTTCGTGCGTGCTGCGTCCCTACTTCATTAATCATTTATCCAAAAACAAAATTAATTTAATTACAAGCTCATCTCCATCACAAAGGTTACTTTCGTGTGGATTGGATGTTAACTTATTAGCATAATTCATTCTATATTTCTAAGTAATGCTTCTATTACAATCGACATCTTTTATAATGCAAAAAAAACCAATGTTTACGGTCCGTCCAATTCAATTCGCCAATTACGTAAAATGATTTATTTCTCTTATTTTCTTCCCTTGAGGAAAGAGCTGATGGAAGGAGAGAAAAAAACGGAACTTACCGATTTATACGCATAATATGTTGGGTACATGGCATCGAAACTGCAATGTAATACTGCAGTATCTCCAGCAGCGACCGTGTGTTTTGCCCAGATGTAATCGGCCGGGTTCGATACATCAACTTTTTTTTCGGAGTTTCTTTTCCCTGAGAGAAGGAGAAAAAAAGAAAAGAAAATATTAATTATAACATAGGAAATGGATCAAGCTGGGATTTATTGGAATTTATTACAGAAGAAAAAGGTCAAAGTTGAAAGGTTTGAAAATCACTAATATGCTATTGATCAATCCTAACATTTTGCTCGCCTTTATTGAGTTGAAGGAAAACACTTGTTTTTTTGTTCAAACTTTTCTCTTTAATACAATACAAATAAACTTGTTAAAATAGTCTATGTATAAACAAATTGATTTTCCTTTTTATCCTTTACCGACATTGGACTTAATGAAATTAAATAAAAAAAACCTCTCGACCTTTACAATTCGATTAACTTAATTAGATTAGTCTATTATTCGATTAAGGTTGAGGTGCCTGGGCCTAAAAAAAAGAAGTCGTAAAACTATTCAAAATGAATAAGCGCTTTTAATAACGATGATAAATGACCCACCGTAAAGAATTTACAAAAAATATCTAGTTAATAAAACCGCTTCGTATGTTTGTATAGAGCCGAATCGCCGTATTGAAATCTCCTTCACCCCCTGCTAATTCTTTCTTTCATTCAAATTTCGTCATGGTTTGGCGGGTGCCAGTGTTTTTCTTTCTGTTCTGTCTATGTCTGTGTCTCTGTTCCCTCTTTGCCCTATTGTACATTTTCCGATAACTCTTTTTCTGTTTTTTTTTTCAGTTGATTTTAGCTTCCTTTCGAATATTTGTTTAAAATATTTGAGAATTGTAAATATTTATCCTACGTAATCATTAAATACATATAGGAAAGATATTAAATTACGTATAAATACTATTTAATAGCTTTATTGGTCACTAAAAATTGTTTCTTAGTTAATTCGTACTTAAAAGTGTGCTTTACCAGTTACATTACTTTCATAACTCCTCTTATCTCATAGACCTTTCTTTATATAACCTTTGTGACTGATAATAAACAGTTATTACTAAATAATAATAAAAGGCAATAAATCTTCAACGTATAGTAATAAAACAGGGATTTGTACAATATATAGTTTGGAATAAACAATTTAAATCTTGTATTAATAAATAACAAATTATTTTTGATTTTTATCTCTTCTACTAAGCTGAAAAATGCTAACGAGTTATCCATCATCCTACTCAAGTTTTTTTTTATCGGATAAGTCCTTTTGGAAAGATTGGTTTTTGAGAAATAATTGAAAAAACAACCCATCAAATAGTAGAACGGAATGGTACAAAGTGAAAAACAAACAGTGACCTAACATTTGAAAAAAAATCTTTAAGTATAAACAGTTAGTTACAACAAAAATAAAAAAAAAACTTTTCACTCTCTCTCTCTCTCTCTTTCCTCCTCCTCCTCCTCCTTTTCCTTTTTCACAAAGCCTCGTTTTCTAGCCTCTATTTTACCCTCCCTTATTTTTTCCACTATATAGGCCTACATAAGCAATTTCTGTAATAATATGGAGAAAAGCACTATGTATAATGAGAATCGACATAAGTAAAAATTCTATTTATCTTAGGTTAATAAGAAAATTGCAGAAAATATTAAAAAAGAATTTTCTACTTATTGTTGTAAATACGTAACGAAAAACCAATTATAGTAATTTAGCTTAATTAGGTTTAATAGATGCTCTCTAATTTCCTCTAATTTTTTTTTCTACCTCTATAATAAGCAGGTGCAATTTCTTTTTTTTTTATTTATACATAGACAGTATAACCTATATAGAAGGCAAAGACAAAGGGAAAAAAATCAAGGTGAAGGAAAAAACTATAAGAGAAAACCCTTGCATTACTGAATTTTACAACACTTGAACAAAAAGCTATGAATATTTAAATAGTTCAGCTTAAATGAGAATAGAAAGTGAATTGTTAATAAATATTCATGAGCGTTCAAAATGTCAAAATAGAGTTCTAGATAAAAGAAAAAGAATTACAACTCGATTTAATAAACACACAATATAAAAACTTTATTAGGTAAAGAATTTAATGGTTTAAAGTTAAAAGAAAAGAAAAAACGTCAATTTTTATAAATATGATATCATTTATAGAAATTAAATATCTTTGTTATAAATGAGTAATAACTAAACAAAGGACCTATTCGAGTATTAAACAGATGGGTTTTTCTAAACGACCAGAAATGATAAATAGCATGGACATGTCACGCAATCTTGTAAAAGAATGATGTCTTTTTAACAGAAGGTGTTCAATAGAACGTTTGCCAAATGTTCCCTTTTTTATGAATAATAACCTTTGTTCAACTTTCTTCAATACCTCATCATTATAATATTATGACAGATCTATTGATGCAATCTCAAAAAAAAATATTTTTCCTCTTCAATCATTTTTTATTTACAAACAAAAAAGTGAAAGTTATTCTCCAATTCCTTTCTCTTTGTCTTTCTCTCTCTCTCTCTCTCTCTCTCTCTCTCTCTCTCTCTTTACACCTCTCCTAACCTTATACATTTTTTAGAGGACACGAAGTGTATAAAACGATAAAGTGATAATCTTATTTATTTTTACCCTCTCTACCGTAAATAATCCCCTGATTAGCAGCTCTTAAAGTAAAATATTCAAAAGTTTGAATCAAAGAGGAAATAAATAAGAAATTGTTACTGGATAATAAAAAAGAGGAGAGAAACAATGAGAATTTTCCTTGTTCATTATTTTCCTTAAATTAAATTATATACAAAAAAGGGAAAGGGAAAAAAGGAGGAAGATAATTAAATAAAAAAAATTCATTTGTTGTAAATTTCTTGGAAAGAGATTATTTGCCAGCTACAAAAAATACCCTGAGGCTGACATCTATTTATGAATTGAAAAGGGTCATCTTTTAATAAACCTATTTAATGGCAGTCGAGGGAGGGAGCCGGAGACTGAGGGAGAGAGACAGAGAGACAGACAGGCAGACAGAGAAAGAGACACGAAAAAGATGATAGTCGACGGGAGGGTGAGATGCAGATTTAACAGGTAATAGAGACGGGGAAAAGTTTTTTTATCTCTTTTTTTTTACCTGTTAACATTACAACAATAATCAATTAAGCTCCGCAATGCATTCTAAATACAAAATTTTGAATAAAAACAGTTTAAAAGGTTACTTTTGCACCTGATTCCACCCGGTGAGCTTTATAAAAGGGGTCTTTCATTTTTACAATGACAAGTTTTACCAGTAAAAGTCTTATTACCTATATTATAATAAATTGTCGTAGTACGTTTGGATCTTTAGGAATGCGGATAGTAAAAAAACACGAAAACATAAATGTTGAATTGGGTAAAATTATCCCCATTGATCTCTTTAGGCCTATTTTGTATATACCTGACTTTTTCAGAGTAATCACGAGCAGAAAATTAGATAGAAATTACAGTATAAATACCATAAAGAAAGTTGGGTTTACTTTTTCTTTTTCCCCTAATAGATTTTTTATTCATTTTGCAGCGTATAAATAAAAAAATTATATATTCCTTAAGCCTATACATTTTATTGAAGTCTTATGTTATTTTCAGTTGTTTTTCTTTCGTCTTTACTAAGTGAGTACCTTAACTGGTGACCATTAGTAAAGTTCCATTGAAAGTTATAAGCTTTTAGAAGAGTTTTATAGATTAATTTTTTGTGCAATCAGAAGAAGAGAAAATATATAAAGAAAAAAAAATATTAGATTTCTATACTTAACATAATTTTAAAAAAAGATCCTGAGGATAAGTACCTTATTACTTTATTACTGAGTATAAGCTTTACGGTACGTAATTAGCTGTCGTAATTACAATCCACTCAAAGACTACTCCAAAAAAGCTTCCAACCCTTCCTTCGCCTCCACCCCCCCTCCCCCACCCTGCCTTGGTTCTTACCCTATTCCAGTTCTTTATGTGATAGCGTTTAATCAATCAAATTATATTAGGCATATCAGAATGGAAGCAGTTTTTTTAATTTTAACCCATTATCGAATTTATTGATTAGTAAATATTATGACAAGAGTTATCCTCCACTTTTATACCATCCCTTTGAATTGAAAAAATTGTAAAAACAACCAATAAATCTCTCTTTGTCTCTCTCTCTCTCTCTCTCTCTCTGTTTTTACTTGATTTTTAAATAGTGGGGTGACGATAAAAATCGTAAAAAATAGATTTTTTTGTCTATTGAATTATTCATTATTGATTTCTAAAATTTTCATCATATTTTCATACTATAATATTACAATGATATATTAATACCTATAGAGTACTTACAGTTAAGTAGAAATTTACCTTTCAATTACATTTCATTGAATAATAAAACAGGATAGAAAAAAGAAGAAAAGACTCGAATCGACCACTAAGATTGAGCTATGCTAAAAATTTTCGGCCTTATCTTCACGCTTACGATCTTTGAGATATAGGAGCCACCGAAGTTCGATAGACTAATCAATTAAATTCCCCAGCATCAATTTTCCTGCTTTTCCCTTTTAATTTCCCCTTGTAAATAAATAACGATATTTACCAGCATTTTTTTCGCCTCGTTTTCTCCTCTTCCTTGCTGAACAAGAGTTGAGTAGTAGTAGCAGAACAATTAGGACGAATAAGTATCTCATTTGCATATTTCTTTAAGCCAAACAATTCTGAAGAATAAAATATTCTTCTAATTTAAAAAAAAAGAATTTTCCGTTTTTTTCAAACAAAATTTGAGAATTTTCTGCTTTTCAGGGTTCGTATTCCTCTTAATAGATGTATAGGTTTTTCGTATATCTCCTTTACATAAATTAATACACATTCATGTATACATACATATATGTATACATATATACATATATATATATATGTATATATAGGTTTATTTATATGTATATAATAAGTATCTCTTTATAAGTTTCACAAGAAAGTTTTAAATGTGCGCCGCAGACGGCTGCGCTGTAGAATGGTGCTTTTTCTCGCTCTTCAATTCTATCTGTGTCTCTCACTTTTTTCTGTTTTTCTATCCGAAGCGCCACGCCGCGTCCCTTTCGGCCATCACGTTATTAACATTGAAAAGCTTATTTGCATATTAATAGTTTTTCCGTACGAAGTTTTTATAACGTTTTTCGGGGGCCCACCTTTTTATACGTTCTAATTTTTTAAAGGAGAAAGGAAAGGGGAGAAGTAGCATGGGGTTTTTTTTTATTGAAATATGCCTACTTTTTATTTTATTTATATATATCTCTCGACTTTTGATGATTCACTATCTTTCACTTCAAATTATAGGTTTTAAATTTTTTGACAATTTCGAAAGCTGTTTAGACCCTATTATAGGGGTAGAGTATGTAATTACTTTTTATATTTCGACCATAGGGTATAGGCTTAAGTAAGGTAGAAAGAAGCTATTTATAAAATTTTTCAACTCGGGACATATTTCCTTTTCTTTCAGAATTGTACATAAAAAAAGAAAATTTCTCCCCTCTATAATTAAATAGTTGGGATTAGTACTGGAATATTATTTTTGATGTAGGTGTCGCTTCAATTCTAAAAATAATAATAATAATAATAATATAATAATAATAATCTGGATAACGTATTTTAATAAAATATTGTATATAATGAATGATTGTAGAAGAATAAAATATGCTCTTTTCTATTATATTAATATACTTTTAATTATATGTAAAAAAGAAACAAGAGAGAGAGAAAACCTAAGAAAAAAAAGAACATTGGAATAAGATTCAACAAGTATTTAATCTACAGTTGATAATAATGGTATGGTTCTTATTTAAGAATAAAATAGATACTTTGAGTAATGAAAAGAACAAGTTTTATATGCAAATACATCAAATGTAATCTCCTAAAATAGTTACAAGGTTTTACTGATGAGCTTGTATCAGACTGTTTTCATTTGGTTTGTGTTATATTACACTACGAATTATTATTATTTGTTTCTTTGAAATTGTATATACCAATTTCTAGTTGAAAGTTTTAATATAGAAACCTAATTATTTATAAATATAAGAGAAAATTATAAATTAGCTTTTCAAAAGCAATTGTCACTTTAATTCATTTACCAAATAGCTTAATAGATTAATTAAAAGTATTCTGATTAAATTTCGACGTATATCCAATTTACTTTTACTTCTTAAATATCTTCTAATAAACATTTACGCTTCTCACCTAGATAGAGAGAGAATATTTAAGTAAAGTTAATTAAGAATTAGCTTATATACGCCATCTTTGATTAATTGAATCTATTATTAGCTACTGTATATAGTATAAATGTAGGAAATATTTACTACTAGGCCTAAACAGTATTATGAAAGAAATAGTTTTGATGAAGAAGTTATTAACTGCAATAGTTTAGAGAATGGATAGAAAGAAAGAGATAGATAGAGAGAGAGAAAGTATATTTATTACTATGCGGTATATGGAAATATATATCTGACAAAGAAGCTCATTCCATTCATTGATTATATCTTTTCTATTAAATTTCAATATATACTGTATATATATATATAAACTCTATATAAAGACGCTACCAAGTGTTAAAACTTATATCCGACAAATATTAAAAATTTATCCTACTTTTTCAAATAATACCAAAACAAAATAAAAAAAGGTCAACGAATTGAATCAAACTACACAACACAAAAAGAAAAGAAATAAAGAAATATAAGTCATTAAGTACTAAAGATATCTCGGCTCATAAATCTGGCTAAATCGGTGAATCAAAGTGACAAAGTTAAATGAATTCCTTCTTTTTCCTTTATTTTTATTATCTTTCTTTACCTTTTCAGAAAAGTTTTCAAACCGTAAATTAACAAAGGAAAGAAGGAAAAAAATTAGCTTTATAATTATTTCTTTTATTCTTCTTTTTCTTTCTCGAGTTAAAAAATATACAAGCCCCTTTTGCACCTCTCTTTTTAACCTTCTCCCCTCCCCCCTCAGTCCCATGCCATAATAAATATACCAAAGAAATTCCAGTTTATCGTTCATATCAAAAAAAGCCGCCAAAAGTGAAAGATGTTCGATATAGTTTATTTTAGACAAACTGCGAAAAATCATTTGTTTTCATTCCTTACGCATACCGCCGCAATTTCAACACCAACATTATTGATATTGCGTGATCTTACTGAGACACATCAGATTTTTTACTTAATCACAACTAAATCTAATTGGATTTGAAATAAACCAAAGATTCCTGTTTGGATTAAGACTGACAACCTAGCAGCGCCACCTTGATTAGCCGCCAGATGGAGCTTTGTCTAATCTGGTGTACATTTTGAACGATAAATACTACGCATTTGGTATATAATTAGTATATATTTTATATACTTTATGTGCTTAAATATTGTATATATTTATAAATATATAAAGAGTTATCTATTATTTGAATAGGAAATAAACATCTTAAATAGAAATAACATTGTCAACACGCAACGAAATCGATAAGTAAAATATTATAAAGAGTTCTGATAGTTAAATTTAAATTAAGACCTTAGGATAATACTTTTCAATAGGAAGAAAGGAAATATTATTAGAAAATATATAAGTTAAACTTTCTTGAATCCTAAATACCATATGAGGTTTCCTTAATCTTTTCAGTTTTTGATATCATATCTTCTTTTTCTAAATGTCCTTTTGGAAGAAGATCGACGCTTTCTAAGAAATTATTCAACGAACCAATATACTCAACAGGATCTTGTTTCATATGTAAAACATGAGGAGAACTTGTCCACCATTTCCCCAAAACCTATATATACATAATTACGTTTAGTACCATTTAACCATAATCAATAATTTTATAGAATAATTTACTTACTGGAATATTCTTTCTTTCATGATCAGATATTATACTATTAATTAATTCGAACGAACAAATTGGATCAGATTTACTGTAGAAAAACAATGTTGGTATTCCGAAATAATTATTCAAGATCTGATCTTGACTTGCATTATAATAAGAGCCAGTTATGTTTTTTGTTAATTGAAGATAAAGAGAAAAAGCACTTTTCAAAAATGCTTTTTTGTTAGGATTATTTGGGGCTAGCACATGAGCAAGTCCTTTGGCAATATTTGAAACATCTACTGGGGAATCGAAGCACTGTCCCTTAATTCTACTGCTAACACTTTCGTATAATTTAGGCTTGTCTTTCATATGTTTTAAAGTTTCGCCAAAGAGATAACCACCAACTGAGAAACCATGAACAAATAATGGTTTATGGTCGTGTTCGGAATTAATATAATTTAGCAATTCTTCCATGCTCTTTCTTGCTTTTTTAGGTGCAACAATTGAAGAGGGAGTAGTGGTTATTTGTAATACATCAAAACCCTTTGTCAGATAAAAGTCACTGTATTTATTTAGATGACTTGATTTGGCCCTCAACCAACTATACAATAAAATTAAGGGTCTCTCATCAGCATTCAATTTCGAATCAAAAGCCTTTCTTATTTTCATATGTTTAGATAGAACTTCAGGCTTCGCTTGAGTTGAAGCAACTGATCTCTTAGCCACCAAATATAGGTAAGGATTCTATTAATTGAAGCAAATAAAAACAGATGGTTATTGTTTTGAAGAAAAAAAACATAATAATTCAATACATACAGATGCAAAGCTCTTATTATATATAGTTTTCATAAAGAGTCTCATGATTATCTGAAAAGGATAACAAAGGATTTATGTTTAATGTCAAATATTCGCATATAAAATCCATTTTTTTATTTAGCTCATTTCTTTAATTGATTCTAATAAAACTTTTTATCTTGGTGTTATACTTTGGCCTATCAATTCGAATTCAGTGCTTTATGCGTACACTTCTTTGTTTTCAAGGAAATATCTTATCTGTGGAACTTTTCTTGTAAAAACGAATCAGAGGAAGTTAATTACAATTGAATAATTGTGATTTTTTGCATAAACTAAAAACATTTTCCAAGATTTCGATAATGTGTAACAAAGTCTTGATATTGTAGATCAATGTAGTATTGAACAAATCAATATTACCCACGTTTTTTCTCGGTATTGAAATAATTGCTCAGAAATTTGCTAAGATGAATATTGAAGTTTTTTCAAAGAGAAACTTACTTAGCTGAAATACTTTCCAACAAATTCCAAAGTTATAGAGATCTGATGAGAGAGTGATCATTCAAGAAACTACGACAAAACGTTGGGAGATCATCTTATGCACATAAACTCAATGTCAAGGTTGCACGTGATTCATAGCCAATCAGCAATTGTTTTTAAGGCAAAAGATGGCGCTTACAAACTCTTAAAATCAGCTGAGGATTATGTAACAAGTAACTTTGTCCAAATATCACATATTTTTTAAGATAACAAAGCTTGGTACTAATCCACTATTAGATAAAATGAGATAATGTTAAAAGAAATTAAAAGACTAAATTTTAGACATCTGCTTAATATAGAAGTTTTCCTAGACATAATCGAATTCATCCTACTTGCTTTAGACCCAATAGGTGAAGTGACATTGTATTTTCTTTTCAAATAAATAAAAAAATCATTAAATCTTTATTGCTATGTAATATGTATCTATATATATATATATATATATATATATATATATAGAAAAAATTGAATGATGAATGTTAATTCACACACAAACCAATACTTGTGCAACAAAAAACTGCCTTGAGACTGATAAAAAAAACTGATTATTTATACCAATCAAAGCAATAAAGTGTTATTATATATATAATTTAGTTTATTTATTAATAACAATAATTTTCCTAATAGGACTTTGTGTCCTTCTAACTAAATATAAATTTGACGAAAAGGAAATAACAGTATTAATAGATTCTTAAACTTTGATACTAAAAAGTAGTCTCATAAGTTCAAATATTAGGGCAAGTTGAAATTATTTCTTGATTCCTATTCAATAAATATAAAACTTGGGAACAAAGAAAAAAAAACAACCCAAAATTGGAAGAAATGATGAGAGATGTTAAGATATGAAATATGTTTTCATCATTTAAGAAAATATTAGGCTTAAATATTATCATTCATAAAGAAGCATTTAATCTTACAGTAAAGTACAAAATATGTATAATAAAATTTAACAAAGAAACACAATTGTTCATATTGATTAGCTAGAGATTAATTAATGATGAATGATTTTTCTACATTGTTAAATTGTTAAGATCTCTAATATTTTAAGAATTGTAACATATTTTTCAATTTTCAATTATTTATATTCTTCTTCTTAGCTCCACCTACAATTATAACATCCGGCATGTTGTTTTTACTCATTTTCCTTAGATTTTCTATTGTTAAAACAGGCATTTCATCAGATTTATTGCACTTGGTTTTTTTTAATGTAGTTTTTCCTTTTTTCAATGATGGGGGTTTAATATTTTCTAATTTCTCACGGAGAGCCTCATTCACAGAAACATTTCGACTAATTTCAATAAATACTGCATCACTATAAATAGAAAAAAATGTGATAATTTTCATTTGAAACATATCAATAACAGTAGAATATGGTTTTTTTTTAAAAACAAGTACACAGTCATTACCTTTGTTTACAACGTTTCTTTATTTTCTTTATTTTTCCTTTCATCTTATTCTAGGTTGTGTTATAGAAATACAACTTTAAAATATAATATGCTATTGCTAAAAACTTGAAATAATTTGTTAGCTTTTATTTCATTATCGGTTTGCAACACGCTCTCCTTTTATAATATGAATATCAGAATAAACGGGTAGTTTAGCAAAAGAATAATTTAAAGTGCTCAATATGATTACTATTTTTTTTTTTTTAAAAAAACATAGTATGCAAAACTTATTTATACTCAAGTTTAATATTAGAAAGTTTTTAATCACCATTTTACAAGTGCAGTAGACGGAGTGGCAAATTAAAATTATTTTCTTGGCCCTCAGTGACTGTTTTAACGGTAAAATAATATTTTTTATTGAAAATGACTACTCCAAACTTTAGTGAAGCCTCCAATGGTATTATGGAAGACCATACACAGCGTTTTCATGATTCTGAAATAGAAGTTTTAAGCTCTCTAGAATGGAAAAATTCCATTCTATTGTATTTTATTGTTGCTTTGGCAATTCTATCATTTTTGTCTCTCGGTTGTTTGGTGTTTTGGGCGCTAATATACCGCAAAGAGGCAAAAAAGGAAAAAGAGGAAGCGGCTGCCAGTTTAAAGCCGACATATTGGAAAAATGAGTATACGCCAGGTACACAAACAAATACTCTTATTGAAATTTGACGAAAATACCAGTTCATTTTCAATTTTAGGTAAAGGAGGTCTAAGTCAAATACATCCTCCAATTATGGACCTTCAAAAATGGAATTCTATGACTGTAAGTAGACTTATTAATGAGAAAATATGAATATAAATTTTATATAAACGTTATTATTTTGTTTTAAAGGGCTACTCAGAACAACCCGACTCTAATCATAAAAGAAAAATCATTTTAAAGAAATTTGATTCAGAAGAGAGAAAAAGTGCTATGGAAAAAATGAGTAAAGTGACACAAGAAGGAGGCCAAACTTGGGTAAATTAATTAACTTATATACTTATACTTTTAATAAATACTTATTTCTATAATAGAAATGGAAAGAAAATCATTCAATACATTAAAAAAAACATGAAATAGAAAGGAAAGTTGAAATATAAAAATGGATAAATAATAAGGAATAAGCCATAAAAGTTATCAATTATAAAAACATGATGTACTGGATTTTAGAAAACAAACTATCCGTATATGCATTATACTTTTCGAAATTTATTTAAAAAGTGCCATTCTATACTTTTGTACGATGTTACAGTTACTTTTCATAAAAATCTTTTTCTCTCTCTTTTAGTTTTTTTTTTTTTTAAAAAAAAAAAGAAAAAGAGAGATAATATATCATATGCATACATATTTTATATATATATATGTATATGTAAATTGCTTAATATGTAGCGATTTCTTTTTCGTCAATATTTACAAATTTTATTGAAAATAAATACAAATTATATATATATATTTTTAAAAAAACATAAAAATGGAAATTTTAATACTTTATTAAGATTTATTTGTTATTTTCTTACTAAGTATACGGAGAATATCAATTTATTATCTCTTGTTTTTTTCTTGTTCATTATGTTAATTCTCGAGAAAAAAAAAAGAACGTGAAAGAATGACCCATATATTATATATTAGGCCATTATTTTTAGCCTTATATTTGTTAGGCCTATACACTTAGCTTTTCTCTTCTTGTTGCTAGTAGCATCGTTTATAATCAATTTTAAGCCGATTTTTTATGCATTATACAACAATTATGATATTAATTACCTTTTATAAACCATATGTTATATATAAAATTAATATTTTAGCGCAGTTTTACATAACCAAACTTTGTGGAGTTACTTGTACTCTGGTCGTGTTTTGAGTATATTGAGAAGAATCACGTGACTCATTGAAATGGGCGGCCCTATTTTTATCTGGCTGGCCAACGTGGATGTGTATAAATACAATTTATAATATCTTAGTAAATCTAAGAGTAGTGGACTAGTTTGCTAATCATGAGTGAGAATAATAATACGAAGTGGGTTGTCTTCATAGCTTTGATTATCGATTTAATATCATTTACTGTGATACTACCTCTATTTCCGTCGATTTTGCGGCAATATGCTCAAAATAAACAGGTTTGTTTTCCATAAATTGCACATTTTCCTATTAGAGAATAGATTGTAATATACATTTTTTATTAAATCGCTATATTTCTGTATATTATACCGTATTCCATTGCTGAGGTGAATATTTAGGTTTATGAACAAATAGTCTTTTGTTGCTTGGTGAGACCTGGCTATGACTATTAATCATGCAAAAAATTTTTCTTGATGATATAGGATACCTTCTACTCTCTCGTTCAAGGAACTGTCCACCAATTCCGTCAACTTGTTGGAGCTCCAGATACTCCAAGATGGAATTCTGTACTCTTTGGGGGACTCTTAGGGTCAATTTTCTCATTGATGCAATTCCTATCCTCTCCATTAATTGGAGCTCTTTCAGACGTCTATGGCAGGAAGAGAGTTCTTCTCTTGACTATGTTTGTCAACGCGTTTTCCTATCTTATTTGGGCAATAAGCGATAATTTCACTTTGTTCGCAATAGCAAGAATACTAGCGGGAATAAGTGAAAGCAACGCGAGTCTTAGTATAGCAATAATGACAGATATCACGAATAAGGAGAACAGAGGAAAAGCAATGGCTCTTATTGGTATTGCATTCTCTATTGGTTTTGTTGTAGGACCTATCATAGGAGCGTTTATAACTACATACAAAAGCGGCACATCTTTCATATTCAGTCCAGCCTTGTTTTGTTTAACATTAATTGGCATAGAAATGATATATCTTATAATATTCTTGAAAGAAAGTCTTCCGAAAGAAAAGAGGGTATACATTACTTTAATTATTAATATTAATAAAATTAATTCTAATTACATTTTATATCTAGAGAAAATCTGTTACAAGCGAAGCTTCCAATCGTTTATCACTTATTAATCCATCCAGTCTCTTTAATTTTTCACCCGTCAACGGCTTTAAACAGAGAGGTTTGTTGACGATTTTCAATTTATCAATAATTCATTTAAAGTTGCATTTTTTTTAGTTTTAACTTTTCTTTGTCTTCTATCTAATATCTCATTTATATCAATTAGAATAATTACGTAAACCTTTAAGGATGATAAAAAAATGAATTGAATTTTTTCAAAGCTAACAATTACTCAACAAGATTTAAAATTTTCAACATGACAAAAACTTTTCCTTATCAATAATAGTCGATTAGATATTTGCATTCAAAACTCTTTGTTTTTTCAAAAAGATCGAGATCTGGTAAAAAAAATCGGAAAAAGTTATTTCTGTTATTTGTTCATCTATTCGGGACTTGAATTTACATTGGGATTTTTTACTTTTAATAGATTTCAAGTTAGTTTTTACAACTTTTTATTTTTATTCTATTTTTATACACATTTTGTTTAATTAGTATGATAATATGCAACAAGGCAAAATGTTCCTCTTTATTGGTATACTGATGGCTTCTGTTCAAGGTTTGATTTAATTGTATTTCAATTGTGATAAAACTTAATTATATTGATTTACATAAATTCTAGGAGGCTATACACGAAGAATAAAACCGGGAAAAGAAATTAAGACAGCATCTTTTGCTGTTTTCCTACTTATTCCGGCATTTATACTAATAGCTTTTTCATATTCATTGATTCAATTTTATATTGGGCTGAGCTTTTATGCTATTGGTAAGCTAACATTATTCTTATTAAATCAAGTTGAAAATTTTATGTATATTAAAATGAATTTTATTAGCTTCGGCAGTGGTTGTACCTTGTCTAACGACAGTTACAACAAAAATTGGTCAAGAAAATCAAAAAGGAGCCATTTTAGGTATCCTACGATCTCTGGGTTCATTAGCTCGTGCATCAGGACCTGTGTTTGCTTGTTCAGGTAAATTTCAAGTATGATTATACTAAAAATTATACTATAAAAGTTTCATCTTTATTCTTTCAGTGTTCTGGTGTTTTGGGGCCGCAGTTTGCTATGTTATTGGAAGTATAGGGATGCTGTTAATTTTCCTCTATTTAAAGAAAATGGGGACGCAATACACTCTGAAAGAGCTTTAGATCTTCATCAAAAAAATCTTTAAATTAACTATAGGCTATTTTTCGTGTCATTCTTCAAAGATGTATAAGAAAGAATAAAATTAAACGTTTCGCTATGTAAATATCTATGTATAATATAATATGAACCATTGGATTTGGGATTAAAATATATAATTCTTGAAATCGCAATATATTATCATATGTGAATGTATATTGAGCTAAAATTAATTACATTGAAAAGTTTCAAATTTACAAACATCCAATAATTTGAAAATTTCGATTATTTGTATCTCTACTTGTTGAAAAGTAAAAATGCAATTAGAAGTCTTACCTTTCTGTTTAAGCAAATTTGAAGGCAATATACATATAAATTCTAATACATCATTATATATTTATACATATATTTGAACAAACAAACACATGCCGCTTTTTTTACCTTTGGAACTTCTGACAGAATAGTAATAAAAGTCAGTAGCAGTGACTATGATGCAAAATAATTGTATTACTCAATGGTATCTAGCCTATTTTCTCAAGGTAATTGGATGGCACGTTGCCGCAGATACCACGTAATTCGCCATAGAACCAATTATCATCTAATTTCTCTTGAATGTCAATAACATCATTTTCCTGAAAGTTAAGGTCCCCTTGATTTACCGCATCATAACTATATATAGCCTTAAATCTTCCAAGACCTGTTGATGATACATTAGCATCTTGCTCTGGGACATCTGTTTATAAAAATCAAGTAAATTAGTTAAAGAATAAAAGAAAATTTCAAGCAAAAGTATATCTAATGTTTTTTATAAGCGAAATGCAAGAAAGAAATAACAAGACACAATAAAATGAAGCTATAGCATGCAAAAAAATAGTTATCATCTGCAAATTTGTTGTTTGGGTTGTTTCATTAAGAGCAACGTTTCTTATCTTAAAAATGCAATAAGAATTTGGAGAATTTCAAAACTTTATAAAAGTTGCATGCTAACTCCGCACAAGCCTTTTTACCTCTTAAAAATATGTTAAATTGCTCTTGTTTTTTCATCTTATAAGCTTATTAATTTCGATAAATGGTCTTTTTTCGGCTATATTAACAACAGACTTTTTTGCAAAAATTAATTAAAATACTTATGCATAACAAAACACATTCAACAATATCTACGTTTTTTTGGAACACATTAATATGCAATTTTTGGAGCTGTTCAAGCAAAATATTTGAATGCATATTGAATACTTAATGGTGCTATAATCTAAAAAAGATAAAAATAAAAACTCTCCTGAATATTCCTCATCTGAAAATGATTTAGATAAAAAGAGAAAAAGAAATAGATTATTTTTTAACAAATCAGAAAGATTAAATACATTCGAAAATAATTTTTACACTGTGAAAAAAGTAAATAAAAACTAAACAAAATATTTTTCATGCATATAGAAAAGTAAACGATAATGGAATATACTTCTGAAATACAAGGGGTCTATGAATAAATATTTCTTATTTCTATCTATATATTTATATATTTTTATATATACTAATATATACAGTATCTACTGAAACAACATATTTAAACAACAGTCAATCCAGATTTCTTACCATCGTCGAATGAATCAAAGGATGCTAAACTGTTATCGTCTCCTAGAGGCAAGTTATATTTGTGTTTTTAAACATTAAAGTTTAAAAGAGTACGCTTTATTTGACAACAAAAAAGCTATTTACTATTATTAGTTAAGGCAATGAAAGTTATTTTGTAATGCTCATTTTTAAAAAAGCTGTAAACTAATAGAAATGTTAAAAAACAAAAAAAAAGTTGAAAAAACTTTGAAAAATTTAAACCTACTATGCTTTCTACAATATCCTTCATTGCATGCTGGACATAATTGAAAACCTGTTTATTTTAAAAAATAGTTTGCTAAATATTTTTCTTAGTTCATAAAAAAATTCTTTTTGAATGACTAAATAGCGATGCCAGTTGATGACTAACGCCCTATTGACATTTCTATATCACTTTTACCAGAAGATTAGAAGTATTCTAAAAAGATTTATACATTTTTACTTACCGAATTCATCATCGTAATCGTCACAACTCTTTTGCGGTAAAAGCCTCTCTGGTACTGTACCAGGATAATCTGGAGGATATGGCTTTCTTAGAAACCAAATTTCGTGACCTCTTTCTCCACTCTTTTCAATGTATTTTTCATACTCTGATACTGGCTTAGCACTACAATCTAATTCAGCTAGAGCTCTACTGATTTTGTACTGAGATGCTTCTAACATTTCGAGTTTGGCGTGGCACTTTACAAATAAACCAATGATTAAATAAGAGATTAAAAATGTTTTCTGAGTAATCAATTACCTGCCAATATCCGTGTCTTGCTTGATTATAAGCATCTTCATTCTTAAAGTTGTCTCTTTTAAAGACATCCATTGTCTTTTTAATACCTAAATTTGAAAAATTATTAAATTTTTTAAAAAGAAATCGAAAATCTTACCTTCCAGAGCTTTAACGGTAGTTGTAGCATCGCTTTGTAAGGAACTCTGTAGTTAATACAAATGACACAATAAAAAATATTGATATTAATAATAGTAGTTTAGATAATTACTAAATGCCCTTGTAAAAGAAATCTTCTTCTTTCATTGTCGGCAAGATTGTGAGAATTTTCCGCCTAATTAGAAAAATATTATATAATATTTTCTGACAGTATCGCAATAGTACTATTATTCATCAACTAACATAAAAAGTTATCAAAACTTGCTCAGGTTTATTACACATTGTTCCTTTTAATTCAACAACAGCGTTCATATCTTTGGTTGCATTCACTTTCCCAATACTTTCTCTAATTTTGTCTGAGCTCTGTCACACAATAGTAAAACTTAATTAAAGCTATACTGTTTCCCTCTTATCGAATAGTTTACCTGATTGACTACAGGAATAACAGAGGATATCGAATTGTTGTAGGCTGTGAGCATGTCTTTCATTTTGGATATTCTGATTTCATCCAATTTTTGAAGTTCATGACAGCCCTATATGGCAAATTAAAAGAATTATGTGTTTACCATTATACAGTAACTTAATAAAACTGACATTAAATACAGCAGTTTCGTAGGCCTGTCTTGCTTCCTCTAATTTCAAGCAAGTCTTTTTGTATTCATTGTCTGCAAATTGAGCCTTTCCATCCAACTTTTGAATTTTGTCAGCCCTTTGGACAGTATCTCTCGCTTTCTCATAATCTTTGTGACAATTGAACGCTTCCTTGGATCTATCTTTTTCATCACATCGCATTCTTTTTAAATCCTTATTCGTTTTCGTTACCAAGTCTTCGTGCTGTGATGAGACATACGTTCGGAGAGCGTAAACATACTTTATTTAATAATCAAACCGGTTTTCTATTTTTAGCAAACATCTCATCTAGTTCTTTCATTTGTTTATAAATATCATTGATTGCAATTGAAACATTCTTGTGAGCTTCTGCTTCTTGTTCCATCTCCGAAGCTGACATACCCCATGCCTCGTAAATAGTTAGTTCGGTTGAGCAATAACGGCTTAGTTTTTTGCTTATCTTTGATAAATTCTTTGAAAAATTTAATTCTGCTTCGCTCCTGGTTAGTTGTACAAGAAATATTTGTAATAAATAGATAAAAATTTATCACCTCTACCTTTCTTGGAGCAAACCGGATAAATTTTTTATGAAATCATTACTCTGTTTCATATAATTCTTCAAATTATCGAAGCCATTAGCCCCCTGCAAAGAGCAATTTCAGGAATGGTGAGAATAGATAACAAGAAATATTTTAACTATATTCTTTGTTCTCAGAATTCAAATAGCATCCAAATTTACTTACTCCAGTAGCATTGGAAGTCATTATTAATAAATCTAGTTTTTTTCAATATATCTAGCAAATCAGGTGTAAATGATCAAGTTTTCATAAATAGAAAAAAAAAACATTCGTGTTCGTTAACCGATTAGTAATATCAAAATGTCGTTTATCAGCCATAAAGAGGCTGCAAATTAAGTACAAAAGGCCAACGATAAAAAGCGACAAATAGCAAATGCTAAAAAACGTGTCTGATGCTTAATTAAATAGTATAGCACGAGTGTGTTTAGGTTTCTGATATCATGTCAATTAAGAATGTCATACCATGATAGTGATATATGGAAACTGATGGAAAGAGTCATATTTTAGATATAATAAACTCTTTTTTCAATATATTGTTGTTTTTTTTCCTAGTGATAAGAAACTACAATTATAAATTTAATATGTATTAAGCAATATATAAAGTGATAATTCGTCATTCATATTGTTTCAAACATATTAATATTATAACGGATACTTCTATTTGGATTTAGTACTTAAGGTAAGCAAATTATTACCTGTCTCAATCATTCTGAAAACCGATAAATAATGTAAACATCACATTAATAATTAAGAGAGAAATTCAAACTTTTCAGTCTTAAATAAAGTAGTTCAGAATTGTAAACGTCTGAATAATAGTTTCAGCTATACAAAATCTCTTTCCTTTCTTATAATAACAAAAATAAAAACCTTTTCTTTAGGAGAAACAACTTTTGTTACTGCTGATACAATGGGAAAGTTTTGATAAGTTGTACTATCCATTTTGAGAACCATTTTAAGAAATTATTTACTCTTTTCTAAGAGCCCTATTAGTCATGCAGGGCACGATTGTACTTTTACCGTAGTGTCAACAAGCCACCAGCATTAATCAACATAAAGGTCGTGACTTATATTTTAACAAATCAGTAATATATTTCTCACTACACAGGAACTATGGATTTTCGGGTATGTCCAAGGAAAAACCCTTTTTTATTCGTTTTTGTCACTTATTTGGATGTAAACTAGTCTAATGACATCGCATTGTGTATAACTTGGTCTATACATACCCAAAAGGAGCTTCTATATGTCTTATCAATGAGCATTAGGTCTTTTGTGGGAAATTGTTCGACGAGCGATAATGTAAAGTCATTTAAAATTCTCCGGAAAGTAGAAAACGGATGAGGTACCCGGGTACGTCTAAATTTGGGGAGGTTTCAAGATTAGCGAAAATCTTTTCAAGACAAGTTTGCATCGCTACAAACACAGATTTTTTTTGCTATCAATATCCAAATTAGAAAATCTTTATTATTGTTTTTTTTTGTAAACAAACGAAGTATGAATGGAAATTAATATAAGTTCATATTTAATCTACTTTCTAAAGGTTATATAATAAAACCACTACCATTTCTTAGTAAAATGATTGATGAATGGAAATACTATCATTAATCAATAAATAATAATAGAAACTAATAACTAAAAACTTCTCATATTTATAATGCCAATATATAGAGAATAATAAAATAAATAATGCATATAATCTATTGTGTAACATAATTAAACAAAAGGAAGAATAGTAAAAGAACGAAATTACTGTGCATATTTCGTATATAATATTAAATATGTAAACATAATACAAATATATACAGTAGATATATGTAATATATATATATAATATACATATTTATATAAATATAAAGCGCCATGTTTTTACTATTATTCTCTTGTTTCGTTCAATTTGTTAAGTAGACCTACTTTCTTTAAAGATAAGCCTCTTTTTCTTTATTTTAACTGATTATTTGAAATCTGTCGATGAACTGAACAATGTACAAATTATTGGTATTACTATTTAATTTAGCACTAGTTTGTAGTGATCTTTGTCAGATTGAAATTAATACCGATCCAAAGGAAATTAACTTGAAACATTCTTCAAGTATCAATATAAATTTCTTTGTTAATTTAACATTATGCGATAATTACGATGAATTCTTTACAAATCGTTTTATTAATATATCAACAACAAATCGAAACGTGGCATACTTGAATGATTCGACATTAAAATTGGATAATGAGACAACGTTAAATCTTAGAGGAGAGTTTATTGGGATTACTAAGTTTGATTTTATTCAAACAATTAATCAGACGAATTTATCCATTAATATGGAAAATAACAGGATAATAGTTGTATCGAATAGGAATTCGATAAAAATTGGGTTTATAATTATTCTCGGAATGTTAATAGTGGCAAATAACATAGGTTTCGGTTGTAAGCTAAACGTATCGCTTCTATTGAATATTATTAAAAGACCAATTGCTCCTGCTATTGGCTTCTTTTGTCAATTTGCATTAATGGCACCGGTTCGTAAATATTTACAGACATTTTCGAATCATAACATTTTTCTTTAAATTTTCTTTAGCTTTCTTTTATAATAGCAAAGATTTGGAATCTGAATCCTTTATTTGGTATAGGACTATTAACGATTGGATCAGCACCTGGAGGTGGTGGGAGTAATATCTTCGCTATCCTATTAGACGCAGATCTCGAATTAAGTATTACTATGAGTACTGTAAGTACTTTTGCAGCACTTGGTTAGTTGAAGATGCTATACAATATTTTGAAAATGTATTCTAATTGGAGATAATAAAACATTATTGTAGCGATGACACCGATGTGGATTCATGTTCTCGGAACAAGAATTTTAGCAGACACACAAATTCAAATACCCATAAAAAATGTATTTGTGTCACTGGCAGTTCTAACAATACCAGTAATAATTGGAATGCTTTTGACTAGATTCCTGCCTAAATTCTCAGCAATTGTTGGTCGGTATCTGAAGCTTTTTATGATAAGCTCTGGCACGGTATTTTTTGCGGTTTTACTCTACTCTAATTGGTATATGATACCACTTATAAATTTCAAGTTGATCTCTTCTTGTCTGGTCTTATCGGCATGCGGTTACTGTTTTGGATTTTTAATTGCAGTAATCTTTAAACAAGGTAGAAATAAAAACATAACAATTGCGGTTGAAACTGGATTCCAAAATGTTGCAATGAGTATTTTTCTTTTAAACGTTTCCTTCCAACATCCGGAATCTGATCTTGCAAGTCTCGTTCCAATATCTTATGCAGTGTTTGGGTCGCTCTTACCATCAGTTGCTTATCTAGTGTACGTAGTCAAGAATTGTTTTGTCAAATGCAGAAAACAGTCAACGGAACCTACTTATGAAAAGTTTGAGATGATTGACACTAGTGAAATAGATAGTTCATAAATGATAAGATATATTAATATATACAATATCTATATATATATTTTTTATTATCTGTTAATGTTTTTATTGTAATGAATAACAGTAAATTACTAACTAATCAAAGACGTACGTAAAATTTAAACTATACTCTCTACAATCCACTTTGTAGAATTCTACTGGCTGTAACATTATTGCTTCTAGGTTTTCTATTGGTTCTTTTGAAATACTTAATTGAGTCGAATCTTCCTCTTCCGAAGAACACCCTTGACTATAAGGAATTGCAGAATTTTCTGGGAAAAAAACGCCAATAACATCATTTATATTAAACTTGATATCTATGACACATTCGTTTATTCCCCCTCTTTGAACATCACATCTAGCATATTTGGCAGGCTTATAATGGTTGGGAGAGGGTCTACCATCAAAATTAGTTTGGAATATATTCGTGTAGAAAGTTGTAACTCCTTCATCGTAGACATTTTGATAATAGCTAACTTTAACAACTCGGCCACTGGTTCTAAATTTTTTATCGACTCGAAATATTAACATAAACTTCATTAGGTTGTCAGTTTTGGCTCTTGGTTTAATCTCAAACCCTTGAAATCCTGAGTAGTTTTAGAATAAAAATAGAAATAAAGAATATTAAATAAATAAAAAAAAACAAATTAAACCGATAGATGGAGTAGATTAGTTTTAAAAATATTTCTTTAAATAAATTAATTACCTTCTACTTGCTTTTTTTCACACGATGAACTTTTTATAGTCTGATTGGAAATTGAAAATAGTTAATATGAATATATATGATCTATATTTATATAAAAATATCAGCGTTATATAACAGAATTATTGATAGTTTTATAGGTATTATTAGCTTTAATATATACGTTTACATGTATATATATATATGTATACTATATATTTAAATGTATATGCTATTATCAGCTGCACATATTTAGGATTTAGGTAGGAAATAAAAAAAAAAGGTAGGTAAGCAATTAACCGTGAGATACTCGATTCCTGCTTCTTTGCTGATCAGATGTTCTGAGTTCACTAATTGGCATTCGTTGGATGCCCTTAGGTAATTTACAGCTTCGCATTTTACCTTACCCAAACACAAAAGAAGACAATCTATCTTACTCCTTACTCTCCTATTATAAGTTTGGGCAGTCCCTTTACAATTCCGGCCGAAGAAAGTCACATCTCGAATCTCTGATCCTAGATTTAATTGGGCCTGAATCAGTAAAGCACATATGTGGATGCGAATAAGGGTATTCATGTCTGCGGACTGAGAACGATTTCATAGTCCTATGAATCGAATAATTTGTTTAGTATCACATTTGTTGGCTCTTGCCAATCACTGATTTAATTAACAGTTGGATAAAAATAAAGAGTTAAACAAGTTTGATTCGATCCTGAAAGATTATTTATTGGTGCATTTTCCTATATAAAACTATAAATATATATAGATATTGGATATCGTATTGAAAATTATGAAGAATATTATTTGGATAGGAGATTAAATAAAGTAAGGTTATTTCAAGATTACGATAAATAAGTGTTGCTGCGACTGTTTGATTAGTTTTTACATTCATAGGGGATCGTCTTCAAGAGAACTTTTTGATTATTATACAATAAGAACTCCTTAAAATGTATGATTAACTCTTGAATTTAAAAGCATTGATATGAGAATATCAACTTTAAAAACATGAATATGTTGAATCCTTCATTAATTTTTCAAGCATAATAGTACGAAATCGGTTGAAAATAGTTAATTTATTACATGTAGTTAACTCGAACAAATAAGACGCCCGAACTCGGATTCTGCTGATCTATTTGATAAGGGAAAATTCTTGTAAACAACATCAAGTATAACTATAAATATTCAGTTGACGGAGAACACTTGAAAATTGAAAAAGATAACGATTTTATAACAAAAAACCGTTTGTGTTTAGATTGTTTCGAACCTGTGCGGAGGCAATCGACATATTAAATTCTTAATCGACTTAATTCTTTTTCGTATATATTATAAATACTTTATTATTTAATATATCAGCAGCTTTATTCAAAATTATCCTTTTTAATAGAGAAAAGACAAGAAGACTAAACGAAAAAAAGACATAGAAACATTATTCTTTCTCTGTTCATCTGGTATAATTTAGAATCGTGAAGAAAGAAAGAAAATTATCTATATTGCTTTCATCATGTCTTCTCAAGATTTGGTTATGTTACAAGCCAGTGGAAAAATTCTTGCCAAAACGAATTTTGCAATTTGTGAAAAGAATAACAAAACGGTCGACAAGCAATTGGAGAAAAAGAATGAAAAGCTCGATGCTCAGCGGTTAAGGTGTAATAGGAGACACATAAAGGATAAGAAGAAACTCGTTAACGAACTAGATGATATTCGTCAAGTGAAAACGCCTCCTTTAATAGCTAAGAGGGATGCTGCTCGTCTAACACCTCACGGTTCTTTTCAAAATCGCCATCTACCGGATTGGGGAAGTATGGAGAGTATATCTTCAGATATGGAGAGAGCTGCTATGTTTAAAGCTTTAAAAGAACATCAAGCGGAACTTGAAAAACGAGTAGCTAATTTTCTTCCAACTACAAATTCCTGATTTTTCAAACGGGCTAGTAATCCACAACAATAATTAATTAAATTAAAAAAAAATCACAATATCTTTCTTTTTTGAGTTTAAGAGTTTGTCTCCTACAGTCTGTTTTTTTCTTAGTTAATAAAAAAAGAAGAAAATAAAATTTTTATCCGATTTCTCGACCACGTCCAATGCAACGTCGATATCCTACAGACTTTCGTCCAGGACAGAGGTTGTCGCCTATATTCCAACAATCTAATTCTCATTATTAGACAGTCGTCAAGCACATTTCCAATTCCTCCTCGTCTGAATGAATGTAGTAATGTCGAGGTACACTGGGCGTGGTCCGACATTGTCAGTGTCCTCTTGATTCCGCGTCCGACCTGCAGGCTAATGTACAAATATTTAAAAATAAAGGTTATCTTAGCTTCAACCCCTAATATGAATGCAGGTAATTCCCTCTTACTATGTTATGAATATAAAGATTAAGAGTATAATAGGGCGAGAAAGGAAGAAAGGGACTGTACTCGTTCTCCTTCAATCGATATTAATTACATACAGAATTTTTTAGGTATAAGAGAGAAATAATGAATAAAAAGAAAAAAAAATCTACAACCAGTTTTTAAAAGGCAAACCTATGCTTTTCACGTACACTTAGTATTCTATCTAATTCCTTTTTCCATATTATTTCTTTATGGCAAAAAAAAACATCCTCTTATTCATAGAAATACTAGTTTTTTCAAATCAGTAATATTACAAGGGAGTTTATTAACCATAAAATGGCTTTCTCCATACACGAATCATATTAATTACTGAAGAATTCATTCGATATACCATCTCTCGAAAAGCTCTTTGAAAGATCCGGGGGCCAAAGATTTATGACCTTCTAGATAAGTTTCTACATTATCTCTTTGCCTTTTTCAACTTTATTTTTTTTTGCATTTTAAAATGACTTACTATTGCATTATTTTAAAAATGTTTCGGTTTTTTATAGCGTCACTTGTAAGATATGAATGAAATTTATTTTCATAGATAGCTAAATTACCGGCAGATGGCGTAGATAATAAAGTTTAAAAAAACCATTCACGTGAATGGTACGTAAGAACGTAAGATGGTTGTTAGCTTATTAATGATAAAATATTACTTATATTCGCACTTACCGACGCATTGAGAAGGCGGCACTGGCATATATTTATTTTGCAGAACGGTTGACGCTGTTTGATCGAAACGTTGATCGGCTTTGTTTTCCGCTTTTTGATTTAAAATGAAAGCAAGCATTAAGAAGAAATGACAATGAAAGTCAGAAAAAAGGCATTAGTCTTTCTTTGGAAGATAAAAAAAAATTGTTTTAAATACTAAATGAAACAGCTCACCCAGAGTAGTCGGTGTCTCTCCGTATCTCTGCAAGGTGCTACCTCTTTTACAGCAAATACTTAAACCAACCATTCCGAAAACACATAGTAAAAGTAAGCCCAATGTCAGACCTATCACGACTCCAAGGCCAACTTTTCCTTTATTTCCTATCATATTACGATCTAAAGTTTTGGATTAAAGTAAAAATAAAGTAGAATTTGTTTACAAGAATTATCAAAAATATACTAGCGCAGGCTCGGGGCCTTTCGTCACTTCCGTCCGAACAATGATTTACAGAATCGCAAACCAGATTTTCAGCGATGCATAGTCCAGTTTGACATCGGAAATCGACGCAATTCTCTTCTAATTTAGAAATATAATATAAACATTTTTTTTTCACAATTACTATCTGTTTTACACTTTCACTTTCTCTATCTATTTTATTACGGTAAGAGGAAAGAATAAAATTCTTTTCCTTCCTTTTAGCCTCTAATGAAATGTTATTATTTTGCTTACCTACTGAATAAGAAGCTAAAACCAGATGAAATCCGAACCTACCAACGTCCGTTGAATTTCTTCTAATCTTTATTGGATGAATAAATAAACATTCGTTCTCAATATTAAAATATTCGATATAAATTATCTTGTATAGTTTATAGATTATTAAACTGCGTTTTTTATTAGATTTTCAACATCCGACCTTTAACAAACATTTGTCTGAGCTATTTGCAGCTTTTTTTCTTACCTTGAATAGAATACTATCGCTCAGGCTGGTCAATTGTCGTTCCGGCTTTTTATTACCGCAGCTTAATTGAGTGACGGCTCTTGTTGAATCATTTCCATTTAAGAAGATTTCTAAAATAACTGAACAGCTCTCCCAATGAAATTGTTCGAAATGAGCAGCTAATTTGAAACGATAATTTTCCGACCGTTTAGCTGCCTCGAATAGCAAGCAAGATGAATTTAGCCCTTCCAATGCGAATTTGGTCGATTTTACAGTTGCTCCCGTCACTTTCAGACTTTCCTTTGAAGGGCAAGGATCGTCTGTAGACGGCAGAGTGTCTGAAAAAAGGAGACGCTACACCTGTCTAATCAATTAATTGATTGGATACTTGTAGGCGACAAATATTACGGTAAATCTTTCCATCTTACTAACAGAAGAGTAACAAGTTTTCACATATTATAGAAAGAGAGAAAAAAATTTTTCTTCTTTCTTTCTCTCTCTCTCTCGCTCTCTCCCTTTTTTATTCATTATAAAAGCAAAGAAAAATCAGGCTGAACTACTCTTAAACAAACATATATATAATGTTACAATAACTTACAAGTTGAGGATATTGTTGGGTAAGTTGGAGCAGTTATTGGAAAAAATAGTATAGTCAGTTGTAGAACAAGTCGCCGACGTCCTTCCATTTTGCATGCTGATGACTGACAGCGGGAAATTTTTCACTTGCTCCCTCTAGTGCCGATAAGTGAGAAAAAGTCAATGGAGAGAAATGACTGCCAGGCAAATCCAAACCGACAAAGTATTCATTCGATTTCGAACGTTATTTACCCTCATAAATCTCGTTTGCGTATTACTCATATAATTGTTAAAGACGCAAATATACAGATATAATTGCCAGAAACGTAACTAAATATAGACATTAACAGGAAAATACCATTTATAGACAACTTAAAATTCTATTTTGTACAAAAGTAAACAACAAGTTCAATTCATAAGCAAACATGTGAAAAATCATTGCTATAGCACTTTTCAAAACAATATTTGTATATTGTATCTATACGTATAAATATATATATGTAAACATATAAACATATATATATATATATATATGTAGTGTATATATACAGAGTTATGTAGACTCTGCCTCTAATAGACCGATATTACTCGAGAATAAATGTCACTAGTGAAAGAAAGGTGGACTTTTATTATAATACGTTTGTACAAGAGCATTTAAGAACCCATCAACGCGCATGCGTATGGTACCTTGTCAACACCGAATATATGAACTGTATAACCGAATAGAAATCTTTCCGCGGGATAGACTTTTTGCACTGATAATTGACGTTTTGGTAGAAAATCTTTTCTAGTCGAAAGTCGATATGCTCCTGCCTAACGAGTATATACTTATCTATGAGATTTTTTTCTTTCGGGAAGCTTTCAGATTAGACGGTACCGTCTTCATCTTCCGCATCACTAATATGCTAATGCTCTTTCCGTTTTCTACAGTTGGCCTATCAATCTTATTAACTTGACGAATTCGTTTGGATTGCACCAATATACTTATTATATAGTCTATTGGGGATTTCCAGGATTGTAGTCAATTGTACATATTATGTAACAGATATAAGGGAAATATAACTCTCTTTATGTAGAAAAAAGTCGACCCTTTTCTCAAAATAAATCCATTTGTACATGTTTGTCATTCTAGGAACTATAGAGTGTATAATAGGTAAATCGAACCGATTTGCTAATGACTATTAGAATAAGCAAAGATTATCTCTTCTTCCTCTCCGGCAACAACTTGCTAACACCCAACAACAACTTTTTACAATAATAGATCAGTGAGGCGACCTACGGGATTACCGATTACATGCCTAAAAATCCCCCTCTTACCGCGCCCTCTGTGGTATGTTTTTCCTTACCCATCTTTAGACAATATGAAAATTGTTTCATTTCTCTACCGAAAAGTAACCATAAAAGGTAACATGAAACACATGCGAATCAGCAGTTTTTCTGAAAAGTTTAATGACAGCTCTAAGCATCATAGTATACTGTAGTTTAACAAAGATACTAATGTGACTAGTATCGTGTGCTTCACAAATCTTTCTAATAATCGCAATTACCCAGTATAGTAGGAAAAAGATAAAATGACTGAGTTCAAACAGCGTTAGATCCTTATTTAAAAACCTGTCTATGTATGCTAGGTGCATAATAATAAGTGAAATAGGTAGGCCTCCCTGAATTCGTATTTTTAAGCCAATCCGTCTATAAACGAATCTTCCACCCCAACCCCCTATAGAAGAGGCGTATAGCCGTAAGAGAGAAATAACGCACATTCCAGCTAAATAATTTTACCGATACTAGCTCCACCTATCGTTGGCTGTCCTATCCTGGCTATTCGGCATTCTTCGTTGGTCCTTCAAATAAAAATCGAAATTTTCGATTCTTCATAACTTTTTCTCGGTGGAAGTGGAAGAAAGTAGATAGAAATCAACCAAGATGGCTGCTACCAATACTATGGACGCTATCAAAAAGAAGATGCAGTCGATGAAGCTGGAAAAGGAGTCTGCATTGGACAAAGCCGATCAATTCGAGCAAAATCTGAAGGATCAACAAGACAAGAACGCCAAGGTTAGTTTCATAAAGAGCCAAGTTAAACTGTGCAAAGATATATATTGTTTCCTAATACCCTATACTTATTGCATTAAACAGCAAGAAGAAGAAATCAACGATCTACAGAAAAGAATAAATCAACTGGAGGGTGAGTTAGATCAATCTCAGACTCAATTGGAAGAGGCCACCCAAAAATTGGAAGAAACCGAGAAAAAACATAACAACGTAAGTATAACGAAACTTTTCACTTTTCTTAGTTAATTATAGAGGAAAAATGAAAGAAAAGTTAAAAACAAATGGAAGTAAAAAAATGAGAGGTAAAAAACAGGCATGCAGTGTAAAAAAAATACGCTTTCTACTGCAAAAGTTAGCCTGTCTGCATGGGTATCTGGAAAGCAAACGTGTATTTATATATAGTATATATTTTTATACGTACATACGCCTATAAAAACCTAACATCCGATACTGCTCGCCTCGATCTAAATATAGAATAGGCGAATAGTTTGGCAGCCATACTACGGGCCTGTATTCGGTTATAATTACGCACTTTCTTCCAACGAATGGCGACTGAACTGTCTTCCTGCTTACCGTCCACCCTTTCTTCAACGCATTCCGTTTGTCCTGGATGCGATTTTGAAAATGTCGTTCATCTGAGAAGCTCTTGTGAGCAGATAAGAAAACAGAAATCTGATGAAAAGCAGATCGACAGGGAGGGCGATGCCTCATCAACAAAAAAAAGGAAAAAGATCCTTGTTTCACGGAAAGATTGTCCTATTCATGCCAAATATAGGAGAGGTGCTTCAATTGAATCGATTCCGGAAGGTAACGAATGCAGATGCCGCATAAAGACCACAAAAACTTCTAAGAGACCAACAATGAAAAATTCATTATCCGGCACGCCCTCTTCTCTCAGCCAATCAGTTACCTCTACAGAAAGACGTCCAGAACCTGAAGGCAGTTGTCTTCCAACAAATATTGACTCAAGTTCTTATATACTCAACGATTATTCCCTCTTTTCCGATTGCGAAGACGTTGGAGAAGATCTTGACGTTAGAGAAGAATTAGAAAAGTTACACTCCAAATATAAAGGCTTATTTAGCGTTGCCTATCTTCTCAAATCAACGTCATCTCTAAAGTTTACCATAATTGGCTCGGAATTGAAAAATATAAGCTACTGTTTAAAAAGGGTGCTCACTTTCTCTTAACAAATAATCTCTTTAATGCTAAAAGTTTTTCTAGACGCTAATTTTTCTTAAAGCGTCAATTTTTGTATTTAATCCGTTTTTATGAACGCGTAAACAGGCCGAAGCAGAAGTAGGTGCTTTGACTCGTCGAATTAAGCTCTTAGAAGAGGATTTCGAGCAGACTGCTTCGCGGTTAGATTCGGCAACAGAGACGCTTGACAAAGCATCTAAAACAGCCGAAGATACTGAAAGGTGAGATTTCTGAACGACCTCGTTCAATTCGGCTTTTCTTTTCAGACTGAGACGGAGGTTCAGTCGTTGACGAAGCGCCTTAGACAGCTAGAAGAAGATCACGAGAATAACGAGACTAAACTGCTGCAGACGAATACGAAACTCGAGGAGGCATCGAAAGCCTCTGACGAGAGTGAAAGGTTGAATGAGTCTTCTCCATAGGTGTCTTCTTCCCACGATTACCTGTATGAATGAATGTGTGAAAGTTCATTTATTCGGTTTCTTGCTTTCGTTTATTGTTATTTTTTTTGGCCGAAGAGTTCGAGTCCGAGACTTTTTTTCTTTTATTTTTGCTCTTTCTCTTTCTTATCAAAGAGTTCGTGGTTTTTAGAGAAAGAAAGTTATTGGAAAGCCGATCTTTGGCTGATGACGAAAGAATTGATACGCTCGAAACGCAGCTGAAAGAGGCCAAGTTCATAGCCGAAGACGCCGATCGCAAATATGATGAGGTGAATGAAAGATCCAACCCTCTTTCCTTTTTCCCTTCCCTTCCCCTATATTTTCCCCATATAGTTCCCCTCTTCGTATTTCGTACGTGGTCTTGGACTCGGTGCTCTTCACACATAATGCCGCCTTTTAACTAACTCGAAGATCGACAATAATACAGAGGACGTAAAGTTCTTGAAGATCGTAATTTGAATAACGATGAAAGGATCCAACAACTCGAGAAGGAATTAGAAGACACGATCCGTTTTGGTGAAGAAACAGACCACAAATACGAAGAGGTGTGAACTTGTTTCTTTTTTAATAGTTTCTTCATCACATCTGCTTTTTTATTTAAAAGATATAGAGTACTGATGAGAAAGTAGGATCCTATATAAGATTTCATTTTCACATCCTTTTTTCTTTTCTCCAATAAAACAGGCAGCTAGAAAGTTGGCCATTACAGAAGTGGATCTTGAAAGAGCAGAAGCCCGCTTGGAGGCTGCTGAAGGAAAAATAATTGAATTGGAGGAAGAATTGAAGGTTGTAGGCAACAACATGAAATCCTTGGAAATTAGCGAACAGGAGGCATCGCAAAGAGAGGAAAGCTACGAGGAATCGATCAGGGATCTGACGTCGCGTCTGAAGGAGGCAGAACACCGTGCCACCGAGGCTGAGAGAGCCGTTTCGAAATTGCAGAAGGAGATCGACCGATTGGAGGATGAACTTCTCGCCGAGAAGGAGAAATACAAGGCAATCAGCGAAAATTTGGATCAAACCTTTACCGAATTGGCTGGCTTTTAAACAAGAATATTTTAAGAATGAAAATAACGAAAACAACGACAAAAAAAAACAACCAAAATTCTTTTCTCCTTTTTTCGTCTCTCTATCTATTTATCTATCTATCTAATAATGATAAAATTCTTTTTTTTTAAAAAGTCATCTTCCGTTTTTAGCATGTAGCTTTAGAGTGGTTCTTTTCTTTTTGTTTCTTCAGTAGTTTTCAATGTGCTTTCTAATCTATCTCGCATACTGCAAGTCTGACATACAAATAATGACAATTAACATTGAAAAAGCAAAAAAAAGCTATGAAGTTCAATAAATTTGCATTCTAATATTTTGAGAGAGAAATCAGAATTATTTATCAGTTGCAATACAAAATAGAACATTCTATTTATAGATGTAGGAATGGAATGGAAAGAAAAACATGCTTACTCTACTCTACTTATTCTTTTTAGATTTTCATTTATATAAAAGAATTTTGTTTTTACAATCCAAGATTACTTCTTTAGTGTTTCTAGACTTTTATTCAATTTCGATATATTTAATGATGATATATTACAAGTAACAAGGAGTAGGCCTAAATCTCTGTTATGTTGTAAAAGATTGTGATTGGCATGTAATATCGCTGTTTTATGACATTATGTCTCGCTCTCTAAATACATTACTAAGGAGACGCTTGACGCGTATGTATGAAGAGAATAACTTGTTTGAAAAAGAGAGATTATCTAATTAAGATTTTTAACTTCCATTGATTAAATTTTTGCAAAATAACTTGCTTTTGACAAGTTCTTTTTATTCGTTAAGCTATTCATGACTTTTAATTTTACCTTCACTTAGGTAAATACCTTACGGCACACCGTTTTAAGTCTCACTTCGATCTTATCGTTTTGGGGGGAGGTTCCGGAGGCTTAGCTTGTTCTAAAGCAGCAGCAAAGTTCACAGATCGCGTATGCGTGATTGATTTCGTTCGACCTTCTCCAGTCGGAAATACATGGGGTCTGGGAGGAACTTGTGTCAATGTGGGTTGCATCCCTAAGAAGTTAATGCATCAGGCAGCTTTAATTGGCGATGCTATCGATGATTCATCGTCTTATGGTTGGGAATTACATGGGAAGATCAATCATAATTGGGATAGCTTGGTATCTAATGTTCAACAGCATATAAAACAATTAAACTGGAACCATAGAGTAGATTTACGTTCAAAGTAATGATTTTCCATCGAGAACAATTTACTTTTTCAATTAACTCCCTATTTCCGTATTCATATCCTTTATAATAGAAAATTATTGACAACAGAAAAGTTCAGTACAAGAATGCCAAAGGCATGTTTGTAAGCAGTGACACTCTCAGGCTAACAAAACAAAATGGTGAAAAGGTTTTTACTTCATCTTCATTCTCATTATTCAATAAATTCTAAAATATCGGCTTTCAGGAAGAAATAAGTGGAGAAAAGATTGTTATAGCTGTTGGAGGAAGACCAACTTATCCTAATGTATAATTATTTCATTAAATACTGCATAATTTATTAATTTATTTATTACTACAATTATTTAATAGATTGAAGGAGCAATTGAATGCTGCATTACTAGTGATGATATTTTTAGTCTTAGTAAACCTCCTGGCAAAACACTCGTTATTGGTGCCAGTTGTAAGTATATTTTAAGCTAATTGGGCAGAAAATTGTGTAATTTAACAAAAAAATCAAATGCATAAATCACTTTTACTTCAGTTACTTAATATAGCTATTGCTATTATTATCCTTATCTAGCAGACTGTAAGCTCACTATTTTCCCATTAGATGTTGGCCTAGAAATAGCTGGTTTCCTAAACGGTCTGGGGTATGAGACTTCATTAATGGTACGATCGATTCCCCTTAGGGGCTTCGATATCCAATGTGCCTCGCTTGTAATGCAAAATCTAAGTAACAGAGGGATAACAATTCTGGAAAAGAAAATACCAAAACGTTTTTACTTGAACAATTCTTCGAAAGTTGTGGTTTATGAATCACAAGATGGTAAAGAAGTTGAAGAATCATTTGATACAATAGTACTTGCCACTGGTCGAACAGCAGACACATCTGGTTTAGGTTTAGAAAAGATCGGTGTAGAACTGGACGAGAATAAGAAAGTTATCGGTAATTTTGGAGGAGAATTTGAAAGAACTTCAATCGACAACATATATGCCATTGGCGATATTTTAAAGGTATCAAGATAGGCTCGTTTAAATCACTTCTGACTTTATAATTATTAGGGAGGCGTCGAGCTGACACCAGTGGCAATAAAGGCCGGTAAACTATTAGCAAAACGTCTATTTGATGAAGGCACGGAACATATGGACTACAAAGGAATACCTACAACTGTGTTTACACCACTTGAATACTCTTGCTGTGGACTAGCAGAAGAAAGTGCAATTAGTCAATACGGAAATGACTCCATAGAAGTAAGCTTTTTATTCTATTTGGCTTAATACATGAACAAAGTCCAGTTATTTTACAATAATTAAATAATTTATTAATCTTTTGTTACTATTTTCTTCTCAGGTGTATCATGCTTTTTATAGACCTCTGGAATTTATTCTATCGAATAAACGACATCAGGAATGCTATATAAAGGTAAAGATTGCTGTGTTATAATAAGAATCCATTCTAATTGATGGCTTTATCAGATGATAGTAAACAAAGCCGACAACGACAGGATTCTAGGTTTACATTTCTTGGGACCACATTCTGGCGAAGTTATGCAAGGATTTGCTGCGGCAATAAAATCAGGTGTTACCCTGCAGGGCATAGAAGGAACTGTAGGCATACATCCAACTTGTGCTGAGGAAATCGTCAAATTAAATATAACAAAACGGTCGGGTTTAGATCCAACAGTTACTGAATGCTGAAGTTAATTACTACCCTTTCTTTATCTTAGCTGATAAGGATTAGGGTAGGTAATAACAGTTTCTATTATTTTCATGTAATCACTGTTAATGACGAACGTTGGTTAAACCTAGAACAGCTAACGATTCTGATGGTGCAGTGAATTTTATTGTAAATTATAATTGACTAGTAGACTCTGTACAGAGAATTATATAGTATATTAATAAATTCTTTTGTAACATCTACATAACGTCGACGATTAATGATACAAATCTACTTCATTCGAAGAATTATTCCATGAAAAAGTAGGACGAAACGGGAACACAAATAAAAATATAAACGTCTCTTTTGAACTTGTTAGTAACACTTTCATGCAAAATTATTATTTTTTAATTTTACTGCGTATTATTCTCTGTAGCATTTTCGAAACTAGCCACTTGTCGGTCCTTTTGTTTATGTCCCTGCTGTATAGGTTTTCTAACTTTTTCAGCTTTTCGGAATATTGTTATTTCCTAGAGAAAAGAAGAAAAGGAAAATTATTAAATATATACAGATATACATATTTTTTTTATATTAGTTATGTTTCAATATCAAAGTAAGCTTTCGTTTAGTAGTTTATACCCGGGAGCCTATATTTTTAATTAAAGAGTACACAATATCTATCAATACGAAGTTCAAAGCCTAAAATAATATATAAAACCAACTTGTTGCTTAAAATACCGCCGTTCCTCATCGTCAACAAGCACTAAATTCAGGTAATAACGAACAGAAAATTTTTTGTTGATATCCTTCATGGTTGGTGTTAGCTCATATCCACTAAGAAACAAACGAATTGGAATGGATTCTCCTATAAAGAATAGTTAGAGAAAAGTCGATGTTTAATATAGCAAATAATTTTATCAATAAATATTAATCACCTCTGACTGGAGCACCATCCATAATTTCATATTTAGCTATAGTATCATTTTCACTAAATGAATTCTGACCTGTTTACATTGCAATTTCATAAAAAAAATAGTATATACAAATAACAACTGAAGTATTCATTACCGGCTCCAGTAGTTTCCCTCTTAATTATTTGAATTTCCATATATTTTATTTTAATTCGTACTAGAAGAAAGTATATTTTACCAACAATAACGTCTTTCAAGTGATATCTATATGAAATCATAATAATAAGATTTATTTGTTAATAATTATTTAATAAAACAGACTTTGACTTATTGTATTCAAACTCAATGTGCAAGCAATCTTCTATTCCAACTTCCATTTTTATAGAATTATTCATTTCTGGGTATTGGGCTAATGTATGCACAATCATATCAACTTCTTTCACTAAATCCGTTATTCTTTTCACAACTGTCACTCGTAAAAAGTATCTGCACAATATATGTAATATATGAATTTAATAGCAAATAATATATAACGATTGATGGAAATCGTTAGATGGCGCCTTAACCTATTGCTTTCTTTTATGTTGCTTTTTTATATTCTTTGTCCAGTATATTCAATAATATATAAGAATAATTACCTTAATCTTACATTCGCTCCTGTATAACTTTCATATGGCTTTTCTACTTGAACAAATTCGAAATCATAACTAGAATTTGAAGTTATTTCACCCGGTCTTGCCAATTCTTTGACTAAACTTGTAAACTCATGATGGTTCCCGCGGTCGTAATACAATTCTAAACAGATGAAAAATATTGCTTTAATGATGCAAACTGTAATCTTATATTTTTTAACGATCCTTACCGATTTGACCTATAAATTCTATCTTAATGCCTTGATGTTCCAGTTTTGAGCCAGCTTTCCTCATATTAATATTTACCTATTAGTTAGAAGAAGGAGTGAAAATGGAAACATTTCTATATTCTAATTTTAATTCTTTACCTTTCCGGAAACTGTCTCGCCATCATAGTACAAGTAACATCTTTCTTTCTTTCCATCATCAGTTTTGATATCAGCTAATTTACGAGATTCATGGCCGTCGAGAACTACTTCGATATCGGCGCTTGGGCCAAATCCAAAGAAACTCTAAAGGTAGGACAACAAAAAATAAATGTATATACAGTAAAGTACATATACAATATAAATAAACACAAAATCTCTTCCTGTAGTTAATTGTTTCTGCATGTTCAATTGAAGCTAGTTTACACATAAAATACAGGAATTATTCGAGACAGTTATTCCTTGTTCTTACATATACTTAAATCAAATTACTAAAATTATTTTTATTTACACCGATAGCGTTCCGTATCATTAATACGGTTTCTTACTAACTACTTAGAATAAAAAAATGATACTAGTCAACAGAACATAGTCACATGACTAATAGTGTTCTTAAAAATACGCTTATACATAAGTTTCTCTTATACCTAATAATAATTAATATTTTCCACAATGAAATATATCGATTTAAGTCATTTAGAAATAATTAAAAATGAAAGTAAGTCAGAGCGTAAATATTGTGGGAGTCTCCGGCATATATTCCTTGATTATATAGCAGGAAAATTTAAATTTTCAATACGAAAATCATTAAATTATTAAATATTGTGCAACAAATAATAATCATCATTTGAGATTGAGATGAACATTAAAATTGTTTAATAAACGGCAACATACCATTTTTCTATCATTTGTGTGCAATTCCCAATCGAATTTGTGCGCATGTCTGGAAATCTGGCGCCATCTTTAGGACATTTATTTTCGAATTAAAAAGTAACAATTTAACAGTTGAATATGGTTCATAGGTAATTAATTAGTTCAAAAAAAATTATCAATCTAAAAAGAATTATACGAAAATAAACATCAAGTAACATAAATAATATTTTTTACAAAAAAAACTAAACTGGTAGTATTAATTGTAAAACTACACGATGAATGCTGGCTGCAAGATGTTTTCTTGAAGCCAAAAGAACCTAAGTAAACTTTTCAGAAGGGTTCTTAATTAATCTGCATAAGCCTTTCCATCTGGGTAACACCCTTATACCAGATTATCATTTAGATGATTTTATTCGGATCGCTGATATTGTATTTTAATGAGAGCTTTTTTATGAAATAACTGTAAAGATTTTGAATAAAATGAACTTTATTATTAATTATATTAAACGAAGAAAATTACTCCGATTGTTTAAATAATGGTTATATTAGCTTATTTAGAGAAAAAGCAAAAGCAACAAATTAGTAATACGAGCTTAGAAAGCAAATTTATATAATATATATTTTTTAAATCAATTCCTTTATTTTCGAATTTCCTTAAAATTATTCGTCATCATTAGTGTCAAGAAGTATATGTCTTTATTAGCTCCATAGTCTATCCTATTCGCCGCCCTATTTTATGTTAAGTGTTTTATGCAACATACTACAGCATAGTCATCCCGCAATCCATCAAATGGTTTTTGTCCGTTAAAAACCCAAAACTTAGGATAAACTCTTTTGATCTCGATATAACCAAATAATCTTAAGTCCATTTCCTGAAGAGAAGTAATTGGTATAAGTTCGTAGAGGAGTATTTAATTTATTCCCTCAAACTTACCAGAGTCACTGGATGGGCGTCTACCGTTATAATACCGTCAAAACCTTTTTCTACGCCTACTCTAATCTTTTCCTGACCTAATTTATATAATATCATTGCGTTCTCATCCCCTTGAAGAGAATCATCAGTAAATTCTGCGAAAGAATCTAGCCATCGACCCTCTTTACAGTATTCCTCAATTACAGGAAGTTCAAGTTCATTGAGAATATTTCCAACCATCTCAGCAGGACCTACAAAAGATGGTTCGACGGGAGCTGCTAAATCAAACAACATAGTTCCTCCAACAACCTTTCCATCGTTATTTTCAACCACAAGCGATACACCACTGTCAAGTGTATATTTCCATCCCGATTCTAATAGATGGTAAAAACTTTCGGTGGTAACACCGGCAGCTACATCCAATGGCGTTTTCGTTAAAAAGGCCAATGCGCATTGTCTGAAAACCTCTGATTTATCATCAGCTCTCAATGGTCTAGTATGGAATTTATCATTATTTATATCAGATATTTGTATTTGATTCTGATTCTCCACGATTGTTTGAATGACATCATCCAAAAGCTTACAATTGAGGAACTGAGATATCGTAATTGAATAGCCAACTTCCTTTAGTCTAGCAACAGTAATTACAGCTGAAGTTGACGTTCCACCTAAATGAAAAAATGAATCTTGGACGCTTATCCTTTCCAGTGGCAGACATAATTCTGTACAGATTATCGTCAAAATATACTTTTCTATATTATCCGGGTTAACCGATTCCAGTGAACTTTTTACGTTTTCAATATAAGCAGCTTCAGTAGCTTTACGATCAATTTTTCCGGTGTGTTTCTGTAAAGCGATCTTAGGCAATCTAGCAACAACATTAGGAACGGAATATTGTGGTAGGCCATCAGCCAAATAAGACTCTAATTTACGCTCATCAATTTGACCCTCATAGCAGAGTATAAGACGATTTTCTGTATTGGTTTCACTTCTATTAAATAGCACGCTTCTCTTAACATCCGGATGAGAATTAGCCAGCTCTTCGATTTGTTGCAGATTAATCCGATGACCTCTTATTTTAATCTGCCAATCTATTCTTCCTGAATAATATAGATTTCCATCCTCAATGAAGGCCATGTCACCCATTTTAATCGGCTTATTCTCTCCATATAAGACTAAATTACCATCACATATCGTTGCTGCACAAACATTAGAACCAGTTACCAAAATCTCTCCTACTTCTCCTAACTTCACGTGTTGTCCATAATTATCAATTAACTCTATAATAGTATTTTCTAGAGGTACTCCAATGCTTACGATTGAATCGTGGCTATATTTTACAACATCTTCAATGCTCCGAAGAACAATAAAGGTAACATCGCCGGTTGTTTCTGTACTACCAAAGAAATTAATAAGCTGTGAACTCGGTAGGATTTGAAAGAATGATTTTGCCAATTCCTCGGATAGAGCCTCCCCACTTGACACAACTGACTTGAGTGACGTCAATTTCGCAATAGTAGTTTCTTCCATTTTACAGGCCGTTTGTTAAGATTGAGGTATTTCGATATTATGAGCATTGAAACGACAAATTTTTAAAAACAATTACTGTAAAACTTTAGTAACTCAATCACAACGAAATACCTCGAGAATATTCTGAAGAAGAGTAGGAACAACAGTAATTTTAGTAATGTTATACCTTTCAATACTATGGGCAAGTTTTTCAACATTTTTCACAGTTTCCGACCTTAAAACGACTATAGGAGTCGAAGAAAGAAGTCCAGAAAGGAGTTCTGTTAATGAATCAACAAACAAAAGACTAGTTTTATGGCAAACTATATCGTCATTTTCAAATGGTAGATTATCCCATTGCCATTGTAATCTGTTTTCTATGTTTCCATGGGTTAATATAACTCCCTTAGGAATTCCTGTTGAGCCAGATGTAAAGAGAATGGCTGCAGCGTCGTCACCATCCGTTAATATTTCGTAATCATTAATCAATCCCTTTTCCGAAGACACTTCGAGGTTGCTTGAATGAACCACGAAAACATCTTCACTGCATTCCAGTAGTCGGCGTTCTCTCTCCTCTGAATCTGTAATAATACATACTGGTTTGGCGGTTTTGAGAATTGTCTTGATCCTAGATTGAGGTAGAACGTCATCTAAGGGAACATACGCTCTACCTAACTTCCACACTGCTAATTGCACAGCTATTCTTTTCTCAGATGGATCCATCCAGATTGCAATTGTTAATTTATCATCCTCAAAGGAACGACCGAAAAAAAACTCTAGTCTTTCTTCAGGAGTATTTCTTTGAAATATAAGCAACTGCAGGTTAAGTGCTATCTTTTCCATTAATTCATCCATTTGTCTATAAGTTAAGGAATATTCATCAATGAAAACTGCAGATTTATCTGGATTACTTTTAACCGCTTTCTTCCATGCAGAGGATATTGTCCAAGTTCTTTTTCTGTTTATCATACCTCCGTTTAGGAGCGATTCATCACTTTTTACTTTCAACATATTTGGTTTACTCGCCATCTTTGATTTTAAAAAGATATATAGGCCACCAAATCCATTACATGAAGATAACAATGCACCCATGTTGAACTACGGTATTTTCACCTTTGATCCTTTAGTTTCTATCTATATGTAGAATAAACGACAAATGCCTGAATGGGCCGGCAAATTCTGCCCCTCATGTTTTATTTATGCGAATTTGTAAATGAAGAATATTGGAGATTAGATTGGCAACGAGGGCGAACGTCAACTAATCACCGAATTCCACCAATTTTCCCATAAATTACATTCGATGTATACTTAAATTATCTTTGAGTGACATTTTTTCGATCTTTCCTATAGATATTTTCAATATTTAATGATATCAATTTATTTTTATGTATAACAACTTATTCTTTTAATAGTTGGACTTTAAATTTGTTTATACTTTCTATTGTTTGAAATTACTATAACATTAAAAAGCAAGATATTTAAAGTTTGAAAGAAGAGAAGGAAGAAGGCTAGTTGGTTCATTTGTAATAAAAGTTATAGAACTCTGCTTTATATATAATATGTTATAAATGTATAAGAGAGTTTTAATTCAATTTATAGTTCTCCCTTTAGATTAAATACTTGACTATTTAATTTTTATATTAGGTCAAAGATAAAGAATTAACAACTTTTTTTTATATTTTTTATCTTTATTTATTTTTTTCTTTTTTAAAAAAATTCACGTTTGCGTCTTTTTTTTACCTAACAAAAAACGTATTTATCATCATTTACAATCAGTATATAAAACTCTTCGAACCTGAAACCCATTAACTATGGCCGCCATCTACCGGTTATTTAAAAAAAAATAGAAATGACATTATTTTTCAGAACATTAAAAAGATAATGTATCATTAGGACATTAATCATTTTAACCTTGTAAAAAGGTTAAGACAAGAAAGAAGAATAGAAATAACAAAATTGTCAGCCTTGGTTCGAATCTAACACGACACTTTTTGCATTTCTTCTGCTTAACAAGTAGTTTAAAAAGAACATCCTCTTGTAATTAGTTTTAATACGAGACAACAGAAAAATTTTAGGTTTGTCGACACGCAAAAATGTATAACTAAAAAAAAACATATACACATAAAACTGTCTATATACATTTAGAAAATTGTACAAAGTGACCTGCGCCGGAAGTTAGAAAGATAGAAGATTTCCGGTAAAACCAACCACAGAGTAAACATACGAAAAAAGGTATACCAATATAAAAAAGGACCGGAAAATGAGAAATATAGTCAAAAATCCAGTTAATTTTTGTAGTTTTATAAATTTCTACAAAGCCCATGTGTGTTTCATATTCGTATGAACATATTGTTCCGAAGGGAACATGAACTTTTTACCGCAAACGTCACATCTGAACCTCTTTGGAGTATGTTTGGATCTTTTATGGGCAGATAGTCGTATTTTATCAGAAAATTCCTGCCTACAAACATCACACTTTTCCCCTTTTTCCGGTGATTTATACATATCGATAAGATGCATCTGTTGCATATGTTTTATTCCATCGCAACTCCTAGAAAATGTTCTTGGACACATCTTACAAGAGAATCTTTTAATCTTCTGATGAATTTCCGCCATATGTCTTGTTAAATTCCACTTATTGGAGAATATTTTGTCACATTGTAAACATTTATTATCATTAGTAGGAGCAGAGAGTCGAATGTTTGCTTTGTTCGCAGCATTTTGGCAAGTATGATTTTTAAGAGTTTCCTCTTTAGCAAAAATTCTATGACAGGCCTCGCATTGAAATTGGTTTTCCGCTAGATGAGCCCCCCTTAAATGACTTAGCACCGCTGAAACAGATTGGAAGGTCTTTGAACAAACGGGACACTGTTGTTCCTCTTTAGCCAAGTAATGACGTCTAGTAGCATGAAGTGTAGCCGCTTCGTAAGTTTTAAAATTCTCTTTGCAAATATCGCACTGATAACCTTCGAAATAATCATTTGAAACCTTTACAACATAATTATCTGGTTGAGAACGTTCCAAATCGTCTAAATGAACTTCTCGGACATGATCTTTAAATGTTTCTGAATCAGAAAAGGCCATTGCGCATTTACGACACTCTAAAGTTGGATCTGGAAGTTCACCATTCTCTTCTTCTCCGTCAACACCATTTTCAACTTCTTCTTTTACGGGCTTACTCGGACTAGCTACTACTAATGGTGAATCAACAGCGATTGTTAGAGTGTCATCCTCACTATCGGGCTCTTTAGCAGAGTGTACTTCTTTTAAATGCTTAACCCAAGTTGCTTTTCTTGAGAACATTTTACTGCAAATTGCGCATGTATGCTTTTCTTTAAGATGAACACCCTCCATGTGCTTAACAACATCATATGTTGCCCGACCCTTTAAACCGCATATTAAACATTCTCTGTTCTCTTTAATTTCATTCATATCTAAATGATTCTTTGCAATATGTAGGCAAACAGATTTGATAGATGGAAATCTATTTTTACAGAACGTACACTCAAATTTATGACCTGTTGTTCCTTTCAGAATTTTAGCATACGTTGATGGAACATAAGCTTCTAATTTTGCTAAATGAATCTTTATATGCTTATTAAATTCTTCCTGATTGTCAAACTTTATACTACATCCTAAGCATTGCATCTTACCATGAGCATACTTTTGACGTTCTTCATGATGACCAGAATTTGTATGAGGTGATTCTGTTTTGTGGTGACCAAGAGAAGATTTCTTTATCTTAACAATAAGCCTTTCAAGCTTATCCTTTTTAGGACTTACTGGTATAGGCTTTACACTCTTTGTTGGCCTATGTGAAGATGATGAAGATGACGAAGATGAAGATGGTAAACCTGTATGAGGAAGAGGTAGGGCCAATTCTTGTTCATGAGAATCTTTTATATGTTTAGTCATGTTGCATTTTTGAGCGAATTTCCTCTGGCAAAATCGGCATTCATAATTCTTTTCTTTTAAATGACTTGTCTTTATATGATAGACACAGTCATAGACACATTTATACTTATTTAAGCAAAGTGGACAAGTTAAAGAAGATTGCGTTGAGACGTTCGGTAGATGGCGATGTCGAACATGGCCCCCAGCTGTCTTCAAAGACTCAAATCTTGTATCACACATTTTACACACATATAACTTTGTATCTCCTGAACAATCAACTGTTTCAACGTAAGTCGAAGCGAGTACTTTTTCGATATCTTTAAGATGATAGAGTACATGATCCCGGTATTCATCGACATCTTCGTAAACTTTATCGCAAGATAGGCACACAAACTTGGAATATTTTGACGTTTTATTAGGGCTAGATTTATCTATTTGGCCAAAATCCACCTGATAAATCGGTTCGGGAAGTGACGAAGAAGCGTCATCATCTAGAATTTCATCAATACTCCTCGCTAAGGACTCTGGGGGCACGTACCTGCTAAATCTAGGCCTGTATTCATCGATTGGCTTCGGCAACTCTCCCATGAAAGGTTGTCCCGTACAGTCCAAATTTTCATCCAAATGTATGATAATCTTACCGACTACAGGTAATCCAATATAGATAAGGGCGTTCAATTGTATATCGACATTCTGTGGAAAGTTCGATTTAACCAACAGCAAGATGGCGTCGGGTAGCTTGGTCTTGAGCGATTCGATAAGGATATCGTTATCTGCGCCAGGTGAACATAATGTTCCACCTCCACCATATTCATCAAGAATATGCATGGTGAATGATTTCCTGAGGGCTGGGGCTGTTAGGATCAGCAGTGCTTCTATCCTGTCGTAGGGTAAGAAGGTATGAACCTGTAATTTCATAGCCTGTTCCAAAATCGGTTTAATTCGGTCGGTGATACTTCTTAGGTAAGTTTCCATGGCGAATCGTCTAGTTTTAGAATCCGGTGATCCTGCCGTAGGAAAGGCGGTGCAGCCGGCCGAATCAATACTCGACTGCGGCGCCACTCTCTCCAGATGTATTCTGTTTAGCCTGTGTGTGACTCATTTCGCTAAAATAGGTCAGACGGTCGGCCCGAATTTTCTTACGAACCACTTTTCTCTTTATTTTATTCCCCTACTTTGTTAATATCATCATATCGTTCTTTTAACAAACCTATTCTTACCCTCTGGTTTGTTTTCAATTCAGCGCTTTCCTTTCCAAGACTTTCCCTTCTTTTACTTCCGCTTCGCCAATTCAGTAAAAACTTGACAATACTCTTTTTCTTATGGGAGTTCTGCTATAGAACATCTACGCGGGTAGATGTAACAAATACTGTTATGAAAATGTATGGCGTACGTATCTCGTCCATACGCATATATGTGTGTATACGTACGTGTGTGTATGTGTGTATGTGTACATGAGTCTTCGTATGTTTTTGTCTGTCTACGATTTGTGTTTGAGTATATGTTTCACATATAGGCAAAAGAAGTAGTGATTTGGCGCGAAGTATAGGTTGAAAACAAGGAAAACAACGTATCCGGTCAGGTGGAAGGTGATTGCTTGGTTTACAACACATACTTCATAGTAGGGAAAGTTCAGCTCAGGAATCATCATTTCCACTCTAAATAAAAGAGAATGCATCGCTTGATAATACACTTCCACTATTTTCCCCACTCTTATTCTTTCTCCTTTTTTTCTTTGCTTCTATCTATTTATCTGTCTATCTGTCTGTCTGTCTATCTATCTTAAGTCCTTTTAAACTAATGTATATGATTTCAAGCAAAGAAGCGGTCATATCCGGTTTGATCCCAGTACAAAAAAATTGAGGGAAAATTTTTTACTATCGGCGTGTTTTATTGTTATGTAGAATATCTTCTTATGAATGTAAAAGGAGGGCTAGGATTGTTGGTAACAAAGGAACAAATGGCAGTTATTCCAACTATCTCCCCCCTGTATTTCTAATCTTGTACCCCAGCTTTTCCCCTCATACCCCCACTATCTTCTTTTCCTATCCCACCCCCTACCCCTTTTTGCACCGCCCTTCCCTTATATTTCCCGCATCTTTTGTATTTCTAATATTCTCATAGAGAATTGTTTTACAATTTTTACTGTGCAAAAATACACTTCGTGATGAAGATATCGCTTTAGAACGCAATGTATACAAAGTTCGTGAGGAATATTAAAAAGAAAATTAAATTGGGTTGAAAAGTTAAATTGTTCCAGTTCATTTTATTTTTAACATATGAATCATCATCTTTTTTCTACTCCGTTCTCTCATCCTTTCCATTTCAATTTGCATCTTTTTCATCAAATTCCTCTCCTATTTCAACTTCATTTTTAGCAACAGAGTGATACTGAATACTCTTTACCCTTTGTTAAACAACTTGGGCTATTACTCCCAAAGATACCTTTCAAAGATGATTCTGCAAAGAGTTGTTACCCAACTGGGATCATTCTTTACATGATGCTGGATCCATTTCTAGAAACCGATAAATTAAGAATATAAAAATTCCCCAGTCGAACAAATTTACAGCCAACTTTATCGATTTTTGGTATCGGGATACGTACAAAGTCGACCTCCGTCTAGCTTTCAGTCGATTTTTTTCCCGCTACGCCTAAGCGCCGTTGCCTATGGAAACGTACTACGGTTGAACTCTGTACGAAGTCTCCTTGCCGAAAGATTAAGAGAGAGAATCGCGTTGAAGGATTGTACAGTATATAAGATTAGATTAATCCGAGAAAGGCGCGAAAGTGTAGGCCTATCACAACGATCTTTTGCCAATATTTTATTTACGCAGCTTAGAAAAGAAGGAATGGGAAGTAGGGAGAATAAGGAAAAGTCATTAAGAGCGAGAGATAAAATAGTATAAAGAAAAAGAAATGCCAGTCTTTGCTTACGTTAACCCTATAACATCCTTTTTTTGGGACATAAAAAGTATAAAATTGCACGCGTTGTACGCGAACCCTGAATTTTGCATCGGCCACCATAGGCCTAATTTTAATATAGTACCAAAGCTGAATAATCGGAATTAGTTTTGCAACGGTAAACTATCGAAAAGCGTATTCGGAAGTGGGAGTTGTCTAATGATAAATTGACTGAAGGTTGAAGTAGGCCTCTCCCACACTCGCTCTCTTTAATTTAATGATTATAAACTATATGGTATTAACTGAATATCATCCAATAAATTTCTTCAAAAGAAGTTCATATGCTATTAAAACGACTAATTTGTTTGGTGAGAAGAGCTAAGCTCAAAGAAATAGAATGAAAAATATATTACGACAAAAGAGACATATTTTTTTATGAATTAAAAGAAGCGCAGTTAATTCGTAGTTTTAATAATTCAGATTAAGTAACTAAGGAGCTTTTATGAAATTTGAGAATTTATAGCTTGTGATATAGTTTTCATTAAAGATTTCTTGTATTGTCAAATTAACATGAGTGAAGATACTTTTCTATCATTATACCATTGATACCAAACACTTTCATTCGTATTCCATGACACTCGATGCTTGTCCTGGGTAGTCTTAAACAAGATACGATATATACAATACTATAGATGTACTGTAGCTATTAAAAAAAGTTTTTGACGATATTATCTTATTATACATCAATAACTGTGTGTAACAATATAAATAGCTATTTAAAGCATTTTTACAATTAGACAGCAAAATAGATAAGAGTAGGGTGTGTATAGCCGCACTGGGATGTCGCTTTTTAGGATTACTCAAACGGATAACCAGAACGAGAGTTTCTAATACTTTAAAAGCATTAACGGATGCTCTTAATTTAAGAATTCAACTTCATCTTGATAGCATTGAGTAGCCTTGCCCAAAGATTAATAGCATGGAATTTAATTTAAGCAAGGTCTAACGAATATCGTAAAGGGCGGAAACGAGGTCTTTTCTTTCCATTAATCGCCCTCCCTCAAAAAGACGATAATCTCCCAACTTCCGTTCAAAGTTCCTTTGTGAGAGAAAAAATTTCCGTTTCACTCATCTGAATGATATTCTTCCTCTATTTTTTTTCATTTCAAAGCGTAGAAGGAAGAATAAATAAGGATTCTGCGAAACCATCAAGCTCATTTATAAATCTTCGTTGAGAAAATTAAGAATCTTAATTACTTCTTTGAATTGTGTAATTATTAATAAAAAAAAGAATATTATTATAGTTATCTCGACCTTCTCTTATATCTGGTAAAGAGTAAGAAAAACAGAGAGAAAATCTTCTTAGCTCCTTCTCTCTTCCCCCAATAAAGAATTAGCTTCTCTGTCAAGGTTCTTTGTTGAGAAAGACGCAGCAAGAAAGTCACTCGAGAGGGAGAACAATACTATTTATCGGTATTGAATAACTACGAATTCTTGTTTTACCTTATACACAATTATACTACGATAATAGGTTCTATATTATTCAAGTAAACCACTTAATTTTCCTGATAAAACCTCTCTATTATGCAAACGAATGTGCTTCCTTAACCTACTATTAAAATATTTATAGTGGAAGAGATGCTTCTTTATTAATCTCCCTGAATTCGACACTTAGTATGGATGAAATTTTATTCAATAGTCGTGATTTATCTATCGCCACCTAGGGGATAATTACGAAAAGAGTTTTATTTAATTTTGACCATTGCTAAGCGATGATAAGTATAATAGTTTAGTCACGAATTAAGCGGAATTGATTTGTTGCCGTCTTTAATTAATTATATATTCCTTTAAATGCAGTCAAATATCTTTAGTGAATATTTTCTAAACATCTATGATATAGCTAGATTTATCCCATCGGGAGAGACGCTCGGATCATAGGATTACTGCTTTTCAAAGAATTCTAAGCAGCTCTTTCAAGCTTCCATCCCATCACCCCCAATATCAAACGAAACAGACGAGAAAATAGAATTTCTCTCAAAATTTCTATTATATCCATTTCCCAATCTCATATCTGTTGTGTACAAAGACATTAATATTTGATGCTTTGTCTTGATATACTTTCATATTTTAATATATATATATGAATATATTTATCTATATGATGTGAGATAAATAAAGGGCGCATAATTAAAAAGGGAAACCTGCTTAAAAGCACATATTACAATAGAATTTACTATTAAAGTTAGATAGACTGGGATTATTTATAGAAACTTGACAAATATTTCAAAATTACGTAAATAATATAAGATAGGATCTTATAGGTAGATCTTTTACATATAGTATAATTGTAGTTGGATATTTTCTTCAAAGAGAGAGAAAGAGAGAGAGAGAGAGAGCTTTGACGTTTTCAGACTGGCTAATGAAATTTAAATTGAATAACTCTAATTGGTTTCAAATAGATGTTTTTAGCTTATGATATTAGAGAGTTTATATTGTATAAACGATATCAAAAATCCTACTTAATTGACTTTGTTTGCTATCTTTTGAATTTTAGAACTTAATTTCTCTCTTACTTTGCTTATCTATCTGCCTATTTATCTGATTATCTATCTATCTCTGACCCTTTTTTCTTCAATATACTCCTTTTTATTCATATATAGTCTGGTAATAGATTTCTTCTCTCTAGAACTTATTCATTATTTCTCAAGTATAATAGAAAACAACAAGTTCGCCTACTCTATCAACGTTTAGGAGATTATTAATTAGTTTCTACTACCATTTTTATATGTTAATGGTAGTTTATAATCTATGGAAAAGGAGGAATGAGAGTGAGGATGTAAAAGAGATATACAGTATATACTGTATATATAGGTATATATTGTATAAGTGTAAGAGAGCAAGAAATGAAAAGCGCCAAGAGAGAGAATAAAAAGATTAAGGAAAGGTCTATTTTTTTTATAAATTTTCCAATAGACTAATTACAATAGTTCTAAGAAAACTGGTGTTTTCTTTAACAAAGAGTATTCATTTCATTCTCATATTTTTCCCGCTATTTCTTCTTTTTTTTTTTTAACTTTAATTGATTAAATTCTATCATTTTAAAAGTGAAATAATGAAATATTTAACATTGAATATATCTTTTTGGGAAAGGAGGAATAGGTATAAAAACATTCTCAATGTTCTAATTTATAAATGCTATACAACAAGAAAATTCCCTATTTATTAATGAATTTCTTCGGATAACAGCAAAAATTATATGGTATTTATATATCCATTTATTGGATGCCTTTATTTCTTCTTATCAAAGAGGATGTATCCTAAATGCAGTTATAAAATAAATTCTTTACAGTATTTTTTTATTTATTGCAGAATGATCTGGTTTTTCAATATTTTCTCTTTAAACTACTTCATTTCGTCATAATATTCAAATAATATATTCTTTATATCATATTTAGTATCATAAAAAATATTTATTTATGTCAATTAGCAGAGAATACAGTATATATAAACTTTACTACGAATACGGAACTATTTTAATTGATTTGACTTGATCATTTATTTAATACAAGCGTTTAATCAGATATAATATACAGTATATAATATTGGTAATTTATATTTAACAATAAATAGAAATTGGATAAAATTTTACTGTTATACTACAATAAGCAAATAAATAGAAACTTAACAATTTATGCTTTTGTGTAGTATTATATTATATGTTATGCATTTTAACAGATACATATTTATAAACATCTATAATACAGTAATAAGAAACTGGTGTTGGATTAACGAAGGAAAGATTCAAGGAAAACATATCGGTTGGAATACAGTATAATTCTTTATTCTCTTGATAATAGAATATTTCTGACTGCAATTATTGTAACTGTAAACGATAGAAAATTAATCTCAGTCAAAGAGGAAGAAGAACTTGATTGAGTTGTTGCTTTTTTGGAATAGAGAAATGTAGATTTCTTTATGATACGATTATTAATAACAGCAATATTATTGCAATAGTCAGTCTTGCACGAGCAGAATATAGCTCTCTTCCTTCTGAAGCATTTTTCTTCACTAGCATCTCCCAAAGTTAAATTCCTATAACATAATCTGGTTGTCCGAACAGTAATTTCTGAGATGAAAATTTTAAAAATTGAAGTTGAAAATTATGAAAAATAAGACGATAAAAAAATAATTTAGTCCAACCGTTAGAAGTGTCACTTAAAAATGGTACAACGTACATGGTACAAGAATTACATCCATTCTTAACGGTTTTTTCTTCTGGTGAAGGTGGAATAGAAAACGTATCATCATATCCGCACCTGGAATTTTCACTCGATTCACATTCGTAGCAATGTATAGATAAGGCACTTTCTACTAAAGATTAACATTTACTAAATATAGTATTAGATTATAGCAGATATACTTACTAATAAATATCTCAATTAATGTGAAAAGTAGGTATTTCTTTGGAGACATATTTTCTTTTATTGACAATGATAAACTTTAAATAATTAGAAAGTTTAATGTTAAAAAGAAACGAAAAGAGAAAAAAATGAGAGACAAAGAAAATAGGAAAAAAAAAAACGAAAGATTTATGTTTCTAATTTATTGGTATACTTTACAAACAAATAACATATATTAAGTATTTAACTTTTCTTAGACAAACAGTTTATAATTTATTAGTATTTTTTTTTTTTGGGGTCTTTCCTTAAACGTATTTAGATATTCTTTACGTTGCTATATTACATTCTCGATTTACTTGTTATTTATTGTATTTTTAAAATAGAACACACATATTTATACGTTGTACACTATACTGTATATACTGTAGTCTTATACATACTGTTTTATTTTGTCAATAAAAAGGAAAACAAAATTAATCGCTAGGCCTAATTATTTTTATATATACAGTAAATATATATTTATATATATTTTTATAGGAATAAGAGTATTAAGTTCGGATAAGACAATAATAGAAAGAAAGAAAAAATCTGTACACCTCTCTCTCTCTCTCTCTCTCTCTCTCTTAATATTAATAACTAAAGAAAGGAATATTTTATTCATGGTGCGCATTTAATTAAGATTATCACTTTTTTTTTGTTTTGATAAACATCAATCATATAAAATTAAATAACAAATTAGTCATAAATATAATTTTTAACCTATTTAAATATAGTATTTAATCCGTTCATATTTTATAAATAAGACTGTATAATAAATGCTAAATCATTGAATTTCTTTTTTAATTAAATAAATTGAAATTATATTTACATAGTAAGACGATGTAAGACAATAAAATGAATCTTCGTTTTTTTTTAGATGTACTTCTTCTTACGTAACTCCACCACTACACTGCTTAAACGGATTATTCAGTATCGTTTCGACCTTTGATAGATACAGAAATAAAATGATTTAAGTTTTTAAAGAACAATACAACATATAATATTTTATTTTTTTTTAAATTGTTCTCAATGCAAACTGGTATATTAAATATATTTCGTTAATTTAGAATTAGTTAATTTTCTAATTAAAAGACCACAGAGAGACCAAGTCAACAAATGCTATTTATATTTTAACGTATTGTTGTTGATATTTGCCCTCATTCTTATATATGAATATAAATATTTGCTGAATAAATTGTAGAAATTGTCCATTTTATCTATTTTTATACTAATGGTGCCTTTAGCATACCCTAAACGTACTTTAAAGTTAATAAAATATATGAATATTATTTTATAACTGTTGTAAAAAATAAGTTCATTTAAATAATTAGAATATTCCTGAATTGAACTTTTAAAGTAATTCTATCTATTCTCTAATTGCTAATCAAGTATGAAATTTTAATGAGACTCTTTGAAATGATTCAACAATATCAGCTAATCATCATGTGATCTGTATTGCTTTGTTTTGGTTGAGCTTTTTGCTAGCAGAAGAAATAACAGTAAAACGTCACGGCTAGTAACTGAGGAAATAGGGAATTCTCGTATATTACGTCATTATAAGCCCGGGGAAATCCGCGGCAGGACAATTTAATACAAGATGTTGATATCATATTAGGCAACTTAATTCTCATATTACGATGGAAAATTCACATTTAAATTCTATTGAGGTGGAAAGTTCCAAAATTGAACAGCTACGTAATGATTTAAGAATAGCTAATGTAGATGACTCCATTTTCTCAGATAGACATCTGGAAAAATTCCTCATAGCCAGGAATATAGATGTCGAAAAGGCCGAACATCGAATTTTGGAACATTTGAGATTTAGGAGAAAATGGGAAATAGAAAATATTCTCTCATGGGAAGTCCCGTTGGTTTTAAAGACCTATGTTCCTGGAGGATTTTCCGGATGGTTAGTTTGAATGAATATTCTTGATAATAATGTCAAAACATGCTTTAGATATTAAATTATAAGAGTTAATCTATATATTGTCGTTTTGGCTAAATGAAAATGAATCCAAAGCATCTCATTGAAAGTAGCCTCTCATTTCCATATACTAAAGTATATATAGTACAAACAAACTTTCTATTTGCACATATACTAATATATATATAACTGTAGGAATATTTCTTTTAAACTCCATGGTGTAAAGATCTAAGCTTACTGATATTTAAGAAAGATTGACATACTGCGAGCAAAATGTTGAGAGAAAGAGGAATGATGAAAAAAAACAAGAGACGGCCTTTTTTTTTTATTATACTGACAGAACTGACATATGAACACTTTTGAAAATTTTTTGCCAACATAAATTATATCCTCACTTTGTTTTTATTTTTTTACTGTACTGTTTTTTATCATAATAGCTTTCGCGGTTCCTTTAAAATTTAAGATCAAACGCCTTTTTATATTAAGAAAGGGGTTGGCTGAGGAAGACAGAAACTGGCATTACGTTACCCTCCTACAGCTATCTGCTGAAATAAAAACTCATACTATTTAGATATGTGTACTTTTATTTCTCTATTTATTTCTGTCCTCTTTTTAGGTCGAAGGATGGTTACGCTGTATGGATTGATGTGCCAGGAAAAATTGATATTAAAGGTCTTACATTAAGCGCTAAAAAGTCGGATATGATTAAATATCAGATTTATCGCTCTGAGAAATTATTCAGGGAAATACAAAGCAGGGATGCTCCAGATCAAATTATACTTGTTAACGATTTATCAGACTTCACTCTTAAGTTACTATTCACGCCTGGAATGGATATCCTTCTTCATATTTTGGCAATTTTAGAAGATAACTATCCAGAAGCTTTACATATTTGCTACGTAATAAACGCTCCCAAGATATTTCCTTTAATATTTGATGCCGTGAAGCCTTTATTAACAAATAGAACCAAAAATAAAATTAAAATTCTGGGTAAGGATTGGAAAGAGGAGCTCGTCGATAAAATTGGTGAAGAAGCTCTACCCCAGAATTGGGGCGGTAGTCTAACTGATCAAGACGGTGATCCTTACTGCAGATCAAGAATTTCTCTTGGGGGATCCATTCCAACATCCTTTTACCTCAAGGACTCTATCGTAGGTATCCTATGGCTCTAATATTTTATAATTTTACTCTTTTTCATTATTTTATCTGATAAATTTAGAGCTTCGATTCCTCTTCATTTACTAAGGTAAATATACCCCGTGGACAAATAATGGAGGTTACAAAAAAAGTAGAAAAACGCAGCTCCATTCTAAGGTATTATAACAGATGACAAGATAAAGGATCTGAAATTTTCATGAACATATTTATTATCAATAGTTGGGCGTTTCAAACTGACAGCAAAGATATTCGTTATGGCCTTTTCTATAAACCTGACAGACCAGAAACAGAAACAGGAAATCGTAAAGAAACATCACTCATTGCATTTATGAGGGTTAACTCTCACTTAGTGCCTGAAGATGGCGTCTATACTTGCAAGTTGCCAGGATTCTGTAAGTTGAAATTATAAACATAAAGAGAAATGATATATATTATTTTCTCCTATATATTGGTTTTGTTCAAATAATTAATTATCAATATATTAAATTTCCTTTACAGACACTCTTCGTTTTGATAATACATACAGCTGGATAAATAGCAAATCTCTTTTCTATTCTTTTCAAGTAAAAGAACCCGAAGGTAGTTTTGATTTTGATGAAAATGATATGGGATATTGATGATCATTTTAGTTTATTTTCTTCTCCATATTGTTTTTTGTTGATTTCTCTATTAATTTTTTTCTCCACAATTTTATTTATAATTTGTTTACAAAACAAAAACACAATTCCGCAATATTCTTCAGATGGGAATTTAACGGATGGAAACAATGATAATTATGAACTATTAACGGATACAGAAGAGGCGAACAGTCTGAAAATGCGGGCTATATGCATTTACTGAACAGAGGATTAACATATATAAAAATATTTATTTTTGGATGGCTTTTCCCTCTCCTTATTTGTTCAAATTTAATTGAATGATCACACAATCTTTTTTGTTTTTTTAAATAAACAGGAACAAAACATGTACAAAAATATAGTTACAACTATTAATTTAGTAACAATTCCTTATCGCCAATCGTCTTTTCTTATAAACTAATCAACTAATCACGAAATTTAAAAATTCTTTGTGTTCTCTTTTTTTAAGGTTTATTTTGTACGAGACTAACCTTTAAAACGCTTAGCTTTTACTAAAGTAATACAATTTCTAAGTTCCTTATACAAGTAGCACTCTTGCTAACAAGAATGTTCGAGGACAAACACACATTGGAAGAGTTGCAAACTGTATATTTTGGAGGTTGTCTTTTTCCTTTTAACAAAGATATCCATTGTTGGTATTGGTAACTAAACACAGTATATACAGTATACTGTATATATATACGAATTTTAACTATGACGGTGTAATTTTACATATAACTTTTAAATTTTAAAAGAAAAACTATAGTAAAAGAGAAAAAGAACAAAAAAAAGAACATTCTAAGAAATTAATATACAAATATGACTATTTTACCAACTAAAAAGAGGGCAACAAGGTTAAAATATAGATCAAATGATAATTTCTTATATTTTAATATTTTTATATCTGTTTTTAAGCATTGTAAAGAAGGATTTTGAAGTTAAAAATGTTGATTTTGATAAATTAGAAGAAGCTTCAACAAGTCAAGTTAGAGTTATACAAATAATGAACAGAAAAATCCTAGATGGTAGAATAAATAATATATCAATTATCAAGAAATTATCCCAGTAATAAATATTCATGCGTTATATACAAATACTAATATATACAGTAGAAGGTGTCAAATAAAATGTTCTATTTATAGATTAGAAGATGGCGGAACGAATAATTTGAAAAGATCTGATTTATTAGATTTAATAGAGTATAGTAATGAAGAGAAGAAGAATGAGAAAAAGTAAGCTAAATCTCTTAGATTATTAAATGCTAAATCAAGTTTTTTTAAAAATAGAAAAGTAAAAGAAATATATAAAAAATGCGGAAATCTATGGGATTTTTTAATGATAAGGAATTTTAATTTTATACCATCTATGCTACAAACATCAATTGACTATCTTTTAAAAAATATACACAACGAACATGAAGTTTTCAGGAGGCCAGCATCTGCTAAGGTTATGAAGGAATTAATGAAGACGGCTTATACGAAATGGTTTGATGCGGATATTCTAGAAGATGATAATTCCATATCAACTATAACTATATCTAGATTTATAATTAATGTATTCAAAGAATTGGACGCGTTAACTGATAGATGCGCAGCAGAAATCTTTTATTTCTATTATAGTAAGATGAAAGATATTATTCAATCGGAAACTCGAAGGATTGGCGGTGATTTTCCTTCTTTTAAGAAATTAAAAAAGCTATGTTAGTTAATTGCTTTCGCTTCTCGCTCTTTATTCATATAATTATTCATTTACCTATTTTCATTAAAGCTAATAAAGACATTTTAAATACAACTTTTAAAATGAACAATTACGATTCTAAAAGTGAAGTTGAAGGTCATATTGGTGCAATTATAACGAGAATTGTTAAACATTTTGGACCGGAAATTGAAAAGGAGAGTGAAAATTTTGAAACTTGTAGACTTATTATACAACAAATGCCAATTATTAATCAAAAAGTATTACAAATACTATTAAAGATCTTTTATTTGTTGGGCTCTCACTATAAAAAGAGTAGTGTTAATGGTATTGTAATTAGTACTTTATCATTATTTACTGATAAAATAATGAAAATAAAATGGCTAAAAGTTTTTGATGATAGTTCAATAAACGAACAATATTTTATTATTCCATTGAGTACTGTTATTATGACTATGTTGGTTAATCATTCAATGGATAGTAAAGATGATATTAAACATATGCACGAAGATGAATGTAAAGATGGTATGTGTAAGAAACAAAGTAAAAAAGTAATGGATCATCAAAATAACCTATGTATCTTTTTCTGCAATCCACTGAAGACTGATTTAAATATCAAACTGAAGTATTTTTCCATATATGTTTGTTTAATATCATTATTAATCAATATTTTGCAGTCAAATCAGTTCCACCAACAACAAAAAGATAAAGAAACGTGTTGGAATTGAGACAGTATTCTATAAAATCGATTACTTATTAGAATATTTCAAGACAAACTCTCCAATTGGTATTGAGGATTTACTTAATAAGATGGAAATATTCCTTTTTAAAAGATACAAAACTCCTGAAAGTATTAACGATAACGATGAAATTAAAATTGAATTTACTGAATTGCGTAAGGGAGTCGTAATATGGAGATGCTCTGGTTCAATTGATGTTGGATTTGATGAATGCTGCAAAAAGTTAACTTCAACAGAATTTTACGATAAATTTCCATCTGTCGTATTATCATCCGAAGATGATACTTATCTATATAGATTTTCAACTCCACCTAGTGAGCTTTATTAAAATTATCAAAATTAGTTCTTTTATTTTTATGAATATCTTCTTTTCCATAAATAAATAATAGAAAGCGAATGGTTCGAATCAAATTTTCACGCTTATCTATTTAGGTAAGTTAATAAATATGTTTTTATTGTTTTTCTTCTATTCGAAATAATCGTTATTTATTATCTTCTTTAAAGAAAGTACTGTCTAAATAAGGATAAAGGTTATTTAGCAATATTCGAAACATCTTTCAACCATACATTTAATTCACTTGGAACAAAATTCGAAAAGTTAAAAAGTAATTCGTACGAAGTTTATGTTAAGAATTGCCTTCATCAAATTATCGACTATAGAATGAGAAATAGAAAGGTTAGAATAGAAGTATACGGAGTAATGGATTATGGGTAAACTAGTTTTTAATATATCTAAACAAATAAATAATCTTAATACTATGTTTATAGACCTCTATTTTCTTGGAATTGGCAACAGCTTAATGGATATATTTTACCTCTTTATCAATTCAGGTATATGAAAGATATTTTATTGAAGAATAAAGAAAGTAAACTATTTAATTAGAATAGAAGACATTCTATATATTTCTTTCATTCAATTTCAATTCATAATACATTATAATATTATAAGCGTGTATACGCATATAAATCGTTTAATTACGTCCGAATAAGCGAATATTAATTCAAGAATAAATTATTAAATAAAGTCTGATTTACAATAATAAAAAATCGTCTTTTTTTGGTATGTTTAAATAGTGAAAATTTACAGTAGTTATTTGAGATTTATTCAATATTTATATAAGACTTAGCTTGTATACTTGTTAGGTATTTCTATCTATTAATAACTATCTTTAAAATTAAGATGTGAATACTACTTCCGATTTTTTGAAATTTTTAAAAACTGGTATTTTAATATATCTTTCACTCATTGTTTCCAACATTTTCATAGATTACTGGTGTAATTTCATTGTAATAGTATAGAATGCAGTGAAAAATATGTCAGAATTTCCAAGATGTATTATTTTTATAAGCGGAAAACGAAAGAGCGGCAAAGATTATTTAACAAACATCCTACGAAATCAGTAAATATTATTATTTTCGTTCTTATCTTTCACTTTTTAATTCTAATAAAGTTGTCTTTTATAACTTACACTTCTAGATTTGATAGTGAATTTTATCATGTTCTTACCATGGCAAAACCCCTAAAATATTTATTCTGTCAAGAACAACAAGGTATAGATTACGAAAAGTTACTTGATTCTTCGGCATATAAAGAAAAATTTCGATTGGAATTATCTAATTGGAGCTGGAATAAAATGCAAGAAGATATTCACATCTTTTCCAGAATTGCTGTTAAAGAAGCAGCTTTAAAGCCACTTTGGATTGTTAGCGATATCAGGAGAACATCAGACATTAAGTATATTCTTGACAAACGTGAATGTCCGCATTTGTTTGTAAGGATAGAAGTTTCTGAAGAAATCAGAAAAGAGAGAGGTTGGTCCTATGTAAAAGGAATTGACGATTCATGGTCTGAATGTGAACTTGATCATAATATGTCATGGGACATTATATTTCATAATGACAATGATCAGGAACACACTGATACCGTTGTTGATTCTATTAAAAAATTTATTGAGAAGTGTATGAATAATGAAAACACGTCAGTAGATTGATCATATTTTGGATAAAATAGAGAAAAAACTCAAGAGCTAATAGTATTTCTCCTAGACAATGTTTTCCCTATTCGATTATTATAATAAAAATAAAGAAAAACCGAACCAAAAAACTGTATGTCAAAAAATTCATATGCAAATTAGTAAATACAGTTAAAAGATTTCTTTTGACAACTGCAATTATTTGTTCATGTCAATCTTGCACGTTCATAATCAAGTTCAACGCCGACAACTGACAGTCAATGAGAAATTCTCTCAGACAACTGACATTCATAGTTGTAAATCTTATTCTAAACTTCATTTTTGTATCATAAATGTCACTTTAAATGTTTTTTGCTTCATTTTTCATTTTAAACAACAGGAACTTTGAAAAGATGGACAAGTGGTCAAATAAAGTAGCCCTAGTTACAGGAGCATCATCCGGAATAGGAGCTGCAATTGCAAAAATTCTCACCGAATGGGGCATGACTGTAATTGGTGTGGCAAGGCGATATGATAGAATAGAGGTAAGTTTACCAATTCATAGTTTGTTTATCGTTAATTTTAAAGTTTTTCATTCTCTATTCCACTGTCTCTATTCCATTTTCCCGTTAAAGAGAATATATATATATATATATATATTCGTAATTTGAGATCCAGTTTGAGAAGATTAATCAGTTGTTGAGAAAGACTAATCCAGTATCGTATTATAAGTGTTGATATAAGAACAACTGAAGATTCTGAAATCTGATTTTTAGACACTTGAATGATTTATATGCCATTCTATGAAACTGCCAATTATTTCAATTGAAAAAATCCCTTAAATAAATACTACGATGTTTTCTCAATAATCTCTCTTTATCAATCTCAATAAAGGAAAAACATTCAATTGAACATTTTCACAATAGAAATACTAAAAATAATTAATATTAATTAATTAACATTTCCATTATCAGGAATTGGCATCAAAATTGAAACAATCTGGAGCAAAAGGTAAACTCGTAGCAATGAAATGCGATTTACGTAACGAAGAAGATATTTTGGAAGTTTTTGACGATATTCTAAACGATTTTGGTGGTGTTGATGTACTCGTTAATAATGCTGGATTGTTGGCTACGACTTCTCTTTTACAAGGAAAAACTAAGGAGTGGAAAAACATTTTCGAGGTTGTTTTCTTCATTTAGTATCTTATCATTTTTAAAGTTAATTTATCATTTAGGTAAATGTACTGGCTATGTCGATCTGTACCAGAGAGTTTTACAAACAACTTAAGAGAAGAAAAGTTGACAATGGTCACATTATTAACAATTGCAGGTTACAATAAGTGCTGCTTGTTGATTTTTTTGTCTGTTTTCTTTAAACTTAATTAACATGTCAACAGCTTACTTGGACATGTTATTCCAAATATTCCTTTTGCACATTTCTATATGGGAACGAAGTTTGCTATTAAAGCATTAACAGAAGGTTTTAGACAGGAGCTTCGTAGCGAAAAAAGTCAGATAAGAATTACAGTAGGTTGAAGTGAATAGTTAACAAATATTTCAATTTCAATAAGCTAATGAACTACAGGAAATCTCATCTGGATTTGTCGATACGGAAATGCTGAAGCCCCATCGTGCTATCTTTGCGAATATTAAGGTTAACTATCGTATAAAAGTCAACTCTTTCTAATTAGCTACGTTAAAAATTTGTCAAATATAGATTCTAAAACCAAAGGACATTGCTGAAGTTGTTATTAACATTCTATCGGCTCCTCCTGGCGTTGAGGTTGGTAAAAAGTTGCACTAGTTTTTAAAAAGAATTTAAATATTAATAGACTGTTTGTTTTTGTTTTTTTTTTGTAGATGAACGAAATCATTCTCAGACCAATTGATGAAGAAATGTAAATCTATCCGAAAGAGTTGGAAGATAATCTATCCCACTGTCGTAGACAAGATCATTTAATTCAAAGCTTTCTTATGCTTACTTTCCGTAGATGTTTAGAACAAAATTATTATTCAATCGTGATAATAAAAATCCGTAGAATGGAGTTCTTTCAATTTGAATTTTTAGAGTAAAAGCTTTATTAAGTGAGTAAGACATTATAAAAGAAAAAAGTCATGATACAAAAAAGTATAGATATAACTAACAAGTAACAATTAAAAAAAAAAAACAATCTGTCTTTAACAAAAGAACATAGAATATGACTAATAAAAGAGCTTGGCACAAAACTTAGAATAAAAAATATTTGTATCAGTTCATTTTAAAAATGGAAATCATTCCTTCGTTGGAAAGACGTTAGTAAGAGCTCTTTTCAGACAAAGAACTTCTAGATTTTCTAACAGTAACGTCAGAGGGAGCTTCGTCTTCTGAGTTACTTGTTGAAAGAACATCAATTGGATAATTCTAGAGAATAAAATAAAAAAGAAGTTATAAAATAATGTGTATAAAGAAATTTTATTATTATCTACTTGTAGATCTTGGCAAGATATATCTTTGAATCTCTTAAAGGCAGCCTCTTTTTCAGATAGTTCGTCAGAAGTATTTTGTTCTAGAATGATATGTAGTTGTTCGGTAGATAGCGAACTACTCCACTCTCCTTTGAGATCACTCTTCGGATCTTCTGAGTCGCTGTCCGAAGATTGTTCAGCTTGCTGATCTTGCTATTTTAGTTTTTATTGGATGAAATTCGATTTTTATAATAAGATAGAAAGTAAAGTTAATAACTTACTCTTCTTAGTTTACGCCTGGTCCTCTCACTTTCTTCACCGTTCTTTTCTATAGAAAAACCTACTTTCTTAGATTTTTCTCTTCTCTTTTTGGGAGAAGATTTAGGAGAGGCACAATTTGATTCAACATCAGCGCATACTGCACTTGCACTTGAGGTCATTATATCACTTCCTTTAGAAGACGTCATCATATCAGAACATTTCGAAGAGGTCATTTCACTAGTTTTAGAAGTAGACAAATCTGTGTTGTCTTCTTTCGACTTTTCATTTTCAACATTCTCCACAATGTTATTGTTTGTAACATTTGTATCTCTTACACTCAACTCCAATTGCATAGATTTCTTTGATTGCTCGATGACATTCATTTGTTGTATTGGAGATGATGTTAAAGATTGGTTTTTTCTACTTCTTTTAAATCTACGCTGAATCTTTGATTTTTCATCCGGTGGATTTTGTAGAACAGAATTCGGAGGATTGTTGTTGACTGGACTAGTACCTGGATCAGAAATGCATTTATGCATTTTCTGACTGACAGTTTTGCCAAGTTTTTCTTGCGCTCTCATAACTGGCCTCAATAAACTCCTTTGTTTATTACTTTTCACGGATAAACTCCTCTCCTTCCTGAGATCAAACATTAAAATATTTATAAAAATGTAAAATAATTAAGTTTATTAAGCTTACTTTGCTAATTCAATTTCTCTTGATTTCAATCGATTCATAAGTATTACTAATTCGTTATGTAAATTAGTAACACGCTCAAATTTTCTCTCATAATGTAACCTTATGTCCTGAGCATGTTTGAGTTCTGCCCGTCTCCTCCTAATTAACTCTTGTTCCAGTTGAGTTACTCTTGCCGGTTCACATTTGTACTTGCAATATTGTTCAGCTATGTCATTCTTCCACAAAGCCTACAGAACAACAATATTATTATTAAGGAAAGAAATAAAGACATTACAAGTGCAATATGCTTATTTATCCTCACCTGCATCCCATAATATTCTTCAGCTGGCATATTTAAGAGATCAGAGGAGGCAATTTCCAAATGAGATAATATTAACTTGAAAGAAGGCCGATTTCTTGGCTTCTCACTCCTACATGTTAAAAAGATATGTTAATCTAATATATTTCCATTAAAGGTTCAATGATAAAAATTCTTTTAAATATTAAAATCTTTACCAGCATTGCTGTAGCAGTATTTGAAAACCATTAGGTACCATTGATGGTATCGGCAATGTTAAAGAATTATTTCCAACCCCAAATATAATAGCAGACTGATCGACGTTCTTATAAGGAATTTCACCCGTTAGCAATTCCCAAAGCACAACTCCATAAGCCCTAAAGATTAACAAGAGTACAATTATTATTATGTTACATAAAAATAGTAGTGATGATTAACTTTTGTAAAATTGATAAACTTACCAAACATCGACTTTTTCTGAGCAAGGTTCGTAGCGTATAACTTCAGGAGCCATCCAAGCACATGTTCCCGCAAATGACATTCTTGTTGACTTTTGGTTCCATTCTTTACTTGTTCCAAAATCGGATATCCTGATTATATTATCTTCAGCTAGCAGAACACTAAAGAAAGATTTTTTTTTAAATTATCTAGTTTCTTATTTATAGCATTTTATTGATTTTACTTTGGACTTTTTAAGTCTCTGTGAATTATATTGAAAGAATGTAAATAATTCATTCCATTAGCAATTTGCTTGGCCCAATCGACGACAATAGGTGGAGGAATTTGTTTATTATCTCTTATCATATCATATAATTGACCATTTGGACAATATTCCATTATAATACAATAACAAGGCGGTTGAGTGGAAACTCCTCTAAAAGAATAAAAAATGAGAAAAATATATAGTTTCATTATTTTGTTGATTTGTGATGTACTCACTTAAATTTAATAATGTTGGGATGATTCAATTTCCTTAGATGTCGAATTTCTGTTTGTGCTTTATCGTGTACCTTTTTAACAGCAACTTGTTCACTTCCAAATGTGCCTAAGAAAACAGCTCCTACAAAAGGGAAAGGAAATTGTATAAAAAATTATTTTCGGACTATAATAACAACTAATTAAAATGCAAACCTTGGCCTCCCGAACCAATCCATTGCAGTTCTTTAATCGATTCAAAAGGAATTTCCCATTCATCGTCGAAATTTCCTGTAAAAAAGAAAAGGTAAGTGAGTTATAAAACATAAGAGACTCTATTTTTTATTGGCAATAAAAAAATATAAAAATGGGGGCTTCCTTTAAAGGTAAAAGAAATTAAAAGCTAACTAAAATCTGAGAAATATAGATCATCGGTTTTTTGCCTTTTTAAACAAAATTCGGATGAAGATAAACCCATTAGTAGGACAATATTATTAGGAACAATAAGAACTTGTTTGAACGATGGTGATTTTCAAATGAAATAAAACAGACTTGTAAGATCAGATAATTGTCACGGCAATTCGTGACTGTTGAAAGCGACGTACTCATATAAAATAACCAAGAAAAATATATCTGAATACTAAAGATATTGATATACTTTTGCAGTATGTATATAAGTACCTAGCGTCCTTTTTATACAAAGTTTATTAGCAGGTGCTTTGATAAATGATTATTGCGATTTTATTGCATTTAATACGTTTTTGATAATACTTAACATTTTAAATATGGCACCATATGAGAAATTACGATTAGTTAGCTTAATTTTGACTATACAGCAAAAAATTGCAAATTGTATAATAGTGATAAGAATATATGGTTAATAAAGAGACTGGTAGAGAATATCTCATTAGTATGATTGCTACACAGAAATTAAATCGTAAGGTATTTTGTAATTTATCTAGCTCAATTGCATGTGTTAAATAAATCATTGTCTACAGCTCGAAAGGGAAACGCTAGAAGTGTTCTGCTCAGGAAATATTAAAGAATAAAATATACTCTCTAAGCTTACACTGTATAATTATTAACATTAATAGAGCAAAAACAGTAGCAGAACAATATTTTATAAATACAATGTAATTCCATTAAAGTATCTTTTGTATGGAGGGCTCATCAAAGAAACATCATCCGTAAAACGGCCTATCTGGATGGCTTACTCTCATAAACAGAATTCTACTTACGAGTGTACGTCTACGATAATTATTTATAAATAAAACTATTCTTACCATTTGTCTTATTTTCATTCTTTCCAAACATTGTCCAAATCGGACGTAAACAGCTAATAAATCCGTCTTTAAGTGATACTCTTTCAACATTGGCGATTGTACTGAAGAAAAAGCCACAATCTTTTAGTTTAAATAGGTTAACTTAATTAAAACTAATCATTACGATGGTAACGGTTTGCTTGTGTTGTTATTTTCTTCTATAGACTTTTCTCTAGCAATAAGAGTTGATGGACAAGACTTTGCCAAATATGTAGATACAGTGCCCCCATTATAACAGATAATACTATATTGGGAAAAAATTGATAGTTATTATTCTTCTTTAAATAAACTTTATTTATAATTTAATCAAAATGTAAATGAACCTTTCAGCGAAATTTCCATTTTCTCCAATTAGCTTTTTGCGAATATTCAATGAACTTGGACAATTTCTGCTGTCAGTTGGATTGTAAAGACCACCGCAAGGTGGAGCAGCTTTAAGAGAATTGTCTGGGGTCCTTTGTGCTATCCCTGGTGCAGTTTTCATGATACTCTTTTCTTTCCAGTAGTAGATATTTAAAATTATAACTTTAAATTTCCATAGATATATCTCGTTGGTAACCGGCTTCCAGATGAAACGATCTAAAAATTACATACAGGCATTTATTAAATTGAGTTCCTGTATTCAGATCACGTGACAGAGAGGAATCAATAGTCTTGCACTGGGGAAGACAGGGAACAACAAAACATCGTCCATATTTAAAGTTATATATTAAGCTAACAGTACATATAAAAATAGTATTTCAGAAAAATCCGGACTATAATAGGAAACGAGTTGAAGAATATTCTAAAAATCGGAAAAGATGATAATGAAAAAACACTAGAAAATGCAAAATAACGAAAGCTCATAAGAAACATGAGGAAAACAGTTCTATAAACAAAAAAAGAACTTCTACACTATCAAAGAAAAAAAAGAAAAATAGGCTTAGTAGAAGTATAATAAAAAAACTATCAGAATTCAAAACTTATGAATGAAAACAAGCTAATTTGCTTATTTAAATAAATACTATTAAATATAAGTAATAAAAAATAATAGTAACTTTAAGGATAAAAAAAGAAATATGTATTAAAATCTCTGATTGAAAAAGAAAGGAAAACAATAATAGTAGTGTACTATAAATATAGATAATATATGATCGTATAGATCTTATCTAACGAAAATATTTTTTATCTTTATCTAGACAAGAAATATGGTTACTTTTGAAAAACATTTCTATTAAGATCAATTAGAATGGTTGTTCTATGGCTAAGTTACATTTTATAGTCTCTTACAATTGGTAACAAAGTTACAAGATTATGATTTTTCATTATATACAGTATGTTATTTTTTAAAAATAAACACAGCTATTATAAAATGGAAACAATAACAATTAAATTTTAATAAGAAACATATATTTTATATTATTTACTTTGTTTTATACCGTCAAAGTAAACTACAATACGGTACATATAGTCTATTTTTTTCGCTATCCATAATACTTGTTTATATCATTTCAAAGGAATAGAAGGGCAAGTATTTTTCCCTTAGACACTTCATAGTTTATTATATAAGGCTATTGTTAAAATTTATTAGAACCAAAAGATTAAAAATATAGAATGACAAACCTGTTTTGAGTGTCCAAAATATATCAAGTGATATAGCTCAGGATAAATTACAATAAATCACTAGACGTCGCTACCGTCTAAATGAATCAACCTAGTTTGCCTAGTTTGCACTATTTTTTTGCTTTAACGGTAGATCAATCCGTCTTACTCACAATCATTTTTTTATTTATTTACACATTTTATAATTACTGTCGCTAATTTTGGAAAATATTTACAATTTATTTTGGCTGGTGGCCTATTACACTGTTTCCATTCCTCCGGTGTTTATTAACAACTTCATATGATACTTCAGAGCCGGTTAAATTTTTATTTTTTAGCACGTTAAATTTCCTCCTTCTCTTCTTTTATTTTTGCTCTAATAATCTTTATGATTCATGATGTAAGGTATGATCAATTAGCATGCAAGCCTATAAAAGTAATCCAGGGACTAAGGTATTAGTAATTGAAATCTTAGATCCTAATGTTTATAATAAAAAAAAACCTATGATCAATTCTGCATCATTTTATGATTCAATCATTTGAAAACTAACGTTTCTCTTACTCTTTAGCAAAGGCATAGAACGCTTTTTTTAAGTACTTGAATATTGTTAGTATTACTTAATAATAGAGATTATTGAGGCTATTTATAGTAACATAACATAAAATATAAATATTCATGATCTACTTATAAACTAAAAAAATTCTTTTACGTCATAAATCTAGTCCATTCAATTATTTATTTGATTAATTTCCTTACAAAATTATAAAGAATGTAATACACTCTGTATATAAATTTAAAGAACATACATTTCTTGCTCTTAAATAGTATTCAGATTAGCATTAAAAAATACAAATAAGTTGAAATTTTGATGAATTCATTGAATAACTTAATCTGTCAATACATACCATGAACGTATTCATACGTTTGACGAGATTATAGGCCTTATTTTTTTTCTGTAAATAAGCGCAAGGACATCTAAAGCAAAATCTTACCATAAAAGGAGATTTAATACTTGATATAAATTAGAAACAAATTTCATATCCCTATATTCCAAATTCTAAAGAATATATAAAAATAATAGAAATTTAATGATTTAATAATTTAATTTGCACTGATTACTGTCGTCCTATATTAGAGAATTCTCTTTTATATCTCTTCCTAAAAGCAAACTTATTATTAATTTTCTTTTTCATTTCTGACCAATATACTATACATTTATATGAGGTTCTCTCCAAAAATAAACAAAATATTTCGAAACTAAAATTAGATGGTTTCAAGATAAAGAGGAGTTTCATTCCAACGTGGAACACATCAGTATTTTTGAACATTTACACAAATTACATCTAGCATCCAATAAAATATCATACAAACCTTTTTATACTTGTGTTTTCTAACCCAAAAAATAGTTATTAATGTATTATTTAGTTTAAGTAACTGTTCGAATCAGCATTCGTTACACGAGGATAAAGAAACACGCGAATTATTATTTATTCGTTTCACGTGACGTGACACAGCATTCCACCAACCAGAGTCATTCGAGAAAAAAGTTGAGGAACTTTCATCCATGCTAATATAACAGCGCCATCTTTGGTTCCATCTTAAAACTTATTTAAAATGAGATGATATAGAAGTTCAGATTATAATTTTTATTCAAGAATGAAAATTGAAGAGGAAAGCGCATTTTTCAAAGAAACAAGTAAAAACAAAAAAAAGTACTTATTTACACTTTATAATATGTTTCTTTTTTTTCACTAACGATATTCATTATAGTAAAATTTCTATGGCCCAACGAAAATTGATTAACTTGACATTTCTCGTTCAACGTTTTCTTTATAGACTTGTAAAGCTAATTCTATTCTAGATCCATCCTTTGCTTCTTGTTTTGCAAACATCTAATTTAAGAAAAATAACAATATTAGTTGAAAGTATTCCGTTTTTGTTTAACTTTGAAAAAAAATGAAAAAAACAATAACCATTATGGCTTCTTCGTCAGATAAATTTGACCATTCTTTTGGTAAGCCTTGTTCTTGATTATGTACCATATAATAGACATCAATTAGAGATTTTGCAGAATGTAACCTAATAATTACATTGTAAAATAATTATAGGAACTAATATGCGATATATTTATATACATACAAATTAGAGTTAATTAATACAGCAATAAAAGAATCAATATTCTTTTGCACTGTTAAAAAAAAGGCGGCAGCACCAAAATGCCTCGTTGAATACAACTTCATAAAGTCCGACCTGTCTGCTATATATTCGTAAACTCTTCTAGTGACCTGTCATATTTAATGTATATACATACGTTATGTGTCCAATAGAATTCTAATAATTAAACAGTTATATGCTTACTCGAATGTAATCCGTTTCATCAGGATCAAATTGAACACAAGCTCTATCAAGAATGTATTCGTATTCGCCTTCTTCTAATAATCGCTGTTACAAATGACAATCTATAACATTTAATGGGAATGAATTCTAAAGGTTTTAGAGTACCTCAAGATGTTTTTCTGTAAACATATTAGGCATATAGTGCTTTCTGCCTTCCCCTGGAAAATACACTTGTATCATTCTTTTGTGTTCATCATTTGTGGCTAGTCTCAATGTTCCATCTTTTTCCCGGACAGTAACAGTTCTTTTCTAGAACAATATTTGAATATTTACAAATTACTATCCCTTACTTGAGAAAGTACACAAACCTCGTGAGGTATATTGTAACTGATATCAGTAAAAACATAATTAAATTGATCATGCTCTGCCAGGGCTTCGTCTTTGGAAAGAATTACATTAACATCCGGTTTTTCATCAAGAACTGGAGGGATTTGAAGAGTTTTTTGAATTTTTTCTTCAGCATCGCTTTTAAGCTTTTATAAAGAAGGTATTTATTTATAAAAGTCAGATAGTCAAGCTAGAAAAACTAACTTTTTCTAATTCTTTATCAGTTACTAAACGATAAGTTGGTTTTGCAGTGTCCCTGTATCTTGGACGATATATTTTTTCTTCATCTCTACCAGTAATGTCAGTCAATATATGCTGCACTCTTTTATCAAAAAACATAGCATACTTGCTAACATCTGAAAACGGTAATTTTCTTTTATTATCGCTCACAATGCGGTATAATTCGAAGGGTCGGTTTAGTTTTCTTACTTTTTGTATCATTTAATGCTAAGACAGTTCTTGAAAATTTTCTACACCATGTCGCTCCAGAATTGAAACGCAAATTCCGGGTTAAATGACTTAATAGCATTTTAAACAATAAAGCAAGGTTATGAAAAGTTTTTCAAAATGTGCTTTGTGCAGAGACCGTAGAGTGACGTCACAATGAAAAGTTCACTTCCGGGAGACTGTTATTAGTTTTATATTTCTATCCGTTTTATAAATCTTTCCTTTGGATTCTGACTTTTAACTCAAATCAGAATTATCACTTATTGAACTAAGTTCTGCAAGGTATGTTTATTTTCTAAATTTTATCTCTAAAACCAACCGACTCCTTTTATTGAGCCAATAATCGTTTTATTCCTTAAAATCATTTTTAGTAAAACTATTCCCAAAAAAGTCATTAAAGCCTTAAAATTAAAAATATTCGACGTAGTCTTTGATTTAGCATGCTTAGCGAGGAAAATAGTCTCTTTCAATATGATTTCTTCATGAATATAGAAACATTGCCAAGTCATTGGTCTGCCTAATATTCAACGCAGAGTTAGCAACAACCTACTTATCTATTTTTTATACTTTTACCGTAGTTTATTAGATTAAATTTTAAAGATAAATCAAGAAATTTTCTTATTACACAAGGTAAATTAAAATTTACTTAGGTATGGTTAACCACATCGAAAAAATTTGCCAAAAAGAAAAATAGATTAGACCATGTTTTATTAAATAGAAATTGTATTGACTGAAAATCAGTAAAATAAATTTTCATAAATAGTTTAGTTTGAACACGATTTTACCATTTTTTTTATTAAATTTTATTGAATTTCGGTTAGTGATTTTTTTCTGATTAGCTGAGTACACATTGCTAATTTTTACTTACTCACCAAAAGCAAGGTGTGACCTTTTTCTTACTCAACCAACTCTTAGATCAAGATGAAAGTTCAATTACGAAATATTGCGCTGATTTAGACAAGCTATTCGATATAACAAGTTATATAATAAAATGTATAATGATTAATTTTAAAAAATAGATATTTTTAATTTTAAACAAGTATATCCAAATATAGAAACTATATTTTCACTTTCGAATTGAATTGACTCTCTATAATCCGTTTAATATGGGTAATTATGACTTTCTGTCATTATTAATATACTCAATACTAAATTCATAATTAATTTATCAATAGTGAAATTTATATAAAATATTTTGTAATTGTAAACTTTTATCATTAAGTATACAGTATTTTTTCAAGATTATGCTTGTCTGATTTTACAAGAAGTGCAGATGGGAGAGGGGAAATTGAAATAGCTTTTCTAGTACAACTGACTGACTATTAAATTGTTATTTTTATAAACTCTTGTAAATTGTTTTACAGAAGAGAGGAAGATAAAAAAAATGGACGATAACGAAATGGAGGAATGTGACATGGGCAGTGATGAAGATTATTACAATGATCCAGATCCCGATGTAACTCATACTGATAACGATAAAGATCCAGAATCTTTCGAGTATAAAATTTTAGAAGTTGTTGAGGTAGAAATGCTCTTAAACACATCAGTTGAAACAATGTGTAAAACAATTGATGTGAGTATTAAATCTATTTAATGGATTATAATAAATAAGTTTAGTTTATATTGCCTTAACTTCTATTTTAATTAAAAAAGGTTTCTCCTTCGTTGGCAAAACTACTTTTACATAACTATTCTTGGAATACTCAAAAGATAGAGGCCGAATATAGACAAAACCCGGAACAATTGTTGATTAATGGAAAGATAAAACCTTCTAAAATAGCTAAGGTAAATTATCTCTTATGTAAAAATAAATAGTAAAAGAGAGTTATGACGAGAAAAACGAAAAATCATTGTTATACTCATATTCGGAACGGCTAAATGCAAATATATTTCTCTAGTCCATATTCTAGCTTCTGTAAAGATACTACGCCGTTTCTTGTTGTTTGAGGCAAAAAGTTTTCTTAATAACAAAAGTTGTTTTTGCAGTTTTTGCACCATGAGTTATTTTTCTTTCTGAGATCGTATATAGATACAATGACCTTCCTCTATATATAAATATACCAAATATAATATTTATCACATTTAAATGTGATTTTACTGTAAATTTATCATTTTGACTAACAAATTTATTATCTTGTTAATATACAATTTTAAACCAATGATTAGTTTTACATATTTTGATACACAAATTTTAAAAATTTTACTATTAGCAGTTAAGTTTAAATCAGTTTCATTCAAATGTCATAAACCTCTATTTCATATATGGTATCATATCATAATACTTTCACTCACAGGGTGTTAGCCGCAAAAACGAATGCATTGTCTGTGCTCAAGAAGTTGATACGCTTTTGGGGGTTGAATGTCGGCATCGGTTTTGTGAGACATGTTGGTGTCAACACTTCGAAGTTCAGATACTGAATGGAGTTTCGACTGGTTTGTAAACGATTTATGAAAAAGTTAATTATAAACTAAATTTATATGTATCTTTAGCAATTGGATGTATGGGAACTGACTGTACTGTTTTAATGCCGGAAGATTTCGTTCTTTCTATATTACGATGCAGAAATCAATCTAAACTTAGTCAGCAATATCAGGAGCTAACATTCAGAAGCTATGTTTCTGTGAGTATATTTTATTCTGCACTCAATACTTTCAGTATTAACAATATTTGAGTCATAGCATATTAATATATATACAAATGAGATTATGCGAGAAAGAAATTAATTTCAGAAATAGAATACGTTTTTTGCCTAAAATGAAAATAAACATGATAAATTAAATTTTTCTCAGAACCATCCTGAGCTGCTTTATTGTCCTGGACCGAATTGCACAGCTGTAATACAAGCAAAAGCTAAGGAAGCCAAGAGAGTTGACTGCAAAAAATGCAAAACTACGTTCTGGTGAGGCATTACTCTGCATTCGCAATATTTATTTTCTATTATATGGAAAGTACATTTTAAAATAACTGAAAATCCTTTTGATATTAGCTTCAAATGTGGAATCGATTATCATGCACCAGCCGATTGCGATACAATTAAGAAATGGCTGATCAAGTGTGCCGATGATTCAGAGACGGCAAATTACATTAGCGCTCATACTAAGGATGTAAGAAATATTTTTTACTATTAAAATTAGAACATCTCTTATCTACTTATTAATTCTGACAGTGTCCTAAGTGCCAAGTATGTATTGAAAAAGATGGTGGATGTAATCACATGGTAATAAAAGATATATACTAACGACAATTGCAACTTTTTTAATATAAATATCATTAATTATTAGAAATGTAAAAAATGTGGTCACGATTTCTGTTGGATGTGTCTTGGGGATTGGAGTGCACATGGTTCGGAATATTATGAATGTTCGAAATACAAAGAAAACCCTAATATTGCTAATGAATCTGAGCATGCTCAAGCTAGGGAGGCTTTAAAGAAATATTTATTTTATTTTGAACGCGTAAGTTATTTTCAAGTTGTAGTTTATTTATTTTATTTATGTTTATAATTTTAGTGGGCTAATCACGACAATTCTCTGCGAAAAGAGAAGGACAAAATGAAGGAGATTGCAAAACAAATTGAAGAAAAGGTAACAACAAAAGACGGCACATGGATCGACTGGCAATATTTGAACAAAGCTGGTGAATTGTTGCGAAGATGTCGTTACACTCTTCAATACACTTATCCTTATGCTTACTACATGTTAAAAGGAGCTAGAAAAGAATTGGTATATGTACAAATCTTACAATATTTATGCTCATATTTTTAAAACCATTTTCAAATAACAGTTTGAATATCAACAAGCACAGCTGGAAAGTGCAGTAGAAGCATTGTCTTATGATATTGAAAGAGCTGTTTTGGACTCGCGTGGTGTTAGTTACTTTATTGAAATGATATAATTGTCGCTACTATGTTTCTAAAATTTCTTTTCACACAGGACATTGAAAATAAAATGGACGTAGTTGAAAAGCGTCGCTTAACTCTAGTCCGAGAATTCCTTGTAACGTAAAGGGCAATCAAAAGTTTAATAAAACAGTTGTTTTTTAACTTTCTGATTTACAGTCAAAAAACGAATAAAAATATATCTTGTGTAAAGTGTAATTGAAAGAAAATAATATATATATATATATATAAAATTATGTTTTTGCTTTATATGTATATAAAGCTTATATGCATATACTTTCCGTACATATATTATTTATATGTGTTTTATTTTGTGTACTCATAAAAATTGCCATCAATGCTAAATTTTTTTAGTATGATAACCTGTTTTTTGTTTGAAAAACTAAAAAAAAGACAATTTGTAGCGCATTTTTGAAAATAAATTATTTTCTTATTAAGCCCCAAAAAAAAATTTAGCCCTTTAAATTCTAGTTAAAGGCCTGGTTTTCTTATTTTCGTCGTATTGAAATCAGCAAATTTAACTTGAAAATAGAAAGTCTTATTATTGATATTATATTTTATTGTCTTTCATTCTAAGATTTAATCGTCTTATTAAAATAAACTTTTCAATCGCATCTTATGAAGATACAAATATTAGTAATTTAAAACTAACGATCAAAAATACCAGTTTTGCTTACAATTTCTTTAGGACTGAAATGGTTTAATCGATTTATAACCCATACGTCGTCCTTTCCTTTGGTATATTCTCTAATGAATCTGAAAGAGGGAGAATGCTTTATATGTATTCAGAAATAGATATAATAATACTAACCTATAATTGGTAACATAAAGCTTTTCACCGGATTCAGCCATATATTCTTGAAATGAAAGATCTTCTTCAGATTGTCTTTGCGAATCCGCAAGGCCATGCAATCCTTGAAAAGCTGCAGTTATTTCAACATAGCGCTCCTCTGCGTTATATTATTTATCAATCATTAGTTGGTATAACAAAAATTGCATATGCTTAATAAGCAATAGTACACTTAAGATATACTATTTCTTAGAGTAAAACTTACTTGTAGCGTCATCAAAAATCATACCAATTTCATAAATAAACTGCAAGAAGATATCCTCTGCATTGACGGCAATAAAGTGCCTTTGAGATTGTGTCAACAGGTTATAGTTCTTCTGTATTTCTGGTATTATCTTTTTTAAGAAAACGTGATATGACTTTTCTGTTTAGATATAATAGTTGTAATCTTTAAACTTACAGATTTTATCGTATATTTCTTCTCCGATAGAGTTTTAAAATTTCCAGATGATATTAAATTCGAAACGACTATCATTGCCTTAATAATTATTCAATCAATTAGTAAAATAACTAGAAATTAAATTTTAAAGTGAGGAAAATTTGCATCCAACCTGTTCAGCACCTTTTAAAAATTCTTGACTTGAAAAATCATGGTCAAAATATCCTCGAATGAGGAAACCAAAGAATTTGTTACGAAAAACTTTTAGTGGATGAGGCCATATTCTTTCTTCAAAATCCATCAATTTTAAATCAATTCTCTTATTTTCATTTCTATTTGTACTGCACTTCCGAACTGAGTTTTTCTGAAAGTTGTTTACAAACAAGGAAGAATATTTTGAAGGGTTAAATTGGTTGAAATTGATCCGATAACTAGTTTTCGATCCTAGAGATTGCTTATCAAAAGCAACATTTAACAAAATCCTCGATAGTTTATTAAATAAATATCTCTTCATGTGTGCCGCCATTTGCCTTGTGGACTATAGTGCAAAAGTGAATCATGTCTGCTATACTAGTCTACAAAGTATTTTATTTAAAATAAAAGGATCAAATACAATTTTAAAAAATTTATAACAACATTACTATAACTAGCATAGAGGTATTTTTTAAAAATACATTTTAATTCTATATCTATGTCTCTTCATTTTTTCCACCACTTCCGGTGTAGGTATGAAGTGAATTATTTTTCCATTGATGGTAATATCAGAAGTATACTTTGCTTCCAGTCGAATTTGACCAGGTAATAGATATTTTATTGTTTAAAGCTCCTTTTTTCAGTACTGCATGAAATGTCAAGTATTTATATATCTTGATTTCTTTTTTGAAATTTATACTACTACCGGCGTATCCAATATTAGCAAAATAAAAAATCAGAAAACTATTTTAAAATGATCCAAATTAAGTAAAACATGCATAGAATCTGTATTTGTAAGTTATATCATTTATAATCTATTTTATATTATTTTTTTAAAGGAAATTACAAATGCAGAGGAATATTTTTATAAACAAATATCTACATGTGTTTTTTAAGAGTCCAATTCTTGTAATGGATAAAATGCTCGAATTAATCTTAAGGAGAGCTATAAATAAATTGTTATTAATATAATATATATATATATACTATATATATTTTGTGTTTTATTTGTTTAATATTAACTGGTATTTAATTTTATTTAAATAGGCTATTATTTATGTTTACGTGGTTTGAGAGGAAAACTATGAAGGAATCAATCATAGAAATTGTACAGTAATACTCTTCTCTGTTCAATAGAATTAAAGCTTGGTTATTTTTGGAATTTTCAGTTTACTCTTCACAGCTGCTATAGTAAATTTTGTTTAATATATATTGTTATATTAGTATATTAATTATTACTAATTTTTATTGTTAGGTAAACGAGATGTCTGTAAACTATGCTGAGGGTTTGTCTCCATACGAGCACAAGGGTAAATGTGGAATGCCTGAGAAATTTGATGACGCTGATGTATTAAAAGAAAAAATTCAACAATTAGCCAACTATTTTCGGGAAAGTAAGCATGTAGTATGTATAACTGGTGCTGGAATAAGTACTTCGGCTGGTATACCTGATTTTAGAGGCCCTAAAGGTGTTTGGACCCTTGAAAAACAAGGTCAAAAACCTATAGTTGATGTTACATTTGAAAAAGCAAAACCTACATTAACTCATTTGGCCCTTGTTGCTCTTGAACGAAAAAATTACTTAAAATTTGTTATTTCTCAGAATGTTGATGGCCTACATTTAAGATCTGGCTTTCCTTGCAATAGAATTTCAGAATTACATGGCAATATGTTTGTTGAAGAGTGTGAAAGATGTCATAGTAAATATGTCAAAAATACTATTGTTAAAACAATGGCTTTACAATTGACCGGTGATATTTGCTCTTTAAAAAAACCGACTGGAAGATTTTGCAGAGGGAAATTAAGGGATACCATCCTTGATTGGGAAGATAATTTATCAGAAAGCGCTCTGGAAATATCGGAAAAAAACTGCAAGTAGGTTTCTACTAAATTATATAGAAACTGTTTATAAGATTCGTTTAAAACCATTTTATAGGATTGCTGATCTTTGCCTCTGCTTAGGAACATCCCTTCAGATAATACCTTGCGGTAATATGCCCATGAAAACAAAAAAAAACAAAGGAAAGATTATAATTGTAAATTTACAACCAACAAAACACGACAAAAATGCAGATCTATTGATAAATGCCTATGTTGATGATGTCATGAAAGGACTTTGTGAAGAGTTAGGTGTTGAAATTCAGTCATTTAAGAGATATTATATCAAGTTGGAAAGTATATGGACAGACAATAAAGATTCTAAAAAATTTCCTTCCATCGTTGTTGATGAATCTCTGCAAGAGAATAAGGAAATCGAGGAAGAACAACAGGAGGAAGAACAGACGAACGAGACGGTAAAAGAAGAGCTAAATGAGGATTTGAAAAGAAAAATAATTTCAGAGGAGAAGACAGATGATTTAGATATTAAGCAAGTTAAGAAAGAAAATATAAAAGAAGAGGCAGAAGTGAATGAGGAAGGGAATGTAAAGGAAGAGAAGGCAGATGAGAAAAAATGAAGTAATTATATTTTCATGAGGTTCCTATCGAGAGTTTGCATTTTAAATAACATTTAAAAAACAATTGAAACGTTCAATCTTTATTAATTCTTAAAAAAAAAAGAAAGATAAATTATAAAAGAAGAGAAAAAGAGGTTGAAAAGAGGGCAGATAATTTCGTTGACTCTTTTTTTTTTTATCTAATGTTTGTTTTTAATAAATCAATTAAAAATCAACATTTTTCTCTTAGGAAGGATTGAAAATTTTGGATCTTTGTTCATTTGAAAGACTTTACAGTTGATTGTCTATTAAAATAGCCGAATTTTTAAAACACTCCTTTCTTTCTTTTATGGCAGCCAGTAATTTTTTTTTTATGCCTAGAGGAAATCCCATTTCATCTATATCTTTTTCCTCAAGTGATATTAAGGTCTTAGCCTCTATGCGCTCTTGAGTTAATTTTGGAAGAATCTCATGTAAATTGTTCACTTCCAGAAAGAGTTCTAAAGCAGAACACTCTTCTTCTTCGTCCTGGTCTTGATCATCTACGTCCGCTTGAAAGTTGTTAAGTCGAACTGCTAGTGACCTTGCTGTACCTATACTATCTGCGTCGTCCCTTCCATCGTTTACTCCGTCAAGTGACGCTTTTATTTTATTTATGATAATCATAGAGCCCAAACCAGGCCTTTCGAATAGACTTGAAGTTTGCTCGTTGGACCCAAGTTCCGCCGGCGCACTACAAGCACTGTTTGCTCCATCGGCTTGTAATTCCGTTTTAGTCTTTTTGAGAGTAACCTTTTCTCTAGTTGTCCCATTTAGAGGCTGTTTACTTTTACTCTTTCCGGCAAAAATCCTCGAAATAACAGTACCTTTATTGGAGAGACCCACATGTTGTGAAAAACTTTCGGATAAGTCATCCTTTAAAATTCCTTCGTCAATAACCTTTGAGTTATTGTTCTTATTCTATTTTTAGAAAGTATCTCTTAAAGTCGTGATATAGTCAGATAATAAAACAATAAAGGTTCCTTATTAAATGGTTTTACTCCATCAAAAATTATAGTAACACTGTCACGACATAAATATATACTGACCTTAACCTGGTCTTTTTGATTCTTTTCTAACTTTTCGAGAACTTTTTCACGTCTTTTCAATCTTTTCTTAGCTTTCTTCTCAGCGACTTCTTTTAAGCTTCTTACAGAATTTTTATGAAGTGCTGATTGTTGAGCAACAATCATATCCAGATATCGAACAATTTCAATTCGATCAAAAACAGCTGCTAATTGCATTGGTGTTCTTAAATCATTATCTAAATTCCAGAAATTAGCTCCAATATTGACTAAATATTCTACGCATTTCTCATGGCCATTAGCAACCGAATGATGTAGTGCAGTCCATCCAGAGTTATCTGCTTTATCTACGTTAGCTCTGCAAAATAGAAAACAGTATATATATACTGTATATACAGTATAAAAAGCAAACCAAATAAATAACAAACAAAACTAAAAATTATCGTTATTTTATGATTATTTGTACATATAATGCGTTTTATATTAAAATTAATTATAATATTATATGTGAATAATATACATGTATAATTAGAACTAATTATTAATTTAATTTAAATGAATTTTTTATTATTTCTCACCTATATTATATAATATAACTGATGTTTGTAACTGTTTTTTTTTAAAAAGAAAATCAAACTGTATAGTGAGAACAAATAGAGATAATGCGATCGTATGAATGAATAAATTATTAATAGATCAATAACAGCAATGTTTATATATGGTATATTAAATTCAAAATAGCTTTAAGTAAAAACTTCCACGAAAGAAACGCTTCTCTCAACACATCTTTTGATATGAAATATCTATACTAATCTCTGTGACTGTCCACTTATACAGTATAATTGTATTTTAGGGAAAGTTGATAAGAAAAGAATATAAAAGCTAAGGGATTTTCAAACTCTTTTCCTAAGTTTAAGCAATTTTAAACCTGTAGATAGATAAGCTTGAAAAATTTTGATAAGGCACGTGCTTTATTACGGTTGAACAAAGCCGTCTTACCTGAAAGAATTTCCCTTTTTTAAAAACAATATTATAATATTACTAATATTTTATTACTCATTTTAAGCAATTAACTTTACTTTACTTAAAATTGTTGAATATTTTAACTATATTACTTTTGATAAAGCAATAAAGTCAGTATATCTTTAGTTTAGTTAAAACTTTAATGTAAAACTTACAATCACTTTTTTTCTTTTTGTCTTTTTATTGTTTAACTCACCCACGTGATGTAAGAACTCTTAGTGCTTCTACATTCCCTTTTGATGAGGCCCACATAAGGGGCGTCATACCATCTTCATCCTTTTGGTTCGCTTCTCGTCTTGTAGCGCTATTTAACAGTTCTAAATAACCGTCTTTAGCTGCTTCGTGTAAGATAAAATTTGGCATTATTACTCTCTATTCTTCTTTTCATAAAGAATTTTTCAGCTGCTATAAACTGTTTTTACCGTATTGATCTCGTTTTTACGTGTTTCGTGAAACGTTTTGAACATCTGGTGTCACCTAAAGTGTTTAGTATGTAGATGGCGCTCCTCGTTCTTTTATATGTTATAAATACTCGGAAGAATTAGAAAGAACATGTAAAAAGCTTCCATACCTGAAATTGTCCTCAAACTAGAAGTATTTGAATATATCTGAAAAATCTATTAAACACTTAATAGTAAAATATAGTAAATAAAATATTAAGTATTCATTAATAATCATTCAAATTAAATCAATAAATTTCATGGTCAGTGTACAATATATAGATTTTGTAACATTGACAATCAAAGGAAATTCTCTATCTTACGTTTTTTTTTATAATAGAAAATAGAATAGAATAATAGATTATTTACAATGAAAAAAAAGCTTTAAAATAGAAAATTAAATCAATAATTTCAAGGTTATAACTAAAATTTAATATGTCGATAATATTCGCGCAATCTGTCAGAACTTTTATGTTTTTGTTGTTTATTATTATTTTGTTCTATGTTCTTTTATAATGCTCCAGTTTTTTTCTTTTCTTGTTTGACATTCATAAACAGTTTGTGAGGAGAATACGGATAGATGAGTTTACGAATCCTCTAAGCAGTGTAGATTAATATGAAAACTGGTGTATTTCTGATAGAAATAACGGATAGAATGTAATATTTATTGAATAGTGACAAAATATGGAAATATGAAAGATAATGATTGCTTTTTAATGGAAGACAAATTTGGAATAGATTACAAGTTAACAAACTATTCATTTATGGAGAAAAAAAAAGGTTCCATATCATTTAACTTATCAACTTTATCAAAACTAATTAAAGATGTTGAAAAGGTATAAATCTCGTTGTTTGAATGCTTTGAAATACCTTCTACAGAAAATATTCTTATAGGATTAGTTCCGGTTTAATTTAAATTACAGTTACGTTTTCTAAGGTAAATCTCTCTCAGTTGGAAGCCTTTTAAAAAAAGGAAAATAGTATTTCCGAAGATGCATATAATGATTTTAATTTACATATCTACATGCTATACTAATAATATTTGATATAATAAGAATATAATAAGACGTCTCCCATCAGAATTCTCATATAGCCTTAAGATTCTACCTAACTGGATATAAGTGTAAAGTTTATAAAAAAAATGTTATAGAATTTCATTTTACTTTCTTTTTACAAATAGTTAGTTAGCCTTAGATAAAGTATCGGATGAAAAAAATTACTATGGCAACCGAAATACTCTATTTAACTTAAAGTATATAGTATTAGCTGCTGATAAGTAAATAAGCAAGTATTAAACAATTTAACTATTCTGAATGTCTTTTTTACAGCATTTTCAATATTCTCATCAATGAATTTAAGCAATTTTTTTTCGTCATTTGCTATTTTAAATAAAAATTCTACTCTATTTTTGACATTTCTATGAAATCTTTAAAGCGTCTGTATAGAGGTTTGTGTATCATTTGAAAGTCTGCCTATTCTATCCGTCTTACCTTGAGTAATTTCCGAAGGATTAATTATCTTTACTTTTCATACAGATATAATATTGTATTTAAATGAAACTTCAATGGAAAACGATAATTTTTTTATTAAAATAAATAGATTATGAATAATTATGTTTTGATAATTATATTTTACAATCTTGTTATCGTTTTAAATGTTAAACTCAAGGAAAAAGACCTTGGTGATGTTATTATGCATATTATATACTTTTGTTACACTATATATAAAATTCCTTTCAATATTTTCAATATACGTTCTTAGAGGGAATTCGATGCCGCCATTAAAAAAACGTTCTTTTATTATCAATCTTCAAAAAATAAGTAAACTATTGCTAAAACAATTAAAATCAAATAGAAAGATTCTCTTTATTATAATCTAATATATTTTATTTATATAGAAAAATTAATAAATTAGTTCATTTATCAAAGAAACAGGTATATTGAAATTAATTAAAAATATTTCGTCATTAAATATTATACTAATTAGCCTGGTTCTAAATCGAATTCTTTGAAAAGCTTTAAACGGGAGCAGTCAATCGATAATAGGTAAAAAAGAATTACAAAAGAAAAAAGGAAAAACAAACTATTAATAGATTTAATAAGAAAAGAGTTTATATTTTTTTTTCAAGTATAGATAGCGTTGAAGGAGATAATCATTTAGCGGGTTTTTATTCATTTCCATGGAAAATTTATCACATTTAAATATTTAAATGATTTCTAGACCTCTTCTTTAGTTTACTAAATAGAGAAACTGGCGAATATCTAATTAAAGAGTTTAGAGAAATTGATAAGATAACGTTAAAGCAAAATGTAATTAAGGAGAAATTATCAAAAGCCTTTTCAGAAGACGGGTTAATTAAGTAAAAAAATAAAACTAATTAACCTAATTTAATCATTATCTTTTTTTATTAATAATTAATGTATTTTGATACCAATAATTAGAATTTTTAAAAGTTTGAGTGATAAAGAGTCTATACCTGATGATATTCTTCTAGCAGAAAATGAAAATCTTGCCCAAGTTATCGATTTTGCAACTGAATCACAAATATGGACTAGAAACGTCTTAAATACATTTCTTTTACTGAAAAAGGATTTACAAAAGTCTGCTATCTTACTAATAATAATTCTACTAAATGATTAATTTACATAAAATATAAGATTAATAGATGAATCAAATACTGAAGTTAGAGAATCTTTGGGTTTAATTAATCATTTAAATTCGATAAATTTGCTAGAAGATTTACTTCAACAAATGCATCTTAACACTGAATTTTTTATCAATTTTGCCCAATTTCAATTACATATTCCAAATATCAATTCAAAACATTCCCTGAGGAATACATTCCACAGTATTCTATTAAGAATGTTTGTATATCAACATGTTTTTATCTAGGCTTAATTACATTTTATACTATAAGATTCAATGGAAAAAAAGAGAATTTCAATAATGAAATAGATAAAATGAGAATATTGCTGAAAGAATGGAATGATAAATTCTTCCATTTAATAAATAAGAATTTAAATATTTTAGATGTTGTAAAGGAATCATTTTTAATACGTCGTATTAGAGATATTGGATTGGAGATTGATAAGGATAACGCAAATAAAAACATTGAGGATACTTTAACAGATGATAGAAAGAAAGAATTGGAATTATTGGAAATTGATAAACAATACGAAATTGATTCTTTAAGGATGAATATTGATACTTATAAAGAGTTAATATTAGAGTCTAAAATAGAGGGATTAAAGATAAAATTAGACATTTTCAAACAAACTAATAGAGAGTTAAATAAAAAAGAAATAGAACAAACAAAACAGCTTATTTCCCAATTGGAGAATGATAAAAAATATCTTGAAAGACTTATACTGGAAGATAAAACGAGAAAATTGTCAAAATATATTATTGAAGTAGCTTTGAATAAGCTTAAACATCTTTCGCCTTCGCAAAATCTATTAGTTAAAGGAGAAGATTCTCCAACAAGTTATATAACTTATCTAACACCCTATAAGGTAAGCTATGCTTATTAATACGGGCAAGAAGAACCTGATAGGTACATAGTGATGCTTTTTTTTTTAAATGTAAATAGAGAAATGCAAAAAAAACTGTCACGGAAAATATTCAACTTGACAAACGTAAATCAAAGAAAAGAAGGAAAAAGATCTTATTATGGGGTTTGGGTTCCATCGCTAATGTAGGATTATCGTTGTCGGCAGTTATTATACCTTGTGTTTATCCGTTTCAAATTTGCAATTGGTATTGTTATTAAAATTACTTTTTTTTTAAATTTACGTTCTTCTTGTGGGCTGTATTTATCCGCTGATGTAAAATTTAGGTCAGGCAATCGATCAAGAAGTCCATCTACATCAAGAACCTATGATGAAAAGTATACTTCAGGAACATTAAAAGAAACGACCAACCATAAAAGAATCGATACAAATGGAGGTACTAAGAACCCCATCACTAAAAGAAGTAAAAGTAATTTTGTTATGCATCAAACGACTTCAAGGTCGACGCAATTTAATTTTTCTCCAATACATGGCCAATCATTTGTCGATTATATATTACTTTTTTGTGCTATATTTCTAATTATTCTCCTTAATCTGCTTATATATTTCTTTCGACTAATTCATAAATCCAAATCAAAGAAGACAAATCCTCAGAGATTATCGAAAAATTCATCATCAAGAGAATCTTTTTGTGAAGGTGTTTCTAACGAGAAGATTAATTAATTCTTAATGATTTATTTGCTGATGGGAAAAATCAGATTTGAGAATGGTAAGAGGACTAGGATTAGGATGAAGAGGCGAAAGCGGGGGAAGAGGAGAGGAGAGGTGAGGAGAGGAGAGAGAGGGAGGAAATGGAAAAGGAGATAGTTGGCTGGAAGCGAGTCTTTAAAAGAATTAATCTATTATAAATTTGCTGTCACTATCTTCCCATATGATCATTAATTTTTTTATTAAATATTACTTCAGAATTATTGATATTTCTTTATTAAATAATTAAAGTAAATAACTAAATTTTAAATAAACCTGCTTTCCCTTTCCTATTAAATATATTCAGTATAATAATTTATAACCAATCAGATAATAAAATATAGGTGTCACTACTTACAAGACAAGTGTATATTTTTCAAAGTAACAGCTGCTTTACAACATTTTTTTTGCTAAGGATATAAATACATGTATACAGTTTATATATAAATATAATACTTTTATATGTATTTATACAAATTTTCAAATACTTTTCATTTGTTTATGGAATATTAAATTCTTACTTGAAAAGAAAATTTATTCTTACCGGATTGACTCTATCATCTTCCTTTCTTTTTAACAAATCTTCTATATAATTATACAATAAGAAAAAGGGATAGTCAGCGAAAAGGAGCGTACTTCCTGATTATGGGTTGGTATTAGGCTTTATTATTATTATTTTCATTATTTTTGTAATACGTGTTTTTTTTTCTCCCTTATTTTGTTTCTGCTTTTCTCCACTTTTCATCTCCAAACAGAAGGTGAAAAAATAACAACTACGCCCAAACTTTGTCAAGGGAGTAGCACTTATTGTAATTCTACTGTTAATTCTAAAGGATTAATTTGTATTAACGATAAGCTCTGCGATGGTAAAATTGACTGTTTAGATGGTATCGATGAAAAGAATTGTAAAGGTAAGAATGTATACAATGCATAAATTATAGCGGAAACATATTTCGTATACTACATAACATCTCATTATATATTTAGAGCATAAAATATGGCTTAAAGGACAAAGTTACGCTTTCTTCATATCCTTTATCGTTTTTGTTGTTCTCTTGATATCGAGCGTTCTAATCTGGAAGTTTGTTAAACGTAGAAGAGTTCGTAGACCTAGTTACAGTAATTCTATTGAAACTAGTTCTCTAACTGAATCTCTTCCATCAACGCCAAGAAGTTCTTCACCATCAGTTAGTTCTCCTTCGTAGACTCGTACTAAATTGGATTTCTTTTTTTTTTATTTGGGAAAAAATTGCCCATAAACTACTGTCTAATTGTATAGAATTTTTTAAGTGTTGTCATAAAACGGTGCATAATATCCTCAATACACAGATAAAAAATTAGAAAAGTAAATCTCTTTCTTTTAGGTAGTGAAACATTATAGATTGAGAGAGACAGAGAGAGAGAGAGAGACAGAGACAGAGACAGAGAAAACAGTGTTTTTTTTATATTTGTGAGAGAAAGAAAGAGAAAGAGAGATATATATAGAGAGAGAAAAGAAAAAGATCTTTTCTTTCTTTAAATTAAAGGCACTAAATAACTATTTTTTATATTAGATTAGATTATTTTTATAATCAAATTGTGTATAATGATTTATTAATCACCCGTATGAAATCGTAATAAAGAGTATACTACAGATTTGCATATACTGTATATATTAGTGAAATGTATACAATGTATACAGTATATATATCGTATAGATACTATAGTTCGTTAATAGGTATTTTTTAGATTTAGTAAAAAACAATTGATATTTTTCTAGTTTTTTCCCAACCATATCTTCATCTCCTTGTACAACTTTATCTAAATTTTCCTATTATAATTAAGTGAATAAGAAAGTTTCGCCCTTGGAATGAAAATAAAAAACCTATAAAACGTCCCAATAGCAATTTACACTAATTAAGTACCATATCCCAAAACTAATTGAATAGAAGAAGATGGACGTATATCATTCTTTACTCTTTCATCTACTTTTCTTTTATTTAAATAATTGCTTTTAAGGTAAATTAAAAAGTTGGATATATTTTTCCTCCCTAAATTCGGTTGGTTATAAAAGAATTTTGCCGGGATTATTTGCTTAGAATACCAAAATTAATTAACTATCAAAGAATTTAGTTGGTAATAAGTAACACTCATCATTTAATACTCCGATAAGGTATATGATACATAATAAAATAATCTGGAATTAATTTTTATAAAGGTTCAACTGAGAAAAGAAGAATCCTTACAGACAGACTATAAATATCTCTTACTCCTTTTCTCCCTACTGTCATTCTCTGATTGACAGAAACCATACAGAGATAATATATTTTCTATGGAAATTATGCAAGACAAGATTTTATCATAATTATAGCAATTTCAACAGAAGAGAAAGCCTAATAAGCTACATTTATACGAATTATTAGAGTGTACTTAGAGTTTTCAAATTGAGATTTTAGTATAAAGTTTAGAATAAGCGTTTCATAATGACAAGTTCAATATCAAGTTCTGAAATGTTACACTGTTACACTGTATTGTATACAGAAATAAAACATCAACAGACCTTTACATCACAAACGTTACTTACAAATATATAACTAGCACATTACAAGAGCTTAGTGTCGGAATTTTCCTTTCTAAGGCTTTTGTATTAATATCATAATAGAATGTAAAAATAACTGTTTTTGTTTCTGCTACTATTAAAAAAGATTATTTACTTCTAAATAGCGCCATCTTGCTTTTAGAAAATGTTTACATTCTTAATATTTATAATAGTATATTTGATTATCAGTCGTTAAAACGTATATTGTAGTATTCATAAAATCTTTGTATCCGTATATTTGATAAGGTTGACAGCCTATTTTAATAGAATTACTATATACTTTTCCATCTGATAATGCAATGATATTAATAGTCTTATTTTCTGTTTCTACCCGAAAAATTCGTTGTTTGAAGACAAGCGCTTTGGAAAAAGATCCACAAATATTTAAACTATTCTCTCCAGAACCATCGATAATGGATAAGTAATTCATTATTTCCTCTTCAAAGCTTACAAAAGTGTTGAAGGAATCCGTGGAACTTAACGATTTTACATGATTGGTTGCTATTCTCCATATTTCATTACCCGATTCGTCAAAACGTGAAATATTACATCCATCGTTATATAATATTAAAATATCCTTATCTTTCACTGATAGAACTTGTAAAGGAAATTGTATATTTAGCCAAAGGCTTGAATCTAAAATCGAATTGCAAAGCTTCTTCCAAATACAGTTACATTTCATTGTACCAATGTAAAAGATGGAATTATTTGAATTTATCGTAAAACTTGTTATAATATCATTAATTTTATATAATCTTCTCCTAAAATTACAGTCCAAATCGTATTCGTCCACTATTGAATATTTGACATAGTTTTTTACAATTTGTAAAAAACCTTCATTTACAATTATCGATTGGACGTTGAATTTCTCATTATCAACTGATAATTCTATAGTTTTTACATATTTCAAAATGTCTGGAATACAATCTTGATAGTTAAGTGTAAACTTTGATTTTATAATATCAGAATTTACGACCATTTCCACTTTTGATAGCATGATTTTTTCGTACATTTCCACTAGATTTCTCTCAATATGTTCTCTAGGTCTATTGAAATTTTCATTAAGAAAATTGAAATAGGTGGCAAGTTCCCTTTTAAACAATCTCATGTCTTTATTTTTCTTATCATATATACAATCAAGTTCATTAAGGCATCTCCGATAGTCGTTAGCTAATTGATTTTCTAAGACTTTGAACTTACATTCTAGTTCATTTAATAAATCAATCTTCCTCTTTTTAAAATATCCCTTTAAAATTCTTGAATTACGCATAACTCTTTCGTATCTTCCATTTTCTAACCTTTCTTTTGTATTATTCTCCTCATTACTATCATTATTCCTTTGACCTTCCTGCTCATGTTGTACTTCGTTAGTTAAATATCCCGACTCGTAATTTGAAATATCATTAGACGTAAGAGATGAAGAAGTAGAGCAGAAGGGACATTTTATACTAGCATTTTCACGTTCAGTAATAATCCGAATACAATAAAAACATACTCGCTTTGAACAGCAAATAGACTTTATATTCTTAATTTCGTAGAAATTATTGCAAATATCGCACCTTATCAGTTTCTTTACCGTGTTCATTACAAGAAAATAGGAGTCTCTTTCAATCGGTTTGGAAATGTCTACATGTTACAATTGAAAACTTAACCAATCACAATAGAGCTTCGACTTTAAATTAGATATGGCAAGGACACATTTTTTTTCTGAGATGTATTGTTATTTTATTGTAAATGAGAAAATGAAAGTAGGAAATATATCTCTTATCTCTTATCAATGTTGTATAGTAAAAAATATACAACAAAAGTCTTATTATGTTTCTTTAATATGTAGAATACATTTAGATGAATCATAGTAAGATCTTCTAATACTCTTCTTATAACGATTAAAGAGATGATCAACCATAAAGACATTTCTTATTGAATATAAGATGAACACTTCCCATATTTTTTGAACAATATTATTAACAGCAAATTGTTTCAGCCATTCTTTCTTTGATGTTATTTTTGCCAATTCCCAACCTAATTCTTCTTTAAATTCGTCGCTAATATCCTTTGATCTGAGCCATCTTTCTATTTTCTTACTTCGAATTTCCATCGTTAATATATCCATATCGATTGGATATAGGCATTCGTCTTCTACTAGTTTCAAATAGTCGGCTATACTAGTTGTAGATTTATCCAATTCTTCAGGATTCTTATGTAGAGGTATCATTTTTGGATAATTAACCATTTTTCTCTTTTACAATTAACAACTTTTGTATGAAATCTTCGTCTGACTTGTTCTGATTGACTTCAGTTTATCCTTTATATATAATTCAAAGATTGTAAATGCTATATATACAGAGCAGGTTATAATTGGATTCGTGTCGTTCCTATTGTATGAATCAATGTCAAAGAGCAATTGTTTTAAATCGTCTTCTCCTCTGACTCGTGTCAGAGTAGCTTATGTTAACCCAACCCTACCACAACCAAACGAAAGTAATAGAATAGGTTACGTAACCTTTAAACTCTCGCCAAATAATTGTCGTAGATAGGTCATCTTTCAAAGAGACTATATCTACTTTTAATTCGAATAAAAAGAGTGATAAAGATAGATTATCTCTTTGTTCCCTCTCTTCTTAAATGTCCACAGATAAAGGTTTGTTCATTAAACACACTGAAAAAGGAACAACTTAACAATAACAAACCTATTATTATTTTTTATTTTCTATGATTAACAGTTAATTAAAAGTGTCAATTTCAAAAGTTTAGATAATATTTATAATATTATTTAACAGTAAGCCTTTTGACTTTACTGTTTTACGACTTATTCAGTAATAAAGATAAAATTGATTCATTTTAAATTAGCTCTCATCCTTCTCCATTCTCCATCTTCTTCTTCCACTGTCCTATCTTCCTTGTGCATAGACGTAAGTACTGTTTACTTGCTAATGACGTATTTAATGATCAAATATATACATTTTTCCTCAAACTTTAGAGTTTTATCAGAGGAAACAACTACCTTTAGAGGTGAACATCACCCCTGAAAATTCAAAAGAAGAGAAAGATAAATCGTAAATGGATATGAAATTTGTAAAATGAAGGATAAGGGATGAAAGTGAAAATATAAACTAGAGAGTATTTCTTTTGGCTAAACAAGATATAGATGAATGATAAATAAAGTCTCTTCTTGTGGTTCCAATATCAATCATTAAAGATGTAATTTGGATTATAAATGGTCAATAAAAACATAAGCTAAATCGTTTAGAATAAGTTATAATACTCCACTACAGATTTTTGTTGAGTAGAGTTGCTATTGAGTAGTTTATATAGAAAAAAGTGAAGACAGTGCTCTACTTTTAATTCGTTTTCAGTCTATTGAAAGAACAAGAAAGAGAAAGATGAAAACTTTTTTCAAGTTGCTCCTTTTGTTCGGTGCTTTCAGTATTTTAGAGTTTGTAAGTTTTAATTTATATAATATTTATATTATTGTATTAAATAAACTAGAAACGTTCGAGAGAAATTATATATAAAAAACACCAATATAAGATATTAATTTTGTTGTTTTTTTATTATTATTTAAGGCTAAAGCGCAAAAGACAAAAACTAATCATATCAGCTTAAATGAAGTTTTTAAGGAAAAAGCTTTAGAAGACTTTGTAGCGGGAAAGGTTCAAGCTGCCCAATTAAAGCAAAGATCGTACCTGACCAAAGAAGGAATTGAAAAAAAGTTGAGTAAACATGGGTTTTCAGCCATAAAAGCTTTATTCCAAGGTATAATTGATTCTTATGAATCAATGACGCATATCCTCCCACACGTCGCCTTACCCAAAGATCTAGATAGTTTAAAAGGAGTTGGTGCCGATGAAACAGCTATAGCTAATAAGACAATGCTCAAATTACATGCTCACTTGCAGAATTTAGCGTCAAATAATGATTTTGATTTAAATGATTTTTTGAAGAGAATTAAAGCAAAAAATATAACGAAAGTTGAAGATTCTTTCGGCGTTGTTGAAGATTTACATGGCGGTCTTTTAGAAATGATTACAAATGCTTACAATTCAGCTAAAGTTTCTATCGACACCATTTGCATAATAGTGTTCAAACTCCGAAAATTAGTAAAAAATCAAAATACTATTGGAGACTTTCTAAAAGTTTATCATGAACTCGACATTTACGCCACAGAATTAAAGAAGCACATTGAAATTATTGGAATAGCCCATCAGATAAATCATATAATAATGGATTTGAAATCTCAAATGGATTGTATAACTACCACAACTTTTTCTTCTAGAGTATCCAAACTAATTACCGATGACTCTGCCGAATTAGACTTAAATTTCACTAGGCAGTTTATTTAATATTTTATTTTCTTCTAATCTTAATAAATTATTTTTTAAAACACAAAAAAAAAAGAATTTCGTTGGAAAACTAGTAAGAAAAAAATAATTAAACTTACAAGATAACCAAATAACACCACAGTGGTATAAAAGAATTGTTGAGTAGTGTTAAAACAATACTATACCACATAAGTGTTTTTAAAACTTACGCTGATATAGAGAACAATAACTATAGGTTGAGTAGAATTATATAAATCGAATAGATAAGACATTGGGCTAGAAAAAAATGATTAGTAATTCTATTATTCTACATATATTTTATAAGAAAATAAAGTAGACTCAATCATGTAACTCAGTATGAGATGTGTTTTAGACCTTACTTCGCATGAACGCAAAAAAAGACAATTACATTTTATTGTAAGCACCCAAGTACTTATGTAATCGTTTAAAACAATTTATTTATTCGTCTTTTTTTTTTTAGATAGAAAAATTTTAATAGAAAACAGTCATAACTAAGTATGTTTGATGGAAGATTGCCAAAAACTAATTATTCGTAAATAACCTCTTTCCAATCCAAGCTAATGTGATAAAAAATAGAAATACAGGTATGGTAACAGGTATCAATATAAAATAGTACAAGAGAGAAGAAATATCATCCATTATTGTAGTAATAACTGCAAAAAAAATAAGGCGATAAAAATTTATAAAATAGCAAATAATTTTATTTGTAGAACAATCATAGAAATCGTATTACTTTTCTTATCGCTAGAAGATAACTCTTAATTGACAACAATGTAGAGAATTTGGAATAATTGTTCAATTTTTATCTGCTATCAAGCCATCGAAGTGAAGCCTTTCGTCCAGCTAAGATTACAAACACCCAAGCCAAAATCACCAAAATTCCAAGAATCTAATTTTTGTATTAAATTTTTATTACTTTGTATTAAAAATACGACAGATAAGATTTTTATCCAGAATATTTAACTAAAATTGTCAAATACCTGAACGATAATAAGTCGACTTTTGGAAACAGTCTCAAGTTTTTTACTATAGAGGATTCATCCTACTAAAAATATGAAGTACTTACGAAACCAACAATTTGATCTTGGGTTTTTCTATTAATTACATACATATCATTTTCTATTTAGATAATTATTAAGTGTAATATTTTTTTATTTTTTATGAGATATTTGGTATCTATGAAAATTGTGATCGAATTATATTCAGGATTCAAAGTTACGGACACCGTCCTGAAACTAAGCCTAGAAAGGTTGTTTTTGCCTCATTTCCTTTTTCTATACAAAAACATGTTGCAACTTATGGAGCTCATAAATTTGATTATCAATTGACTCTTTTGTCGAGATAGTTATGATTCAAACTGTGGGAATGTTGTCCTAGTTTTATTCTCAAATACAAAAGATTTATAATCTTTTTATAATCTTGACCTAGTAGATAAATATTTTTCTTTCAAAAGAATTCAAAAATAAAATATCTTGTTTACCATCCTCATTTTACATGATTTAACTATAGCTGAGTTTATTAGGTCAAGGGAAATATTGTTAAGGGTTTTGTACAATATTTCCAACACGTAGATTCTATGAATTGGTGCTACTGTTAGAGAAAAATATGTTTAGTATCTAATACTTAATTTTTCCAAACAATATTTTACAGAGATTGCAGTAGGATAAAATCATGCTCTGCTTTACACTCTAGAACAGAACTAAAATTATTTAACGTTACGTTTTGTAACAGGAATGCTAACTAAAATAGCAGAGATAGCGAGAGAGAGAGCTGAAATAGTCCAATTGATAGCTTATTATTTTATATTTAACACATGATATTGAGTCCTTTTTATTTCAGTATTGTCTCTTTCATGGTTTAAAATTCGTGAGTTTCATCAAGCCTTCGGTGCTCATTGATTTTGGTCTTTCAATAGGTAAATTGAAAGCTCTATCCCATATCAAAGAGCTCATACAGCCCAAAGCTCTGCTTACACCAAACAGAACAGTATAATAAGACATTTCCTTCATTCCGTAGTACTGTTTGAAATATAAAAGGGAGAAATATGTAGATTTATACTCTATAAATATCAACTAATGCACATTCTCAGAAAGATCTTACCTGTAGAAGGACACCGCTGTGAGCGTCCACATTTGGCCAGGGGTTAGCAACTTTCCCAAGTTCTTGTAAAATATCTGGTACCATTTTGTATAGTTGCCCGACAATTTTAAACGTAGCATCGTTTGGAAGATGCTTCAATGCAAATTCCCGTTGACAAGTATAACGAGGATCAGTTTTTCTTAAAACTGCATGTCCGTAACCAGGTACAACTTGTCCAGAATTTAGAGTATTCCAGATAAATTCCTTGATGGTATCATCTGATGGATTATCTCCTACAGCTTCTTGTAGCTTGGTAATCCAAACAAGTACTTCTTGATTTGCTAGACCGTGAAGTGGACCTGCCAAACCGTTCATACCAGCAGCAAATGACAAATAAGGATCTGATAGAGCTGATCCAACTAAATGACATGTATGGGCGCTGACATTTCCTCCTTCGTGATCGGAGTGAATTGTCAAGTACAATCGCATTAATTCAGTAAATTTTTCATCTTCATATCCTAACATAGACACAAAATTGGCAGACCAATCCTTGCTTTCATCAATTGCCCCAACGCTTGTTCCATCTCTGTAAAGATTTCTATAAATTATAGCTGCAATTGTAGGCAATTTAGCAATCATGTCCATAGCGTCTTCATAAACATGTTCCCAGTAGCTAGCCTTAGAAACACCTTGAGCGTAAGCTCTAGCAAAGCGGGATTCAGTATTGCAAGCTGTAATAGCGGCTCCAAATTGGGACATGGGGTGCATATTGTTGGGGAAGTTGTTCAACATGGTAACAACATGAGATGGCAAATGTGCCCGCTTATTCCATTCCTCGGTAATGCTTGCTACCTGTTGTTCAGTGGGAATATCACCAGTGGCTAATAACCAGAATAAACCTTCTGGTAAAGGCTCCTCTCCTCCTGGAGCTTTAGGTAGTAAATTTTGACATTCAGGAATACTGTACCCTCTGAAACGAATTCCTTCTTCCGGATCTAGAACTGATGTTTCCGTTACGAGGCCCTTAATTCCTCTCATTCCTCCATACATCATATCCACGGTGACATGTCCCACTTTGGTATCGCCATGATTGCTTCGGAACTTCTTGACAAGTGCTTGCTGTTGCGGAACGAGGTTCGAGAGAACATCCTTAAGATTGTTGTTACTGGCTTCAGCATAGCCTCTTGCTTGATAAATAGCCGGAGTTGGAATCTATGAAAAAAGATGGATATCTTACTATTACCTATTAGTGAACCAAGATAATTTCAATTTGGTTTATCTCTCTATTGTATAGATAAGTGCCTTTCAAGAATGACCTTGATTGAATTCCATTCAAAATTAGAGCATAGTCCGATTGTGTAACACCCTACTTCATATCTCACATGAAAGGTAACTATATTATTTCCTCTTTGGATTTATAGTAAATACTATATCCTCATCAGAAACAATTTAGTTATCAATGACTATAGCTGGGGGATGAAACGTCCTCCTTTACCGAAATATCAGAGAACTTTAAGCAATTTAATTTGGAATATATACCTTTGACTTCCCCGCCAATCTGAAGATTACAGTTCTTGCCAAAGTCATCTTTATTGATTAGTTTGAAACTAGAAAACCGGTGAAAGAATCGTTTAAACGAGTAGAAATAACACGCTCCTACAAGTAGTTTCGTACAATGCGCATGCGTTGAGAGATTCTCACCGGCAGAATCTACTATTAACCGAATTTACAACTTCCGAATTTAACAACATTTCGGAAAACATAGGCTTTATTTCGTTGAAATACTCTTTTATCGTCTCTACTTAAAACGTGTAAATATAAAGATGGACGTAAACTTAGTAAGTTATAATTTTACATAAATCATATATGTACTTAATAGCCTTTATCCAGCCAAAAGTTGAATACGATTTACAAGCTCATAGCGAATTAAGATTTGAAGTAGAGGTAAACGAACCTATACAGCTTGAAGTAAGAGCATTTAATTTATTTTTATCAAAATCTCATCCACTAACGATTCTTACAGCTTCTTGAAGGAACAGCGGAAATTTATGGTAGCGAATTAGTTAAGGGATGTGTTTATAAATTCTATCGAGGGAGAAAAGTTGCTGTTTTCACGTGGGACAAATGCAAAGTTAAAATATCCTTTTTTGTTTACCTTTAAAAATGTGTTAGACAACATAAATATTATCCTTAATTCCATTCTACTTAACCGGAAAACCCGAAGTAGCTTACAGAGCCAAAGAAACACCAATGGTTCTATATGTAAATGTACATGCCGGCTTAGAGCAAATGAGAGATCAGGCAGCGGAGCAAAAGTCCAGAGGACCAAGAGTAAGCTTTTAATGATTTACATTTACAGAATAATAAAAAATTAATTTTAGATTATGCTCGCTGGACCAACTGATGTTGGCAAAAGTACAATATGTAAAATGTTGGTAAGTTGGGCAGCAAGACTAAAAAGAACTCCAATCCTTGTAGATTTAGACGTTGGTCAACCCGATTTAAGTATACCTGGAACAATTGGAGCTAGTGTTATTGAAACTCCTGTAGACATTGAAGAAGGCTATAATCTTAGCGGTTTGTTCTAAAAACTCGTTTGAAGGTTGCATAAGCAATTAAAAATTAAAATTTTTTTCCATAGGTCCCTTAATTTTTCATTTTGGTCATATTACGCCACAAAACAATATTGATCTATATAAAGTACTAATTAGTCGTTTAGCTGAAGCAGTATCAATGAGAGCGCAGAATATAGAACAAAGTAAGCAATCGCATTTTCTATTCTTTTCAGATATCAACTCCTAATGTCCTATATTTTCTCTTTTTCCCATTAAATTATTAGCAAATTATAGTGGTGTTGTTATAAATACGTGCGGCTGGGTACGTGATGGAGGCTATCGTTCAATAGTTCATGCTGCAGGAGCTTTCGAGGGTAAATAAGAAGTCATTCGCAAAATTATTTCCCTCTGTTCTTTAAATAGTTTAAATTCATTATAGTTGACGTTGTTGTTGTTTTGGATCAAGAAAGATTATACAGCGAATTATTAAGAGATATGCCTGAATTTGTAAAAGTTATAATGCTACAGAAAAGTGGAGGAGTAAGTTAATTAATCTAAGAGTTTCTTTTAAAACGTGTAAACACGTATTATAATGAAAATATAGGTTGTTGAGAGAACAAGAACTGTAAGAGAGACAACTCGTGATAAAAAAATCTATGAATATTTTTATGGAACTCGTGAACAAGCTCTATACCCACATACATTTGAGGTTAATTTTTTTAGCGTTTAAATAATTATACCGTATACTAATTACGAATTTAATTCAAAAAGGTTCAATGGAGTTCTGTAAAATTCTTTAAAATTGGTGGGCCGGATCTTCCAGAATCTATGCTGCCTGTTGGAATAACATTAGCCGATAATAAAACGAAAGTTGTTTCTGTAACGCCGAGTCGAAATCTTATGTATCACGTTTGTAGTGTATCTACTGCAAATACTGAAAAAGAAATTATTCAATCAAATGCTGCAGGATTTGTTGTAATGTAAGTAAATTTTTTCATATTTTATTTTTAGTTTGGTAAAATTATTCTCTCTTTTTTCTTTTTCAAGAACTCAAATCGATATCAATAAAGAAAGTGTTACTCTGCTATCACCTTCTCCAGGACCCCTTCCCTTCCCTTACTTACTAGTGATGGAGGATGTTAAATATAATGATGAACTTCGTTCTGCTATTTATAAAAAATAATACTTTTTAACTGTTGTTTATAAATACTGTTCTATATTTATTATTCAATTTTGATACACTCTTAAAATATAATATTGGACGATTTTAACTGTTTCCTCCAATAAAAAGATTGTTTGTTTCACTACTTTTCAAGAATAACTAGAGGGCGTACATTGTCGTTACTTTTTTTTGTTCTTTTCAAAAGGTTCTTTAGTTTCGTTGCAACGTCAGAGCTGTAATTCCTTAAAGATGTCTCGAAAAAGTACAACAACAATCCTTCGACAACTTAGAGAGCTTATGAAATCTTCCAAATTTAGTTTACAAGCTTATATTGTCCCATCGGAGGATGCTCATATGGTAATGAATTGAATATTCAAATGAATTACTACACTACGAGGTTTTTGAATAAGATTGAAACTGGTTTGAAAAAAAAAGCAAAACGAATTTATTGAACAGTATTATATGAGATAATCAATTAAATGTTTGTTTTTTACACAAATTATATCCAAAACACTATCATAGTTATATTTTATCTGCGCTCCTATACGATACAAAATCATGCCATATTTTTTTTATCAAAAATCAAATGTAACTGTCACAAGTGGCTAAAGACTAAACCTACGAATTGTATTGTTAACCAATTTAAAGTTGCAAAAAATAGATTTTGACGAATATTATCTTATTTCTTTCGATAAATGTTGTGTCTTTGTAGAGTGAATATATTGCCGAAAGAGATGCTAGAAGAGCTTGGATTAGTGGATTTACTGGAAGTGCTGGATTGGCGGTTATTACGCAAAAGGAGGCAGCTTTATGGACAGATGGAAGATATTATTTACAAGCAAATCAACAGTTGGACGACAATTGGACTTTGATGAAAGATGGATTGCCTGATACACCCTCCTTAACTACTTGGTTAAAAAAAGTTCTGCCAAAGGACAGTCGGATTGGAGTTGATCCTTGGCTTTATTCAAACTCTGGATGGACCAAATCATTCCATGACCTAAATAAAGCTAACCGGCAACTTGTTGCTGTTGAAGAAAACTTAATTGACAAGGTTTGGACTGATCAGCCTCCTGTTCCTTGTAATCCAATTTCTATTCTTGATATGAAATTTGCTGGAAAAAATTGGCAAGATAAGGTTGCAGAATGTAGAACCAAAATGGAAGCAGAAGGAGCAACAATCTTGGTTCTTTCTGCATTAGATGAGATAGCTTATCTTTTAAATTTAAGAGGATCGGATATTGTCTTTAATCCAGTATTTTTTTCATACGTCATCATAACAGTGAAAAATGTTTAGTAAGTGTTAGAATTTTCTTGATAATCTATGAAAAAATAGTTTCCTACAGTCTATTCATTGACCCGGCTAAGGTGACGAATAGTGTTAGAGAACACTTAAAAGGAGTTGAGATTAAACCGTATGGGCAAATAAAAGCTGATTTACTTCAACTTATTGAAAAAGAGGTTGAAGGAAAAATATGGGTTTGTATTGATTTTGTGTAACTCTCCTTTTTAAATTGGCATTTAATCTATCTTTGTTTATACATGTATTTATATATATAGTTAAGTGATTCGACAAACTACGCTATTTCAAGTGCTGTACCAGAAGATCGTCTATTTAACAGCCTAACCCCTATAAACTTGATGAAAGCCAACAAAAATGAAACTGAAGCGGAAGGCATGAGAAGAGCTCATATCAAGGATAGCGTGGCTCTATGTCAATACTTTATGTGGCTTGAACAACAGCTATCTAATAATATCAAAGTAGATGAACTACATGGCTCGAAAATATTAGAAAATTTCAGAGCTGAACAAGATGAGTTTGTCGGTCCTAGCTTCGAAACTATATCTTCTTCCGGATCCAATGGTTCAATTATTCACTATAAGGTAACACCCGAAACTAACAGACCAATCACGAAAGATGAATTGTATCTTTGTGACTCTGGAGCTCAATTTAAGGATGGAACAACAGATGGTTAGTTTAGCTATTATTGAAAGGCTTCTGAAAAATATACATTTTAAATATGTTGTGTTTCAATCTCCTTTTCCCATAGTTACGCGAACAATTCACTTTGGAACTCCAACTGAATTTGAAAGGGATTGCTTTACTCGTGTCTTGAAAGGTCACATTGCATTAACTAAAGTCGTCTTTCCCAATGGTGTTATGGGTAGTCGACTGGACTCCTTAGCTAGGTTGTACCTTTGGGAGGGAGGACTGGATTACCAACATGGGACTGGTCATGGTGTCGGATGCTTTCTAAATGTTCACGAAGGTCCTTGCAGGATAAGCTATAAATTATTAGCGTCCGAGGTGGCTCTTCAAGAAAACATGGTATTAAGTAATGAACCAGGATACTACGAAGATGGAAAGTTTGGTATTCGTATTGAAAATCTTCAAATTGTCGTCAAAGCAGACACTAAAAACAACTTTGGAAATAGAGGTTATCTTACATTTGAACCAATCACTTTGGTCCCTATCCAAAAGAAAATGATAATCAAAGAAATGCTTACTCCAGAAGAGGTAAATAATAATTATTCATAATAATTACGTTGGTTTAACTGCTTTTCTTTCAGGTTGATTATGTAAATTCCTATCATAAAAAGTGTAGAGAAGTTGTAGGAGGGTTAATGCTTAAACAATCCAGAAATGACTTATATAAATGGCTTGTTTCTCAGACTGAAGAATTATAAATTGAAGAATTTGAACATTTTTTGAATTCATAACAAAATATAATGTGATAATCATTTTACTTATTTTGTCAAATTTCAAGAAATACAGGAAACTTGAAGAAACATTACTTATATTGTCAATTTTCATTTAAAATATGATCATTACTGATCTTATTTGAAAAGGTGTAAATTCAATAACCAAATTCTCTTTGTCAAAGTTTAGACATTCATCTTCAAAAATATCTTCGATAGCATTGCAGCTGTTTTTGTAAATTAATAATTAATTATTTCCATAAAATATTATTTAAAGTAAACAAAACTAACTGTTTAGCATCCTTAATAATCTTGGGTAATTTCACTCTAGTGGTTACGTGACTTCCGTGACTTTCATAGAAGCGGAATACAATAGCATCGTGATCCTCTGCTTTTTTAATACTTTCCAGTATGATTGCATTTTCTGATATTTCAATATCAAATTTACCAGAAACATCCTGCTTTGTTGGCACTTCAACAAGAGGACAATTCAAGTTATAACTTTGTTGAATGACATTTGCTTGTTGGAAAGTACCACTATGAGGCATTAATCCATATGTAAAATGATGAATACCCATATCTGCTGTTTCATCCGGCGCTTTAGGAGATCGTAGCCTTTAAGGAATTATTTAATGTTTAAACTTTTGTTATTTAATTTGATAGCAAATACAAACAATGATAATCGCATTATATTACCAAATGTCGACCATCCGTATTTACAATCGTTTAAGACTGAAACACCGAATCCGTGTTCAGAAAGATCAGCCCATTTATGACCACACACTTCAAATTTGGCTGAATCCCAAGAAGTATTTTGATGGTTTGGTCTATTTAAGAAACCGTATTGAGTTTCGTAAGTTGCGCAAGTGGTATGAACCCGCAAAGGAAATTCAACTTTCAAGAACTTTCTATTCTCATGCCAATGTACAATCGTATCAAATTTCAGCATTGGTGAGAGAGCGTCAAGTTTAATGGTTTGCTGAATGTATGAAGAATCACTTATTTTTAATGCAAAAACTAAGCTAGCTCTAATTGGACCACTTTCTGTAATTCTAGCATATTCTATGGCAGATTCAAGAGTTTTTCGCGTTTCCAAATGATAATCCATAACATCCCATGCATCCCAATATAACGGTATATCATCAAAAATCAAGAACTGATTGGCAGGATCACTTTGAGAAATGGCTTCTCTTTCAGAACCAGCAAGTTTTAATGATATTACTCGACCTACACAATCAATTACAGCTGTTAATAAACTATTCCTCATGACAAAATTACCATCCTCCTGTTTCAAAATAGAATATATATTGATTATCAGCCATTTGAAAAAGTTGAAATTATTTCTTACATCTTTAGTTACAGTTACTTCGTTGGATTCGTTTGGTTGAATGACATCCAACTTTGATAGAGGATTAAAAGTGAAAGCAGGGATATCAACAAGAACTGAAAAAAACACGGTTATTTAAGCAAAAAATTACTTTATAAAAAATACCTAAGCTTTCTCCAACATCATATTGAATTTTTTCCTGTTCTAAATCAGCTTTTTCAATAGTTTCATCAGACCAACTGACAACTTCTTTTCGAGCCCAGCCAAAAGTATTAATTAAAACACTGCCTTTGTTATCCTTTATCGAATAGTATGTAAATAAATATGTATCCAAAATATTTAATTATAAAATTACTTTTTCGTTTGAAAACGCCGCCAAAGATGAGTCCTTGAGCTTTTTCCCTGAACGTTTAATATCTTTGTAATATTTTGCTGCATCTTCATAAACAATTCGAATAGAAGAACCGGGTAAAACATCATGAAATTGATTTAGTAATAAGAGCTTCCATATTCTTGTGAGTTCCTCATGAGGGTATTGGTAAGACTTATTCAACCAAGCTAAAGATGATAGAAACTCAACATCTCTCAAAAGAAATTCACACTTTCTATTATCTAGTTTTGTCTATAAAAGAGATACATTATCATTTGTCTTATCAATTGAAAACTATTTCACCTTAGCTTGCGTTGTATATGTGCCATTGTGCATTTCTAAATACAACTCCCCAGTCCATTCACATAGGTTTTTAGATTCAAATGATTCAACTTCATCAAAAAATTCCGTAGGTGATGAATATTTTACCCTGCAAACATGATAATGTTTAAGAAATGTTCAAATAGCTGGTTCATTTAATAGTTACTTTGGTAAACCGACAACATCTTTCACTCTATTTAAGACTTCAATCATTTCACCCCTACCAAAGATAGCATATGTAATTGTTTTTATTATTTATTTGTATTACTAACGTCGGACCCTGACCCCCGTCTCCATATCCGTAGAGATACATACTTCTATCACTTCTACCTTTATCTTTATGATTATTTTCCGTGGCTATCAACTTTTTAAATAAAGCATTTTGTATTTAGTTTATGGGCTGAAGATCTAAGAACTACCTCTGATATTTTGCCTTCCATTGTATAGGAATCACCTGGTGGGAAGTGACAAATTACTTTTGAGTTGTCGATACCAATCCAATAAAAAGTGTTGTGCTTTAGTTCAAATAAATATCAAACAATTCAATTAACTACAGATATACTTAAATATTAAACAACTAACTGGAAATTTGTTAAAGATATTCCAACTCATCTTTTGAGTTACAAATCTAGTCATACCTCCCAATTTAATAAGTTGAGGTAGCTGGCCAGAATAACCAAAAGTATCGGGTAACCAAAACTATAGGCAAAATATGTTATTTTTACATTATACCAATATTTAATTAATAAATGACAAACCTCTTGGCAAGTAATATTAAACTCTTTCCTAAAAAATCTTTGACCTATTAAGAACTGCCTTATATATGATTCTCCACTCGGTATATTACCATCCAATTCACACCAAGTTCCTCCAATAGGTATAAATCTACCCTCAGATATATACTTTTTCATCTCTTCATATATATCAGGATAATTATCTTTAACCCATTCAAACTAGACAGAATTTAATAATCATTTAGTAAGTTGTAGTAGTAATTATTGAAAATATTCCCTAACCTGTTGGCCTTGAGAGCAAGCGAATGTAAAATCAGGATATTTTTCCATCAAACGAATTGTCGAAGACCAGCTCCTTGCACATTTTCTGATCGTTTCTTCGTAGGGCCAAAGCCAAGCTGAGTCTATATGGCAATTTCCTACAGCATGTATCATATGAATATTCTGACCATTATGCTCCTCATAGAAAGATTTCGCTATCGATCGAGCTCTGTTTTATACAAAAACAATTAGTTTAATAGTCAAATTTAATCCAAGATGTACTCTTCATATGATCTATCGTTACCAACTTCAATTATGTTTGTCATTTTATTCAAAGTAAAGAGAGCTTGGTAAGATCTAGTTGATTTACCTAATTGCTAAATATAAAATTTGTTTATAAATGAATATTTATCAAGAAAATTATAGTCAACTGACTTTTACAATATCAATAAGAATTTGATAATCAATACATAATTGGTGAACTAATTCATTCAAAACGACCAATCCACATTTCTTCAATTCGAAATACTTATTTTCATTTGGTGGATTTATCTGTGAATTATTACCAGCCCCAAATAAACCATTGCAAGCCATCTCAATAAACCATATTTGCTTTCCGCTAAGAAATTTATAGAAGATTTTTAGAATGAACTACATTTTATCTTACTTGACCTACCTTTTCTTAGGTAACAAGAATAGATTTCGCCTATTCTCACCAGTGAATCCTTGTAATGCTCTCCCATCTTCTGACCATATCATTGCTTCCGACTCGCTATCCCATTCCAATTGGACATCCTCACTCTGAAGTTCTTTTGGAATTTCTAAGGTTATTCTAAACCAGTGCGTACTCCATCTGGAAGAATAATATTAAAACCATATCCATTATTTTATGGATATTTTCCAAACAAATATAAATATTTTCTTACGTTGGTCCAAATCTTTCGTGCAGTTTTGTTGCATTAAATTTATTCGATATAGCTTGTTGGAATGTTATTCTTCCAGGAGCCTTATAATGCTCAATTAATTCAATATTTCTTTCAAATTTTCGCAATCTATGGAATATTTCATAAATTAAAAAAATATTTCTTGAAATTATGTAATATTCATCAAATTCTTACTTTCCATGAAGATTTACATCTGTAAAATACACTTCGGATATAAATTTTTCAGCCCTTTCCAAGGTAGTTCTTTTGTGTTTTAAAGTGTATCTTGGCATAGACATGTTTATGATAAATGGTTAATATCTTCTAAATGGAGTTACGCATCTCTCGTCAGCTGATAAATATTACAAAAACTGATAACGAGCGATAAAATACCGGTAGGTGTAGAATTCAGTTCCAAAGACGACAAAGAGTCCGCGAAAAGCGCCACCTTCAGTTCAAGTTTGAATTTTAATAATTCATAAGTGTAGATGTACTTTTAAATTAGACTATTATTGAACAATGTTAAAATGATAAGAAGAAGATGTTTACATGTTTTCATTACGAATGTTTGACTCTGTATTAGAAATATCAGACAATGAGAATTCGGGCTAAAAAACAAGGTAAAAGAATAAGTTATAAGTTAAAAAAAATATAAGAATAAGCTTTCTTTTTCTCCCTAAACATCTACTTTGTTGTTTCGTTTCGAAGAAAAACAATTTTAAAATATAATAAAGAGTTTAATTATCGTCAAGCTTGCTCTTCTGTTGTCGTTGAAAAAGCTAATTGGTGAACACGTCCTTGGAATCCTTTAGTGATAAATTTATATCTCGCCAAATCTTTTCTTGTGACAATACCAACAACCTTATTCTTTGTATCAACAACTACTAAATGCCTTAAACCCAACCCTCTAAATAGTTTAAACATTCTTGGATAAGATGCAGATAGAGACACAGCGTATGGCGAAGGATTCATAAAAGGAGTCAAATCCAGTAGAAAGCTTTTTTCTTCTTCGCTAATTACAATTTTTCGAAGATAATCCTTCTGGTTTTTCCAATGAGGACTTAGTTGTCGAAAATGATGTTGCCTAAGTTCTGGCAAATTTGATCTATCAGTTTCTTCTTGATAGAACATTTTATGTTTTAAAAGAACAAGAAGCTGCGATCTAAGAACGAAACCCCTCAGAGTTCCGTCTTTGTCTACAACAGGAAAACCACTGTGAGGTTCATCATATAATAGTCCAAGAACTGAAGACACCTTTTCAATTTTATTTATGCACTGAACATCCTTAGACATAACAGATTCAGCTGATCTATCGGAAGTAAAGGCAGGTGCTTCCCAACTAAGTATGGGAACTTTAGCCAATTCGATATGGATATCGTATAGACCTTCATTGAATAAATCGCCAACCCATTTCGCTATCATTAAAGTTATCATTAAAGGTAGACCGAAAGAAATATTACCCGTTGCCTCCATTAAAATTACTGTTAAGCTAATTGTCATTCGAACAATTCCTCCTAGTTGTGCAGCAGCTCCCACTAAAGATAGTTTACCGGCATCGAAGGAAGTGGAGTTTGGGAATGCCATATTTAGTAATATCGCCACCAATCTACCCCAAGCAGCACCAGTCAAGAGAGATGGAATAAATAATCCACTTGGGACCGATAGTCCATAAGTCCAAGTTGCAAGGAAGAAATATACTATGGTAAAACAGAGTACAGTTGGAATTCTGAATGAACCTGGAGGATCGTGAAAGAAGCTCTTAACTGATTCTTCCGGCGTTCTTAACCAGAGAGCAGCTACTGAGTTATATTCACCATCTCCGCAATACATTTGTAGAGGGACATCTGTATGATCCTTGCCTAAAGCCTGACAATCCTGAGTAGAATAGATTAATACAAACGACACTAAGGATGTTGTAGCAGCAACAATCATAGCTTCAAGCATTTTCAAGTACCATTTTTTTAAATATTTTGCTCGAAATACAGTTAAATCATGGTTAATCTTATTAAATAAGGCTCCACTTAGTCCGCCAAAAATTGCCATGGGTATATAAATTAATAATTCCTGCATGTGAAACTGAACATCGTCACCAAACGTACCGAAATTGATTAATCCAGAATATGATAAAAAAAATGGGTGACCTTTTATAAAACTCTGAACAATATTTAAAGTGAATGTCGAAACCATTGAAGCAAAAAATATACGCCAAGTAAGACTTTGATTCCAAAAACTGGCTCCTTCTTCTAAACTGAACAGGACACCTCCAATTGGAGCACCTTAAATAGAGATAATAGATATTACAAATATTAGTAGGATATTAGATTCTGAATCTTACCAAAAGCGGCTGCGACACCAGCAGCAGCACCACCACTGAAGTAAATATGATAGCTGAATAATTTTATAGTAATTAAGTAATTTTACATACCTAACGAAATCTCGTTTTTCATGATCTGTTCTAAAAAATTTAAAAAAATGGCAATCCTTTCCGAAAGTACTGGAACGCCCTTGTGAAATTCCAGCCGCCACAACAGAACCGGAATGAATCATAGGTCCTTCTTTGCCTATGGCTAAACCACCAACGACAGATAATGTTACACCTATTACTTTGCAAAATAGAGTCTTTAACCTAACAACTTTAGGAATTAGTACACCATTTAAGTAACACTTAATCTGAGGAATACCGGAACCTGCTGCAACAGGTTCAACTACCGCTACTAAAAATGCTGAGATGCTAACAAAAGCAATATTTAGAGCTATCCATACAATTAAAGGTTGACCCATACAAACGTCAATCACACAAGAATCCGCCAACGCCTTAATTGTTCGATATTTTAATCCAGCTAATAAAGATATAGTGAAATCTATAAAACAAGCTATAAGAGCAGTTATAACCCCAATGAAAAACATAACGATCCATCGGGCAAAATTTTTAAAAAGATAGTCTCTGTAACCAGTTTCACATTCTTCAGCAATATATAAGTTGTTTTCGCAAGGATCGTAGTCTAAACTCTCATATTTAGTTTCAATCTCATGGGTGTGTTCCTGATCATCTGTTGAGTTGCTTGAAAAGCTGGAAACATTATCTCCATCTATTCTCTCATAGAAGCTTGAGTAATTATTTCTTCTTCTAAAATTAACTGCGTTTCGTACCCATTCAACAACGGATCTTCGTCTTGGATGATCTGTTGATCCTATGGAGTCTGAGGATCGTTCTCCCCTATTCCTTATCAAAGATTCGCGCTCATCACTCTCATTTATTGGAGAGTTTAAGCTGCGACTGTCCATATTTAAAGTAAATGGGAGAACTTTCAAAACGTCGTCTGCTAGTCTCTTGCCAAAATATAAACTATATTATAAAACGGAACAGATAAAAAGATTTATTTAAAAAAATTTTTTAAATTGAAATAATTCATTGTTTATAATAGGTAACGTGCTAGTTTAAAGCGCAGTTTGTAAATGGCGGACCCTACATTCATTCTGTCGTCTGCTAGAGCTCTTGGCGGGCAACTTAATAGTTGATATAATAGAGTGATTTAGCAGTTATTCTGCAGAATAATTAGATCAAATAAACATCGCTATCAATTATACTCCTGTTAATCATATAGGGGAGTTATTTAGCGTCAGTCCTTGATTATAAACAGCCTATCGTGATTATCTTAAAATATTGTTTATATGTTCAAATACATACAAAGCAAAATAAGACAGCTGACTATCAAGATAAATATACTTCTTTTGCTGATAAACAGCAAATTATTTAAAAAAATTCGAGCTATAGATATTTATATTACCAAGTCTTGATTTACAATGAAATTAGATGTCAATTACATTTTTTTGATAAGTAAAAATTATTGTATTGTTTTTAAAAGAGTAAAAATTGTAACAAAACTGACATAGAAGAATTCGTATAAAATTGAAAAAAATATTGTCTTTATTTACTTAAAGATATATTTTCGGCAGTTTGATTCACCACAAAGACATCTAATAGAACCCAAACGACTTTTTATGGGAGATGTTGATGCTGATTCAGCAAGCATTTGTTCAACATCAGGCAAATTGAGATCGATAGCATTTTCTACTTTAATTGCTTCTTTTTGTTTTCTAATCGCCATATTTTGATAATCAAAAGTTAATTCTTCGCCCGATGAAATTTCTCGAATAGCGAAAAAAGCCAATCTTGGCATATGAATGTCTAAGTTTTCAATATAAACTGGATAGACACCGAGATTAGGAGAACACTGTCAGTTGAAAATAGTTGACCAATTATTTAAAATTTCAAGGAAAAAATAATTTTATATGGGTTTACCGAATGATTTAAAAAATGGCTAACATTTCCTTTAAAAGCTGCGTCAATAACATACTTCGGTTTATTTTCATCGTCGGCAAAGTCTAATTCAAATAAATAAGTGTTTCTCTCAACTTTGTATAATTCTTCCCTTTTTTCAGCTTCCTCCGTAGTTATAACCTAATTATTTGAAAGCAATCATGACAAAATAGTTTTTTATTCCCATTTACTTTCTTACTTCTCCTATATATTCACAAACAAAAGATCCAGGGGATATAGCTTGCTTCGTTTTGATTCCCCAACCTTTATTTTTGGTACGAGATATAATTAAAGGTATACTTCTACCTCTTTGAACTACTCTATTTCTACACTTTCTACTACATGGACAAAGGCTATTGCATTCATAAATTGGCCGTCCAGGTTGATATTTAACATGCCCATTTTTATCATACATAAAATCAGTACCAGCCTGCGTGGGGCAACATCCAGATTTCGAATCACAGGTTTTACAGGAACATCTAGTAAGTTTTCCATTTATATTTTTCACAAAATATGTGAAAGAGTTTTTCACTTACCCTATTATGGCTTTATTCGTTATTTCCACGTTTGAGCCAGGGACATATTCATTAATAAATTTAAAATTAGTCATTGGTGGGGTCTCCTTATCAATGTCATTTTCAACCTGTAAATTCGACTTTTGTATCATTCATTTTTTTTCAGAAATTTAAACTCCAGATATTTCTATAAACCGTACATATAATTTACCAGGATCATTACAAATTTCATTTATTTTTTTTGTCCATTCTGATAGAGATAGACCATAGAATGGATTTTCTTTTTCTCTATACTTCCTGAGTTTCGAATTACGAAAGTTTTTCAAATTCAGCTTTCATATAAAAATTATTGATTAGTATCTTTTAGCTTCAACTAAGTACGTCTATACTTGTATATTATGGCTTAGTTTATCATCTAACACTTCCAATAGTTTATGAGCAGAAGGGAAATCTTTAACATTTTCCGATATGATTGATATAAGTTGATCCACATCCAAATAACTGGTTTTCCTCAGTTTCTTAGGATACTGAAACGATGCTTAAAAAGAGAAAATGATTATATGTGTAATTACCTTCTTTCCTAATTTCTGAGAACCTTTAAGACAAAAAATATTATTATTGTGGATTTTAAAGAGTAGCTAATTACTCTTACGAAGGAACTGATCAACAACTATATTAGCTTTTTTCTTGCCGATCGATTTCAGAAAGTGCCTCAATAGCACTATTTTTGACTGACGAGATATACGAATGCATTTTTGTTCAGAAATTTTTGTTAATTCTAAAACAGTTGAAAGACAACCAACAAAGCTTTTCTGTGCCCCTTCCATATTCAATCCCGCCAAGTCAGCCATTTTATGCAAATGAAATACATTCCATTGAAAGTACGATATCCAAGGTTTTGAATGTTTTTATTTTAAATAATTTTAAAAGAATAATGACATTATTTTTACATTATTTTAAAAAGTGCAAAGATTATTAAAGACATAAATTTTTCAGACGATTTTAAATAAATTGATGAATTACAAAAAGATTCACTATTACAATAACATATTTCTACCAAACCTTCTCCAGAACTTGTGTAGATAACACAATTTTCATCAATTAAATGGTCCTGTTCTATAGGCTCAACTAATTTAATAAAAGAACAAAACTTTTGAAAATAAATAAGACCATTAGTTTGAATATTGTCAGAGAAATTTTTCTTTAAGTATTTTCGAGCGTCACCTCCCAACCTATTATACAAACGCGTAGCTGAAACGCAGTAACGTCCAACACAAGTTGTAAGATTTAATGAATTTTTTCTATCTTTAAAATGATAAGGACAATCTCTAAAGAAAACTTTTGAACGAATATCAAATACATCACGGCAACTATAACAAGTTAAAAGCTTCATAGAAATATCCGTCTCCCCTTATATGAGGAAATTAGTAATGGATAATTGACTTTGTTTAATATACAGTATTCTAAAATTGCTACTTACGATATGAACTAATTATCTTATTAATAAATAATAATATAATTTGATATTTTAACATATTTATTCAATATAAACAAGTAATATTGTTATTAGTTTGGAGAGCAGAAATATAACGTTACGCCTTAAGGATTGTGTGAAGATTTTTAAATATGTGTGATAAAGGGAGCGATGGAAAGAGGAGAACTGCTACTAAACTATACTATTTAAAAGATGTGAAAAGAAGGGGAAATTCAGAATTTGATCATCCTTATACACAATTTGAGAAAGATGTTACAATAAATCATCTACTTGAAACACCAGCTGAGAATTCAAAGTTTATATTTAACTTAGTAGATTAGTCTAAAAATCGTAGATATAAATTAACACGTTTCTTTTAGGAAAAATCCTATTCAAGTTGATAAACATGACGAGAATCAAGGATTATATAGTGATCAAGAAACTTCGCCACTGATGTCATGTGATACTGATGAGCCTATACACAGTGTTGATATTATGAAAATTTGGTTGGAATATACACAAGACGAAGGTAGCTTATGTGGTGAAAATTTAGAGAGATTCCTTAATGATTATGCAGAATATTGTGATCATGCAAACAGTTATGGACAGAGTTTACAATTTCAAGTGAAAACATTGAAAATATATACAAAGTTAGAGACAAAAAGTTTAAATCTACAGGCTTTTTATACAATGTTTAATACTGAAAGAAATTTCCTTACCAATTTCAAGATGGAATTAAACGATAAATTGAGCGATAGCGAAATAAATAGCATTTTTAATCACTACGATAAGGTAAACAGTTTTGATGTAAAATAAGACTAATATACTTAATTTTGAAGATAATTTACAGGATAGAAATCAATCTCTGGATAATGAAGAGTTTTTAGCCTTCATTCGTGATTTATCAAAGCATTTACACTACGTAGATGATAATTTTAATATATTACAAACATTATTATATATTACAAACATTTTAATTTTTTTCTAAACAGCCCGACTTTGGAGGGAATCAATTAAAAGACTACGTCAAGACTTTACTATCGTCATTCAAATCATCTGGGTTTACCAAAGAAAACTTAAGAAAATTCTTAAACGGATCGTGACTGAAAAGACTTTCGAATAATGTAAACAAAGTTAAAACTACCTGACAAAAATAAACATCACTAACGAAATATATGTTGTGGCATATTCTATTTCTTGAGGCAATGCTATGGTGTTTGTAAATATTCATGTATCCGATTACGTGGTATTTATAGATGTTCTTATAGGTGATCTTTAAGCGGTAATAGCAACTTTTACGGGTTTACTAATGATTCTAAAAACAGATCTGAATTTAAGGAATTTGGAGAAATTAATTACAAATCTATATCGACAGCTACACGCTATCAACTATAAATATCTCATTTTTCATTCTAATTTCCCATTGATACTATTCTTCTGTAACAATTACATAATGTTTACTATATAGTTATGAGAGTAATGAATCAATAAGGAAATTTTTGATTATTCAAAATTTACAAACTGATTTATTTATGTAATTGTTCTCCTTAAGCGGACTAATTTGTTCTTATAAGAAAGATAAACGACCTTGATGAAAATACTAGTTGTTGATTAACGCCTAGCTAACTTAAGTATTTCTCTCTGAAGTCCTGAAATAAGTTAATAATGATATTTCTATGAGTTCTTTTTGAAAATTTATAATTTACCTTCAGGATATGATTTTAACAGGAAATGTTTGAAGATACCATGATTTTCAACTGCTTTTTCAAACAGTCTTGTTCCACCTCCAACACCAAAATAATGATTTTTAGACGCTAAAAGAACCTCTCCTTTATCTGATAATACTAAATCCAAAAGTTTAAGGAGAATTTTATAATTGGTGGTATCATAAATAGTCTCTGACATGAGAATAAGATCATAAAATCTGTGTCGTAATTGCCTATCAATTACAGACCAATCCCCATATATAAAAGAAACTTCTGGTCGATCCTCATCCTCTGAATTAAAAAATACTGAAGGACAAGTCACAAATTCTAAAACTTCTTTATTATAGTCTGAAAATGTAACACTTGCAGGTTGTCTTGATAGGGTATATATTCCTGGTAAGCCTATTCCACATCCTAGTTCTAAAATATTTAAATTACTCAATTCATAGTTTGTTTCTTTTAGATATGCACAAAGATCGATGCTGCATTCCCATACTTTTAATCCACCTTCGTAGACTTGAGGAATAACGTCCGAATTTTTATCTAGAGCTAAATTACGTTATTACATACTTTATGTAATCGCTAAATATTGAAATATCATTAGTTTTACCTTCTTTTATTTTACTATCTGATGATTGCTTTAATTTTTCCTCACAAACATTCAAGTCTATATGATATATTTTGTAATCAGGTGTTATCATTGTTTCTTCTATTCCACATGATTCAATTAAATTATTGCAATCAGCGGTACTAAACGTTACTTCTCCGTAAATAACTTCTTCAGTAGCTGAAATTGATATATAAATACTACTCTATAACGAATTAATATTATTGCTTACTGTCATTTGTATCTTTCTCTTCATTAGTATCAATTGATGCATCTTTTTTATCACAATTTTCCGAACTATCAACGTTAAAGTTAAATGAAAACATGCTTTCCGACAAAACAGGAAGTTGAAAGTAGCTTTTTCGTTAACTCGTTTAACAGTTTTTATTATATTCCATAAGTAAGTCGTTTGGCGGGAAATATGATTGGTGCTATCAAACTACATAAATTCCAATAAAATTTTAATTAAAAACTTCCAATATATTAAGCTAATTAAATATTAGTTCTATAGCAAGTAAGTTAATTATAACAACCCCATTTTAAACATATTAGGTATCCTTTTGTCATGCTAAATACTAACTTCATAAAAAGAGTATTCAACATCTAAATTAGTCGTAAACAGCTTCCATTCATTATTCAATAAATTACATTACATAATTAATTAATTAGCAACTGAAAAAATTTTATTATAATAAATTAAGAGTTTTGTCTTTTAATGCCGTGAATAGATATTTCGGTAAACCTACTTTTACAAACATCTAATACTTATATTTTTAAAAACTTTTGTTTAATAGTTAAGTTCATAGGTTTAATGGTATTTGGAAAACGTTTGCAACTATCTTTATATAGCATGGAACAGGACTCTAATAATCCAGATAGGTAAAACAAAAGACTTTACTAACTGCAAATTACACTTATAAGCAGCTAGCCTTGAAAAATCATTATCATCTATAATTAGAATGGGAATAAGGGGCTGAACGGTGGTTCACAGATGTCATTATATAAGGTATTGTGACAATATTGCAAGTGGCTTGATAGGAGGTAAATTGAATAAGTTCATTAGCAAGAAAAACCTTTCCGAATTACTGTGATAAATAGACTGTTTTTGGTTCTTCTCTTATTTTAATAGTAGCTTTTTGGTGCCTTTCAGCTCCTTAATAGTTATTTTCTCTAGACTTTTGTCTGGTTTTTGTTATTGATACCAAAAAAAGCATAAGAGTTTGAGAGGCCTACCCTATTTCATATAGACAATGATTAACAGGGTTGGTCCAGTGCTAATTCCTACAATAACACAAACAACTTTTTACCGTTACTGTTTTTATTAATGACAATCAATGGGGGGAAATTCTACTTAAAGAAATATTGCTTGTCTGATTTAGTGTCAAAAGAAGTGATGCTTTAGGAATTAATGGGTTTTTTGTGGTATTGGTCTCTTGATTGCTTCAGCTTGTGGGGGTAAAATAAAGAATGTGTCAAGCTCCTATGGGTATACTTACGTAATAATTGGCTCTCTATTACTATTCGCATCTGTGACGTATATTTTTTGGCATTTTTATTTTCTAAATGAGTGTCCAAAACAAAGAGCTTAACAGAATCTTACTATGGCGAATAAGTGTTCAAAATGACTTTTCAGTTTGTTTACTTTATTTAATTATTATTATTCAAATAAGAAAATTTTTCTTTGATTATTATCATTCATAGCAAAAAAATTAGAAGAAAACATCAGCGGAAAGATTTCGTTTACTTAATTTCGCGCCAAAAATTATAGAGTATTCTTTGACCTTGACATTCCGAAGAAAAACATGTACAGGCGCACCTGATAGTTTTAGTCCGACTGACAAATATCAAGGAAATTACATTGTAAATTTAATTAAAATAGTATTAATTTAATATTTATATAATTATAAAATGGAAACAGCAAATATAGATGACTTAAAAACCGGTAAGTAATGATATTCTTTTATCAACTTTTCTAAATAAGAGAAAATTCGTTAGCTGTTAGAGGTATTTTGGAGAATAAGGGTATATTAAACGAAGTAAAAACGAAACTAAGAGGAGAAATATTCAAAAGTTTACAAGATGAAAGTGATGATAAACAACCGCCAAATAAAGAAAATGCTATTATTAATGAATTAATCATAGAATATCTGGAATTTAATAATTATCGTAATACAGCGTCCTTATTAAAAACTGGTAAATAAAAAGTTTTATAATATTATCTATAACTTTGCATAAAGTCGAATTAACTCTTAGAAAGTGGACAAACTGGACCTCAACTACCAAGATCTCTTTTATGTGAGGAATTGAATATTATTGATGAAACAGCCAACATGTAAGACACATATTTAAACAATTAAAACAACATTTTAAGATATAATTATCCAATTTTTCTTTGCAGACCTCTTTTGTATGGATTGATTGCTTATTTACAGAAGCAATCAAGATCTTAATATATTTTGTGCATAGATCGAAAAGCGATGCTATTAACTTTATATATTAATTATGAGAAGAATCAACAAACTTATGCAATGCTAGAATATGTCTTTTAGCAACATAAATATGACTTCTTTTTTTTCTTATTTCTTCTACTGCTTCTTCTGGGGAATAGTTATACCTATTGCATAAATAAGCAGCTACTAATGTTGCGCTTCTGGTTCTTCCAGCTTTGCAATGAACATAGACAGTGCTTTTCTCATCTCTCTTATGATTAATAAAATCAACTCCTTTTCTTATATCAGTTAAAGAAGGTACACTATAGTCGATTGTTGGTAGATTTATCTGTTCAACACCCATATTCGACCATTCGTTCTTCGTAGGACAAAAAAATTTCATCTCATAAAGTTCGTTCATTGAAACAACGCCTTTTATGTTGTACTCAGTAATTAACTGTTTAAAGAATACAAACAATTTGAGTGATTTTGACTTAAAAGTGATATTAAACAAACCTTCTTCGCAACATTTCTAAACGGCAATGCTCCAAGTATAACAGTATCATCAATAGCGTGATACCATTTAGTGACCCCAAATTTCTCTCTTAAAACATTAAATAGAAGAGTAGGATAGTAAGCTACTTTTGTAGACAATTTAAATGACATAACGATTTGTCGAATGATTTCGAAGAAAAACCAAGGCATGTATTGCTCCTATTATCGCTATAAAACCTTTGACATTGCCTATCCAAGCTAATATCTATATCGTATTTGTAATCATTAGCCTAAGCTTTATAATTCTATAAAAGATAGATATTATGATTAGATAATCTATAATATTCGACAAGTAGATATTTTTTATTTTATTTTATAAATTTACATGAGGTCTACAAAGACTCTTATGATTGCAAAATTAAACAGCAAGTTTCTCAGTAAACTGGTATATACTGTATATATATATACAGCGGGAATACATATTTTTTGAAAATTTACATTTTAGACGATCCTACACTGTTACATGATTTTAAATGAAATCTACTGAATAATTTGGATATACGTTTCTTCATTGTTTTCTTTTTTAAGATTGAAGATTTGCGTTTAGGAGGGGTAGGTGGTTCAATTGAAGAAGAGAATATGTCTAATTCGGGAATTTTGAACGGTTCGATTGGTTCTTCATAAATATTTTCGCAAAAAAAGTTTAAACTAGAATCTGAGGAATCCGAAGAAGAATCCGAAGAATAAAGGTCTTCATTAACACAATCAAAGGTCGAGAGAAAAGAGTTTTCACAACTGCTGTCTGAGGAATCTGAACAGCCTTCTGGAGGAAGTCGAACTTCAAGTGTATTGCTATTGTCGAAAGTAGCCAAAGTGCGTAATCCTCCTTGAACAAAGCATTCTTCAGTTCCAGACGACCACACAGAAGTAGCTTCTCCTTCCTTAATAGAATTTGTAAGGCGGCGCAAATGTAAACGCTTACGTCTAATAAACCGAAGTTGTTTTTTAATCTTCTTCGTATTGTCATCCTCAGCAATAATTGAAAAGGTTCTGGCCTTCCAAATTTTTTCACAAAGAGTATCCCTATGAGCTTCCATATCTATTGCTTCGTCTGTACTAATGTTGAAACGATCTAAGCAGAATGTCCTTCTGTGGACTTTACGTTCATAATATATTCTAGATAGGAATGACTTTGTCATCTTGTCAGAATAAATCTAAGCGTCAATGGCTCAAAGAAAGGAACTCACACAACAATGTCAAAGCATCAACTGACATCGATTAGTTGACCCGCTGGGTCTATATACTACCACAGACTAATTAGGGTATTCAGCCTGCATCTCTTTGTAATTCTTTAATCTCGACGATAAGATTCTTAACGATTTATAATATTGTATTAGCTAAATTCAGTTCGAAAGAACGAACAAGATAAAGAAATTTTTTTGAATGGAATTAGTTTATCGAATGATTTTATGCTTCATTTTCCTCTCTTGTTTTTTGGCTTTCTTCTCTTCTTCTTCTGCGGGTTCCGGTGCAGGTGCGAAAAACCATGGCCCAAGTATATTAACCTAAAATATTTAATTTTATTTAAATTGGATTAATGAAAATATGTTTATTTAATTTAATTTAATTTGTTAAAAAATTTCTCGAGCGGCAAAATCAATTAACTAACGACCCCCCATGGAGCTTTTGTTATATTTTAACAATTAGCTCAATGTTGTTGAAGTAATCAACGCATGGTTAATTGCCATCAGTTCAACAATAGCTTTAAATAAGTAAAATTAGTTAATGGATTCAGAATACTCCAAGAATTAGTCATTAGGGATAAATGCTAATTGAACGAATTATTATCTTACCCATAAGAGGTAGAATGCCCTTATTGGAGCCAACAGTAGAAACAACCAAAAATAGTTGGATATCAGAGACAGACCTTGACAGATAGCTGTCAGCAGGATTACGTCTTTAACGTGTCTGTAAGTTTTTCATGATTTGTATATGTTTTTTATATAATATTCTATATAGATAATTTACTCGGATACACCTCCGGAAATATTAAGATCCGAGCCTGCATCGAAAAGAGACCCATCAGGGGCATACGTTGGAGTTGCCATACTAGACATAAATTTATAAGACCCATAATATGTTGCTAAAACGCCACACACTAGAAACTAATAGGAAACTAGGTTACGTAATTGAAATTAATTTATATTGTAGACTCCTAACCATATAGAAAGTAGTAAACGAACTCCAAAAAAACGTGAAAGTTAGAGCAAAGTAGACAGTCTGTTAAATTGAGTTCAATTATTATTAAGATTAATCAAAGTTAACTGAACTTCACATTAACTCCACCGATAAGGATTTGATAAAATCGTAGGGTATCCTGATTTTCAGTAGCGATTTGCTTCTGGCCTTTTGTTCCTTGCTTGCCTTTGGGCTGTAAAATTCTTATATTAACGTTCATTGTATGGTATGTATTTTTAAAGACTTTTAAGTAAATTTCTAACAACAAAATTACAAAACATATAGTTGTAAGAATCAGAGAATTAGATTGACTGACCGGCATTGTGAGGTTTTTTGTTTTATTATTATGATATTACTTTGTATCAGATGTACACGACGTGTAGTGAAATATTCTAAAATTTTTACCAGTTAATCGCGAAACGTCAAATCTTTCATATTAGCGGCTTCGCAGGATCACAACAATACTGAGTCATGCCCTACGCTAATCAAACAATTGTACAGTTAACGGAATTAACTAATGAAAATATAAAGTTTACTCTGGAAGATACTGACTTGAGGTAAGACTATCAAATTCTGAAATATCTGTTTATTTAGCGAGCGATAAAACAACTACTTATTTCAGTGTGGCTAATGCTTGTCGAAGAGTATTTATAGCAGAAACGCCGATACTAGGTAAAATGATTGTTTAAAATATACTGAGAATATTAACTATATTTTCTGAAATATTAGCTATTGATTGGATTCAAATAGAAAAAAATTCCACTGTTTTAGTTGATGAGTTTATAGCTCATCGCCTTGGATTAATTCCATTAACTTGTGACGAAGTCATTGATAAAATGCAATATACAAGAGTGAGTTTATTTGTATATATTTTTGTTGTTAAAACAATTTTACAATATTGTAGGATTGTCAATGCGAAGAGTTTTGTTCGGAATGCAGTGTGGAATTTACCCTAGACGTAAGGTGTTCAGACGAACAAACAAGACAAGTTACAACCGCCGATCTCTTAACTTCTAATCCAAAAGTTGTTCCCGTACGTTTATTTTGTCATTTAGTAGATACCTGAGTTTTAAATTGTTAATAAATCTTCGCAACTAGGTGACAACCAGACAAAGTCAAATGCCTTCGGATTTTTCGGAAGCCGTTGAAGGTTTGTAAACTCAATTTAGAGCTAAGTGTAAGAGCTTGTATAAATTTTGCTATCTTTCAGATATAATTATAGTGAAGTTACGCAAAGGACAAGAACTCAAGCTAAAAGCTATAGCACGCAAAGGTTTTGCAAAAGAGCATGCAAAATGGAACCCTACAGCCGGGGTCGCTTTTGAGTATGACCCAGATAATTCACTAAGGCACACTATTTATCCGAATCCTGAAGAATGGTAAGGGTTTAGCTTGTAATAATGAACTCTGCTCATTTCTATTATTATTTTAGGCCAAAGAGTGAATATAGCGAATTGCCGGAAGAAGAACGTTAGTATTATATATTAGATATATTAAAATCCACCGTGCAAAGGATTATTCTGATATTCATTATTTAAAAATTTTATAGCTGAAGCTCCTTACGATCCTTTTTCAAAGCCTAGCAAGTTCTTTATGAATGTGGAATCTTGCGGCTCTCTAAGACCAGAGACTATTGTCTTATCCGGCTTAAGCACCCTAAAGAAAAAGCTCAGTGATCTACAAACGCATTTAAGCCACGAAATTTCTACTCATGATCAACCAGCTATATTGTAAAATTGTCCTATGAATTAAATCTTTAAGTTCTCTTTTAGCTGTAATTAATACAGTTTATGTTAGTTTTCATTTTTATTAAATCTACGATATTCATATTTTTTAATATGTTAATAATCAGTGGTTGCTTAATAATTAGGCTCTCTTTCTGATATGGTTATCAGAGTTTAGAAGTAGAATTACGAAATCTATGTAGGCTAAAAGGTGCAGTATTAAAAGTAGTTGGTTGTTTAAGAACCATTTCACTTAGCAGCTTTCCAACAACTGGAGCCAACTTGAATCCATGCCCTAAAAAATTAGATAGATTCAATAAACAATATGTTACAATTTGTAATATTACCTGAAAAGCCAGCTCCGAAGAAAATGTTATTACAGTTAGGATGACGATCAATTATATAGTCTTCATCAGGAGTCATTGTATATATACAAGTTTCCACAATGGCTGGCCTTGAATCTAAGAAAGGCATATATTTTGAAACGTAGTTGGATATAATTTTCACTTCTTCTCCATCATCGGATCCATCCCTGAAATCTGGATCAGATAGATCTTTACCTCCATGCATACAAACCTGCAATTAATATTTGTTGGATTGTTTAAGTCGTATTAAATTCTTGTTTTGTTACTTTGTAAAAGTCGGGATATTCTTCTGGAGGTGTTCCATAAACTCCTTCTCTTACACCGTGATAGTTGACACCATTAACATCAATCAAGACAGGAAGATTTGATTTTTTTAATCCATCTTTTACTTTCCAATAGCATACTTTAACGTATCGAGGCTGCAAATTTTCAGAAGTATATTTAAGTCTTGTTTATAAATGCGATTTGCTAACGTTAAGCGGCAGTTTTAAATCCAGTTCTGAAAGTATTTTGTTTGTCCAAGATCCAGCACAAACAATCAAACTTTTACCATTGTAAATTCCTTTTGTAGTTGTAATTTTAACAATACTCCCAGTAGAAATATTTACGAGCTTTTCATTTTCTTTTAACGATCCACCTCGTCTAAGGAACGCTGACTACAAAATTATTTCAAGAAATGTTTATTGATTTTATATATTTATTTATCTTGAAAGAGTACTTGAAATGATTTAACAGCCTTATCAGCAAATAATACACCAGCTTCAGGGTCACATATTCCTTGAAAGCCATAATAATTTGTGTTTGGTAACATTTCAACAATTTCATTTTCAGTGAGAGAAAGTACTTCTGTCTATTTTGTGGATAAATTGACAATCAGAAACTTTAGATTTCTATATATAAAACATTACTTTTAATTCCTTTAGAACTTTTTCATATTCGGAATATCTGACATTTGCTTTTCCTATAATAATCCCACCTGTTTTCCTATATGGAAATATTCTGATAAAGATATCTCGTAATTAATATTCGTTATTACTTGTATATCTGAGTGTTTGTTTCCGTTTCTAACTCGCTCCATAATTTATAGGCTTCTGGCATCATATTCGCGTACAGTTCCTTAGAATATGCTTTTCTAGTTATTCTTGAATGACCCGTAGAACTACCTCTGGCATGAGGTAATGGAAACTTTTTGGGAAGATTCTTTGTAATTATTCAAAACTTGAAAGTCTATTTAAACAAAACCTGTTCTAGAAGGAGAGTTTTACATCCTTTTTTAATACAGTTATAAGCTGTGCTACTTCCCATTATTCCAGCACCTACAACTATAACATCAAATTCTTCCATTTCTGATATTTTCAATTGACAAGTGAACTATAGATCAGCAATTTTTTAATAAATGAAGTAAAGATGATTTATTATCGACCTTCACCTTAACTTATTGATTAATCGATATCTGTAAACCGATAAGTAATCGAAATCGTGAAAAGTAGATAATATCATAAAAATTGTGATGAATTGATTGTTCTGTTAGCATATTTTAAACAAAATTCTACTGAAATCCCTTGCAATTGATTATTTCTCTTGAACTAATAAAGAATGCATTTTTTTGGACAAGGTGTCCAAATAGAACAAAAGAATGCCTTGATTGAAAAAAATAACGGAAAATACTAAGTAAATGTATGTAATATGTAAAAAAAAAAAAAATCATCTGGCCCGCATGGGGGTCGAACCCACGACCTCCGCGTTATCAGCACGGCGCTCTAACCAACTGAGCTAACGGGCCACTGCATACACGCAAGCCTATATCGAACAAAAGCTTCATCAAATAGTTTGCCTCATAACTGTTTTATACAGTGTATGCTATGAAACAACCTCAGGTAGTAAAATATGAATAATGAAAAAATATATATATCATATTTCAAAGACTTTTAACAAAGCGCTAAATATTTATTGAATACTATTCACTAAAACTGAATAGGCTATATCATAAAGATAACATATTTCCTCTTCGAATAATCACTCTCTGATTTTAGAGTCTCAATACGATTGTTGAAAGACCTATATAATCCAAATAACAAACACAAACTTTATATCATTACTATTCATATATACAAAACGAAAAAGAAAATTAGTTCCCTTTTCCCCTCTTTCTTATATAAGTAAACTTTTCAATTTTACTTGTTTTGTTAATATTTTAAGTAACTTGAAACGTAAAAAGTAAACTTTTTCTATAAGCTATTATTTCAAAATTCATACGCCTATCAGTTTTTATAGTCTTTCTTTTTTATCAACAGGAATTGATTTTGAACCAAGTCCTACTTTAAATATCAATATAATAGGCCAAACGTTCATATTGTATACAGTATATATATATATATATATATATATATTTATATATATATATATATATATATATATATATATATATATCGTGTCGTATCGTGTGATTATGACTGTGAAATTGTACTTTTCTAGTGTTTCTGGTAAAACAGAGGTTTAATGCTTATTATCTTTTACAAAAAGAACATTTTTTTAATATATATTTTTTTCTATCAGATAAAAAAACAACAAAACTTTATTCGTCAAACTTTAAGTTCAGCTGAAATCGATTTTGAGGAAATCGACGTTTCAAATCCCCATTGTGAAGATGACAAATACTTCATGTTAGAACATAGTAAGAACGGAAAAGAGTCTTCTCCTATTCCGCCTCAATTATTTAACGACACGCAATATTGCGGGGTAATACTATCTCTTTAATTAAATTTGATTAATGATTTTTACTGTATGTTAAAGGATTATGAAGCATTTTGCGAAGCTGTTGAGAAAAACTCTTTAAATGAATTTCTGCATTTAGATGATTGATCTAAAGAAAACTAGAAGTTGTGTGGCTTTAGGATTAGTCTTATCATCATCTCTCTTTGTTAGCAATCCATCTATAGAAGTCAATTAGGAGCATATAAGTAAAGGAGCTTATTTATTAGAGTTTCAAATCGACTTCATATTATGATTTATATATGTCACAGTAAAGGAACAATAAATTTATAGAGGCAAATATAGTCTTTATTAAAGATAAATATAGAAATATAAATGTATATATATATATATATATATATATATATAACCTCATAAATCTCCTATACCAGCAGATGGCGTCTAAAAAATTGAATATTCAATTCTTGAAATAAATTTGGTTATATTTAAGGAAAAGATTTTTGAATAAATTAAAAAATATAATATAACAATGGAATGAAATATTTTTTATAAAACTTAAAATTGTTCTTTGTTGATTGTAGTTATTTATATAAATGGTGATATATTTGTGATATGTGAAATATTTTAAACTATGTAACAGCTTTGGTGTTTCATCACCTGATTTAAACATCTCACCAAAGAGAAAGTTACAATTCCCTTTCAGATTATTCCCTGAAAAAAATCCTAATGAGGTTTTATTGCTGATTACAGACCATGTTATCACCCATTTCTTCGGCGTACTGTGTACAAATAACGTCTTTCAAGTCATCAATTTCCCTTCTTAGAGCCCTGATATCTTGTAACCTATCTTCAAGTACTTTTATAGAGATATTTTCCTTCAAAGTACCCTCCGGAGAAGAACTTCTAGCTGCAAGCATTAATGATAAATCTGGCTCTTTTCGGAGAGCCCTTTGTTGGCAGAATTTAACAATGGCTTTTATCTCGTCAGAACATGCTGTCATTTGAACAAGTAATGATGTAATAAGTTTGGACATTTCTTTTGTATTTAATGCTTCGAGTTCGTGAATCCTGTTTTCCATTACAACATTTTGCTTAAGAACACTCTCACGCTGACTGCTTAACTCTTTAATATTCATATGTAAGTTACCAATCATATCATCTTTGTCGTTTAAATCTCTTCTCAGGGCAGCAATAGTCTCTTCTTCCCTAGAACTTTTTTCGAAGTTTATTACACTTTCATTTCTGGCTTTGTCTTCTGCCATTTTAAGTCTCTTTTTTAACAACTCGTGTACTTTATAAGCGTTATCCAAATCGGACTGAAGCTGCTGTTTATCAGCGAGGGTGGAGTTTAACTCTCTTTGTAGTTTTATTGCCGTGTTTGAGTCGGCAAATTTTTCAAGTTCATTTTGGCACTTACGCAGCTCCTCGCTTAGCATTTCTTCCCTAAGTTTAGAGGAGTTCAAGCACTTTCCCTTATCATTTAACTCTTGATTTAACATTCCTGCTTCCTCTTGGTATCTACCAACTCTATCTCTTAATCTCTCGTTTTCTGACCTAAACGAGTAACAATGACTATTACCATTCGTAAATTTCATATAGTTAACCACAACAATACCTTAAATGACGAAGTTCTAATCGATTTTGTTCATTAGTCTCTGACGTAGGTAAATGTTCTAAATATCTTTGTAAAGTTATTTCCTTTTGTCTTGTTTCATCTAATGATTTTTGACTCTGCTCAAATCTTATTCTCCAATCGTCTGCATTAGATTTACAAAGTCTTAGGTTCTCTATTGTTTCATCTAATTCGTGCTGTTTAGCCATTAACTGTCGATTTGTTTCAAGCTTGTGTTGTCGTAATTCGTATTCAACAGATCTATAAAGTAATATAGATTACAATGCAATTTTCATTGTACATTAAAATTAAGAAAGTCTGTACCCTAATTTCCTTTCTAATTGCTCCAAAGCAGAACTTCTTCCTTCAGAGGACTTAGGACGACCACAATTGGCACAATCTTCCATCTATATATTAAGAATAATTAAGATCGTGCCGTGAAGAAAACTATTAACAATTCAATAAATAAATAATCTTACCCTGGGTGGTCTTGGTGGTTTGTTAAACATCATCCTTCTAACTCCTTCTCCAAGACTATCTAACGTGGCATGCTGAAAGGAGAAAAGTTCTTTCAAAAAGCGGATTAAAGGGTGTATTAGATTATTATTGATCTCTTTTTTATCTAGAGGAGAGCCTTATTTTTGTTTTTTATTGAAAAGTGCAAACAGTGCCTGGGACGACTGAATATTCGCCAACTTTAAATTCAGTCCTGATATCAATTAATCAGAAGACAAAGCAAAAGAAACTAAACCAAATAGCTATATTCAACGTTTAGTTAAATTTCTTAATGGCTCATCAAGAAAAAGATCAATAGATTGAACCATGAGAATATTTCTCATATATTATCCATTGACGCCTTTAGAGATGTAAAGAAACGAATAAATATTTGCGATGGGAAAATTTTCAACCTTATATCTTATCTTCTCTTTTTATCATAAAGTCCTTTCCGGTTTTTACAAAGTTATACATTGTATAAAAAGATAAAGCTAGAGAGTCGATTTATATGTCTCATTGAAATGTCGAGGAAATGCCGATAAACAGAGGAAAACTATTTTATTAGTAAATAAATGCCTAAACAAAGCATATCCGATATACGAGCACAATTGTTTAATTTTCTTTCTTTATAAAATTATAAGAGGATAAAGATAAAATATTTTTTTGAATTTTATATTCTCTTAACCCAGCTAAGAAAATAGGAATTAATTAAAAAAAGGCATCAAATCACGAGAACTAATTATGTCTTGCTATCTAGGGGAAAAAAAACCTATGAAAAACTATCTTTTAATACTTATTGTAAAATTCTTTAGAGGTTTTTGTAGAGATTTTTAATTGAAAGGTACAAAAGAGAGTGTATACAGTTAAAAAATCCCTGGGACTTACATTCATAAAAGATATATTTACATGAAATCTCATAACTGTTTTTCGAATAACAGAAAAAGAAGAATTATTTATAAAAACTACTTCATTTATTTAATATTTGTAAATATTTTATGTCTTTTTGCGTAATTCTATATTAAGCATTACGCATCTTTTGTTGAATCTTTTCACGTAGGCAACATAGACAATTAGAGATCGTTAAAACAATAAATTAACTACTAAGAAAGGAAGTTCGTCTTATACTGAAGAGTGAGAAAATAAATATAATATTAATATGATAACTTGTTTACTTTGTAAAAAAGCTTTTATAGGAAGTTTTCTACGGCTATTCTAAGAAAAATAGTCAATTCAATTATTAAGAGATTAGTTAAATAGTTGTAATAAAAATATAGAATTGGTTTACGAGTCAAGAGTAGATTTAGTAAAATAATGAAAAATAGTTTACCTGAGCGTTATAATCTTCTCGTCCCGGTCTCTCTTGATATCGTCGAAAGAGACTACCAGCAGATGACGAATATTGCCCAGATGAATCGTAACCATCGTCTAACAATCTATTTTGTGAACTACTTCTCCTCATTTCTTCATCAACCCTTCTTACGCGAGGTTCTTGCCAAATAGGAGAATTTTCTTGTCTTGGTGGAGCAGTTCTCAACTGTTGAGGAGAAACATGAGCAGTTGGAACACCTTCTCGTCCTCTGGACCGACTTCGAGGTTGTCGAATTTCTTCCGAAAGTCGTTCGGTAGAACGAGTATTATGACGTGAGGTGGAATGCATCATTTTCTGATCTATTAGTTAATATTTAAGGTTAAAATTATTTACATCAAAGAGGCCTCCTTGTTTACATATTAACATTTATTTTATTATCAGTTCAGCCGGTTGAATTGTATCCAAAAAAGATGTTAAATCCATTTAATAGGATTAGCGTACTATTTACAGACAAATTTAAGCTTTTCTCTTACCAGTCAATAAATAACAGATAAATAATTCCGAAGAGAATTTATTTCACTAACTGAATTTAAATTCAAAAAAAAAAAAGAGCAATTTCTAAACAGTCTCCGAAACTCTTGAAAGGAATACTTAAAAGGGTTATACATATTGAACAGGGTCGGAAAATCATTCAATCAAACTACTTGTACGAACAGATGTTATAAATACGCCTTCGGCTAGACCTTTTAATCTAAAATCTATTTTTCAATAAATCTATTTTAGGGACAAAGATATTTGAAAATAAAAAGAAATAACAGAATAAAAAGGATGAAAAAAATAAATAAATCATTTTGTATCATACTAAGTTCTTTTATATATTATCAGTATGAGAGATAACTTTGCATAAATATATATATATATATATATATATATATACTTATAGCCTTGTATAATATATATTTAAACGAGATTACAGTTTATTTCTGTGAAAAAAATTTATAAGATTATATTATTTATTTTTGAGGTCATCGTGTGATAATGACATAGTTAATTCTCAAAAAAGGTAATCAATTGATTCATATTAAACTACTTTATATAGAACTTTGCTTGAAGGTTTGAAACAACTCATAATATGAATTAGTAATTAGAGTACTAACAATTTTCGGTATTTTTTTATTCACAAAAAAGATGTAGGCTTTAATCGATCGCAAAGATCTCTTTCTATTCTGATTAAATCCGAATTTTTAAAATATCTATATCTTGTGTGATAATCAGGATAGAAAGACTCTTTTTCAGCTTAAATATTTCAATACTATACACAGTTTGATTCTATTTAAATTCATTTAATTTATATTATTGATTTTCTCAATGATTTAATTCAATGATTCACATGACACTGAGCACATTACCTATTCTTATGTTTGGATTAATGCCATACGTAATTGAATAAAATTGAATAAATAAAGGCTATCGAAAATCTTGGTATGTCGAAGAAAGTTGCAATAAAGGTGATTTCTGTTGACTTAAAGAGATAGTGTTGACTAATAAACGATAAAAAGTTTTCAGTAATCACATACCTAATATGAGTAATTTGCAAATAAAAAAATTTACGTTAGACTAATAGACTTGATAAGTTAGTACTTTATGTTCTAAAAGCCGAATGGAATAAAATATAAACAGCTTTTTGACAGAAAACAAATATAACTAACCAAACATATTGGGGCGATAATAAGGGTTTAAACAAAAATTGGAAAGGAAACTATACCTGTTAAAAACCCCTCTTACAGGAGTGATGATTCAATTCACAAAAGAAAAAAATAGTATGGCGATTGTAGTTTAGAAATTTCTTGTAGAAAAGTTGGATTATTGGTCAAATTCGCTATTTGATAGTTTCAAATAAGATCGAAAACATTTCAGGGAAATGGGGCTGTCTCTTAAACTGCCGATTGAGCTGCCCTCTTACGACGTAACAATCAAAGATACGATATTCCAGAAAATGAAACATAGTTCACTGTTTATATGAAACATCAACAGTGTCGCCACCTGGGTTTATTATTTAGAGCGAAAATATACTGTTCATAGGAGTGGATGAATCCTTCTAAAGATCCGTGTCAAACAAGGGCGTGTGACATACAAATTTGCTTGCAAGGTATTTTCTAGACAATAAAGCATCTGCTAAAATATACAAATTATATCTTCTCCTTTCAATACACTATTAACAAAAAAAGTTATACATCATATGGCGACAAGCAAAAAATAAAGCTGAAAGAAAATTCCTTTATAGCAAATATAAAAACACGAAGACGAAAAAAAGTGCATTTGTTGCTATTTTCATTAATGATCTTTTTATAATGAAAATAAACTGACCAAAATAATACTTTCTTATTTCTTTTTTTTATTAGCAAGTAAATACAACGAATCTAAGTGCAAAAGCGTCTTAGAGTCGATGAGAAAGTGCTGTGATAAATTTGGAAGACTATCCAAAGTGTGCCAAGGATTTATAAAAGAAGAAGAGAAATTAAAGAAAAATGGATCATAATCATCAATGTTCTGCTCAGTATAGTTCATCTGTACAACAATCAATAGCTGAGATGGAATTTGAAAGGGGTATTTGGGAACCTGCCGTGTCTGGTGACTATAATGAAGTAAAAAAATTTATATCAAAGGGCGTTGATGTAAATAGGCCGGATCAATCAGGATACACAGCCTTGGTAACACTTTGTCATTATATATTATAATTTAATTAAATCCCTTCTTTCTTTTTAAAGCATTACGCCAGTAGAAATGGTCATGAAGATGTCTGCAGTTTATTGTTAAAGCATGGAGCCTTTGTAAATGCTACCACAAGAAGCGGTAACTCGACCAGCTTACACAGAGCAAGCTCTACCGGAAAAAAGTCTATTGTAGAATTACTAATTAAAAATACGGCTGAAATAAAAGCTATAGATAGCGATGGAAAAACGGCTTTACATAAGGTATATACAAGAAAGACTTCAAACAGTCTTATATACTTGTAATCTGTATATCTACTATACAAAATCGTTGATCTATATCATATTAATAAATTCTATATTACTTTATATTTAGGCTGCCGAAAATCAACATAAAGACATTATTGATTATCTACTGTCAGTTTGTCCCGAGTTGAAAGATGTTAAAGACAATAAGGGAAAATCTTTCGACTATTATCTCAAAAGTTGAATAATAACTACCACCTTGATTAGCAATTGCAGATATCCATTTTATTAACAATCCATGAATATTCCGCAAGTGCCAAACTAGGAAGAAGTCATGTGACAATAAATAAATATATTTCATTATTGTAATAGTTTGTACAATTTAGGAAAAATATAAAGTTTATTTAAAGTTCCCAAAGTTCGTATCTGAGCATTCTTTAATCTGGTCTTCGGTATTCAAAAGATCATTTAAAGATAATCTCATTTTCTGGGAGGTTTCCTGATAACAATTAAAAGCTAGATTTTACAAATAAACAAAGGAGAATGACTGATAAATATTTACCTGCAATTTCACATATGTTAACTTGATTTGATCATTAAGATTCTTTATTCTATCGGCAGATTTTATGAAACTTTCACATTTATAAGATACAATATCTGATCTCAATTTCATATTTTTTTCAACTAAGGTTAAAATACATAATTAATTACGTAAATAAAAATAAAAAATTAGTTATTTTTGCTTCTTACATAGTTTTCTTTGAAGTAAACTGAAATAAATAATGATTTCAATTATATAATTCATATATCTGTCAAAGGTCAACTTACCTATTGTATTTGGGTGTCAAAGTGACTTTTGTCAGCGCCTGAGGACTGGGCGAAACTGTTAAGCGTTCGATAAGATAGAATACATTAGTGACGTTAGTAGTTATATACTTGAAATCAAAATGTAAATTTTTTATAGAATATAACAAATATATCCCTAAGTAAATTATATTTTCCTGGAAATATAAGAATAAATATAAGAAAAGGGGAGATAAATTTGACAACTTCAAAGATATTCTATAAATTGGAATGTTTACAGACAGCCTTCATCTTCTGCATACAAAATATGATAAAAAAGCTAATAAACTCTAGCGTTTATTCGCATTATCATAACATTACGGGATAATTAATTATGTTAAAGCAATCATATCTCACCTTGTAAAGGAGATATAGAATCTAATGTAGAAAAACTTTCCTGCTCTATCTCTTCTTCATCTGATTCAGACGCCTCTCCATCAATGATTTTACTATTATAAGACTATATTGGAAATTTTATAGTGCATATTCGTAAATAGGCGTCTTAATTTTTATATTTACTACCTCTTCCATATTTGTAGTCGGTTTCATAAAATGTTTAGAACATTGAGCAACGGTGAAACATATACTAAATAGAGATCACATGACTTGTATTCTGTTTCCTTTGAGAGTTTCCTGTGAAAAAGAAATTTCTAATTTCCTTAAAGCAAGAACTGTTGTTAATTTATTCATTGTATATTTATGCTCAACTCTCATCTTAGTACTTTGAGCCAGATACTTACAGGGAATTTATATTTCAAACTAGGACACCATTAGTTTGGAAAAGATTTCGTTTGGTTGTCGATTTTGTTTCTGTTATGAATCTTTAGTATTGAAATAATCAACACAAACTCTTATGATAGTCTTTAAAATATCCTAATATAGGTAAAAACATATATATAGTTTGCTTAATTCTATTTTCATAAACTTTATTTTGGGATTCCTATGAACTAACAACAGGTGTTTCTATTTTCGCGCAGACCCTTATCATGACCGATTCTGAAAGCAGTGATGACGAGGAGCTAGTGCAATATGAACTTCAAAGCTTATCGGATTTTGGATATTCTAAGGTATACATACGGATTTACATTATTCAAATGTTCACATTTTATTTGTAGTCGTCAGCAAATATTAGTAGTGAACCGGACGAGTACAACTCTCCCCTCGTGCAGACATTGGCATTAAACCAACAATGCCAGGCCAATTTAGTTGAACTAAGAAGAAAATTCGAAATAGCTTTATCAAGGAATCGCGGTCAGCAACGAGAAATTGAAGAAGATTTAAACAGGGGAAAACCTGAGGAACCAGAAAAAGGAATTCAAATTTTTGATATTATTCAAAAACCCTATATACAAGATGAGAATGGCTTCGTATGACAATAAATAGAAAATAATTAATGTAAATTATAATATATATTGACATTCAGGCTTATCCAGAAACAAACGATTCAAAGTTTCTTAAAAAGTATCGAGCTTTTGATCCATCAGTTAGAAATAGAAAAAAATGGTTTAGAGATGATGTGGAAATTATTGAAAAAGCAGTAAGGGAAGACACTATTTATCGTAAATGCCAACCATTTCGAAACAGGTTTATTTTAATAGTTTTCACTATGAAATAATATGTAATAACGGTCTAAATCTCTTATACCACTAAAAATAGACTTGAGCTGCTAAACGAGAAATTGGATAATGATAAGTTACCTGAATCACAAAAGAAAAAGTATGAAGAGGAAATTGATAAAATTAAAGCTGAGATGGCAAAAATACCTACACTATCCGATGAAGAACTTTTAGAACCTCCTGACCAATCACACGAAATTGACTGGCTTAAAATATCGGTTACAGATTTTAAGGGTATACATTCAGAAGAAAATTGTAGATTAATGTGGTCTATGGTTCTGCATCCTTCGTTGTCCGGAGGAAATTTCTCTACTGATAGCTTGAAAAAACTTATTGGCTTAGTTGAAAAAGGAACTAATTGGAATACCATTGCAAAAGAGATGGGGGTTTGAATTAAATATAATAATGATGTTAATGATATGAAAGCTTATATTTTTATTTTTTTAAAAGGAAAATAGAAGTGTTTTTGAATGCTTAAGAGGCTATTTAGCTGCAGTCAAAAGATGGCCAGAACTTGATGAACCGTAATTATCTATGATTAAATTGAGTTTTGTTAACTTATCTTTATTTTCATTGAAAAATAGAAAGGTTAATAGACTTTCGCTTGAAGAGTTTAGAAATATTGTGGCCGAATATACAAACAACCAATTTATCAACTGGTATAAAGGTAATAATTATTATTTAATATTTTATGTTTATGTTTTACTAATATTATTTTAAACCTAAATATTATTTACAATGTTTTTCTAGTATCTGAAAAGTTAGGGGATATTACTCCTGATTCTTGTGTTCGAATTTATAAGTCGAAATTAAAGGGCTATATGTTAGGTCCTTGGACTGAAGGCGAGGAAGATGTAAAATTTTTAAATAAACTAAAGTAGCAGGCAATTTTTTAAAATTAAACTTTCTTTTCAATAGTTATTACGTTTATCAATTGAAACTTTTGGTGCTGATTATGTCAAAGCATCACGAATTATAACAACCAGATCTGCCTTGTCTTGTAGACAAAAGTTAGTATTTAAAACTATAATAGAATCAAGAGAATCACAAAAAATATATCATTTTTTTTCTTTTTTCCTCTTTAGATATGAGGATAACTTGGATGAAACTTTGATATTCGGTAATTGGACGACGGAAGAAGATTTAACAATAATGCAATTAAAAGAGGGTGCTAATGGTAAAAATCAATTATATATGACATATACTTTAACTTAATGATTGTTTTAATTCGTAATTTAGTTCGATGGGTTGATATGGCAAAAGCTTTCTCTGGAAGAACAAGTAAAATGTTGTTTCAAAGATACCAATCCTTGTCTAAATGGAAAGAAGATGCGTATATTATGGCTAGAATGAATGTAAAAGCATTATTATTGCTAGTAGCTTTATTTTCTATTCAGTAATTTATTTATTGTTTAAAAAGGATTCTGAACTAAGTTTACTTATAACGGCTTCTGAAAAATTCCTACACGAAATGGACTTGCAAAGTTTCAAAGAAAATTTAAGATCAATGAAGAAATCTTATTTAGTTAAAGTTCGTATCTTCTTTCATAGTAGTTCATATTTATACCTTATGATATACATGTATATATATAAATTTAATATACTCATATACTATATACAGTATATATTTTATATATAATATTTTTATAAAATTGAATTTTCTTTTTATAAAGGAAGCTCAAGCAAGAATAAAAGATTTTAATGAAACGACAAAAAATACTATTGATAGAGCTTTAAATGCGGAAAATTTGGCTGAATTGAAAAAGATCAAGAATCCAGAATTAAATGATATTGTTCAAGTAATTTAAAAAAAAGCTGCTCTCCAGGTTATTTCTTCATATATCTTATTAAATTTACAGGGTTTAATGCTTTTATACGAAGATGAAGAAGCTCATAAAATAGATGAAAACATGCATAGAATTAAAGTTGAGGAGATTAGAGAGAGTGCTAGAGAACTAGTAAAAAATATAGAAATGGGTTAGAATACCGTATATCTTTAATTCTAGAATATAAAATAATACTTGCATATTCTATTTAGGTGTGTCACCGCCAAAACCTCTAGTTTCTATGCAGTTAAGAAAAGCGAAAATTGATCTGGAGGTCATAAGATCGACTGAAAATGAAAGACAACTTAAGAGCCTGGTATTTAAGTCATTATCGAAAGGCGTAAAAGCAAAGGCTAGACGTCTAAGATATATACAAGAACGTAGTGCTGTAAATGAGAAGAAGCGCTCTCAAAAATTGGTAGATAATGTAGATTACAAACAAAATGCTATTGTATTACTTTTTATTTTAGCAAGCCATTTTGATGACGAGAATGCGAAATTTTGGTCGAATTACAAAAGTTAAAGATCTAATTAGTTTAGCTCAGGTTACAGAGTATGAACTAAAATCAGATGCTAAAGGAACTAAACGAAGATGTTACCATTTACAAAAGGAAAGCAGAGAGTTTCTTAAACAAGGTTTTTAAAAATTTAGAATTTTTAAATAGAAATACTTTCAATACAAAGATAAAACACTATTTCATTAGGTGCTATCGATTCTCCGGAGGATTTTACACATGAACAATTAGACGTTATAATTAGAACTTTGCAAAAGAGGACTAAAGTTCCAAAATCTACCAAAGATTGTTTTCGATCAATTGAATCTTTAAACGTCAAAACTCATGATAACATTATGAGTGAATTAGGAGAAGTATAATATTTTCTATAATTATAGTATAAGCCAAAAATAAATGAAGTATTATTTTATTCTTATTAGCTTTTTGAGATTGACATTGATAGATTGTGCGACCGATCAGAGGAAATTATGAGTGAGCACAATATTTTGGAACATGATTTGAATAAATTGAAGGTTCCCATTATAATCTATTTTGAATAGTTGAAGTAAATAATTTATCACTTTCCTTATTTTGTATTTTTAAAGATAAAACATATGAATGACTCTTTATTCGCTCGAACGATACAACATAACGTTCAGGATGTCATATCTATAACAACACGAGCTAACGCACAGAAACGCTTACCTAGCGCTGATTTACCGTTACCAGCTCAAATATATATTGATAAGGAATACTCTGATATTACTCCACTATACCCAACTACTACGACGATGAGAGGCTATGACAGAGTCTTGCGAGCGCTTCCATTAGTTGAATATCGACTTCCAGCAGGTTCACCAGTTACTTTCAAATGGGATAACGTGTTAGGTTCTATGAGTCTTTGTAAAAGCTATAAACCTCATGTAATACAATTGGCAATGGAGATTGAAAAGCGGCAAAATGAAATGAGCTCAATTTTAATGCATAGACTAAACGCTATGGCTTATGAATACAAGCAAACCGACGAATATAAATTACTAAGAAAAAGAATATTAACAACTTTTACATGGCCTAGACTTTTAGAACAGTTTAGCGTTGGAGATATTCTGCACGAAATACAAAGAGAAAAAACAACAAGCGAAACCGTTGAAGATGATAAAGAAGATATCGGTGACGGAGAACGAGAACAAGAAGAGACAGTTGAGAAAGTTGATAATTTGAAACAAAAAAGGCGGTCCAAGGGAACGTCTAAAAGGTTATATATCTCCTTTTTTTATATTTTACATAGTATTTTACCTATAATTTTCTACTTTTCTTTCGCTTTCATCAAATAGCTATAAATCTAAATGGGTTAGGCCTAAGAAAAGGAAAAATGTTGACGTTTTAAAGTTACTTGGCGTTGAACAAAAGCAAATGTACGCTTATAAAAACGCAGCAAGGAAACGTCGTAGAAAATTAAGTAAAGAATCAAGTTTTGATGAAGAGCAACCTCTTTTTAAGAAAAGTAATACATGCAAAAAAGGAGAAGCAAGTCAATCTGAACAAGATATCAGCGATGAAGATGAGAATGAAGATGATTATGAAAACGCTGTATCGAAGAAGAAATCTTCATTAAATGTTAATAATAACATAGGTAATTGTAACCTATATTTATATTTAAATTATATATTATATATTTTTGAATTTTTTTATATATTGTTATTTATTTATGTTTTTACTTATAACTTTTAGATGAATCATACGTTCAAAAATTTATAAAAACTAGCGAAATTATTGACGGCGAGAGGATGCGAGTTGCTAAAAATTCTAAAGGAGATATTCCAGTATCTGAATGGCCTGAACAAGAATTTCATTTTAACATGAATAAAACTCAGCTAAGAAAGTTTAAAAGGTCTGGCAGAAGGAAAACAAATTACGAATGTTATGTCCCTTTGGCAAAGTTTTTTGTTGTTGGTAATGCTTTTGTTATTCAAATTATAAAGGATCCAAATAATTCTGCGCCTGGAGATAATTCTATGAAAGCGGAGTTGAAGGAGTCTGATTTGGAGGATGAAAATATATTTAAAATTGAGACTGAAAAGATAAAATTTAAGGAAAATTCTTTCGAAGAAGGTAATTTACATCTTTTGAAAGTGCATGACTTTCCAGCGGGTAAAATGTTATCCGTACCATTGAGTGATGAAATTACTGCATTTGTTCCCATTGAAATTGTATAAAATAGATCTATTTAGCAATCAAAGCAAGAAAACACGTCTTTTATTCTTATCATGAAATTTTAAAAAGTAAAACTTTTGTATTACGTTTACTTTTTTTTCTTTTATTCATGACTTTCCTATAGCAACAGAGATTTTATACTCTGAATATCTATATATTTTTTTCATCATATTTAACAAAAACATAATACTCTTAACTGTATCTTTTGTCAACTAAGTCGTTGTAAGATAGAATAACCAATTTTTTAAAAAGAATATTAAAGTCAACGTAACACCAAACCATTCAGTAATATCGAGTTGGAAAATGAAAGTAAGAAGATTAAATAACTTTACTGTTCTGTCTGTTTTGTATATCAAAAGCTGTTTGCTACATTATTATTTTCCGTCTAATTTATTAAACTTATTATTAGATCAGGGAAATAGATATCATGTGCATAAAATGTCATACAAACGAACGTTAATCGAGCGTTTCAATATTCTTATTTGTAAAAAATATTGGAAAAGCAAAAGCGTAGAAAAATATCGAACACGTTTGATAACTAAATATTTGTTAAAGATTTATGTAAAATATATGACTAGTGAATGTCTTATACGGTGTTTGCTCTGTTTTTAACTTATAAAAGTCATGGCTCAAGAGAAAAAATATTAAAATATAGGTGTTTTATTTGCTAAATTATACTTTAAGTTGTAATTGATAATATACGATATTCTGCGAAACAAAACACATTTACAGCATAGACTACCAAGTATCAATATTTTTATTGTTCAATATCTGATAAATTCGTTCTTGGATTCGAGTAGTATAGCTTGCAAACCAGATTAATTTAACATGACCGATTCATAAGTGGGAATCATATACTTGATGTTAATGAAAGCATCTTCTCCGCCATGACGCTCAAATGCTTCTAATGTTTCCTGAATCAAGTCACCCAAATTTTCTCTCTTCTGCTGGCTGTAATCGATTTTGTCTCCAACGTTCACTGTATAAAGAATGTACTCAGAAATTACTAAACTCTAATCAAGTTTACTATTACAATCTTACAATTTTTGTTCTTGAAAAAATTTAACACTGGTAAAATTTGGCGATAGTATGGGACGAGAGCTTCACCAATCATATCAGCAGAAACAACTAGATGTTGTAGAATTTTCAGCGTTGTACACATAACCTGAGTATCCTTCGTGCTGAGGGCGTCTAATGAAAAAATTTATATTAATTGAGGTCTACTCACATATTGATACGCGAAGAGAAAAAACGTAAAGTAAAATATAGCTTACTTTTGACAGGTATAATTAATTGAGGAATGACGGGTAGAATTTTACTACCACCATGTTCCAGCATATCATGAACACCTTGCCTTGCAAAGAATTCATAAGGATGGGTTATTTCGCTTAGGCCATCAAAGAAAAGTGGTAGATAGTGATGATAGTCTAATTTCTCAATTTCTACTTTCCACGCAATTTTATTGCCCTTGGTATCATGTTCCAAGCCTATTGGAAAATCTCCTCTTTCGTAAAACTTTCGAAAGTTTGATGGATTCGCTTTACTCCTCTTAAAAGCTCCGGTTGTTGGTGGAGCGCTAGGCTGAAACAATTAATTAAAATAAATAATGTATATAGTAGAACTATATATCATAATCATAATTAGTTCTAATGCAACGTCTCATATTGACAGGAAGAATTGATAACTTTCTGTTTATTTCAAGAAAGCGTAGGCACGCCGACAACATGAAAATTATCTAACTTTTCTGTATTTTTCCTCTTTTAATTCCTAAATACTGTTATTAAGGACAACTTACTGATTTTTTACCAGAAATTACCGTAAAGGCATCAGAATGGGGGCATTTCTGAGCCTTCGCTGCCATTTTTTACTATCTTTCCTGAAACGTTTGCTTCTATAGAGATGAGGGCATTGCTTGTTGACGTTGCTATGACAAAACTTGTTATTTTCGTATAAATATATCTTTCGTAAATCCGTTTTTTTCTTGGTTCGTTAACACTTATTAAAAATAAGCATTTTTTAAGAGTAAACATTTTGGAAAAGAACTGAAAATTTATGACGTAACTTCCGGTGCTAGACAAAGTTATTCCTTGCATAGCACTTAAACAGAAGAAAAAACAATGAGGTTCAGAAACTATAATATACTAAGAGCCTAAAATAATGACTATCAATACAACAAAGCAAAATAATGTTCGTTTATCAATTTTAGTAATTACTTGAAGGGCATGGAAATAGAATAGTTTTGATGCCTAATTTAACGTTGAACAAAGCCAAGTTAAAAAAGAGATATGGCTAACAGAAGTCAGGGCTATAATTTAAAAATATTAGATTGCTAATCAAATAATTAACTATTTTTTTTGCACTAGTTTAATACATTTCATTGATACAGTTTGCTTTATGCAAATCTTTAGAAGTACTAACGAAGAGTCATTACCAGTAACTTTCGAATATATGAAGACGATAGATATACAATATGTCATGCTATTTTTCTCTCACAAAGGCCATAGGTAAATTACCTATTTACTCAAAGCGAACACTTTTCTTTAGTCAAATGATACAAATTGTAAGATAAAAGTGACATTTATTTGATATTTTCTTATTTCAACTGATATAACAATTTTAAAAGGACAAGAAATAGAACATAGTTAATTTGATACGATATTTTTTTTAAGTATTCATAAATATTTTAGCTTCCTTTTTAGAAACAAGACAACTCTGTAACTTAACATTTGATAGTAATAGTGATAATTTAATAATATGGCAAAGTATTTTGCTCTTTTCCATTTAAGCTTTCCTACTAGAAATTGCATTTTTTATAATTGATTTAATATAATTTTACATAGAAGAAAATATGGTTATTTTAATAGTTCATCATCAACAATTAGTTGAGTTAAACTTCCCAAATCTTCCTGAGCTGCGTTATCTTCTAATATATTTTCTTCCTGAAAATAAGTTTAAACTCTTTTAACATTCATATAATAAAAAAATGTTTATCAGCAGCCATGATTTATAACTAATCAATTTTAAAGCTTTTTAACTAATTAATATTCACTTCTCTTCCATTGTAATCAACATCGTGTTGTAGTACATTGTTATTTTTTGAGTATACATATTTTTCCCATCGCATGATTATTTTCATGATTACATAACAGAGAAAAAGAAATAGAAATTATACCTGAGTTTGTTTACTCTCATTCTTATTAGGGTTGTCAATTGTAAATAAATGAGAAGATTTCTGTCCTTCAATTGGTTCGTCGTATTCTATAGATTTATTTCATTAAATTATTATTATGTTACAAAAAAAGAAGGACACATTCTATGTACTAAAATAGTATTTAAACTAACCAAAAGTTGGATTGTAGTCATTAGAAAAAGGATTAAAATTTTTCTGGTTTCTCATCTCAATATGAGGAGCATTGTCCATTACTCCAATCTATTATTGTATATATAGAATAAACTTATTGTATAAATTTGATCTTATATACTAAAGCGTATTAAAACCTGAGTAGTCTTTACATGATATGGAAAATTTTTGTTTGCAGCTGAAGGTCTGGTTAATATCTGAAAAGAAATATGCATACACCATTAGTTTCACATATATATTATGCATTAATCTACTATACCAAGAATATTAAGTGTGCTAAGAAGGCTATGGTATTCTCAACTCCGTTTACAACCTTTTCCCTTACCCATTTATCAATGACGAAGTAGGCAATTAGCACAAATATGGGCATGGCTAGAAACCTTTTATATTGGTAATATTAAGGGAAGAAAGCAATTTTGATTATATCGTATTAGTACCCCGTCCCCTTTGATTCATTTTGAAACTAACCAAAAAGTATAGAACAAATAAAAGAGGTAGTAAAAGGAACTTTTCTCTGGATAACGTTTTCTGGTACAGAAAATTGCATAGGAAAACCAAAACCAACTAAGTATATGAAGCCCAATTAGACCATATCCTGCCGGAGATTCGTACAAATAGAGTACTAAACCAGGATCAAAAAACTGTATATAGTATTTACATGTTTAGAAATTAATATACTGTGCGTTTTATTCAATCGTTTTGTAATATAAGTTTACTTACTTTATTTTCAAACACAAATAGTATAAAATAAGCTATAACGTATATAGTCATAAAAATAGTAATCTTTATCACTCCTCCTGTACTAATGCGCCCTCTTGTAATAGTATAACCTTTTCCCATAAGAATTAATAAAAGCAAGAAAAAACAAGTTGATGCTGACTGGAAAAACCTTGCTAATGAAAGTACAAAAGAAAAATAATTCTTGTGTGTAAATTAATGTGTTATAGATAAATTTAAACTATTTTACCAAACGTTTTTACACCCGGTCTCTCAATTCCATCATTTGCAAATTTCCCTAAGTATATGCTCATTATTAATAGATATGTGGCTTGACACGTTAAAGACACTAAATATATCTTGTAAGTTGTATGAAAGAATTGTCGAGACTTTAATTTAACTGTTGAAATATTTTACATAATAAAACTTTATAAAAGATTTCAATTTGTAAATACAAACATGCGAAAAATACTGTAATTAACAGCATCAATGCATTGACAATTAGATATGAGATGTCAATATGTATAATATCTGAAAAAATTCTCTAGAAGTAAGCAATATAAAGAGTTTTAAGTAATATATTATTTACAAAATTCATCGGCTGAAAATTGTTCGAAAAACAATCCTCTATCGTTTGTCATGATAATTTTATAATTTAATTTGAGTCCCTATAACAAAAATAGCAAAAAAGTGTGTTTATCAGTTCATTAAAGGTTAATATTTTCCAAACAAAAGTTAATTCTATAAATTAATAATTAAAAATAACTTTTGTTATAAGTAATTGAAAGGTCATTTCCATTTATTTTTTCTTTAATCAATCACAACAAACCTGTTTAGTATTACAATTTGAAAGTACTATAAACCACCAACGTGGTCTTGCCGATGTAAAACTTCTTTCCCCTCCACAATGATATGTTGAATTTCGAATAATACATCCAGACCATCTATCTCTTTCTCTGAAAATGTTATTCCGTAAATAACACGCTATCTATACAATTGTTATTATACTTATATAAATTTATATTAGTATATATAATAGAAACTCTATAGCTACGAATAATTAGAACAGGTTACCGATCCGTTAATATTATTTCTTGATTATTTATGCTTTGAATGATTGAATTCTTCTTGCTGCATGTCTATATTATTTAAGAAAAATTAGTTTAAACTGACACAACAAATTGTACATAAAAAATATAATATATTATTTGCATAGATCTAAATTATACATTGCTATTTGATAAGAATGCCAACAATAAAATTTTTACAACATTTTCAGCATCTCTTTCCAAATCAATAGCTGTTTTACTTTGAAGGTGTAATTTATAGTTAATTTCTTCTCTCTCTTTTTACGAGTCTGCCTTTTAAATGCAAGTAAAAATGATGTATTTTTTGGACATCAAAACTAAGAGTACGTCTATTTTTGTGTTAGAGGCACTTCAAATAATACTATTATTACATCGTAGATCTTAAAAGTACATTGTTCTTTAAACGAAACTCTATACAAAGTGATAATTTAACAGCGAGTTTTATAACAGTTTTGAAAGGAGCGTGCTTATAAATAAGTGTCAACTGAAAATAGCTTTGCTGCCAAGTTAGAAGTTTTCACAAGATAGAGTGTAAATAGGTGAGATAGAATAAAGTGTCAAATATATATATATATATGTATATATAGTAAAGTAAAGATAAAAATCTCACCAAACCCTTTTTATAGACTTTCGGCCATTGATTATCAAAGTATAGAATTATACGTTCCGGTTGATAATTCTATTTATTCAATAACTTATTAGTTTTTACTGATAAGATGTTATAATTACCACTGGGTATATGAATGTAAAATTCATTTTTCCCACTCGAGAGAGAAAGCAGAATCTTGCAAGGAAAATCCAATCCTAATTCAATGTTTTCATTTATCAACAAATGATGAGATTTTGTATTATATTTATATTATATACCTTATTAGTATCTATTTCACCGGAAATTACTTTTGTAGAAACGTGTTTTAAACAAAATATTAATAAACTTAATTTTACTAATTTAATCATTTTGTACAATCACCCTCTAATTTCACTGAGACTGCAAAAGAAATCTAAATACCCACGTGACCGTTTCTACGGTAATATTCAAACAGATTAATAGGTTAATATCGTTCTCTTGCCGAATGCATAGAAAGATTAGATATTATTCTCTTTGTAGGTTTTTAATTTCATATTAAGATAATTATTATATTGAATGAAAAATCATATCTTTATTTATAGTTTTATAAAATAAAATAGACGAATAAATGGCGTAGAGATGTTTTGCTAATATATTAGTATATATATTTATATATATATATCATCCGTAATGACAGAATAGAAAAGCAAACTTTCCAAATAAAATAGAGTTACTTTTCTTTTTCTTCACTCTATAAATTACGTTTTAAGTTTTCTTTTAGTAGATAATTTAAGTGATATAGTCGGAGAAAGATGTTGTATAACGGAAGTAATTGTTACTTCCTATTGAGGTTGATACTTGTCAACTCTATCTAATAGGGCATCCGAATAGCCGGGTGAATAATACTTCACAATCTCCTCCGGATAACAATTATTTATAGCGTTAATGTATTCAGCTAAAGCAGAGCCGGGTTCTGCCTTTATCTCCTGAACTTTCTTCAAACCACAAGATGTGACAAATAATTTTCTTGCTTTAGTATCGTGAGGTAAAACTTTACTAAATTGGCCTACAACGTGTTTAAGAATATTCGGAGGAGCGTCATGTAAGAGTGGCTCTAGGGCAGGAAGATGGACACACTTCTGTAGTATGTTTTTAAGAGCTTTCTTAGATTTTGTTTGAAGGTCTTCTGAGGCATCAGGTCTTAAATAGCAACGCAACAAACGAGGAAGGACGTTGGCAACGGCAACTGCTTTTGCGTGTTCGGGAGTGTGTCTTCCAATTTGCCCTAAAGCCCATGCACAAGCCGCCTGGACATGATCCTCACTTTCTTCTGATAAACAGACGGATAACTGCACGACTCCTTTTGAAACTATTACAGCCATTGCTAAGTTTTCGCTATGCGCCGCAACATATCCAAGCATCATTACACCTGGCAAACGAACATTTCCTCTTGTTTCTCCAACGTAGTCCACAACCGCTGCTACTCCACCGGCATTGACAATCAATTGACTCAACTCTGGAGTATGCTTTGCGATTTCTCTTATGAGAGTTGCCACATTTTTTTTTACATATTCATCTTGATCCCTTAGACAAGTAAGAACGGCGGGAAAAATTTCTGCCTCAACTACCATCTCAGCCAAGTCTACAGAGTGCTTAGCGATTTGACTAAGAGCAGAGAATACTTGTCTTTTCAACTTTGCATCTGGATTAAGAATCATTTGAGCTAAGTGTGCTATAGCCCCAGCATCAACGACTGTTTGGGCTAATTCTGGAGAGTGTTTGCATATATCACTGAGGGCAGAAGCTGCTATTCTTTTTAAGGAAATCTCTGGCTCTTGCACGCAAAGAACAAGCAATGGAACGGCACCAGCGTCAACGACATGTTGAGCCAATTCAGCCGAATGTCTCGCAATGTAGCCTAGAGCCCAAGCAGCTGCCTCCTTAACTCCGGGATCAAATTCTTCAAGACAAATAACAAGAGCGTCCAAAGCTCCGCAATCAACTACAGATTGGGCGAGAGCCGGTGAGTGCTTAGCAACCGCTCTTAGTACAAATGCGGCAGCTTTCTTATAGAATCTCTAAAAGTTTCATTAATAAGTTAACACTTTATAAAGTAGGGAATCGAAAGTAATACTAACATTTTGCTCCGCTAAAGAATAAACCAATTGAGGTAAAATATCACCTTTGACAACAGCCTCAGCCAGATCGTCATTATAGTTGGCCAATCTTCCCAAAGCTAGAGCAGCCGTTTGTTGTATAGTTGGTACAATATCAAGAAGGAGAGGTCTAAGAAGTGACATAACACCAGCATTCTGTAGAATCTCAATATTCTGAGGCCGGGTGGCTAATTCGGCTACAGTTTGGACAAATTGTGTTCTTGATTTTTGATATTGTTCAAAAACTGTACAAAAAATATAACATTAAATATTTTATAAATTAACATACAACAATTTTTACCTTGTAAAACCTGCCTTTGGCTCATTTTGGTAAATTTTACTTTAAAAAAAGGCAAACTCTTTCTAATTGTTAATATGCCTGTTTACGTTTAAATTCTGCTGTCTTGGAAACAACAGGCCAGCAGTGATTTTTTATTTTGTAAAACTAAATATTATTTATTTAATTATTTTGTGAAAATTAAATAATTTTAGAATAATAGCATCATAGAAAAATAATCCTGATTTGGCTATTTTTCTTTTGGCCTCGCTCTCCTTCGTATCGATTTGATATATTCATGTTTTATCGCTCATACCCATGATGTTGTGCAATGACTGTTGAAAACAACGTACTGAACTCGCCAAATAAAGATACCATAAGGGACATGAAAATGTGTGATGGTCCTTTAATGCTATCAGACGAGGTACTAGTGAAATATTACGACGAAAACTTCAAAAATTTCTTATCTCATTAATGTACCTTAAATTTTTTTTGCAGAATTCGACCAGTGTTAATGATAGAAATGTGGTCTGTATGTTAGCGGATTTTGTTGATAAAAATACCCAGGTGAAGAAAAACATAAATCTGAATGAGAACACTACGTTAGAAGAGTTTCTGAAAATAGTAGCTAAACAATTTGGTTACGTCATCGGAACTTTCTCAGTTTCATTAGAAAAGCTCAACCAGGAAGAAAATGTAGGCTTCGTTTATACTCATCTTCGTCTCATATTTTATTCTAATCATGTTATATCAGATAACTGTTGAAGAGGAAGAACGAACGAAAACCCTAGGCGATATTTGTGACAGAGGTACACGTAATCAATTCCTAATATTGGAGAAAGACGGAGTCAAGGTTGAAAAAGAAATGGTTGATGCCTCCGATGATCTGGAAACTGGAGCCTCATTAATTAGCGGTGAAAATACTATTCTCTCCAAAGGTTCTAAACGGACTACAATTCTTCCCCATTCAGTCTTCACTTCGAATTCCTCGAACGATGGGGGTAAAGATTTACTTTAAAAAACTTAATCTTTTAAAAATCATATATCAACCACATAATGGAGAGATACAAGATATCTAACTGTCCTAATTTATTTTGCAGGATTTACTGGTTTAGTTAATCAGGCTATGACTTGTTACTTGAATAGTTTGTTGCAGACTTTGTACATGACTCCAGAGTTCAGGAATGCCATATACAGGTTTTTTTCAAATATTTCGTGATGGGGAGATATTCAAGTTCACTGCTGCTTTTTATACAGATGGAAATACATCCCTAAACAGTCAGAAATTTCAAGAGGCCAAGATAAATCATGTCATAAAAGTATTCCATATCAACTTCAGAGACTCTTTCTAAACATGCAAGTGCGTATACTATTTACTTCTCGTATGTTTATTATAAATTTAAAAAAAAATCTTCAATTATACCAATAGACGAGTAAAAAAAGGGCCGTTGAAACAACAAACTTAACGAAAAGCTTCGGCTGGGAAAGCTCTGAAGGTAGCAAATTTAATCGATGTTAAATGATAATAAGTGACAGAGATGTCTTTTTTTTTTGTTCAGCTTGGCAACAACATGATGTCCAAGAACTGTGCAGAGTCATGTTTGATGCTCTAGAAACCCAATGGGCTGAGACGGATCAAGCTAATTTGATCAATAAGCTGTATCAAGGATACATCATAGATTATGTCAAGTGCCTCGAATGTGGTTACGAGAGTGCAAGAGAAGACACGTTTTTAGATATTCCTCTAGTAATTCGCCCCTTTGGATCCGACATATCTCATCGATCTGTAGTAAGTGCAAAGATCTAATGATACGACAAGATATTTCATAATTTGTATAAATTTATGTCCTTACCATAAAAATACAGATTTTATTAATTTTCAGATGGAGTCCCTAGAAGCATTCGTCACGCCTGAAAAACTAGAAGAGCCGAATCAGTATGAATGTAGCAAATGCAAAGAAAAGCGAGATGCTCATAAAGGTTTAAAATTTAAAAAATTACCGCACCTTCTTACGTTACAACTGAAACGGTTCGATTTTGACTATCAAACAATGCATCGCATTAAGCTAAACAATCGCATGGAATTTCCAACTACACTTTTTTTAAATAAGTTGATCCATGAAGAGAGTGATAAAAGCAACGGAAGATGCAAAGGCGATGTTTATGGTGATCTTAATAGTCTTGAAAAGTCAACGCAAAAGAAGTCTGACGAAACGAGTAACGGAAAAGGTAGTTTGAAAAATAATCTAAGCCAAATTTAATTAAAGATTTGCAGACTCTGGAGAGAGCAATTTGGAAAAAACAAACGTTTATGATTTATTTTCTATAATGATACACTCTGGAAGTGCTATAGGAGGGCATTACTACGCATATATAAAAAATTTCAGGGATAATGAATGGTATTGCTTCAACGATCAAAACGTCCAAAAGGTAAATGGTATAAGTACATTTATTTGCTCTGAAATTTAGATCATTCAACGAATGATTTCATGTCCTAGACTGTTATTTGTACTCGTTAGACGTGTATATGTACCTGTAAAGAAGCAATATCGTATTTTATGACTGATATTTACGTTATTTAAAAAGATATCACCCGAAGATATAGAGAGAACATATGGTGGAAGCTCATATTCGGCCCTCTACTCCTCAACAACTTCTTCAGCTAATGCGTACATGCTGTTTTATCGTAAAGTCAACTCAAACGAAGGTGTGAAATATTTTTTATGAATTTTTAACCGACAATACGAGAAAAACGCAATTTCGTTATTAAAAACTAATTTAGACAATTAAAAATATAATTCCTCGTATCTCTGGTGTCTGAACAACGATAGTTTAGTGGTTTTAATGTAAAAAATCATTACTTTTTAGTAACAATTTCGCTAAATCAATAATATATGGATATAAACAACTGTAATATTTTTATCTTTCAGATTTTTTGTCGGAACAAGAATTTCCGGAGCATATAAAAAAGGAAATAAGTAAGATACAAGAAGATGAAGAGCTTGAGAAACGTGAAAAGGAATTAGAAAATGAAAGAATTCGCGTAATTTTTATTTCTTAAAAATGTGTACTATTGCCTCACTAAAACAAGTTAATACCAATATTAGATTAAAGCATACTGTTGTTTACCTGGTGAAACTGAGCTACAGGAATGTAGCATTCGTATACATAGAGATAAACCTTGGGATGAGGCAACAAACTATGTCTATGATGAATTCAACCTAAATGAGAAATACTTGCCGAGGAATCGAACTAGATTAGTTAAATTCGAGGAGCACTGCAACAATATTTGCGAAAGCTTTGATTTGGATGAAAAACGGAAAATAGGAGAATTACTTAATTGCTCTTCATCATTTGCTCCTTGTGAACTTCTTTTGGAATGTAGAGCAGAGAACGAACAGTTTGAAAATTTTACTTCAGAAGGTAAGAAAGAATTTTTTTCATTTCTAAATAACTTTTAAAAATAATTAAACGAAAACATGTGAAATATGTTAGTTGGTCAAAGAGTAGTTATCCGCTAGGATAGACTGAAAAACGTTAAAAATTTTGATAAATATTTTGTATAAGGCCATATGTGTCATTCACATAACTTGTTAAAATAGGAAATAAGTAAAATACGAGAAGATCAAGAGCTTGAGAAACGTGAAAAAGAATTAGAAAATGAAAAAATTTGCGTAATTTTTATTTTTTTAAAAATGTGTACAAATGTTGAGGTGTACAATAATGTAATTATAAGTGAAAACCTTGAGATGAAATTCCACTAGCATTTTACTTAATATTGGGGAACTATAAAGAAAACGTTTTTGCGTTTTAGATGCTTTTATAAACAAGATATAATACTTTTATGATGATTCAAAATTAGTCATAAACAAGTGAACTTGTTCTTTAATTTTGAATTTTAGAGCCTATTTTCTCACTTCTCCTCACTTCGCTGTATAAAAGCAAATTCCTTTAAATGTTCAAATGATATACAACGCATCAGCATCATTCATGCTTTATTTTAGTTACGATTATTGATAAGTGAGCTGATTAGCGTTATATTTAACAAATAGAAATTATTTCTTAAAATTAATTAGTATGTAAGTATCGTGACATGCATCAGCTATAAGTTTAATAATGAAATATATCCAAACATATGTTGAAGTTGTTTCATCGCCTATGTAAATGAAATTGTTATTGTGTATAAGAAAATTGTATAAAACTGACGGGAATAGATAAAATATCTTATTTGATAAATGTTTAGAAATACATAGTATACATTTACATATACTAATATGTATATTATAATTAAGATTATGGATAGATAAATTTGTCATTGATTATTATCTGAAAGAATATCATTTTCTCTTTGTATTAAAGACAGCGCACATCTAGTATGCATATACAGTATATATATATATATATATATAAATGGAATATTCAATATATCAATGTATATATTACAATTTCATATTTTAATTGCCTAAAAATTGCATATACCTGATCAATGTAAAAGTGACGAATATTTTCCTTGTATTATACACGGCTATTGTGTTGATAGCAATTACGAAAAATTGCATACTATTCATTGAACCAGCCTCTCTTATAAAATGGAAACTTCAGGAAATCTTGATTTGCAAGCAATCTGTTTTCTATCTGATATATTGTTCAACATAAAAAGTGCATTAACGAACATATAATGCATTTACGATTATAAATTTTCGAATAGATTTTTATTTCATACCCAGATACGCCTTACTTTAAATAATAACTATTTTACATTATAGATTCTCATTAAGACATGTTTACAGCTGTCGCGAAACACTTGTTAATAATATTTTGCTTTAGAAACCTAAAAGCCTCTTTTGACCAGTAACCTGATAACTTTCGTAGAACGGTGAAAAGACACATAGTGATGTATTAGGTATTGGGCGTTAAGTTTAATAATAATAATAGTTTATTTTTAGATATGTTCATTTTAGTTTCAAAATTTGACACCACAAACAAAATTATAACAAATAATTTTGAGTGACTAGTTTATTTCCATACTTAAGTAACTCTTCTAATGAACCTGTTACAAAAGTCTAATTTGATATTTCTTTCTCTGTATCCTTAAAAACTGCATTACACCACTAATAAAGTCGATCTTTTCTTTTATATATATATAGATATATATATATATATAGGTGAAAATGATATTAAAATTTAACAGCGTGAGAGTTTAAACTTTGGTGGTTTCTCTAGTTAAAGGCACAGTTGCTAAGGCTCTCCCACTTCGCCTATGACCAAATGTAGCTCGATATACTACGGTTGTCTTGTTTTTTATTGTACAACCACAGCACTTTTTTATGAGAAATTTTCGAAATTGCCTACCAGTTAAGCAATAGATTGCACAGTTAATTGCAGAGTTCAGCACTAAAAGCATGTTGGTGAACGTGGCAGCGTATTTGAGTTGATTTAACTTAACTTTCATGAGAAACATTGCGCTCAGAGCGGCCCTGACAGCTGCATTTGGGAGTTGAAGTAATATTGAGGCAGACACCACACCAATTAAAGTAATAGTTAATATCCTTTGACTTTTAACTTTTTGTTGAATTGTACGTGTCAGAGTGACTCTTCGTTGTTGAGCTTCTTTAACGCATTGGATAAGTTTTAGGTTAAGCACAAATAATGTAAAAATTGGTCCAACAGCTCGAAAAAGAAAATATGCAATGACTTTGTAGAAAATAAAATACGATCCATCTCTTCTCATTTTAGTGGCATTCTTTATGTATCTAGATTTGTTTGTGCATAAGTCGATGACGCTAGTAGCTGTTCCGTCATATTCGAATAGTCTAGGAGAATTATACAGAACTGCTAGACAAATCACGACAAAAGCGCAGAGCCTTGCTCTTGAACTATTTGTTAGTTTATATGGGTGAAAGGGATGACAAATTGCTATGTATCTATCTATTGTTATTAAAAGAATTAACCAGTTAGCGGCAGTTTGAGAACAGGATGCAAATGTCCAAAAGTATGGTTCACTTAATACATAATAGTAACAATACGGCGAATCTCCAATATTTGTAACATCGCAAGCTGTTTTAAAAACGGGAACACAAACCGAAGCAAATAAATAGAAATTATCAACAACAGCCAAGCAGCGAAGTAGAGTTGTCACTACTGAGTTTGCTTTATGAACTTTAAGAATATAATAAGCTACCATGTTGCCAATAAAGCCAATAAGACATACTGGTAGTACTATTCCTAGGTCTATAACAATCCGAAAATTTGAGAATTTTTTGAATTCGTTACAAACTTCTGAGGGAGATGTGCTGTTCGTCCTGTTGCTCATTGCAGAATAAACTACTAGCTCTGTCAAACCAACTGATGCGCATGCGCCATCTTTATATTATGTATACGTCAGAAGCTAATTTGATTTTATGTCATTTAAAATTTACATTAAAATGATATAGCTTTTTAACTATTTTAAAAGATTTTTTCGTCTTAACTTTCGCAAATCCTGAATTAATAATAAAATAGTGTTAAAAGCTACAAGTATTACAATTTGATTTATAGCATACTTGGTGTTGAAGTGACGTATTCCGCAAAAATCTAGAATCTGCATACCTTGGCAACGAATTTCCTTTAAATATGAAACAAGTTCACTTTATAATTTAGCTTTGAAGAGACATTTTTTGCTTGTATCAAGAGCATCTGTTGTCTGTAGCCCCTAAAAAAAGTTTACTTTAAATTTAAAAAATGTACATTATATTTTATTCATTAATCACATTTCTTTATTCAACTTCTTCATTGTAATATGTGATGTATAAAACTTATATTATTTATACACCTTCAATACGAAAAAATGCTTTGTGTACGCTCGTATTTTAAGCGTATCTCTGAGTACAACTGATGCGCTTTTCAAATATTGTAAGATAACTAAAATATAGAACAGAAGCTGAAAAGAGAGTCAGATAATATAATTTCTATTTAGCCGCTGTTTTCAATGTATTTCATCAATATTAACATACTTTATTTTTTAAGGTATCTCCGTTCGGATTGTTGTAATCAACATTAAAAATTCTTCTTCATCAAAACCTATTAGATTTGCTGTAAATCCAAAATCAACTGTACAACAACTTGCTCAATTAATTATTCAGGTAATTATTTCTATCCTAGCCAGAACATTTCACGTCAAAATGTTTATATTATACAATAGAAATTGAAATTACCTTGTACTCCTGAACAATTACAACTAGTTCCGGCTGAGAGACTAAGAAGTAGTGGACTTCTAAACGGGAGCTCAACAAAGAAACTCACAATATATAATAAAGGACAGTTAATTTACGTACAACACGATTTAGAAGAGGAAGCTGAAGATATAGATTTTGAGAAGTCCCTCTTTTTGAAGCATATTAAAAGGTAATAATGTAAAGAAGTGTTAAAATTTCCTTTTCGTCTTTAGAATAGTTATTTTCGAATACTTTTATTAACCACATATAACTTTCTCTTTGTTCACTTTCTTTCGTGATTTCTTTTCACGATTACCTTTTTTTCACAGACATCAAGATGCTATAAAGGTGACTATCTCTTATCCTAAACCGTCAGTTGAACCCTCCAAGGATGACTGTGGTGGCATAGATGACAATGACGATGAAGAAAATTCTCAAAAAGTAATATATTGCAATTTTTCGAATATTTAAAATAATTATGTACATGTCGATTGTTTATCAACATCGTATTGTAGAAGTATATCAGTATTTACACGACAAAGTCAAAACTTTAGCCAATTCCTTAAAATTAGTAAACATCTGACTGCTTCTGTTTAGTTTGAAGTGTGTTATGACTGCTTAAACCTGAATTGAGTTGTCGATAAACAATTCAATTTTCAGCAGAAAGATTATTCAAAGTTTCCAATCAACCTCAAGAAAAATTCAATTTTGCCATCCTTATTCCTTTTTTTATGTCTCAAATTAAATTAAATCTTCAGTTATCTTATGAAATTTACTGAAGATTAAAGAAATATAAATTATGCATTTACACGGTGTTAAGTAAATTTCCAGGCCAATGGATAACCACAGATACACTAATTTTTTACTCGGGAAAATATGTGCCGTATTTATTAAAAAAAAGTTTAAAGAACTTTTATTAGTTAATTCACTGCTCTCTAGTTCACTTAGAATCACTAACGCCTCAATAATTCCAATTACGAATTTTTCTCACACCTGTGAATAATTTACCGTTTATTTTTTTTGTTTAGGATTCTGATCAAGAAGAATTCATACAGCAGTTCAAGATCTTAAGTACAAAAGAAGAAAATGATCAGTGTATCATAAAGGTAGAAATGGATAGAAGAATGACTGTTAAGAGCTTGAAAACTATTATGAAGCGTTATGTTAAAAGAGGCTTATATCGATTTAAAGTTTTCAAGCAGTTCTCTAGTAATCAACTCTCAGAAATATCAAACATGAATGAAACTTTCCAAAACTTACCAGATAATGGTTCGGCTTGTTTAGTTATACAACATGGAAGAGCTCTGAAAGAGAACGAATGTATAATTAAAGTGTTTGAACTTGATATGAATAGGGAGGATGAATATTTCAAAGAACCAATTGAAATTATTGTTGAACTAAAATGGTCAATAGAAAAAACTAAAAAGCTTATAGCAAAGGAATTTAATTATTCGGATGATGTAAAGTTTCGAATTCGACAAAAAGTATGGAAAACTGTGCAAAAGATATATTTTGATGATCAAAGTTTGGACGATTTGTTAATTTATAATCATGGAGAAGTATTTTGCGAAAAGCTTATGTTACCACATGAAAGAGAATCCAATCAATTATCGGTTTATCTTCGCAGATTTCGTTCTTCTATTCCAAAATTTGATAAATTTGAAGAATTTTATATCAATCGATCCGATTATGTAAACAAGTCATCCTTCTTAGATTTAGTGCAACAAATAAAGGACAAATATGGAATAGAAAATATAAAATTCGCTAAGCCGAAAACTCAGTATCCTCATCATACAAGTGTTTTGGATGCAGAAGACCAACTGAATTGGGAAGAGCACATTGAATCTCTAAAAGCTTACCCATATAATATATCTGAGGACGGTTCAGTAATATTTTATAGGTAAAAAGATATATCGCGGCAACTTTTTAGTTGAAATACTAATTGTGTTCTTTATCCAGAGATGCTGACGAGGAAACGGCAACGCTATCTCCGGAAAGAAAAAAAGAGATCGAAAAAGAAGAAAATTCGAAGTATGCATATAGTTAATTAAAGTTAACATTATTAATCTATTTTGCTATTACCTCAGATCAACATGTTCTCGAAATATGTATACGAGAAAAGAGAAGGCTTTGAAAATCTATGCAACGCAGCAGTAACAACTGACGTAATGTCTCTAACATTTTTAGGTTATTGATTTGTAAATTTCTTTACTTTCAAAAAATAACTGTCCCTGATTGGTTTTTTTTTTTTTGAGAAAGAAACTTCAACAAAATATTTTGTGGCCATTAATTTATGCATTAAAACAAATTTTTTCTATATTTCTTTCTCTATCAAGGAAATGCTTTGTACTCGGGGTGTATGCGTGTATGTTTTGTGTGTGTAATTCTGAATTACAATTGTTTATCGCTTAAAGTACATAATAAAAATCATAACACGAACATTGACTTATTTACTAATTAAAATTTAAAATCAAAATTACTACAAAAGAAAACAAATACAAGATGCGGACATTTTGTTTTGTAGTCTTAAACGTCATAATTATGTTAGCAACCTCTTTTAATCAGACGCAAGGAATTGAAGATTCTTTGAAACTACCTCGTAAAAAATTTAAGGAAATGAATGAAACTATTCTCTCCCATTTGCAATACGGATTTCCACTCATTCAACGGCAATTCTCATCTAATCTCGACAATAATATCGACATTATGCTATCCTGGTTTGTAGACTTATTAAAAGGACCTAGTTCTGATTCCACAAGCAACCTTATGATATTCAATAAGAGATCATTAAAAGAATTTTTTACGAATCAATGGAGCGAAGCTGAGTGCTGGCTCCTAAAAACTATCAAGAAAAGTAATATTATTGTCATCGTGCTGTTTTAATTAATATCCCTACGTCATTTGTTTCCTCTTAGCAAAGAAATGCAAAGAGTCGTCTAAAATCAATTATAATGACCTTAAAAAGAACCACAAGTATATACAGGCAATCAGTTCCAAGTTCTGGACAGCAACTAGAGCTATTATTCTCAAGCACTCCTTCATTTCTCCTTATAATAATAAAGAGGAAACGCGTTGGAAAATTTTAGATTGGGATTTAACGAATTCTTTAGTAAATACAATTGAATGTATTTTAAGTCAAGGTAAAATTACAACACTTTCCTTTTGCAACATTTGTTATAAACCTTAAAAAAATTCTCAATTCGATAAATTATTTAATTCTAAGGAAAGTCATCGTATTGTCCTGAAGTTTGTAGTGTTGATAACAATGTTTGTAGAACGATGAATTTAACTAAAAATTCTAGTTGTCACATATTCAAGTAGTTTATCTTAGCTTTTAAAAAACAAGTAATGCATTCATATCGATGCAAAATATAATTGAAATTTTTATTTAACATTAAACAGAAACGCCTTGGGAATATATCTTAGTGATTATTACTGCAACTGTATTAACAATTCTATATGGGTACCAGAAAAAAGACAGTGTAAACCTTATCCTTTTTGTCCCAGTTTGCTGTGTAATGAAGAAAATGCAATTGGAAACTGTACTTTAGTTTATACAAATAACAAAGTGTGAGTAATATTCTAAATTAATTACATAAAGATTATAGAAATGGTAAAAAAAAATGATTTTATATATCTTCTGTTACATTAATTGTGAAATTGTAGAATTGCTTTTCATTGTTTCCAAGTTTAAAGGAATATTGTAGATGTAAAGAAGGATATTTTGGTGTTGATTGCGCTCAAAAGATACCTTTTTGCGATATAAATAAGTATAAGGAAGGAGGTCAAATGAGAAATGGTCGATACCTATGTGGTGAAGTGAAAGGTCAAGGGACTTGTTTTGAAGGAGCTAATACTTATCATTGCTCTTGCTCTCTGGGATTTACAAGAGACTTAAATCTCTTGAAAGATTTTGATAACTGTCTATTAAAGGCTGATATCTGCAACCGGTTAAACTCTTGTGGTGAAAGAGAGAATTGTTATCCATCAAGAGACGGAACTAACTTTAAATGCATCTGCAAATTTGGATTTACTGGAAACGATTGTAGTACACTGATGGCTTATTACGATAATTGGGAACCTTGGAGAAATTTCGAATGTCAGGAAAAATGCTATGATAAAAGTTCAGAGACTTCTGTTGTACATTCGAGGAGAAGGAAATGTATTAACGGAAATCTAAAGGGTCAAAGATGTATAGGCTTACCGATAGAATATAAGCTATGCTTCAAATCTAAACACGAGCAATTAGCCAATAGATGTATTAAGCCTGAGTGGCAAGAATGGCAAAGTATAAGCGGTGGTAAATGCTCAAAATCATGCAATGGGGGAATCATTAAACTAATTAGAAAGTGCTGGAATAGTTTAGATAGAGAAGTGATCACCGTAACAAAATGCCAAGGTCTATCCTCAAAGACTGAGATATGTGCTCAACACGACTGCCCTTCAGACCTGATAATTGAGAACACAGGATCGTGGAATTCCTGGGGAGATTTCTCTGTTTGCGACACAGAGTGTGGCATTGGTGAAAAAATTCGAATAAGAACATGTTCAACTGGCTTAGGTCTATGTGACGGTCCGGCTCACGATATCTCGGCCTGTGCGAGCAATGACTGCAATGGGAAACCGAAACATGATAACTGGTTTGATTGGTCATTCTGTTTGGAAGATGAAAAAGAATGCTTTAGAGTTCGGTCTTGCAACAGTAGTACCTGCGGCGGTAAAGCTCGACAACAGGCTCCTTGCATTGATCAAAAATGCATGGGAAAAAGTGTTGCATGGATGATAGAGAAATTATTTGACAAAACAACAAAAGACCATTACTTAAGAGAAATAGGAGCGCAAGAAGAAAGAACACATAATGACCTAAAAGAGGAGAAAAACAAAATTAGGAAGAAAGATTTTACAAATATTATAATTATTTTCTTTTGCGTTGGCGGCCCATTATTAATAATTCTCTTCCTATTGGTCCTCTACTATTCCTATTATCAAAAGCATCCAAGTAGAAAAGAGGCTTTCGTTGCAAGAAAATTAAAAGTATACGAAAATGACATCAGGCGTCGATTAACTTATGCAAGGTAATTGAAAAGAGTCTTTCTCTGTTCGTCATTTATTGATTTTGATCAATAAACTACCTTTGGTAACCATATCTTTCAGATTAGCTAGCCCTCAGGCCTTCGCAGCTAAAGTTATTAGGGAGCCGGATATGTTTACTCACATTCCACAGGCGTCCAATTTAAAGAGCTCTTGTAATACGTAAAGCTTTAACGATGCCCTCTTGCGTTAGGGTTTAACGCATAGTTCATCTTTCTCTTCTCTCTTTCTTCACCGTTCATATTTTTCTCTAGTTTTGAATAATTTATTTATATTTCTACTGTTTTATTAATAATAAAAGGAAAATATTATTAGATTGTGAATATTTGGTAAGAGCAAAGTTTAAATAAAACAAATAGTCTAAGAAGTACAGGTAAGTAGAATGCTATGCCAGAAGACCATTTCAAAGCGTGTTTTATCCTTTTCTATTAAATAAGCCCGAGGAGAAATAATATGCTTTTACCTAAAAAATTGATAAGGAAGACTGTTTTATTAATAGCTACTATTACTGTTGTTACTATTTTTTTACTTGTAAATTTAATGAAAGAATGGAAAGAAATCCACGAAAGACGATTAAAAACAATCGAATATCAAGCAGAAACGACAAATGTCTGCAATCAAAATAAAGTGGAAAATAAAAAGGAATATATGGATATTTGTAATACGATTGCCAGGTTACAAAAGGTGTATTATAAAAAATACAGCTTTGTTGTTAATTATTACGATTTTAAACCTTGGCCCTTAAGTCCAGTATGCTCAAGAAATACAGAAATTATTATTGCTATTAATAGTAGGCCAGATAATTCTGATTGGAGAAGAATGGTTAGGAAAACCTTTGGTTCGGTATCTATTGGGAAACCATGGCCAACCGGAGAAATTTTTACAACGGTTCAAACTTTATTTCTTGTCGGGAAGACGTATGACCACAAAAGAGATTCTTTACTCACAGTGGGTCTTTTTATTCATTCCTTAACACAAATATTTCATTTATTTCAATGAATGTAGGATGAAGCTAATCTGTGGAAAGATATGTTAATCGGAAACTTCAGAGATCATATGCTGAATGACACAATTAAAACATTGATGGGATTGGAGTGGACATACTGGAAATGCTCTCCAATGACACATTTTGTGAAAGTTGAAGAAAATATCTTAATAAATATTCCAAATCTAATAAAAACAGTAACACAGGCAGCAGAAACTGGTAAAGGTATTATTGGATCTGTCAGGAAAGGAGAACTAGTAAGTCGAAAGGGTGATTTGGGACTTCCTGTACAAACTTTTCCATTTCACGTTCTGCCAATTCATTTATCAGCATATACCTATGTAATTACGGCTCCTGCATTAAAGCAATTACTGGAGACTTCTAGATATGTCAGGTGGCTGCCCTTGGAAAATGTCTACTTTACAGGAATTTTACCGAGGATAGCTCTAATTCAAATTGGACATCATCCGGGCCTCCATTATGATATAGTGCATATTTGTGACTTAAAAGAAAAATCTTCTCAATTTGTAGCTGGTAAAGTTGCTAAAAAGGATTTAGACATCTTATGGAAACGTTTCAAGGATACAATGTGGACCTGCCAAAATGGAAAATTATATCACCTTTAGAGACTAGCTATATTATAATTATTTTTTATAATCGTTCTAAACTAATAAAATATACCATTTTAAGTGTATTTGATAAAAATCAAACAATAATACAAAACTACAAGGCGAACACTTGTGAACAAAAATAAAGAAATAGCAGTCAAATTATAGCTTGTAAAATAAATTTCAAACAATTTAAACCATGCATAGGATCTTGTATAAAAAAAATGAGAAGAAAAAAATCTAGAAAAGAGGATAAATATCCAATTTGTTATCTTCATTTAGTAAAAAAGAAATAGAGTCTTTTAATTATCATTTAAGTAGCACCTTTTTCTTGACATATTACATTTTGTAAACAAGAAAAAAAAACCAGATTGATACTTAGCAAAGTGTCTAGAGTGAGGTTAACAGAAATGCCCAATTTAACATTTATTACTTGATATCATTAAAAAATAGAGTATCTTCATCATCGAAATTTGTTTCCAAATTATATTCTGGTATTGATTTATATCTGCGAATTCGAAGTCTATTCCTGAAGTAATTTGTAAAGCAAACGAGCATGGTACAGAAACATGCACCTAATATGCACCCTAAAATAACGTACAAGATACTTCGAAGGTTTGCTAGTGCATGTCCTTGATTTGTGGATACCAGGCCGTCAAACGTAGCAGTTCCATTATTTGGGGACGGATTAATGTCAAGAATAGAACACATTACGTTGTATAAATCAACATTAGGAAAATGAGGTAATATCTGCTTCTTTCGAAATGCAGGACCTGTCGCGGCGAAGTAGGTTCTCATATCTTCAAAATCGTTATCATAACTATCAGCTCCTCTATTTTTTGACAAGGTATCTTTTTTCTAAGAATTAAATTAAAAAAAAGATATTAAAATTAGATATACTTTATAATTGAATTACCTTAATACCGACCAAAATAATAGAATAGCCTTTACGTGCAACAACAAGCAAAGGTGAAACTCGTTTATTATTTTTATATCGCCATCTGTCTGGAATATCCCTTTTCAGAAAAATATCTATTCTAGAATCTTTCAATTCTTTGTAGCACTCTTCAGTCTTATTTTTCTTTGGCCATAGATTTACAACAGCACCGTTTCTTAAGATTAATTTATAATTCTCTTCAGACGTATTTAATCGGATTACACGTGAATTATTCACTTTCGTCATTCCATGATCGGAAACAATCATAACATTAACATCAGTTAGATTTTTATATTTTAAGATTTTCTGCGGAAAATATAAAAAGCATTGGTTTTACATTTTTTAAATTGCTGTAAAAGACAAATAATACCATTAGGCTGTCTAATTCTTCTGATACATCTCGAAGAGCATTTTTCCTTTCTATACTATCCGGTCCATGCTTAAGGCCCATAGAATATACACGGTCCTCATGAATACCTATCGAGATATGATGATATACGTATCATATTTTTAAAAACCACTTCAATTGACCATTTAGTAATTCTAACCTATGAAATCAGCAGATCTATTAGCTATAGCCTCTATACCATTCGTCCAAGCATAATTAAATTGTGATCTGGTTAAAGGCTTCATGGGATATTTCTCACAAAACGTTGTATTTTTACCTCTGATTTCGATATCGCACCCAATCCAATAATACATTCGACTCTTCAAACCCTATAGATGATATTAAATATCCTCAGAATTCAGCAAAGTGTAAGAAACTTAATAAATAACCTGTTTTTCCGCTGTAATCCAAATTGGTTCCCCACCATTAAACCAATAAGATTTTGATTTTGCGTCATGAGATTCGTCTATTTGATTATACTTGAAGATTTCTTTGCGTTCCTCATCCCAAACTTCATTACCCAAGATACCATGTGATTCAGGATTCAGACCTGTGGCAAGACAATAATTATATATTATCCATTGATATATTAGATGATGCTAATTGTGTTAAATATACCCGTAGCTATGGAATAATAATTAGTAGAAGATGTGGTCGGGAAGGCAGGTCTCATAAAATCCGATTTTACGCCCGAATCAACAATACTTCGAAATCCCTTAAGGCTATCAGTTTCATAATTATATCTGATACCGTCAATCAATATGACAATTAATTTTTGCCTGCATTGAATAACAGGCATCAAGGTCAGAAGTATCAGGGCAGAAAGTGTTGTTGTTACCATAATATTTTTTATTAATCTGGAAAAGCTAATCACTTTGAGTGTTAATAGAGGAGGATTGCAATAATATACCAGTTTCCGATCAGATATATTTCGTCATTCTTGAGCGATATTACAAATATGCCAGCCGAAAATTTAGAAGAACAAGGTTTATCAAAAAACCCTCGATTAGAACTAGCACAATTTAGGTTTATCTTGTCAAAGCCTGAATTTAAAGACAATGGATCGATTAAAAAGCAATTACTAGACGCTATTACTGAAGATAGTGAGTTCCGTTTTTTTACTAGTCATGCTATGTTACATCTCTATATTGTAAACAGATATGGCACCTTTTTATGAATCGGTTTGCAACGATCTGGGTTGGGATATTGATACAACTCTATTACAAAAAATGAAAACGAAAAACGAAGAAGATATTAAAAAATTAGAGAGTAATATTGAAGATGCAGAGCAAAATTTAGGAGAATCAGAAGTAAGAGAAGCACTAACTGCCAAGGCTGAATACATTTGTAAAATTGGAGATAAAGTAAGATCCTATTTTTAATAATGAATAAACGATGTAATATATTTTAAATTTTTATTTTCATTTTTCAGGAGGGGGCTCTGACTGCTTTTCAAAAGGCTGGCGATAAAACAGTTACTCTAGGCTTAAAGTTGGATCTATGTTTTCATCTGATCCGTATTGGGCTATTCTATATGGATCATGATTTGATAAACCAGCAGGTTGAAAAAGCTACTTCGCTCATTGAGGAGGGTGGTGACTGGGATAGAAGAAATAGATTAAAAGTGTATAAAGCTGTCTACAAAATGTCCATTAGGGACTTTCCCAATGCCGCTAAATTATTTCTTGATGCTGTTGCGACGTTTACATCATACGAATTGATGGATTATAAGCAATTCGTCACATACACTATTCTATGCTCTGTTATTGCGCTTGATAGGCCAGATCTAAGGGAAAAAGTTATTAAAGGTAAATGGACCTTTTTTTAATTTGAGCTTTAATATCAAAATTTTATTCAGGTTCTGAAATACAAGAAGTCCTACACTCTCTTCCAGACGTTAAGGATTTTTTGTCATCCCTTTATGAGTGTCGTTATGATGATTTTTTCAAATGCCTTCGTAAGAAATTAAAAAAATTAATCTACCTATATATTACTAAATTTTTAACTGTTTTACAGTATACGCCCAGCAAATGATGCTGAACGATCGTCTCTTGTCATCCCATGCACATTACTACGTAAGAGAAATGAGAATAAAAGCATACTCCCAACTCTTGGAAAGCTATCGGTCTTTGACTCTAAAGTATATGTCAGACGCTTTTGGTGTTGGTGAAGACTTTATTGATAGGTACTTTAGTCAGATTTTTTATACTATTTTAAAATATAACATTTTTCAGGGAATTATCACGCTTCATTTCTCAAGGACGCTTGCACTGTAAGATTGATAAGGCAAATGGAATTGTTGAGACAAATAGACCAGACAGCAAGAATTGGCAATATCAGGTAAATTTATCGTTGACTGCATATGCTGGTGTAATAGCTCTTATTTTTATCTGTTAGGCTACAATAAAGCAAGGCGATATTCTACTAAACAGGATGCAAAAATTGAGTAGAGTCATTAATATCTAAACAAGATAAGTGTACAGTAAATGACATGTTTTTCAAATGGTCAAAATACATTTCAAAGATTTTTATATTATGAATTCCCTTTTTTGTTTGCTATTAGTTAGTTTCAATTATTTTTGCTTTTATTAGGGCATATATATAATTGAGAATGAGAAAAAGAACAGACGGAATATTCAATTATTTCAACAAAAGTTACTCATAACAAAACAATTTTCGATTTAAGTTATTTGCCAAATCGCTTCTCTATCTTATGAAACTTTTCTAGATTGGATTGAAATGAAGAGTAATCCAAATTTTTCATTGTATCAAAAGATCTGGAAACAATAAAAGAGATGAAAAAAACTGACTTTTATTTTATATAAAGGCTTATACATTATCTCTGATAGCCTTATATGCCACGGGAGAAATCCTGCCAAGCAGCTAACATTGCCAAAATTAAAAATTACATTTGGATCCGGAAATTGAAAGACATCTAAAAAATTTTTAAGTGTTAATTTTGTTAATTGATATTAACAGAAATTAGCCTAAGTACTTTTGAGCAGGGCGTCTATGTATTCAACATTTACTTCCGAATGTTGTGTATTATCGCACAACTGCCTAGAAACGTTAACCAATTTTCTTTGATTGTCTTCTCTTGATAACAGGATAACGTTAGTTGTATTTGTGTCATAACCTTTATAGTTAAAAACCTTATTATTTATTCAATAGATAATAGAAAACTTTTTACCATTTTTATTCTGAACAGTAGTAGTATGAAAAACGAAATTTACTTTCTTCTCACTTGAACTCAGTAAACTTCTCTTTCTTAATTGATATTCTATTTCGTCTTTGCTTCTTTTAATAATGCCTAAAAATTAAAGAATACTATTGCTTTTAATTTATTGTCCATTAACACGTTCTATTCTGATAAAAATACCTTTTGGATCAAATAGCGTAACATAACGAATTCCAGCCAACCCAGACCACGAAATGATTTGACTGAGTTTCTGAAAAGAAATGCTATCCTCGAGAACAACTATTGCTAAATGCTCTGGAGCATGGTTCATTTTTGAGGGATAATTCTTTATATAAAAAGAGTTGTATATATGAACGGGCCAACTTGTTTCTAGTCGTTTTATGAAAGACACCACAAAACGATTAGCTGTTATACAAAAGTGAATGAGAGTTAGACATAGCTTTGTAATCAACATTCTACGGCATCAATTGAAAGATGAAAATTTGACTATAATCCGGTGATCGCTGACTGGGACGTTACTGATTCGCTGAGTGTACAAAATGTCGTATATAGCAGCCGAAAAATTAAAAAGGCTTTCGAATATTTATACGCTATCCAAAAGTAGCACAATAAATGGAGCTTTATTTTATATCAAATCATAATTAAAATCTTCAAAATAGTTATTCTTTTGTATTTTCTGAAAAATTGTTTGAAAATTAGTTTATTTTATCTTTGGAAATTTGTAGAAAATCACTAGGTTCGTTCCATATTAGAGAAGTTAAATTCTTTGAAATTATCTGATAAAGTCTAATTAACCAGAAAAAGTACTGTAAATTAATGTCTTGTACTTTATAAAAGAAAACAAAATTGTTTTCAGAAACATTTATTAAAGAGTTATTGAAGTAATCTGACCGGTACATCAGAACCGGTCATATCATTTGTTGAGTGAATGTTTTTTCGAACTGAGCGATAATACAAACCACGTGATTTAGATTGCATCAAGTAACTGGAAATGACCGAAGGCTCATTTTAAAACTTCGTTCTATATGTATCGAAATTCTCTACGAAAATTGAACCAAGCAATTTTGATGATGAATAAGGGTGACAAATCTCTCAGCTCTTTTCAATTGAAACATTTAAAGTATAAGGAACAACGGCAAGGAAAGTTAGATGCCCCATCTAAAATAGACATACACGTAGTTGCATCAGGAAGTTTCGGAACGTCTCCTTCTGTATATGTGGATACAGATTATGTTAAGTCAGTTCTATTCTATACTAAAACTTGTTAAAAAGTTATTTTAAGTCTTTCGACAAAGAGAATTAGTGTTGAAATGTTAATTTTCAGATATCTATTCAACTGTGGCGAAGGAACTCAAAGACTATGCATTGAACATAAGTAAGCCTCAGTTGTAATTCCTATGTTTAATTAATTATTAAACGGATTTTAGGGCGAAAATTACCCGAATAGAAAATGTCCTTGTCACTCATAAGAGTTGGAAAAATATAGGCGGGCTACTTGGTATGGCTTTAACATTGGAAGGTTGCAAAGTTCCAAAAGTAAATTTACACGGACCTCCTAATGTGGTAAGTTTGGTAATAAAAGATTTTCATAACATCTTGTCAATTAATTTCTCTTTAGGATACCTTATTTTCTGAATCAAAAGGTTTCGCTCAATTGCATCAATTACAAATAGGTGATCTATTTCTTTAAATTACTAAATTTAGGCTCATTTAATCTTGAAATCTGACTAATAGTTGAACTAATTTAAACAGAAAAAGTAAATCTGACTGAAGATAATTTTTATGAGGATGAAGCTATGAGGATATATGAGATTCCAATATTTTCATCAGAGCCCGAAGTTAACCTTAGCACTCTAAAACAATCAAAAGAAATATGCTCTGATAAACAAGAAAACTCTGTGCAATGTGGGTAATATTCACTCTTTTACATGATATACAATCTTATATTGGTTTGTAGATGCCCTTGAATTTGGAAACGTCCAGTCCTCAAAAATTTTAAACTCAAGTATTGTTTACGTTTGCAAAGTTAGTTAATATAATTAATTCATAATTCAAACAAGCTTAACTTTCATATTATTTCGCTCAGCCTCACCCAAAACCTAGAAATGTCGATCTAGAGAAATGCGTTGATGTCGGCTTAACGCTGTAAGTTAAAGACTTTTGTACAGTAAGCATTACATGAAGTAAAATATTTTTGTTTAGTGGACCTCTTGTTGCAAAGTTAAAAAATGGTGAAAGTGTTACTCTTGAAAATGGCAATATAGTTGGTATTTTAGCTTGTGTTTGAAATAAAAGTCATTAACTTTCAACGATATAATAGATTAATCCTGAACAAGTTTTGTCGCCACCGGAACCTGTCAGCACTTTTATAGGTAAATAAAATATTTATAAAAATTAAAATAAGTTATACCGTATATAAGAAATACATTATTCTTCAGTTATTGAATGTCCTAGTGCTAATTATCTGGATTCACTTGTTGATAATCAACAACTCAAAGCTTACACTGACAATAATAGCGATAATCATTCCGAACTGATAATTCATTTTACACCAAGAAATGTCGTCAACAATGCCAAGTATAGGGAATGGATGGAAAGGTGAAATTTGACAGCTTAAAATCATTAGGTATTCAATACTTTTTTTTAATAGTTTTGGACCAAACACTAAGCACCTTCTCATGAAAAATACTGATAGTGATATTGCTTATGAAGCAGTTTGTAAATTGCAAACTCAGCTAAATATGATAAATTCGGATATTTTCCCTACGCTGCCTCTGATGAGAGACAGAGTTTATCAAGATCAGAATAATAATTTTATTGAGGCAGAATCTAATTTAACATATGTCTTTCGGTGTGGGAAAAAAGGAAAAAGAGGCTTTGTTAGAGATAAATGTATCACATATAAGCCAGAAGAGTACAAAAAAGAAGTGTTTCAGACTCCAGAGAGTTTAAAAATATTGGCGGATGTGAAGAAACAGTGCTTTAATTATACATCAGCTAAAAAAAGTAAAAACGAGAAATAATTACATATCTATATATATAGATTACAGGATATTTCTAAAAGTTTTAATTTTTGAAAATTCCTCCAGTTAAAGAAAGCTTCGATCCCTGCTTAACTTTTTTAGGAACTGGCTCTTCACTTCCAAATAAAGTTAGAAACGTTAGTTCTATTTTACTGCAAAGTAGTCTATCTAAGTACATTCTTATGGATTGCGGAGAAGGCACATACGGTCAATTATATAGGCACTTTGGTGAGAAAAAATGTGGCGAAATACTGAGAAATTTAAGTTTCGTATTCATATCACACATGCATGCTGATCATCACATGGTAATAAAAAATTCGTTATAATTTTTTATTATCCTTCCTAAAATAATTATTTTGATAGGGAGTCTTTGAATTAGTAATTAAGAGACGTGAGGCTTTTACTAGCAACAACGAAACCATATGCCCTCAACTGACAATTGTCGCTCCTGGAATATATTCAAAGTGGTTAAGTGTTTATGACAGCGAATGCGTGAATAACAAAATGACCGAAGTTATTAAGTAAGTTAAACTGAGGTTTCCAATTGACTTTATAAATAATTTTTTAAATTTAAGTTGTTACTATTGTAAACATGAAATTCATCAAACTCTTAACTTTCAATTAGACTCCATTACGCTGAATCTTTGAAAGGAAAGAATAGATTGGAAGACCGAAATATAAATTACTATAAGGAATTTTTACGTAATCATGATTTAGAAGACGTTAGTTCAGCATGATCTTTAATTTTGTATGTACCTTACTGTGGCTTTGTTTTTAAAGGTTGAAACAGTGCCAGTTGTACATCGACAATATCCACATGGTTTAGTAATTAAGCATATAGATGGATGGAAATTAGTATATTCTGGAGATACTATGCCCTGCGATCGCTTAGTGGATGCTGGGAAAGATTGTGACATTTTGATTCATGAGGCGACTATGGAAGATGAACTTGAAGAAGAGGCTGCAACAAAGCGTCATTCGACGACTACCCAAGCTTTAAATATGGGACGAAAAATGGGTGCTAAATTTACCCTCTTAACTCATTTTAGTCAGCGTTATGCGAAAGTTCCGAAGTTAGGTAACCAAACAGAAGAAGAAAAGGCGGGACTAGCATTTGATAACATGACTGTAAAATTCTCCAGTTTAAACACATTACCCTTGATCCATCCTGCTCTAGGTGAGCTTTTTGCTGACGAAATTGCCCAACTTGAACAGAAGACCTACAAAAGAAAAATGAGGAAACAGCGAAGAAAAGACAAAGCTGAAGAGAATCCAACTAATTTAAAAGCAAAAAAACAATTCATCAGCGATGAGCCGAAATAATTTATAAATACTAATATGTATTGCTATATCATTTAAATATAATTTTCCATATTAAATTCTAATAACTAACTGAAAAAAGCGACATAGGCCTAATTCAACTTTCTGGAAATAAGCGCCACCTATAATAAAAAAAGAAACAGGTAGTAATGAACAAAAAATTTACAAGTAATCTAAAGATAAATGTTTAGGTGGAAATGTTTATCACTAAAGTTATACATAATAGTTATCATATGTCTTTATATTGCTATTTGGATATTCTCAAATATTGTGGGAAGAGTTAGAAAGCCGCTGATCGATGTTGAGTCACCAGATGAAGTTATATTTCGAGATGTAGCTGAATCACAACCAAATGTTCCTAAACGAGAAGCACTAGACGATTATTCGCATCATTCTCAATTAAGTGACTGTTGGGGTGAAAGACAGGAAGAAAACTACAAATTTACAAGAATTCTTTCAGATTTTTATATTTTCTCAGCCTTCTATGACAATAGAACAAAACCTTTAATTCGATTAATATCTCTAAATCGAATAACTGTCCATCCTAAACTTTATTGTGTGTTTAGGTATAATGATAATTCATATGAATCAAAAACGGACTATTACGAAATGTGCGAAAATCATAGAAGAACTTTCGGAGGTCATATTCTCTCTTGTACAATACCCAGAGAGTTAAATCATTTGGGTATACCTTGCACAGTTGAATTGACTACTTTAGAGGGGAATAGAGAACGTTTAAATGTTCAATTTAGTCAAAACTCTAACAGGAAAGGAAAATTTGGAATTTGTATACCACCATTATTTAATGATTTTCAATACGTGAAATTTATTGAATTTATAGAATTAAACAGAATCCTTGGCGCTAATACTTTTTATATATACTTTACAGAAACCTATGAAGAAAATCTGGTGAAAATATTAAAATACTACAAAAGAGAAAATATTGTCAAGCTTATTCCTTGGAAATTACCGGAGGATATAAGTAATAGAGTCTGGTATCATGGTCAAAGCATAGCCATTCATGATTGTTTATATAGATTTATGTTCTCTGTTGAATATTTGATATTTCAAGACTTGGATGAATTCATTATACCTACTCAATTACATAAATGGTCTCATTTGTTGGAGAAACTAGACAATAATCATATAGATGGCTTCTGTTTCGAATGTTTTTATTTTCAGCAAAAGGCGGCATATACGACTGATACTTTATGGAGTCTGACCTTTAAGCAAAGAACTGTAAAGGGAACAAGACAACTGTCAAAGTGCTTAGTAAAGTCCGACAGAATTTTTGAAATGGGAATTCATCATATTTCAAAGTTCATTAAAAATACATCCTTAGTCCTCAACGTTCACAAAAATGATGGAAGGTTATTTCATTTTAGGAAATGCAAAGGAATGTTTGGAGACATTTGCTACAGAAATGTTGAAGACACTATACTAGAAGATAAGTATAGTGTTAAAATGATAGAAAATGTAAACCTAGTCTTTGAAGCAAATGGATTTCAATGATTATACGAGACTCTTGAACTTTTTCAAAAAGATATTTAACAAATAAAATTTAATTTATAATTGTTTCTATTTATTTCTAAAGTGAAAATTTGAATTGATATGGTAAAAACTTTAATTTATCACAGTCATTTTCATGATTTTTCTGCGAGGATATTTAATTTTTAAAACCCAAGCCCATCTGCAAGGTAACTTAACGGCTGGAATATTCATATCTACAATTACACCTCTTGAAGCTGATTTCCACGACAAGGATCCATACCCTATCATTTCAATGGTCATACCCTGCCTACCGATAACACTTCCCAGTGCAAGCTGATTATTATTCGGCCATTTTAAAACGAAAGCATAAACGGCGTCATTTTTTTTCGTATACCTATTTTGTGAGCGACGGTTAAATTTTTTAAAAGTGAGAAAATATTTAATTACTTACCAGACATCGCTAGTTAGAGAATCATTTTGACTGGTCCAAATTTTTGAGCCATAAATTCCTTCTTGATTTACTTTCATCCATTGACCAAAGTCCCTCAATCTTTCTTCATAAATTGGTGCAATTCTTCCATCATGAGTTGGTCCAACATTCATTAGCATGTTACCTCCCAAACTAGTAACATAAATATTAAAATATTATTAATTATTAAACTACTCAATAATACCTTATGGTTTTCACAAAAAGTTGAATAATATCTTCCATATTCAATAGATCTTCAAGTTTGGCTTCTCTTCTATAACCCCAGCTGTGTTTATCAATTGTCATAGCATTTTCCCATTTTTTCTTTAGTGGTTTACCAGGAACATAGCGATCAGCACATGTAAGAAAGCTACCGTGTTTACACATAGTACCACTTCCCCATCTATCGTTAGTTAAAACGGTATCCTTGACTGGGCTGTCATTGAATAACCAAGCAATGAACTCTTCACTTTTCCAGTATTTATAGGTGACTCCACCGTCACCATCAGACCAAATAATATCAGGTTTATAATTATTAACCAGTTCATACAATTCAGGCATTGTTTTCCCCTGAAAAGACAAAAGTGAAATGAGTAGGAACACAACAACGAATGCATTACCTAACTTACATTAACAAACTCTTGCGTTTGAAATTTTCTGGCCTTGTCACCTAAATAGATAGGATTGAACCATTCAAAGAGAGAATGGTAAATACCAAAATGAATATCGGAATTTTTTCTGATGGCATTGGCTAATTCACCAACAAGATCTCGATTTGGACCAACTGCTTTAGAATTCCAATTAAAAGATACATTAGTAGGCCAATTGCAAAATCCTTCGTGATGCTTTGTGACAAGTACAATATATTTTGCTCCCGCATCTTTAAATAATTCTGTCCACTGAGTCGCATTATAAAATTCAGCAGTAAAATCTTTTGCAAAATCTGCGTATGTCCATCCTGGTCTATAATTAGACTTTACGAAGTCAACGTAGCTCTTTGAACCCGAATGCCAATAATTCCAGAACCTTTATAGACAAATATGTATACTGCATAAGAAGTATGATTTAAGTAGGATGTTTAATTACCACTCGCTCCCGAAAGATGGCACGGAGAAAACTCCCCAATGTATGAATATTCTTTCATAAAAAAAGGTATATTATTATTCATAAAAAAATAAACTTATGTAAATATCATGAATTTACCCAAACTTTGCCTCATCATACCAAGCTGGATTGGGTCGGCTGTCTAGAGAGTCCCAGTTTGGTTCATAACGACATTCAGCAAAAACGAGAAGCAAGCTTGCAAGCCACGAAATTTTAATAATCATTTCTCTGTGACACTTCAACAACTATCTAAAAAGTACATAACAAAGGCGTATCACGTGATTTGGAGTCATGTGACAAGTCCTGCCTCCCATTTTTTTTTTGATAAGATGATAGTGTCTTTGTTTGAAACTTAGCAAAAATGATATAATTAATTAAGAACTAAAGTAATGCCGATTACAGAGTTATTTATAAAATGTTCAATTTCGGGACGGATAGCTTTAAGATATTGGAAAATCAATGGAACTGTCAGAAGATCGGAATTCAGCCGAAGTCGTTTGGCTCATGTTTATTCCCTTCCTTCTAGTATAAACAGCATATAATGTACTAAGAAAAACTAATCCAAATCCAGTACAAACTAATATCAGTAAAAGATTATAGAAAGTATAAGATAAATGATAGGACTTTAATAAATCTATATCTAGCTCTAATGGATCAGCATCAGCAATAAGATATCTATTATTTTCGTCAGTTGCATTACCTTCGAAGACCAACTGATCTTCATCCTCAGTTAGAATCTCAAAGTCTTTTCCTTCAAAGTATTCGCTGCCAAACCTAATATTATCATATTGAGAAACCCCTCCGCAAATTACGTCTGGGCATGCACTTAGGGGGTCATCGGGTAATAAGGCCAAACCTGATACTCTCTCTATTGGATTAGGTAGTCCCATGCACCCACCTTCAGCTATTCTGACAGATTCACATATTTGCCAAGTTACCATACCTAAACTTAACATTTGAACAATTCCCGGTAAAACTGATGACCAAACATAACCTTCTAATGTTTTCTCATGAAGGAATCTATCCATTCCTTGTATTTCATGTATTTGAGCGTTTAAAGTCTGCTTTTTCTCAACATCTACATCTACTTCTTTCAATTTTGATTCTAAGTTCTTTCTTTTAGATTTAAGTATCCGCCTAAGTTTTTTAAATTCTGATTGTGACATTTCGAGAAATCCATCTTCACCAATACTTTTAATCTTGTAAAGTATTGAATCTACTTCTTCCGTTTCGCTTATTGTATCGGAAATTTTAGTCTTTGCTGGTGCTCTCAAAGAAGGAGAGTTAGCATCAATAGAAAGGCTTGAACCAAATGAGGATTCTCTAAATGATTTTAATTTACTTTTCTGTTTGTCCCAAGAAGTTTTAAACCAACTCTGAATTTTTTGTAATTTTTTCTTAGGTTTATTCATTCTAATTTGAGCAACAAAAATGAGAAGCAGTACTAATCTATAGCAAAAATCGCTTTTCATTTCCTTCTACAAGATTTAAAAGTTACTAATGGAAATATTCGTATTTTTAGTTTACAGATTAATTTTTGAGTTTATATTTTATTAGTAAGTTAATTATTTTAAAAATGACGACGATCTCAGAAAAAAAAAATTTTAAATACGAAAATGACATCGAATGTATCATTTCCGGCTTGGACGAAAATGAAGCAGGTCATATAAAACATATTTTTCTATTATTTTATGTCACTTTTAGTTTATAAACAAATTTTAAAGCAGATTATCGGTTTAATATAATTAAAATTTTTTATTATAATAATTTTAGGGGGCGATTATTTTGATCTAAACGTGAAGAGCAGTTATTTTATGTTTCCCAAGTCATGCCAAATTGGAAAAAAATACCGAAAAACACTGGCTACGTTTCGTCAAATAATGTATCGAGGCAGAAAAGTGATCCTGGAAAGTATGTTAAATCAATTAATATCATATATTAGACTTGAATATTTTAACAGAAAATTTTAATGAATTTTATCTTAATCTCTATGATGTCAATTAAAGGAAATTATATTTAGCTCTTTGACTATTACATAATTTATACCGATAAACGTAATGTGATATTAACGAGATCTAGCAATGTTTTATTTTCAAGTACTCTTAGTTCTAAAAAATACCTTTAAATCTATTGTTTGAGAAACTGACTGAAAGATTATGCGATTTTAAAGCACAGAGGAGCAGATTGCAGGAGCCTCGTTGACAACAGGTCCAAAGCACATCCACATCCCTGAAATATTGACAGGAAGTGATATCTTGTTTGAGATTTTGTTTTTATTCTATGTTCTCCTTTGCCTCATGCTCCAATACATAAACTTATACAAGACTGTTTGGTGGTTACCGCACTCCAGTGCCAAATATGCCTTAAATATCGACCTCATTGATCCTCATTTAACTACTTTAATCATTGGAGTATTGTCACGAAGATTTGTTTTTGTGCTTTTTCAGAGTTTTGGTAACTCATTCAAAGGCGCTGCTAAATTAACTTTATTTCTGTTAAAAGGAGTTGTTCTTCTAGTTGTTGGAACTACATTGATTTTATCTGCCTATAGTATCGTGGTGCTTTTATAGATATAATCTGGATATATAAAGTAGAATAATAATTAAAAACAATTATTTTAACAAGAATAATCCATGCAAGATATTAATTAATATCTGTGTTTGACAATCGCTAATGACGAAGAGACTTACGATGTTTTGTAATAAGTATCTTAGCAATACTTTACTTTTTTCTTCATTTAACTCTATCCAAATTAATCAGTAAAAAATTTTTCTTTAGTTACACTTTAAGTTTTACGAATTAGAGTCTTTTAAAAATAGAACACAATTTGTAATAGTGTGGATTATATCTATGAAAGGTTGAACATTCGCCATACTACGCTCTCTTTTTCATCTATCCACTCTTTATTTACATGTTATTATTTGGGTTGGATTTAAAGCCATTCTTCACTGGTCCGAGTAAGAAGGAGGACCCCGTTCACATGTGTTCAACATCACCAGAATCCATTAGGCAAGAAGTTGAAATATTAAAGACGGATTTTAATCATAGAATTAAGCACGTTTTGTTTAATTCTATTTTAGTTACTTATATGACTGCTTTAATACCAATCTGCTTTACTCAGGTACGCATAATATATGCTTAATTTATCATTTCCTACTTTATATTAAGTTTAAAGATATAACTATATTTTGTTCAAATTTCCAGAACACTTTGTATTATGACACATGGTGGGTTGCTCAACATGTCTTAATGACATGGGTAGGAGCTTTCCTTCCTCTTTGTCTTCATGCCTTATCACCATCGTATCTTGATACGTTACATCGCTGCGCATTACATCTTGGAAAATGGACTAAGGTAGAAAACCGAAATCCTCACATGCCCTATTCTTCATGGTCAGAATTACAAATTTGGCAAAAAGGATCCCTTGTTAAACATGTCCGAGGATTGTTTAAGGCGGAAGGTTGTAATAATTCTGCTGAACCTGCTAATACTACACATCAGAGGTTTTATGTTAGTATATGTTTTATAAAACAATAGGAAAGATATTTATTTTTGTATTTCTTTTTAGTTTCTATTCGAAAAGCCGTTAAGAGTTCTACACTGGCTTCTCATCTTTACTTGGTGCGCCATACTCTATCAGATTGTACAATTAATTCAATCATCTGAATGGAGTCAGATAATAGGTTTATCGTTTATGTTGGCATCCAACTATATTCCACTATTCAGATTGATGAGGGATAGACATTTATTATCGAAAGCTTATAAAGACCAAGCATCATCTCCTTTAAGATTGAGAAGTTCTTAGATTGTTGTATAGAGACAATTATCAAATCCGTGAAAAGAAAGTGAGAGTTAGGTGTCTTTATCTCATACTATTGTCTTTGCTAGGACAATGTCATCCGTTTTCACTTCTGTGACGTTAATCTCAACTAATTTTGTGATCCGACTTTGAATTTAGAAATAAATAGTCAACAGCAAGGATACAATTGATGCTTTTATATACTATGAGCCAGAGAGTGCTCGTATAAATATTGTTAATTTTGTTTGTTGAAATTAATTAACTAATTAATTTAATCCTCAACTAATAAATGTTTTTGGCGTATATAATGAACTTTTATAAACAGAAAAATATGAAGACTCTACATTGATTAAATTAATATCTGTTTAAATAAAGTAGTGGGCTTCAGCTAACAAAGCATAAAAGGATAGCAAAAAATCCATTTGTTTTCAACAACCTCTCGACGGCCTGTTGTTTATGGTAACGGGAGTTTTCCTTATCAATATTAGATAGGTGCACCCTTAGCTACCAACGAACAACGGTCAATTGTTTTAAACAACTCTAATGGATCTAGAAAACAAAAAACTTAGGCCATCAATCAAGCCTAATTCAAAATTTGAAAATGATGGCTATACTTTGGAGAAGGCCAAAGATTTTAAAAGAGCATTCCGAGGTCTGGGTACTGACGAGTACCGACTTATTAAATTATTATCTGAACATTCAAATTCTCAGCTCCAGGATATATCGAAAAAATATTCTGAAGAATATAATAATGTAAGTTTTTCTTTATTTAGATCATGGTTTTGCATTCTTGTACAATTTACAGGATCTTACTGATGACCTCAAGGACGAATTAATGGGTAGTTTTGAGGATCTATGTGTGTCCCTCTTGACTCCCAGACGTCTCTGGGATGCTCAATACACAAAAAAAGCTCTGCAAAATATAGGAACTAACGAAGTTTGGCTAACTGAAATTATATGTGCGCGAACAGCTGAGGAAATGGAGGACCTGAAAACAGCTTATGCGGAAAGTGAGCATTCAATTCTCTAGTTATAATAGCCTTGTGATTTATTTATTGCTTTCAAAGATTATGAACAATTTGTACGTTGGATTCTATCTAAACATACTTTATTACAGTTCATGAAACACCTTTGGAATATATGATAAAAAGTGATACCAGTGGTCCCAATCAAAAGCTTATGCTTGGCTTATTAGAAGGCAAAAGAAGCCAGTCAAATGAAGTGAATGAAGCAGAGGCGGAAGAGGATGCGAAAGCTTTATATGATGTATATTGATATTCTTTACTATTAATTTAATAACAAATTGTTTTATTTTGTGAACTTAACTAAAATCTAAACAAGGGCAAATTATTTTTTTGATTTTGAAAAAGACTGAACAAAACAGCTTTTAGTAAAAAAATAACCGTCATATAAAATTCTTTAGATATCTTTTTTCCTCGGGATATCTGAAGCATTAAAATATTTTCAAATTTCATGTTTTTTACAAATAGAATGGAGAAGGGACAAATTCTGATAAAAATGAAGAAGTCTTCATAAATATTTTAGTCTCAAAGTCGTGGTGTCAATTACGGGCAACTTTTAATCAATTCGAACACATTGCCGAAATGACAATCGAGCGTTCTTTGGATAATCAGTTTTCGGGAGATATTTGCACTGCATTCAAGACAATTGTGGCGTATGCCAGAGATCCGTTAACTTATTGGGCAGAGAGACTGCACAGCACACTCTGTGGGAAGGATGAAGATGATGAGTCTTTTTTCAGACTATTGATTCAGCACTCAGAGGTTAGAAAAAAATATATTATCATCTAATATGTATTCCTTTAATATTTCAGACTGATCTCGATTCTATCAAAGACATATATGACGAAATATACGAAAAACGATTAATTGAGGATATAAAATCTGAATTTAGTGGCTGTGTCCGAAAGTTACTCGTTCGTATCACTGATCCCACGTCCAGTGTACGTGATAACTAGAAGAGCAGAAAATACATTCAAACGCTTATTGTCCCAATTTTTGACCCATTTTTATTTTTTCACCCCTATTAACGGCAAATTTAAAATTTTTGGGAGCTTCAAAAACCAAAATAATAGAAGAGCCTAAATTAAATTCACCGAAGTGGTCCCCCTTCTTAAACTCAACAGAAGTTGTTGATTCAGGATTCTGATCCATCAAGAAACGTTTTGGTAAATTTGTTCGCAACTCTTTATCGTGGTAGATTTTTATATTGCCAACGTTTGTTGCTCCAATTGGAATCATTCCAAAAAAACCATGCTTCCAATGTCCAGTGTAGACTACTCTTTCGTTAATGGTAAATAATCCCCTAACTTTTCGAGCTATAATAGCACTTACACTCAGTAACTTTCCTGGAAAGTGTCGCCTAAATGTAATCTGCCAGTCTGCAGGGGCATGAAAACGGTGATAATCTCCTGGTGCTAAATATATTGTGCAATAGTACAAATCAACATTTTCCTCCTTTAAACGTTGATCCAACTCTGTTTTGCCAAGTAAGGCAAATATTCTGAATTTGACGCCTTTGACTTGCTCTAAATTACCATTTGAACATGAGCCGAAATGTAAAATCCTTCCATCTGATGGTGACACAAGATCAGCTGTTTTGTCAATGGGACGAACTTCCGGACGAAGTTTCCTTCTAAAAAACTCTGCAAGATTCTTATAATAGGTCAAATCCCTTATAGCTGCTTCAGAGAGATTACAGGAAAATGTATTGATGTACAGTTTCAAAATAGGCTCACGAAGAAAGACGGGCAAAGTTAAATTATTTAAAAAACCCCAGACTCGGGATAATGTAGATAGTGGTAAAAATTTATATAATTTAACGCTAATTCCCTCAAATTGTAAATCCATATCATACTTCTTTTGTTCCCTTTCAACCACATGAAAGAATTGAAGATAACAAATACATCCCAGGATACCAAAAGACATTGGTTTGAACCATTTAAAAATTAAACGTTCTTCTTTAGGAGATTGAGATAATTGCCTCATGGCTGATTGGAAATTAGGAGAAACTGGTGAAAGTTTCCCCCTACCTATCCTTACAATATAAGGTGCTAATCGAAACATCATACTTTGTGAACTCAATCAGGAAATATCGTGATATTGTCGCTCCTTTGTTAAGTAATTTTTGAAGAACAATATTTCATAACAAAGTTCCAGTAAGCCAAATAACAATATGTCTATATCCAAATTAAATAATAATATAACTTGCAAAGATTTTCAATATTTATACTTAGAAAGTCGAAGTTGATGTTTGCACGTTGTTTTACAAAATATATTCAATTTAAGGCCTCATTTTACGATGTCCCATTTTACTGCTACCATCTGGTGGTTGAAATTTAAATCAAAAAGAATTTGCTCTCTGGAACAAATTTAAATTGTTCTTGAAAGATATGCTATCGTATGTTATTTTTTGTATATTAATCGTCACTTTCTAATGATATTGTAATTGACTTTCCTTTACATAAGGCATAGTGAACTCAAAAGGGCTCATAATGGTTCCAATGGTAAATTAGGAGTGCTAAATTTATCATTCCAAAGGAGAAATCCACAGAGATATCCAGTTTTGCAGAATTCTAGTAAGAAGGAAAATGGTAAGGCATTTAATTAATATTAGGTTTTTAGTCTGTACGAAACTCTTGAACCAAAAAGAGCAAACTGGAGCTATGATAAAAACTCCAATGGAAATACCTAACGGAAACAGTGAAAATTCGAAAACTAAAAGTCGTCAATTTGCGAAATTTCATCAGAATAAACTTTCCTCATCAGGGATTGTTGAGACATCTCATCAAGATAATAATATGGTTAGTTCTAGTGACCTTCAGAGTTGTTTATTTAACTTAGTAATAACCAAAGCAGAATATACGTAATGGTCTCAAATTTGAAAATAAGCACGTTTCAAATAACGTAAAAGACAAGAGAAATGCATCAGTAAGATTTTATAAAACTTTTTATGCAATTATAATTTCTTTGTCTAGATGAGTTACGTCGTGCGTAAACAACTGTCACATTTTCCGGAATCTCAGGTCTTATTCTAGAATATATTTAATGAATATCTAATGCATTATTGAAACGAAACAGACTCTACATGAAGACTACGAAAGAAAAGGATGCTATAATTCAAACTATATTTCTCAACCCGTATATTATTACATATATATTGTTTACGATATTTTCTTTTCTATTTAAAATTTCAGATGGTTGGCTACGTTTCTCCGGCAAATTCTGATGTATCATATGATCAACCTTATCAAACAAAGATGCATGTCGTAAGTCAAAGACTTGAAAACACCTATTGCTTATAAATATCCGCAATCTCCCAGCTTCAAACGCCTTCGAATAATTTTCCCCATTCGTCATCGAACGGAATGCCTTTGAATGATTATACTAGACAAGTAAATACTATTATTCTACAATTTGATTATATCTATGTTAATTCATGGAATCGTAAAATTTAGATCTCCAGAAGAAGTCTAAACGATGAGAAGGTAATTTACACGGAACTAAAATACTGGATAAGAAATTATCTTGTTTCAGAGAGATGCATTACGTTTTCCTGGACAGCCCCCAAATGGGCAACTGTTTTACACTCCCTTTAATTCTTTTGCTGGGAAAAGAGAAATTTTTTCTCAAAACGATCCCCAAAGTAGAGCTGAAAATCATCCAGTACGAGATGAAAAAAAACCAATAAAAAAAGTATTTCTTTTTAATCAACTAACGTTGAGTTTATTTCATTAATATTTAGAGGAAATCTGCAAGTTCACCCAAGAAACTTTCTCAACCCGACATAAGTATGCGAATTATACTTACCAATATTCACAATTTAGTTCTGGGAGATCTTCCAGTAAGCTTACGGAAGACAAAGCCTCATGTTTTATACGAAGTTTTTGGTAATAAAGTAAATAATTTAATTTGTACTAATTTCGTGAACTTACTTTTAAAGGCCAACTAAATTCAGCTATTGTTGAAGATGGTAATCAGAAGCTCTTTTCATTGAAAGATGGTCATTATTCTATTAAATGTATAGAAGGCATTTTGGTGAGTACATATATCTGACATCATCAGTGAATATGGTCTATAACTACAATATTCATTTTCAACAATTACATTTTTATTAAATATTAATAATTCAATTTATTGTCTAGAAACATACGATTAATTGTTTGTTAATTAATTAATTCTTCAAAACAGGATAGTGAGCATGCACCATTTTATAGAGGAATGTGGTTAAGGTAATTCTTACAATACATATTTAATTAGTACACCTGTGAAATCACAGATGCATTGGATCTTTTAATCATGGGGATAAAGTTTTGAAAATATATGCAATACGTGCTGCAACAGAAGACGAGCGGAGTCAGATTACTCAAAATATGGTGAAAATTATTCGTTCTGTAGTAAACAGAAATGCTCTTTTAAAACGTCAATGATTAGATGTTGATTATTTAAGTAAACTTGATTCGCTTTACAGCGTTCGCCATTTCGTTGTTTTCATACTTTAAATTTAGCGTCTATTGGACTTCTACAAATAAACGTATTTACTATGTTTCTGACAAAAAAAAAGAAATCGTTATTTAAAAAAAATGACAAAATATCTTTTTAAAATATTAATCAAAAGCAAAGAAAAGCATTATAGCATTAAGGATATGAAACATTGGCTACAGAGAACATCGTTATTCACATAAAAGTGTTCATATATAGTTGTGAAAAAAGATTTTCACATTACAGAGGCAATACAGATAAATTAGTGATTACAGGTCTCTATCACAATTTCAACAAATAAACTTTTAAAAAAAATTTATGCTTAGAAACTTAATCACTGCCTATCACCAAAATTTATCTAATGAAAAGTGCCGACTGCAATATTCATAAAATGTGAAATTGGGATGATTCACATTGATAAAATCTGATTTTAAAGTCATAAAAAAGCTTTAAAAAACGAGATAAGAACTGCAAATTTCACAGGACGTGTGAAAAAGAACAAAAAACAGCTGCCATGTGAAAACGTGAAAAAATAATAAAAGAACAGTCTCTTCAGTAAAACATAATCATTACTCCAGAAACTATGGACGAAAAAGAACCAACGAAACTTCAACAAAAAAAAAGCTCTGGAAAAAACAATTCTTGTAGCTGCAATTGCAAAAATTGTTCTTCAAGTAAATGCCGTTGTACAGCTATTGGTCAACAAAAATCAGGACAGTCTGATTGCCCATCTTGTCCTTCCCAAAGGTGTGGCTGCTATGGTAAAACATGCTGTCAAAAATTTTCCTGTGAAATTAAGCAATGCTGCAAAAAAAACAGCAGTAACACTAGAAAATGTTGCTGCAAAGCCAAGACTTGCTGTGAAACAGGCGACTGCTGTCAATCCGGAAAATGTGAATGTACTTCTTGCCCAGCTAATAAATGTTGTTGCTCAGTAGAAGCATCGTGTTGTTCAAGTAACAGTTGTTCTGGAAAGTGTTGCTGCAAAGCCAAGACTTGCTGTGAAACAGGAGACTGCTGTCAATCCGGAAAATGTGAATGTACTTCTTGCCCAGCTAATAAATGTTGTTGCTCAGTAGAAGCATCGTGTTGTTCAAGTAACAGTTGTTCTGGAAAGTGTTGCTGCAAAGCCAAGACTTGCTGTGAAACAGGCGACTGCTGTCAATCCGGAAAATGTGAATGTACTTCTTGCCCAGCTAATAAATGTTGTTGCTCAGTAGAAGCATCGTGTTGTTCAAGTAACAGTTGTTCTGGAAAGTGTTGCTGCAAAGCCAAGACTTGCTGTGAAACAGGCGACTGCTGTCAATCCGGAAAATGTGAATGTACTTCTTGCCCAGCTAATAAATGTTGTTGCTCAGTAGAAGCATCGTGTTGTTCAAGTAACAGTTGTTCTGGAAAGTGTTGCTGCAAAGCCAAGACTTGCTGTGAAACAGGAGACTGCTGTCAATCCGGAAAATGTGAATGTACTTCTTGCCCAGCTAATAAATGTTGTTGCTCAGTAGAAGCATCGTGTTGTTCAAGTAACAGTTGTTCTGGAAAGTGTTGCTGCAAAGCCAAGACTTGCTGTGAAACAGGAGACTGCTGTCAATCCGGAAAATGTGAATGTACTTCTTGCCCAGCTAATAAATGTTGTTGCTCAGTAGAAGCATCGTGTTGTTCAAGTAACAGTTGTTCTGGAAAGTGTTGCTGCAAAGCCAAGACTTGCTGTGAAACAGGCGACTGCTGTCAATCCGGAAAATGTGAATGTACTTCTTGCCCAGCTAATAAATGTTGTTGCTCAGTAGAAGCATCGTGTTGTTCAAGTAACAGTTGTTCTGGAAAGTGTTGCTGCAAAGCCAAGACTTGCTGTGAAACAGGAGACTGCTGTCAATCCGGAAAATGTGAATGTACTTCTTGCCCAGCTAATAAATGTTGTTGCTCAGTAGAAGCATCGTGTTGTTCAAGTAACAGTTGTTCTGGAAAGTGTTGCTGCAAAGCCAAGACTTGCTGTGAAACAGGAGACTGCTGTCAATCCGGAAAATGTGAATGTACTTCTTGCCCAGCTAATAAATGTTGTTGCTCAGTAGAAGCATCGTGTTGTTCAAGTAACAGTTGTTCTGGAAAGTGTTGCTGCAAAGCCAAGACTTGCTGTGAAACAGGCGACTGCTGTCAATCCGGAAAATGTGAATGTACTTCTTGCCCAGCTAATAAATGTTGTTGCTCAGTAGAAGCATCGTGTTGTTCAAGTAACAGTTGTTCTGGAAAGTGTTGCTGCAAAGCCAAGACTTGCTGTGAAACAGGAGACTGCTGTCAATCCGGAAAATGTGAATGTACTTCTTGCCCAGCTAATAAATGTTGTTGCTCAGTAGAAGCATCGTGTTGTTCAAGTAACAGTTGTTCTGGAAAGTGTTGCTGCAAAGCCAAGACTTGCTGTGAAACAGGAGACTGCTGTCAATCCGGAAAATGTGAATGTACTTCTTGCCCAGCTAATAAATGTTGTTGCTCAGTAGAAGCATCGTGTTGTTCAAGTAACAGTTGTTCTGGAAAGTGTTGCTGCAAAGCCAAGACTTGCTGTGAAACAGGCGACTGCTGTCAATCCGGAAAATGTGAATGTACTTCTTGCCCAGCTAATAAATGTTGTTGCTCAGTAGAAGCATCGTGTTGTTCAAGTAACAGTTGTTCTGGAAAGTGTTGCTGCAAAGCCAAGACTTGCTGTGAAACAGGAGACTGCTGTCAATCCGGAAAATGTGAATGTACTTCTTGCCCAGCTAATAAATGTTGTTGCTCAGTAGAAGCATCGTGTTGTTCAAGTAACAGTTGTTCTGGAAAGTGTTGCTGCAAAGCCAAGACTTGCTGTGAAACAGGCGACTGCTGTCAATCCGGAAAATGTGAATGTACTTCTTGCCCAGCTAATAAATGTTGTTGCTCAGTAGAAGCATCGTGTTGTTCAAGTAACAGTTGTTCTGGAAAGTGTTGCTGCAAAGCCAAGACTTGCTGTGAAACAGGAGACTGCTGTCAATCCGGAAAATGTGAATGTACTTCTTGCCCAGCTAATAAATGTTGTTGCTCAGTAGAAGCATCGTGTTGTTCAAGTAACAGTTGTTCTGGAAAGTGTTGCTGCAAAGCCAAGACTTGCTGTGAAACAGGAGACTGCTGTCAATCCGGAAAATGTGAATGTACTTCTTGCCCAGCTAATAAATGTTGTTGCTCAGTAGAAGCATCGTGTTGTTCAAGTAACAGTTGTTCTGGAAAGTGTTGCTGCAAAGCCAAGACTTGCTGTGAAACAGGCGACTGCTGTCAATCCGGAAAATGTGAATGTACTTCTTGCCCAGCTAATAAATGTTGTTGCTCAGTAGAAGCATCGTGTTGTTCAAGTAACAGTTGTTCTGGAAAGTGTTGCTGCAAAGCCAAGACTTGCTGTGAAACAGGAGACTGCTGTCAATCCGGAAAATGTGAATGTACTTCTTGCCCAGCTAATAAATGTTGTTGCTCAGTAGAAGCATCGTGTTGTTCAAGTAACAGTTGTTCTGGAAAGTGTTGCTGCAAAGCCAAGACTTGCTGTGAGACAGGAGACTGTTGTTAAGTTTTCAAAGTTTATGTCTTTGTTTTTGAGTATTCTAAATTGAGGAAATTGATTTACTACTAAAATAAAGAAATGTTTGTATTTCGATTCTTTGTTTTATGATTTCAAATTATGATTTTTTCAAAATGTATTCAAATTTGTATTGAGAATAAAACCGTCTAATGAGAATAATGTGTGAAGTGACACAGTTTCCAGATTATAGCTACTGTTAACGCAAAGAAATCTATAATATCATTGATAGGAAAATAATTTATATTTTGTTATAATTTACTTTTTGCTAATATAAAATGTCTTTTTTATATTTGGAAGAACTAATGGCAGATTGAAAACTCAAAGTGTCGTCATTTCTATGATATCTTCCATAATCTTCACTGTAAACAGATTCTAAGTCTATGTCGTGGTCTAAACCTTTGGGCTTTTTAGTTCTCTCATCTACCTCTTCTTCTACAGCTATTTTCTGATTTTTCAATTCTTCTCCAGCTTCAGCCATACCCATGAAGATGCGATAGAGTTTAAATGTATCAGTTGTTGATAATTTAACTCGTCCGACCTTATCAGTATGAGACGCTCGTTTTATTCTCTCGAGTAGGTTTCTGCGACGTCCTGTAACTTCTAGATCAATGTCTATCTCTCGAGTTACGATAATGGAAGACTTTTTATAGAGATTGTTTTTTCCATCTATTGGAACCACCCTCTCACACCGTACCTTCACCTGTTACGAAAAAAGTCATTTTTTTAAAAACCATATAAGTTAAAATGAAATTACTGATAACCTGGAGTTTAGCCGTTCCTTTTTGTAAGCACAAGTCGACTTTTTCCGATACCGTATCGAAGTTTAACAGAGGCACGGGACGATTTTTTTCATCACCAACTATATCTTCTTCCTCTCTTTCTACGTTTATTGTTTGACGTATACTGTCTAAGGGAGCTCCTTCCATAAGCATCGTAATATGCTTTCTCTCCTCTTCCGAAGGATTAACAGGAGTTGTTTTAGGGAGAGAAGATTTCCAATAATCGGTCAGGTCATATTCGGAATGATCACTAGTGATACTAGATTTTCGTTTGATGTTAATTTTTGTAGACTTTTTATCAGGTAATTTGTTAGATAGTTCAATCTTTTTTAGCTTATTCATACTCTCGTGTATGTTTGTGCTCCAATTTATCATTTCCATTGTTCGAACGTTTCGTTCATTCAAGTTTGAATTATTATTAGGATAATCAACTCTGAGCTTTTGGTTAATATTCATTTCTATAATTGGTTCAATTCCATTTTCAAGAAGATAATTATTTCCAACTTGATTAGTATTTTGAAGATAGACAGTATTTAAGCCATAAATGGGCGGATTATTAAAATTATTATCAATCATTGTGGTATGAAAAGAGGAATTTAAATGATTTCTTTCCCACTTAACATGCTGCCTAGGAGCCTGAGTAGTTATTTCCTTGGCAAAAAGTTGAAATGGTACTTGAACTTTATATTCACCATTTTCTTTCCAAGCTTTAGTACCGAGAGCTTCTGCCCTCAGATCAGTGGCGATTGTTTGCTGTAAGGGGAAACTTGCCAAAGTTCCCTGATTATAGCTAGTGGTATACTTTCCAACTGGTTGAAGGACATATGCTTGTTGAGTTATTTCCGGGTTACTATTTACCATTATGGAAGTCATTCTTTAAAAATGTTCTTTAAAAATGAAGGTTGCCAAGAAAAAGATATAGATAATATTAATCTGGACAGTGTTTTTTTCTTATTAACTTCTCTTAAGATAAATTTATTTTTTAGTACTACGAAAATAAAAGCTCTTTGTTCACTACTTCTAAAAATACTCAATTAAAGTGAAAAGATCTCCCAAGTTTTTAAGTAAATTTTTAAATATTTACAATGGGATCGTACCTACCCATAAAAACTGATCTGAATACAAAAATCCTTTTTTTACATTATTAGCTTAGTACTATTTAAAAGTTCCGATTTCCTGTTCATTTTCATTTTATTTCTAGTTAGCTAATTCTATCATTTAAATGATTTCCTTTTTTAATATATAGAAATTAAATCAACTTTTACCTGTAGCAGTTTTATCACTATTATTACTTTTGACACAAAATAAATTGTTTCAAATGATTGTAATGGAATTTTGGTAGAACAGTAGTTCTTATATAGATGTTTCAATATTATTTAAATATATCCGTATCTATATATAGACTACTGTTTATTTTCTTTAAACGTTCTTCCGCGAGAAGTAGAAGAATAAAAAGAAGCTACTTTTCCAGCGACGACTAATGTCAATTTTTCTTTTCTTTTATTTACTTAAACATGACCTTAAAAACGAGTTTTTAGAATATATTTCGTTTTTAAAACTTATATTACTAGTTTAAGTCATGTAAATATCGAGATATATAGAGAAATATTTAATATTAAAAAAAAAGCCGCCCCCTCTTTCCCATATTTTTATCTTTACCAAAAAGTGATGCAAACTTTTTCATCATAAATATTAATCCCTTATAATGCTCAAATACATATTGAATATAATTTATTTTATTAATACTTTCTATATTAGACAAATTGATATTTTAGAACTGATATTCACTCATTAGAGAATACTTGTTGGTTTTGGTTCCTCTTTCTATTTTCTTGCGTTTAGTTACAGGATACCTCGATACCAGTCTATCAGAAGCTAAAAGCTATAATAAAAACGTGATACAGTGTTTGTTGCCGGCAAATCTATTTTTAACCATAAAGAAACTTTCTCAACTAATCTGTATTTCACTCAAGATTATCACTCGAATATCTATTACAGACATCAAGAAACATTTTTCCACTGATCATCCATCTAAGTCAGTTGGTTACGTTCGGAAAATAGTAAAAAGGTTACATTTTATAATATCGCTCAATGGCTTTGCTGGGCGTACAACTAATTGCCAGTATAGTTATGGCATCTATACTGTCAAAGATAAGCACTAGATTTTCTTTTTGTCGCCTTCTTTTTGGAAATAGGCTAATAACCTATCTTCCACCAACAATGGATGAACTTAAAAGCGCTGCAAACATCCGCAGAGAACCAAAGCCGAAAGGTCATCGTAAAAACCATCAGAAGGATGAAAACGAAGACTTTAACATACCACGAAACGTCAATATAAGCCTAGATTCAGCACCTGTTAGAAATGAATCGATTATGTCTTTAAAATTTTCTTCTGATCTTCAATGGATTCTAGATTATTGTGTTTGCTCTATTGTTATATATTTTCTAATTGAAGTTTATTATAAACTACTCGGTAACAGAGTAGCTTCGGAATTCAATTTAAGCCTTGTTTGGATAGGTTTAGGAGTTGCTTTTTCATATAAAGTTCTATTTTCATTAACTGCAATCTACTTTAAGGTTCACGATGGAGGAGAGAGAATAACATGTGTCATGAATGCATTCTTTTCTTTAGTCATATCTATGGCCGTACTATTAGGCGATGGAAAAGTGTTGGAGTTTGGATTACAGAAGGCTTATGCAAATTTTTCTGGTGAAGTTGCTGAATTCTTAAAAACAAAGGGCCTAGATTCTTCTCCCCCAAGAAGTTACCTTACTTTGCAAATATTTTTGACCATATTTAGCGCTTTAATTGGTGGAGCTTTAACTTTTCCAGGATTGAGGTTGGCAAGAATGTATAAATCAGCCTTAAAATATTCTTCTTCAAGTGTTATCATCTCGTTGGGTTTACACTTGAACATGATCATTCCTGGTATTGGTTTACTTGCCTGGGCCAGACCTATAACTTCTGGACAACTAAATTTATGTGAAGAACATAGAGAGTTAATTAAAGCTTATACGGTTATTGCTTCGTGTGTCTTTAGATTTCTACTGGCTCTACCAATGTTTCAGGCATACTTGAATTTACCAGTTGAACATGTTGATTCATTGAGGAAGCAAAGTGGCAAGATATCAGCAACAGAATATAGAGGAGTTGTTTCCAGGGTTTTCTCATATTTTGCAATAGTCGCACTTCAGTATTTTGCTCCCCTTTTGTTATTGTTGCACAGTGGAATCGGTCTTCGATCATTAACTGCTCTTCCTTCACCTCAGCTAATGGGTGAATTATCAAAAGCAATTCTCTCTTATCTCACCTGGTGGACTATGGGTTCTTGGTTTTTAACGTCTGCCATAGGAACACTTTATTTATCCTATTTCTCCGATTATTAGTTGTTGTTGAATAAATTAGCTGCCTTGGTTTTCCTTGTTGGGTTTGTGTTCAAGTTTCCCCCTTGTATAATTATAAAACTTAGGCAATGATGTAATTTTTACCAGTTAATAATTTTAATAATTTTTCAATAAATTTTACACGAATAATTAAATAACTTGAAAAAAGTTGTATAAACCAGTTATATATGAAGCCGATAACCAAATGATATTTACCCGCACAGCCAACGACTTAAAAAGTTAGAACATTTTTCAAACTGATTGAGGTAGCGCGCTAATTTTTAAATATCAATTATCGCCCATTATCTCGATAATTTAAATATATAATTAGTATTACGAAGATTATATATAATAATTAACTTATTTATTTATTTAAAATATATATTATATTTAACGTTAATCTCTACATTTATAAAAAGCTTTACGAAAATGTTTCGATTTGCCATAGTAACATAAACAAAGCAGGTCTTTAAAGTGAAGTCCGTGAAACATTGAAACTTCGAATAAAAATGACAACAAAAATGCAAAATAACAAAAATTCTTCTACAACTGCTTTTACTGTGAAGGCTGGAAAAAACAGTGTACGTATTCTGTTCTTTAATAATTATATAATTTAACACAAGCCTAAAATTTGTGGGTTTTATCAAATCCTTTAAATCTATATGATATTGTTTTCAAAGCTACGTTCGATTATTATCGCGATAATAATACACAAAATAACCATTTAGCCTGTAAATTCTATGATAAAACACAGTATGTTAAACTTGTAAATATCTTTTAGTTCAAAAAGTACACAATATATTAGTAAATAAGATAATATATTATACATATAACTATAATATCCACAGTCTGGAGCTCCGCCGCCTACTGGAACTTTCAAAGTACGACCGGCTGATCCTACAAACTTTCGTAAATTTTATGAAAGAGGAGATTTTCCAATAGCATTGGAACATGACACAAAAGGTAACAAAATTGCTTGGAAAGTGGAAATTGAAAAGTTGGATTATCATCACTATTTACCACTTTTCTACGATGGATTGAGTGAAACAACTCATCCTTATGAATTTTTTGCAAGACAAGGAGTACATGATATGCTAGAGCACGGGGGATCTAAAATTCTACCTGTTATTCCTCAATTAATTATCCCGATTAAAAGTTAGCCTTAAAATTAAGTCCATTGTTGCTGGAAATTAAAATTACATATTACGTTTTCGCAGATGCTTTAAATACGAGAAATCATCAAGTTATATGTACAACTCTTAAAATCCTACAACATTTAATAGTATCTGGAGATATGGTTGGAGAAGCTCTTGTACCCTATTATCGTCAACTTTTGCCAATACTTAATTTATTCAAGGGTAAAAATAGTAAGTTTGTTTGAAGTCGAATTTTGATGAATGTACGAAAATTAATTCACTTCTCTATATAGTAAATGTTGGAGATAAAATTGACTACAGTCAGCAAAAGAGAGAAAATTTGGGCGATTTAATTCAAGAAACACTAGAAGCATTTGAACAACATGGCGGAGAGGATTCTTTCATAAACATCAAGTACATGATTCCCACATATGAATCAACTGTACTCAATTAGAATCAGCTTGGAATATTTATATATATTATAGCAATTTTATTCACTAAATCTAAAACTAAAGTTATATTTAATATAAACAAAAAAGAAGTGTTGAAATTATTTTACTAAATGTCACCAAATTACTGCAAAATCCAACTTTTTTTACTGAATATATCTTTAATTTTTGTTTTTTTTTGTGCATTTTTCTTCTTTTTTATCATTTTCTTAACAAAACTATTCTAAGAAATCAAAAATGGAAAAATTTGATTTCTTTTATTGATGAATAAAATTTTAACTATATTTGTAAATAATTTAAACATACAAATGAAATGAGAAAGTTTGATTGTTTTTTTCTTATAATAAATTACAAACAAATGTGGTTTTCTGCTTAAATAATGAATGATATAGTGCAGTTTCAAATATTTCATTCACTCTATTAAAATATTGAGCAGAACATTCCAAATAAGTCAACTGTTTAAATCTTTTATTTAAACGTTGAATATCATTGGGGAAAATCGATCTGGGGCCTTTAACTCCTTTTCTGTTAATTGATATTGCTAAGTCTCTTAAATCTATTTTATTTCCAACAAGTATTATAGGTATATCTCTTTTACAGTACTCTTGGATCTCTTTCATCCATTCTTCTTCTATTCTTTTCAAAGCCTTTAGAAAAGTTGAAAACTATTTTACAATAAATCTGTGATCACAAGCCGTTACCTTTAGACAAACAACGCTAAAAACAAGTATGACGCAATCGGCATCTTTATAACACTGTGCCCTCAAAAATTCAGCTTGATCTCCACTATCAGTATCCCATAAAGTTGCACTCACTAAATGACCTCCAACTCTGGCAATTATACCGTAGGATGAGGTTTCACTTTCAGAAGAATTGACGCATTCTATGTTCTGACAGAATAGCCCCATTGAGAATTGAGTGATTAAAGATGTTTTGCCCGATCCTTTATCTCCAACAACAACTATTTTTTTCGTTGGCCATTTAGCTTCTCCCTGATCAACGGCGTTTGCTTTAAGTAAGGCGGGTGATGAACTTGTCATATCACTCCATATCATACTAACAATTGGGATTTTTCATATATATTTAATATATATATATGTATTTGAATTTTGAAAACTAATTTATATCACTAAAAACTCGGAATAATTTTATCCATCCTTTTTTTTTTGAAAAAAAAAAACATTATTTATTAACAAAAGTTGACATAGAAACGATTAAATTACCAACTATTAAAATTATTAAAACTAGATTTTCCAACAACTTTGGATTTTTTTGCTGCAGAACTTGATTCTGCTTCTTCTCCTACCACTTTATGTTTCAAAACTGCTGGGTTTATGTATTTTCCAACGCCAGATTTGTAAACTTTCCTTTTAGGTTCTGATTTTTTTTCAGTTTTCTTTTCTTCTTCCTTAGGCTTTAGACTTTCTCGTTCATTTCTTATTTCATCGTCAGCATCTTCGTAAGGATCAACAAATATTTCCGCTTTCAAAAATTTTATCTCTTCTTTTGGTTTGTCTCTTTTATCAGTTTCAATCTTTTCCATCTTATCAATAACATCAAGCCCTCCAACAACCCTTCCAAAAACAGTATGTTTCCCGTTTAAGCCAGTGGCTGACCTGAACGTTATAAAGAATTGAGATTTGTTTGAATTTTCTCCTGAGTTGGCCATGCTAAGAATTCCTCTGCCAGAATGTTTTAGTTTGGGATGAAACTCATCGGGAAACGGCTTGTTCCATATCGAATCACCACCAGTTCCTTTTCCAGTTGGATCACCGCCTTGAATCATAAAGTTTCTAATTGATCGGTGAAAAATAGTGTTGTCATAATAGCCTGATTTACAATGCTTTAAAAAATTTTCACAGGTTTTAGGAACAAGATCTGAATGAAGTTCTATATTTAAGTTTCCTAAATTTGTAGTTATTCGTAGGTAAGCTTTCTTCTTAATTCTCTGATACCGAATTATATCTTCATCGACTACTGCAAACTCTTGTTGCGTTTCTACTCCCATTACGGTGGAAGTTAGAGAAGCCGCGACTCTTCCGGTTGAGTATAAAGCAGCATTAACTTTATCTGCCTTTTTACTTCTATCACCAAATTTATCTCCTTCTGACATTTTTGTAGAGTCGGGAGCTTGATAAGCGTCTCCCAGCTCTTTAAGGGAGTCCCTTGTTTCCGGATTGATTGACTTAAGATTGTATAAAGGATTAGACTTATAATCGTTCTTTTCCTCTGCTTTTATTCCTGAATTTGATTAATGACTTCAATAATAAGAAAAGGCAATAAAATAAGTATAAAAACTCACCTTTTTTCACATGAAAATACATAGAATAGTTAAATTTTGTTAGATCAGAGGGATCTTGTATGGTAATAACGTCTTTTCTTGTGAAAGGTTCGTCTGAAAGCAAATCCCTCCAATTTGAAGGCTTTATATTGAGTTTATCAATAGCTTCCATTAGATAAACATTTCCGGTGGGTTTTACGGCAACAATATGGGAGTTTTCATTAAAAATTTTGAATGTCACGGGACAGTGAAATTTATCATCTTTATTCTTATGAAAATTTAATTTAACAAGGTCTTTCGCAGTCATTTTAACTCCAGAAACAGGATTCATCCCATATTGTTTTAGGAACGGCATGATATTGAGCAGGTCATAAACTACCCCATCAGTTGTACAATATGGGTTCTCAAATGGTTGCATAGATAAACTGCAGCAGTAGTATGGGAGTCTTTTAAATTCGGTAGAAATGGCCTGCTTTTTCTTTCCTCCCCACTCATTTGCCCATTCAGTAGCCGTCAAATAACTAAGGAAACGAAAATATGAACCGTATGAAAATAGGGTAAAGGAAGGCATATCTTAAAAACAGCTTTCATAAGTTAAATCTCTAAAATATAAGTTAATAGTATACGTACAGCTTATCCTTTTGATGCTGCTTTTTGCCCATCTTGAAAAGAGAAAAATATAAAATTTGCTAAAACTTCAAGGTACGCAGAGATCGTTATTTAGACGAAAAACGCCATCTGGTGGCAGCATGTTATGAAATACGATGATCAAAGAAAATATCTTATTTTCTGTCAAGTATACAACAACATTTAATATTATTAATAAATATCTCTTTTTTTATTTCTATACTTTTATAAAGTATTAAAAAAAGTTCATCATATCAGTAAGTAACTATGTTTCCAGTTTATTATTTACAAATTGCCCGAAAATAGTAAATTTAAAATCCATATTTATTGCGGCTTGCCTGACGGTTCATCTTGCTTGCTGCCCATTGATTTTTAAGTTCTAATTCTCGAACTTTAGCCTAAAAAAATGTTAAATATATATTTAGTTATACGAAAATCTTTTTAAATTTCAAGTGAAAAACTAAAGGGTACTAAAAATTTTACCTGATGAGCTAAATATGTTATTTGATGCTTTCTTTTTGCATTTCCGGAAGGTGCTTTCATCTTTGAAACTTCGTCCATTAACGCTAAATCTTCATCACTCGTCAAATTTTTCATGACACTAGGGAAGATTTTATCAGTGTTAGTTTTGGAAATAAATATGATATATATAAATATAAATAGTTTACTTTGCTCTAGCATCTCCAATGAATGCATCAGTATCAACTTTTATGAAATTGATTTCGTCCTTTATGCTAGATTTTTTCCCTTGTATTTTTTTCATCTGTTAAGAAAATATAGATGTATTAATCTTAATTGTTCTACTTTATTAAAATAGAACTTACTTCCTCAGTGTGTATTAGATCGTCCACCTCAGGGTAAGCCTGGAAAATTTACGAGTAATTATCAATCTGTGTAAACTAGTTATTCGTTTAAACTTACAAAGTTTACAGTTTCGTTCTGTGTCGGCTTTGAGGGTCCTATTTCAAGTTCAGGTGTTGGCTCACGTAGTGGAGGCTCCTCCAGTTTTGTTTGAGCCCAACTGGGGCCCATAAAAGCCGATTCAAACTTAGTCGTAGCGGGAAGTTCTGTAGTTTTATCATGAAATGAAAAGAAAGATGATCCAATTTCTCCATCGTCTGCGTCTTCATTGTCACTATCAGCTGTCTTTTTCATTGACAATTTTGAAATATTTTTAGCAGTAGGTTTTTGACTTTTATTAGAAACTTTATGGGGAACCATCAATTTTTGTTGACCTGAGCCAGAGCCTCTTGCTGATGGCAACATTGACAATAATGTGCTTTTTTTCGTTACTTCAATCTTTCCTTTTGGTTGATCTTCGTCATCTGAATCGTCCTAAAACGAGCAACATATAAGTTTTAATAGTTGCGAATAAAATATACACAAACTTTATTGAGGGCGGAAAAGTCTACAACTATTTTTCTTTTTTTAGAAGGCGGTTTTGGTGCATTAGATGTTTGTGCAGTTTTTGGCTTTACGATGTCCTCAAGTTCGTCTTGTTCATTATAGTTCTTTTGAGATGATGGTTTAGGGAGGACGCTCATTATATTATTCTGAATTTCATTGTTAACGCCAATAGTCGACTCTCTATTAGCCTCTTCATCCGAATCAATGATCTCATCGTCTAAGATGGATGTACTGGCAGGAGTTCTTAAAGTTTTATTAGCTTTTTCTGTTGTAGTGTGTTCGGAATCACTTAAATCGCTATCGCTGCTACCATCATAAGCTACCAGTGACATTCTGATTTCTTTTTAAAATTAAGGAGCAGTGTACTTCGAAGTTCCTTCACTTAATTAATCCTCACTGTCTTATTTACGAAATTTGTTGTTAACTGTAATATCACTCACGTACGCGATTAAATAATAGAGGAATTCCGGATCCGGTGAAAAACTCTCAAATCTTAATATTAACTGCGGAGTGACTGTTTCTAATACAGAAACACATTTTTTCTTACTTTGATTTGAAAAACCACTTATAAATTTAAAAAAAGCCCTTGATATTAACACTTTGATTCTGATCAGTCAGTACGGGGATGTCTCTAAGTCCATTGGCAGGTTGAGATAGCAATTCCTATTTTTGAATGAAAAAGTGAAGTTTTCTTTTGAAGATCATCCTTTGACAATTTGGTTGATTCACTTAAAAAATCGATTTTATTCGTTTAATACTTGTTTATCGGGTACTTTCAGATATTTAGACAAAACATACACTCAAATTTAGTTTACAAAATATGAAAATTTCGATGGTTTAAAAAATTCCTTAATCTCACTTGACTATCAGGTTGCCATTTTGATCTGCCTCAAGACAATTACCAAACGTTAATCGATGATTGGCAATTTGTGAAATTCCGTGATAGTGAACAAATGCAGCGGCCACAACAAAAACGTGAAATATTTGATGACTCTGAAACCAGATATCAAACTTTCCGGGCCACAGTCTTTCTGGTATGCGGAAAGCATAAATTAAGGCTCCACCAATATATAGAAGAGCCATAAGGACAAGCCAACCCATTGCAGCTACATTTATAGCTCGATCAATACCCTCGGTGATTACATAATGCATAGCAGGTATGACACCACTCAAACCCAAAGCGATGAATGTTCCGGCTCGTATTGGACGAAACTGTGGTTCTGCAAATTTATCCCACATTGACACAACAATACAAGCTGTCCCTAGAATAAAAATCAGAGCCATATATGAAATTTTTGGTGCTGTTGTGCAGTAGAAGCTGTAATATAGCCAAGGAACGAAAGATCCCATTGTTAAGAGTGCTATACCACAATAGTCCAACTTATTAAAGAATTTTCCAACAGCCTCCGAATGACAGTAAACTGTGTGAAAAAGGAATGAGAAAAGCATACACAGTATAGCGCCTATGAAGAAAGTTGAGAAGACCGCTTTTTCTTGCCATTGTATTTCCAAACTTGGCCTACTCAGAAAGGAAACTGTTACTCCAATGAAGGCAACGCATCCCAAGAGATGAGTCCAAATATTTCCTGTTTCAGTATGAATACGAAAAATCGACTTGAAACAAGCCAAAAAAGACCTTAATGGAGGACGATGTCCACCCACTAAAAAATTATTATCCTGTAGCCATTTCGGTAAATGTGAGTGATGAACAACTTGCCATCCTCTTTGCCAAACTCTTCTAACAAGTTCTTCTGCCTGATTAACAGCTTTTTTGGTATTAGCTAATAAATCTAGACCGTTTTCATCTTCATCATCCGAAACATCGAAGGGTGGAGGATCCAATATTGATGAAGTTCCATCAGAAAATCCAACTCTTTTCCTTAAAAATTTAGGAGTAGATACGTTGGAATCTGAACTATCCTCTTCTCTTTCATCATCACCTTCTACAGCCTCAGATTGCGAAAAAAGACCTAACTCTTCCTCAGATGGCGTCGAAGTAGAATCTACGCAATTAGCCATAGCTTCCTGTAGAAAAAAAATTGTAAAAAGAATGACACAAATAATTTATGCAACATGTGTTAGATATTTTTTTTCGAGTTTCCGAAATAAAAAAAATTGTGTGTACCAGGTTATACCATTTTTTCCTATTAATAACTTAATGATTTTAAATTAGAAAAAAATCTTATCAAAATGAAATGTGACATTAATGTTTAGATTTATGCGATTTGGTTTCAAATTATTTTGCAAAATCAGGCAACTAAGTTCACATCGCGGAAACGAATTAATAATAAATAATTATTATTTAGTGAACGAATTATTCCGAAAATATAACGGTATGTTTTGCCTACATGATTATGAAAACAAGGCATATAAACGCCTCTACAGGTATATTAATCTCACTCACAGTTTTCGAATTTCCTAAATTGAATCTAATTTTCATTACATTATTTATCGTATCTTGTATACAAAACATTTTTGAATAATAGCAACCAGAGATCCAACCAGCCGTTAATCCTCATATGAATTAGGCTCGACCTGATATCGTACAGTTGTTCTAGATTTCGAAGCTGTATGACTCTTATTCATTAGTTTAAAGAGCAAAGTTTATTGAATTAGTGCGAATTCTGTAAATATCTAGATCTATTATACTTATATATACTGTATATATATATATATATATATATATATATATATATATATATATTTTTTTTTTCTTTTGCCAGATTGTAATTCGTTATCAATTTAAGTTTTATCAATCGTAAAGAGCGAAAGTTAACAATCTACTGATTTACGTCAAAGGAATGCTATATAATATTTTTTCGAAAGCTTTCAATATTATAACCAAAGGTTTGTTAAATTTGGAATTTCATAGAAAAAGTGATTTGACAAAAACAAACAAGAATAAAACTCGTTACGAATTCTAAAAACACATATCATAACACTTATGGTTAAGACATGCACTTTTAATAGCTTAATTCGTATAAGAGCATAATGATGAGTAATAGAAGACATTAATTAAACTGCTTATTTCAATGTAAACTATATAAAATATAGCTTGAAAATACTGTTGGGATAATCCTTTAAAAAGTGAATTTTGAAATTGTAGCTTGTCCCGCATCTTTAAACTTATATTACCTTCAACGATTTCTATTTATTTTATCTACATCTATTTAATTGATTAGTTAACGACAATATATATAAAATTGGATTAAATCTAAGTGAATTGTGATGTACATTGGCAAGTCTACACCAACTACAAATATTTCAGTCTTGAAGTTGATCCTCTTTTAAAGTATATCTAATAGATGAATAGCATATGCAATGGTTTGGTGTATGTACTATAATATCTATATAAAATCTATATACTGTTTATAAAGCAATTATTTGTGAGTTTTTTCGCTAATTAGATATACATATCTCGTTTGGAGGACACCGATTTGATTTATTCTAAATATATTCAGTGTTTTTAATCTTCTGTAAATAATAATCTCTTTAAAATTCAATTAATTTTTTTATATTTATTTTAATATAGAGATTTTTTATTTAAAATCATTAATATAGAATATAAACACATAGTTTTCTAATTATGTTAAACTAATCGTACAAAGAAAATCAACTATTTAATAGAATCATTTTTTGTGGGACAAACAACTAACAGTTCTGTTTAGTGCGAAGAGGTCGTTACCCTTTGTATCTACTAGAACTAGATATTGTCTGTCAGTAATATTTTTCTTTCTCAGCGGGAGATTTTAACTTATTTCTTCAAATTAAAAGCAAACGAAATAGAAGAAAGATAAGAATTAATATCTAAAAATATTAATTGAGATTTAGCTTTTCATTTCATTAGTACTCATTATTCATTCATTATATTCTCTTAATAAAATTATTTGTTTTAAAAATCAATTCATAGAAAGGTTATACGAAGCAATTATTTGAATTAAATATATATATACAGTGTATATGTAATAATCATATAAATATTGTTCAATGGGAGTTGGCTCCATCAGTGACAACTGGTATATATATATTTTTATATTTATATATAAACCAGCAGTGTAATTCTATCATTAAATATCCATGCAATTTTGAGAAAAATCTATATTTTTTTTACTTTTTCCTCATCGTCCCTATTTTAATATCTAATTTACATCTTTTATTCCATTCTTTGAAAGTAAATAACATCGAAAATAAGATAACAAACGAAAAGATTTCAACAACAAGAATTTTCGTTGGCCAGAAAAAGTACTTACTCAATGAGGTCAGGCTAGAAACAGCTGACCGTTCGGAACGTCTTGCCTTCTTCAAATGGTTTCGTGTTTAGCAACGTTAAGTCGTTGTTTCTTCTAAGATTCTACGTTATTACGCTGCGATATTTTAGCATTTATTAGGAGCCTTTTATTGTTATGAATTTTTTTAGTTGCAAAAACGTTTTGCAGAATTTTTAAAGAGCGCCATCTGTAGTTTTTCATTTTGAAAAACGTACTTGGAAAAGAATGTCATTGAGCTAGAGAACAACCAAGTGGTTTTATCTGAAATGAACACTTGTCAAAACAAATTACATTCTTGTCTTATCATTTCTGATAAGCAATTTTTTCAAGAAACATAATAATTCAGCTTATTTTTTGTAAATTGAAAAAATTCACTTTAGCGTTCATCGCTTTGTGCTTTGGACTAGAAATAAACAGTGAAATAAGACTAAAAAGTGAATAATAAACATACTATTTTTTTATTCTTTATTTGAGGTAAATAAGAGAAGAAAATATCAGAGACATAGAATTTAAAGGGTTTTTCGCCGAAATCAATACTCCATGGCATACGTAAGGTGAAAACTCTTAATTCCCCAGCAGCTGACGTTTCTCTTGTATGTTACTGCAACATTTAACAGCAGTCAATTGAGCAAGATATTACTCCCACTTTTAGAAAGAATCTTTCACATTTTCTTACAATTCTCTTATCTTTAAAAATATGTTGAAAGAGGAATTTTTATTTAAATAGATATTTTTAGTTAAATAGATCTCTCTTTTTGGTGCTTTTTTAGTGTAAAGTGCATAAGTGCAATTAAAATGATCAATTACATAGGATATATATATATATATAAATATATATATACTGTATATACTGTATATTTATTCGTATATCTTAAATATGAAGAAAAACAGACAAGTCAATTCTGTAGTTATTTATTTTGCCTAAAATGTGATGGGTATTATTAGCGAGCTGTGCTTTCCACTAGGGCCAATTCAATAAAGGTCCAACTATTTTCATTCGTACAATAGCATAGATTGCAAGGTTAATAACCATGTTGAAGTGTTCATTTATTCTTAAAAAGCTTGGGCGAGCGGTTCCTGTCCAAGTAATACTCATTTATGTTTATCAAATAAGCATGAAAGGATCTCCCCTCAAGGTATAGGATTAACAAGAATATAAAAAAGGGGGCCACTTTAAGAATATTGAATAATATGCTTATAATTATTTTTTCAAGAAGAGATCAATAAAATAAATAAATAAAAAGTGAGCATTGATTACAAGTAGCAAAATACATAAGATCATTTAGGTTTTTTATAAATAATTTATCGCAGGATAGAAAACAAAAAACTGAATAGAATGAAGTGTAGAGTTTCACCATCGACTTACTTCCAATAAAATAAACTTTGTCGTAAGAACACTAGATCGTAAAAAAAATACTACAACCTTTTTTTAGCGTTAGTAAGAAGAAACTATTGAATATTGGATCCTCTTTAAAAACAAATACATCACTGTGTAATTGTATAAGAAATTCCATAAAACTTATTGACTTGTTTATAAATCGAAGGGAGGTTAGATTTTTCTTTTGAACTTGAAACTTTGTCCACTTGACTTAATTTAACTGGAAATTATAAGCGATTTAACAGTATTCATTGTTGGGAAATTAAAGTGTAGTATAGCGGGAAGAAGGCTTTAAATATCGAACACGTATAGTTGCGAATCAGCATCTTTCATTACATTTCCTCCCCCCTCTTTCTCTATACTCGCTCTCTTAATCTTAATTAAACCGCTGTTAAGTAGATCGCTGAATTTAAAATAGAATTTAGCTTAGCATTGCACTTTAGATTTATGATACTTCGATTTCTGTCTTCCGTTGTCATATGAGCGCATTCTAATGCAAACATTATAGGACTAAATATCATTGACCGACAAATATACCCGTGTACATAAGCAGTTTGGATACCTTTGAATATTCAAAATTTAATATATAATTCAGTTTTTTACGAAATGTCTAGGCAGATTTTATTTTAAAGTTCCATTTTACACCATCGGTCTTAAACTCGATCAATTTTGCTTCAGATTGTTTGGGAGTAGATGAGTAGATAGCATATTCATTATTCTCTATTTCTTCCAGATCAGAGGATGAATGACCGCAAGTATAGCTTGTTTGTAATTTCTCTTCTAGGGACAATGAGTCCACTGGTTCTCCACAATAAAATATATCATTCGGGTCAGTTACGCCAGGCTTGCAAAGAGTTTGTACATAATCTCTGAAAGCGTGTAAAACAAGACATCTAGGATGCCCATAACGATACCAAGGGTTGTTTGATGTCAGAAGGGCTTTTGGTTTAATGGCATCTCTCAAAACTCGTTTGTTCGCCAATCTAGACGCTGTGTGATGGGAAGGAATGAAAACGGTTGACTGCAAAGCATCTCCGTAATAATCGACGAGTTGCTTTTGAGCTCCTGACATAGATAAATAGATATTTTTATCTTAACTGTTAAGGCGCCATCTATTGAAATTTATTGTTACATAATATGTGTAATTAAGGGAAATAAAAGATTTATATCTATTTATCTATGTGCCTTGTTCGCTTGCACTGGTAGTTTCATCTTCAAAATCTCCTGTAAGAAGGACCGAAACCTCATTAAAGGTTACCTTCATTACAATAGAATCAATGTTCTTATTTCCATCCTCACAATTTTGTCCGGCATTTACATTCATAACAACACCAACAACCCCATCGAAAGCTGGACATAAATCAACTGCATTACATGACACGCCATTTGCTCCACAATGATCCCCGCTGTTGAATTCTCTCACTTTTGAAAGAGAATTACTGTTAACAAACCAATTATACAGAAAAGCTGGAGCATTATTCACGGTACAGGATACGTAAATGTTCTCAAGATTTCTGGCATCCGTAAAAGTACCGGGTATAAGACTGTAATGGTCGAAATGATTGTGAGTTATAAAAATATTTTTTACGTTTGAAAGTTGAGAGCCAAGGTACACTTTAATGTCGCTTTCTCTCCAAAATCCAGATAATGCATCCTCTGACGAACCCAAATCGAAAAATGACAACTGACCAGAAGGACACTGCAACAAATAGGCATCACCCTGTCCTACAGGCAACTGGTACACATGGAAATTTCCGTCCGCATCTGGGATCGATGAAGACCCAGTGTAAGCATTCGATCTGTTTATAAATTCGATTACTCTTTATCTAGGGTAACTATTCATGTTTATTTATACCCGTATAAATACACCAGAGTAAGGAAGAACGCAAATCGAAAAGTCATTATATCTCTATTTCTTTAAGTGTTTTTAAACTTCAGATGTTCAATTACGCATTCCTTATATATATAATGAATTTATATCTGGTGTTTCTCACGATCAAACGTGATCGATTGTGACAGCGGAAATCGAACATTAAAGGAAAACTATAAAGTTATCTTTAAAAGATGTAATAAACACTGATGATTGAGGCTAAAATATGGTGTTCGAAACAATCTAAGCCGCGATAACTGGACACTGCCTTGAATCAATCTATGGAAACATATTTCTTAGAAACATGGCAGACTCGTCGGGGAAAAATGTGCTATTCAATTATGAAGGCTGTAATTTTTTAAGGCAGCGAATTATCTTATCAGTTCTTAGTGGTAAATCAATCAAAATTAAAAAAATAAGAAAATCTGAGGATGATCCCGGAGTTAAAGGTCTTATCTAGCTGTAAAATTATATCGCAAGCTACGATAATAGGGAACTTTACATTTCAGATTTCGAAAGAAACTTTCTAGACCTAATTGAAAAAGTTACCAATGGTACAAGAGTTGAAATAAATACCACAGGTAAAACTAATTAAAATATTTCCAAATTATTAGTACGTATACTTTTTAAAAACAGGAACTAGTCTTTATTTTCAACCTGGCATGCTGATGGGTGGCTCAATAAACCATGAATGCTCTACAGAGAGATCCATAGGCTATTATTTAGAACCTTTGTTAATAATATCTCCATTTATGAAAGAACCCTTAAATGCAAAATTGACAGGTGTGACGAATGATCAGTATGATTTCTCGGTAATTTAGCTTCTATTTGTTTTCAACATACCATAAACAAATATTGACTTTTTTTGTTAACAGCCGGATTTATTGAAATCTACAATGCTTCCAGTGCTTAAAAGATTTGTCGGTACCGATGAAGGACTGTCCATTAGAGTAACGCGACGCGGCCCTGCTCCCGATGGAGGTGGTGAAGTCATTGTGAATTGTCCTTGTAGGCAAAAGCTGCGTCCGTTACAGTTGACCGAAGTGGGCAAAGTTAAACGTATTCGAGGAATCGCTTGGGGTTGCCGAGTAGCGCCGAATATATGTAATCGAATGATAGATTCAGCCAGAGGAATCTTGAATAAATTTATTCCAGACGTTTATATTTACTCGGATCATGCAAAGGGAAGAAAAAGCGGAAGTTCTCCTGGTTTTGGAATGGCTTTAGTTGCCGAAACAAACAATGAAATATTTTATGGTGCTGAATTAATTTCAGAACCAAAGGGAAGTGATAAAGGCCCAACAGTTCCAGAAGATTTAGGTGAAAATTGCGCAAAATGTTTAGTGGATGAAATATATAGAGTAAGTGATTTTGTAGAGTTTATACGTATAAATACATATCTTCTAAGGTTTCTATCAAGTGCGGACGCATTAAAGACTAATGTATAAATAGACAAATGGAAAATATGTTACCATTTCGAACGTTATCCGTCAGCAATATTTACACTATGAAATTCTAAATGTTAAAGATTAAAGGAAGAGTTTAGATTAAATACTCGTGAATAATATTAATTTTACTGGAAGCTGATGGTTTATATCATATGAAGTGGTTTTGGATCGGAATACAGATATACTTTGTAATCTGTATACCTGACGCATATATATCGAAATACTACTTAAATTCGATATAAACTTAATAATTCTCTTTGTTTACTCTCCTACTAATACCAAATAAAAATGCATTTAAGTCTTATTATTTTTTTTCAATAAAACAGGGAGGCTGTGTGGATTCAAGTTCACAGGCTCTAACTTGCGTTCTACTAGCTTTGGGGGAACAAAACGTTTCTAAAGTTTGTACTGGCCCTTTGTCACCCTACAGGTGAGTCATATACTGTTTTTAAACACCTTTCAGTTTTTTACACTTAATATAGTCATTAATCTCTGCCGTCATTTTTTTTTATCTTTTTACATTTCCATTCCTTTTTTCTTCAACAGTATTGGAATGCTACGTCACATCCGGGACTTTTTTCAAGTAATTTTTAAATTCGATAAACTGAAGACGGATGAGGATTGTGATCTGAAGACTGGAGGCGATAAACTGTTATTAACATGTGTAGGCGTCGGTTTTACCAACTTAAGTAAAGCTACTTTATAAAAATCTATTAAAACGGACGAAAACGAGCGCGAATCTAATCAGAACTTGAATAGGAAAGCGGGCGATTTAAAATTGTTCGATACGAGCGTCGAGTGTACTTAGCGTCGCTGATCAATCCTCGCCCTGCAAAATGCTCGGCGGCGCGTAAAACGCTGCACCGCCCTACTGCAAAGGCAAACTATACGTGCGTATTTTAAAGAAACCGTCACTGACGCCCGTGTTTTTTTTTCGGCGCTTTTTTCAACGTTTGAACGCCGCCTAGCGGTGAGGGCGTCGAATAAAGGCTATCGAAGTAATCGGTATGGATTATTCGCATATTAACGCCGACGTCTCTCTCTACTAATGCACTGTATTTAATGGAATAGCACAATATTAACGTCGTTGCGTCTTCTCTCTCCAATCAAGCGTCATTTCCTAGGTAGGGATATTTTTCAATTACACTTTAGAAATTTAATTCAAAATATCTTTCAATGGAAATACACATGTATCTTTCTTTTTTGTTTCTTCTAGGCCAATATGTCTAAATGCTGGAAATTCATTCCAGTTATAGGCCTATATTTGACGTATATTTGGTGTACAGGTGAGTATGAAAAAAATCAATTATCGTCAACTCGTGATTGATTTCAAGTCAAAAAACATATTCCCCCTATATTATTCACTTGTTATAGTTTTAATTCGGATTCTTTTTTCGATACCGTTTATTCTTTTTTTATAGAATCTCTATGTCAGTGCAGATACGTACTTGTTTGTCAGATATAAACTGCACTTTACTAAAATCCAGGATAGAATTATTTCCAAAAATAGGCGCGTGTTTTTTTGTTAGAAGACAATTTTGCTGATTCTAATATAAGTTGAGAAAAATAATAGATTAAGTTCTACTGAATACACGTAGTACTAATTTTCCTAGTTGATGCTAAACATATATGCATAGTCCTATGTATAGTGAATGGGGGGCTGAAATTGTCAAGGGGGACATGCTTTTGTATGAGTTTACCTGATCAGCAAACAAGACGACGAGAGCCGGATGATTGATGGCGGTTTGAGAGTGGGCGAATGAAATTTTTAAATAGATGTCCCTTTTATGAAGAAAAGGAAGAGCAGGAAGAGATTCTAGAAAGCCGACTTCGTTAGACGAGTCCGTAGCTTTGTAGCTGTTTTTCCGCTTTCTTTTCCTCTATCTTTCTTCATATAATATGTATGCTTCTTTTCCTCTATATAAAATCCCATTTCACTATTTTTTAGTTTTAAAAAAAACTTGTCTTTGAAAACCTGTTACCATCGCGTGTTCATCTTGCTCACATCCGACCTTGTCCTTTATAAGACTATTGGGACACGCCCTTTCCTCTTTCCTTGGATTTGTTTCTGGTATCGTTTATTCATTAGGGTATATTTTCACCTGGGCGGATAAGAGGGGTATTTCCGGCTTGAGAACGAAAAGTGGTCTTTGCTTCTGATCTAGTCGAAGCCTAAACAATCTACTTTCGGTAATTACGCGCACGCTACTAGCCCATTTTCGACCGTAATGTCCGTTCGAGGCGGCGTTCAATCAATTAGACGTGACACAATACTTACCGACACAAATACGAAACATTCCCCTTCTCTCTCCAAAAAAATATATTATACACATATTATAGAGAGAATAAGTGTATGATATATCGTGCAGTATATATACAGTATATCTATATGAGAAAGTAATAAACTCGTTTCCTTTTTTTAGAGATTGTTCGTTTTATGAATGTAAATATGTAATATCGTCCTCGCCTATAGATAGCATCCTTTAAAAAGAAGCGGACGAATTAATAAGTAATCGATATTGCTATATAAATAAAAACGTATACGTATACGGGCGGTGAAATCGATCGCCGAGCTATCGAACAATCTTTGATAGACGCACATCAATGCGGTCGGTGCTATAGCCAACTGCAATATTCATGAGCCGATACGAAGCGAAACATATATTTTGCGTACGCTTCGCCGATTCGTATTTATGTAAGGGCAGTGGCGCTTAAGAGAGTTTTCTTTTTCCCGCTTCCTATTGTTCTTCCCTTCTAAAAATACTAAATTATTATCGTTATGTATATGTTCCTTTACCAATTCCCTCCATGACTTAAATCTGAATAATCTCCTGATGAATAACAGAAAGAAATCATACGGACGTATGCTGGCGTGGTAAGTTTGATCGAACTTGCCCTAGGAGTAGGGTATTCGTCTTCCGAACGGCAATATACGGCAGAACTAGAACAAATAATTGTATTAAAATGTCGAGCACAGAAGAGAAATGCAGTGTTGATGTTTTGGATAGACTACACGAAAGTTGTACGGGGCTGAACAACTGCAAGATTTCAGTTGTTGATGATTTTGGCGATTTGAATCCGTGTAAAGATCTCTTCTGCGAGTTACAGTTAACCTATAACTGCGTTCCCAATTCACCATATTTCTGTGACAAAATGAGACCAAAGGATGCCAATTTCGCCGCGACTACAAACAGTCGATATTTGTCAACAAGAACAATTAAAAAATTTAAAGACAGTTTTAAATGTCCTATAAAACTAAAAGCGGAAAAGGGGCGTAAGATACTATTAACTTTCGAGAGACTTAAGGGAAGAGATGTTAACCATCGTGAAAATTGTGCACCAATAGCGGTTGTTGAAGAAGAGGGTAAACGTCCTAGGAATCTCTGCCGAAAGAATCAGACGTACGAGTCGTCAGGCGATAGGATCAAAGTGATTATCCTTACCCCAACCGACTTCCTATTACGTTACGAAGGTAAGCACCTTAGGATTTAAAGGCTTAGATTATAAAACGCCAAGGCACCGAATAACCGCCGACGTTCGTCATTATACTCGCGTACATAAATGTTGATTTTTCCTATCGTACTTTCTCACAGTTTCACTCTTGTCGAATGTTTAAATATATAATATGAAGAATATACAGTATAATGCATGGAGGGTACATTTCTATACTAATATATATTTATAATACTATACACACACGTGTGTGCGTCTTAATAGCCTATATATACAGTATACTCTATATTCTTTTATATTTACATTTGTATAATAATATGTGGCAGTGAGTCACTCAGTTAGCTGTCACCTCGTCGACGTCTATACAATGTGTGCATATGTGCTTTCGTTTATTTTGTATATGAGTATTTTATGTATGCTTTAGTACCTGGCGGCTCGATAATTACCGCGCTCCGGTGAAAAATATCCTACTACATAGACCTAGAACACTAAAGATGAAAAGCCACGTTAAGTAAAGCGAAGTATATCACGCAAATGGCCTTCTACTGAGTTGTGACCCCACCGAACCGACCTCTTCCACTTGATTCGTTCCGGCACGGAAGATACCTAGATGGCGCTTGTTGCAGATAATTGAAATGGCATTTGCGCTGATTGAGGAGGAGTTGTTCCGCTTTAGGCAGTTTACTAAATCATCATATATTTATCATTATTCTCTATTACATTTTAAATAGCCTTTTAACGTTCGTTAAGTTGAAAGATTTAGGAATTACTTGATCGGAAGCAGAACTTTTAATACCACTTTTAAAAATATTTCTTTGAACCAAATCCAAAAGTTCCACCGCTAAGTAATATGGCCTCAGTTCAAAAGACCTCGGGGGTCGTCTTTTTTGACACTTATAGGGTAAATTAGTCGTTGTATATTTTTTCGGATGACTTGGCTTTCGTTTTTCTCTCCTCTTCTATCATCTCTATAATACTTAAAGTTCTTTAAAATGTGATAGTAAGAGGTGCTTTGGTAACATTTTATTTGTTTAGTTCCATTTTTAGCCAATTATATAATAATTACTACATATCAAAAGCTCGGGGATGCCCAAACCTACCACCTCCAGAGCATGGTTGGGCGGAGAGAAAAGGTCAAAAGATGAAAATGGGCTGTAATTATACGGATTACACATGGACGAGATATTGCAATGGAACACATTGGCTGAAACCAACTGGAAACTGTACATACGGTAAGTTTACGATTTAAGGATTAGATCGTGACTTTAAGTTTACTATATATTGTACTTTCATTTCAATGTACAGCCAGAAGTAAGTTGACCGTTGGAAAATTAGCCCTACCGCATGGGATTTGGATCGCTATCATTATTGGAGCAGCTATTGTTCTTAGCGTCGTAATTCTGACGGTTGGAATGATTTGCTTGAGAAAGTAAGTATCTTTCTCCAATGATACTTTTCTGTTTTGTTCTTTCGAGTATCAGTACCATCTATTTCAGTCGAATGCCCTAATTACTTCCCTCTAACGTTCCCTTTTTAAAAATCCCTACAGGCAAAGAAAATGCAGGGGAATAATGAGTCGTGGATCGGTCAGGGAAACAGCCTACCTTTCGAGGGCTTCTATGGAATATATGAGGAAACAGAATATGGTCAATCAACAAAATTCTTTGTCGAGAGACGGCTCTCGACTGCAATACCTCATCAAAAGGACCAGTCCGTCTCATACAGAAAGCGATTATGGTCGTGTACAGGAAACGATCGAACTCTACCCAAAGTCGGTCGATAGAATGAATTCGCCGAGTGTCCACTACGATTTCGAAGCCGACGTTCAACCGTTAGACGGCGCCAGCACGCTATCAACTCCTAAACGGAAGCTAATGGCGACAAAGAGTTCAAACTCCTACTTTGTGAGGAGCTTAATTGGTTCAGATGCCGGAGATGGACCTGCTGAAGAACTAATCTCACTGGAACCGATTGCTTCATCGGTTCCGAATAAATCGAATTTAAATCAAGCAAGACCAGCGTATAATTCTTGCTTGAATGTGGAGCAGATCTATGGTTCTAAACTAGGCAACGAATCGTTGTACAGCAGACGATACAGTGCAGATCTTACTAAATTTAACTCACCAACCGAATCGCCAAAAATAAGGGTGGCAACTTACAACCCGCTGAAACAGAGTAATCTCTATGCGGAGAAGGAGAGACTTTATCACACCTTCTCAGCTCCTCCGCGTCGGCAGGAAGATTTCTCGACGTTTTGCTCATAGAAACTGGTTCTCTTTTTGACTTTACTTAATTGAAGCAATACTAGGCAAATATTGTCGTATCGTAAGCAAAAAACTGCGTACGTTTTTGGTTCATTTCTCATCTGTTTTTTTATTTTTTGCTTGATGGAAAAAAGTAGGTGCACCTTTCTTCCCCAGGATCGGCCAGCTTCCAATATCGCGTCCCCATCTATTTAATAATTATATGTATTATATAAAAAAAATCCCTGTTTCTTGGATCAAGAACAAAATAAAAGACTAACTCAACTCTGTATAATAATTACAAGCCGTGTCTTTTCCTGTTTAACTCTTTGTAAAGAGAAAAGAAAAGTTAGCTCAAAAAAAAAACGTAAGGTTATTGGATTCACCAAATATAAAAAATATATTTCTGTACACCAGTTTCTTTTTATTTGTTCGCTGATATTTGAGTTTGTTATCTATGATGAATATGGAAGAGAGAAAGAAGAAAAGATATTACTTGCTATTATTATTGTCTTGTTTATCGTAAAGACTTAATGCTATTAAGAAACCTAAAAGAAAGAACAATAACAAAACAAAATCAACAAGCTTTCTTTCTAATGTTTCTTTTATTCATCTTTTTCTATATTTCAAAGTCTTTAAAAGCTAATCATCGACAAAAATTCCAGTTTCAGCACAATTACTATCATGAATTTTTCATTTGCATAGGTTAAGAATTTCAGCGCTTTCCAATATCATATATAATTTTTTTTAAAGCAAAGAACTACGAACGCAAAGTCACAGCAGCGACAAAAAAGAGCAAGGATATATGGAAAAATTCTATTTCCGCATTCTCCAAAAGCCTAGGCTCGTCCGCATTCCGGGCAGAGGATATCATCACCATCGGTAAGGAAACCTCTACCGACTAAAGAAGCATTGCATTTATAGCAGTTAAAGCAATCGCTATGCCAATGTCTTTCTTCGAAAGAGATAAATTTCGTTCCACCCAAGCCTTTATATCAAATAAAAATAAGCAGATATACAAAAGCATTCAATAAAGTTTAATAAAGTTTTGTCACCTGTAATGGGCTTAGAGCACTTGCAGCATTTCTTGGCGAAAAGTTCACCGAAACAGTCAGCACAATAGGGTTGCTCCTCTCTAGAAGTAAACTTCTCTCCAGCTAAAATCTTCGAGCAATGAGTGCAGGTAAAGCAGTCTCTATGGTAAGGCGTTCCCTTGTAGGTTATGCCACCCTTGTTGATGACACCATTACATTTTAAGCACCTTTGCGCAAAATGCTCCTCGTAACAAGGAACACAGACCGTTTCACCTTCTCTCGGTATAAACGACTTGTTACCTATTTAATAAATAATCAAGTTTATAAATAAATAATGCATTAGTCATATTTTTTTCTACCTATCGGTTGCTGGCATGATTTACAGGTAAAGCATTGCTCATGCCACTGCTTGCCCTTATATTCAAACTTCTTCATACCGGCTCGGAAAATATCCGAACATCCGTCGCATCTCGCAGCAAAATTCTTATCATGGCAATCAGCGCAGTATAGCTTTTCATTTTTCGATGCGAAAGGTTGATCAACCAGCGAATTTTCACAATCTGAACATTTAAAACATTTCTCATGCCAGTGACGTTCCTTATAGGAAAGATCTTTTGAGTCGCATCCAATTGGACTCTTACATTCCTCGCAAGAATTCGCGAATAGGCTTTCGTAACATTGTATGCAGAAAGGATTTTCTTCCCTTAGAATATAACGATGTCCAGTAAGAGACTTTTCGCAGTTATGGCAACAGAGTTGCTCTCCAACCCAATTTTCTTCCATCACGTCTACAGAATCGTCTCTAGCTAGGTGCTGCAGAGCGATGGAATAAAAATTAAAATCGATCAAGACAACCGGTGTGTTTATTGAATAGTTTATTGCGCTTTTCTTCTACCTAAATAAGTATAGACGCTTCATCTAATTGAAATATGAGCGAAGAAAGAGTTTCTTTTTTTTAGCTTTTTATTCTCCTTTCTATTCCTTCCAACGTACCGTAGTTATAAAAATCATAATTCAAATGTTAATATCTCTCATTAAACTCTAAAATTCATATTGTTCGCATTTTTAAAGAGTCTCTAATCATGTGTTTTCAATGGCGAAACTATATTAAGATGTTTTTCTGTCTTTAATTATATGTACAAAAAAATTACACTTATCTATTCATCTATCTAAAAGTTAAACAGTTTGCTTATAGTCTTTTCAATCATATCATCTGTTATTTAGTGCTATACAGTATATTAGATATATAAATTTTTTCAATAACTAAGATCTAAAGCAGCTTTTAAATACTTTTGCTATTAACTTTTACAACGTTTACTCTCAACTAAAAATAATTATGTGTACGCCATCTGCCGATTGAACTGGAGGCGAAATACCTTACTCGACCGGTTGCTCTTTGCAGACGTTGCAGTCGCTTCATCTATCGCTCCTGGTGGGAACGAAGTTTACGAAAAATTCTGTGCATAAATTACAACTAAATGTACTTTTTAATTTTTCCTCAGCTTCCCTCTCGTATTGCTTAGCCATCCTATCGCGCTCTTCAACCAACGTCGCCTCCTTCCAAGAGTGTGAAACGCTGCCTCTTCGAAATTTTTCCTTTTCCGGTCGTTTACCGCAACGACATCGAAGCGTTCGAAATATAATTAGAAGAATATCGATGGCAGCGAATAGTACGTACACACCATAGAAGGCGGCGACGGCTTCCATCTTACTGTTTGAACCTCCAATTCAATCGGAAAGAAACGATTTTTTTTTCGACCGAGACTCACCTTTTACTGCATCTACTGCTCAAACGGACTGTTGCGGTTGGCCAGCGCTTTCGATTCGTGCGCAAAAATCTGCAAAAAGGTTAAGAGTGGTGTGCAAAAGAAGAATGCGCTGCACTTCGCACATTTATATCCTTGCTAAGCAATATTCGGTTACAGTATAGGACACCAAATTACACTATAAGATCCCGAAGTAAAGAGTTTTACTTATTGTAGGCCATTAGATAACCTATAACTACTTGTTCTATAGTACAAACTAATCTACAACAGGAAACGCTAATAAATCAATTCCGGTGAGAAAGAGTAAAAAAAGTTTAAAAATGCAATTATTTGTCAAAATTTACGTCAATAATTAATTATTAAATTTGAATTTAACTTATAAAATTCAGTTTAATATTAATATTCAAAGACTAAAGAGACGGTTAGCTAGATCAAAATTTAAAAAAATCTTTGAGAGATGGCTAATTTAGAAGCTCTAAAAATTGCCCAAACTATTGGCTCAGCTCAACGAATCAGGCAGAACAACATCAATAATAATAGAAAGACTAGAAAACGATCATCAAGTAAGAGAGCATCAGGAGGCCGAAAAAGTGCACGTACTACCAAGAGAAGAACCGTAAAGCGAAAGAAGCGGTCAGCTGTTATGAAAAAGCGATCTAGAGGACGAAAGGGAACGAGAAAAGTTCGTTCGTCTGCTAGAGGTGGATGCTAAAACGGGATAATTTGATTTACGGGAAAAGAATTTATGGAAAATGGCTAAACTTGTGAAAAGGAAATTGAAGAAACTTAAATAAACATTAAGTAAAAGGCTAATGAAAACAAAGAACATAAAATAACACTAATTTTTGCAAAATATATAATTATTTCTTTATACTAAAATAAAAAAATACTGATATTATTTTTTTTTAATAAAAACAAATAAAAGTTTTGAAACTTTCAAAATAGGAAGATGACGAAAGCAAATAAGACATTATTTTAAATTCTTTCAATTTTATTATTTATATTTCAAAAAGTCGGAAAAAACTTTCTTGTCATTATTTATCTTAACTATTATTATTATTATTATTACAAACTATTGTTATCATAATCATTATCATAATTAATAATAATATTATATTATTATTCTGCAGGAGAATCATTAGCAGTAGTCTTGCGAAGAAATCTCGACTGAAACGGCTTCTTTGGTTTATACTCTCCCGATGCTTTAGCCTCTCGAACTTTTTTTAAAAATCTACTGTCAAAACTCCATTTATCACTTGGATATTTGCCGAGTTGGTTTGAAGGGAATTCTTCGGAATTTTGAAACGACGTTGATCTCATTAAAGAATTCGTGGCTCTCGAGTAATTGTTGCTTTGCGGCGCAAAAGATGTTGTGGCGTATCTGTTTCCAACGTCAAATGTTTCGGCTCTTTCCAGTCTATAATTTCTCGACTTGTAAGATGTATCATAGTCATCCTCTACGTATTTGTATGAAGGTCTAGGCCGGTATATATTTTGACGAACTTCTTGTCGAAAGTGTTCATCTTCTTCTTCACTCATATTTAAATTATTAAATTCATCATCAAAGACTGCCCGTCTTGCTTCATTCTCCCACATTTGTTGTTTAATTGAGCGAATCTCATCTTGCAGTTCATCAAAACTCTCACCTACAGATTTAAGTCTCTTTAGAACTTTCGATTGATCATCTACGACATTTCTTATGCTTGCACTCCGCTCACGAACGACATCTTCTGTATGAAGTCCCTTCTTTGGTATGAATTCATCATCCGGTATATAATCCATGCCATTATCGTATCGATCTTCGAAAACTTCTTCCTCCTCAAATTCAGACGTTCTTTGAAAGCGGCGTCGACGATAGATGGCACTCTCATCAGAAAACGTTTGTCTGTAAGAAAGATATTATTGTAAGCCGTTGTTATATTCTTTCAAAATAGAATTCTGTCTATGTTTATGAACGTAACTCCTAAAAACTAGATATAAAAGCCTTGTTATAGTACACCTAGTAAATAATATAGTTTATCAAGCTTTATAGACTTTTTTTTATGTCTAAGAAAATACTGTAAAGAACAAGTTGCCTTGAACTTAAAGATGCTGTAGACAACTCACAAAAGATGCCTCAAAGTGCAATAAGTTGCTTCGCTATTTTATGAATTTTCTATTAATATTCAGTAAAATAACAATTGTTTCCTGTCTGAGTATAATTTGATACCTGTTTGCTAATGGTCTGTCTGCCAGATTGCTGACAGATGGCGTTTTTGGAGAAAATATTCCGAAATATCTAATAATCAATCTTTTTGGTACTTCTAGGAAAGTTTAAACTCAGGAAGAGCAGCCTAGTTTTGAATAAACTAACTTATCAGTTAGATGCTAAAAGAGTATTGCACTTGGGAGAATCTTCGAGAAGATCGTATAATTTAATTGATCATTATTATTATTAAGTTTCTGTTCAAATAGGCTAGTAAATAGTTATTAATGACTTTGAAAACGTACCTATGATTGCTTAGTACCCTTTGAATTATATCGTCGACATCCTCCTCTGACTTTTGTTCAGCTTTTACAGGAGGTGAAATATCGCTAAAAATACCAGATTCGCAGCTATCCGTTTTCGATACGGCCGAAGGAGGTTGAAGGGTAGTTTCCATTTCTTCGCTATCGTTATCGTTCGACTCTGCCATTCTTTTCCAGCTAATATAGAATTCTTCGTTCTTTATTCTTAGAGAATTTTCGCGAGGTAGTGTGGCGCGGCTGTCTGTAAAAAGAAAGTCTAGGGTGCTCGGTGGGTGGCGGTGCAGTATGTAAGGCATTATAACCTTAGTCTGATTTATGAAATGAAAACGATTGTTTTCATTATTAATGCACAATACTACATTAAAAAGTATATTACTGACACAACAATAAATGATCATTTTCATATTGATAATTTTACATTTTGCCTTTCAAAATCGTTATTATTAAAAAAGAGAGAGCAAAGAAAAATAAACCACTAGGAATATAGAAAAGAAAATATATTATTGCCTCTTTTCCAGTTAATTGATTACCGACAACTGCAAAAGAGATCCAGGTATTATTTTGAAAATATTCCCTACTTTGTATACAATTTTTCTAATAGAAATAGTCTATTTTCTATTTTCAACTTACGACTGAATCCCTGCCAACAAAAAAAGAGATAATGAAAGAAATTTATATAGAATGAATCTTTTCCATTATAAATGAAAATATACAAACTTCTATTTTATCTGATAAAAATTTAATACTTTAAATAACAAAATTTATAACAAAAATAAAAAAGTAGAATCTACATTGGAACCTTCTTTTTGGGGTAAAGCGCTCGCGTGTACGAAAGTAAATAGGGAACGAATCGTCTATTTTTAGATGATCTGAGCCGGCTGCAAAGTTTCTTGCACTGGAAATATCGGGCAGAAACGTTTGCAGTTCGCAATAAATGGTGAGTTTATTTCACTTTCTCACGAATTTTATCTATTATTATTATATATCATGCTTTATTAATAATATTTAAATAATTGGAAATGATATCTACCTTCCCCGTGAGATTTAATTAGCACGAATGTAAACTAAATCTAAAGGAATTTAATAAGTTAAAGCTAATGTTATTGCCCCTTTCGTTCCTTTCTTAGAAATTTTCCGAATAACGAAGTGAAGTTCTTCATGACATTTCCCTTGTTTATTTCATTAATTAAACTTTGTTGTTTTTATTTTTGCATAAACAATTGATATGCTATAGATGGCGCTTTTTATCACCTTGGTACGAAATCTGTGCCTAAACCGATCTGCTATTATTAGATTAATGTTATTACTGTACCTATTCCATTTGCAATAAAGTTCTTGAGAAAGATTAAGTTATTTCTCTGCCTTGTTAATTTGAAAATCACTATTATTTAAGATCAATTAAGACATTTCCACTTATCTTATTTATAGACCAATTAGGACTAGGATAATGATGTCGGAGACTGAATCATATTCCGAGTACATATCGGATACAATCAGCGATAGTAATACAGTAACGATGGATGAAACTGTCTCGGAAACTCAAGGAAAAAGCAGTAAAGAAGATTCATCTGGCTCCAAAAAAGAACAAACAAAAGAAAAAAAGGAGAAAAAAGAGAAAAGATCGAAAGAAGAGAAGAGAGAGAAAAAAAAGAAAACTCTGGAAACAACTAGTGAGTCTGAGTCCATGATTTCTGAAGCAGATAGAAAGAAGGAGAAAAAGAAGAAAAAGGAGAAAAAGGAGAAAAAGGACAAGGAAAAGAAAGACAAGAAAAAAAAGAAACACCATTCTTCCCAGGAGAGCAGCGCTATCACTAGCGACACTGTTGGTAGCGAGACAATAACTGAAGAGGCCGAAAGTGATAAAGATTTCTCCGGAAAAGTTCAAAATAACGGTCAAACTTTGCAAAGTGATGATAAGGCTGTTGAAATTGAAAAGAATTCCCAACCTACCGAAGAACCTGCAAAGAAAACCGAAACTGAAAAAGTACACGAAGAAGAAGAAGAAGAAGAAGAAGAAGAAGAAGAAGAAGAAGAAGAAAAAAACGCGGAGGATGAAGATACAGTTGAAGAAAATGACAATGAACAAGGAACTGAAAAGGAGGAATCTTTAAACGAAACAAAAGTTGAGCCAGAAAAACACGTGCCGGCACAATCTGCTGAACAAAACGTTTGTGAAGATCAAGACAAAACTGTTGGAAATCAACATGAAAAGATGCCTGAAGAATCTAAAGAAAACAGCGAAAGTCGAGAGGAAAATGAAAACACCGATACTGGCAGCTATTCAAAAGCGAATGATAGTGAAGAAAACGTAAAGGAAGTTGATGACGCCAAGGAGGATGTCAAGAAAGAACAACTTGAGCAAAAGGTAGAAAAAGAGATTGAAGCAGAAAGTGAAAAAGCTGCAGAAGCTAAAAAAGAAGAGAAAAAAGAGAGTGAACAAGAAGATGAGGAAAGCGAGGAAGAGGAAGAGGAGGATGAGGATGAGGAGGAAGAGGAGGGTGAAGAAGAGAAGGACGAAAAAGAAGAGGATAAAACATCAAAAGACGACGGGAAAAAAGATCTAGAAGAGGAACAAATAGTAGAGAAGACGATCAGTGACAAAACCCCAGCTAAAGAGGAGAAAGAAAATGATAAGAAAGACACAAACGATGATGTTGAAGAAGCGGGAAAGGCTGATCCAGAGGAAAATGAAAAGCCAATCGAAGAAGCTCAAAAAATTGAGGAGCAAGAAAAGACAGATTCAAAGAAAGAGGAAAATAAGAGTAGCAAGGAAGAGGAAAAAGACTCTGTTGATGAAAGTAGTATAAATATTGAAACTAACAAAACTTTGGAAAATACTGCAATAGCTACAGAGGTAGCTAAATCAGAAATTGAAAAAGAAGATAATAATAATACTGCAGAATTAGATAATAAACCTGTAGAAAAACTGCAACTTTCGTGCAGCACATTGTTGAACACGGAACCTGAAGTACAAAAATTGATTAGAGAGCATCTAGCTTCACCTGTCGAACCTACTGCGGAGGAAACGGCCATCGCATATGGACAATTAAAGAAATTATTACAAGAAGAGAAAGAAAAACCTCAGGCTGTAGACGCAGTCACCGTACTAGAAAAAGCGAAGCAAAAAGCAATTGATCCAGAGGCGATAGTATATTCGTCAAGAGTTCTACAAGCTAGAACTCTAGTTAACAGCCAAGAACGACTATTTGATAAACTAGCCCAAATAAGGCATCAGTTTTACAATTTGGATGTTGAAGTTGCTGTTCTACGTAGATCGTGTTTGCCTACTATGCACGATCTACAATTAATGCAAATGCCGAGCGATAGGCCTAAGAAATTTGCAGGTAGACGCGCCTAATTTTTTTTATTTTATTTTTTCGTCTTCAAAGCTTTTAAACTAATATAAATACAATCACCAATGAGCTGCCTTACCAGGGTTTTTTTTCTTTTTGCTGATAGAACAAGTTTCTTTGTAAACATTTTCTTAAAATTTCTTGATTAATTACAGCAAATGAGATCGATTAATATATTTTTGGAAAAAATTTTGCAGTAGAAAAAAGTATAATTAGCATTTTTAATATTATATACATAATTTTATTAAAAAGTCTGCATTTTCAAGCTGTTGCAGATTATGAAGACGATTGAAATTTTTTATTTTCCTTTTGCAGTTAGGGAAATAGAAAAACAAGGTAAAAATAATATCGTCACTCATTTATTTAGCAATAGTAAACAATTGTACTAGATTGAATGAAATTAGCTTATTATACTGCATTTTCTTTAAATCTTGTAACAAATGATAAATAAACTACATTGAATATGGCTGCAGATTAATTAATAGATAGAGCTTTAAAATATATTCATTACCACTTTTATACAATTTATAAACTATTCATAATGAGACTCGGATTCCTATTTCATCAAGACAATACCTTCTATAGATATATTGGATATTCTTTGCTCTATGTCGACTCCTACTGGGTTTTTTCTCACGTTTCTTTAATATCTCTTGAAGGCCTATTTCTCATACAAGCAAGCACGCGCACTTTTCCTTTTTTACTCTCTTTCCTCTTTTTCGACTTTTTAACAAACAAGAAATCACTGACGTCAGAAATCACGTGATGACTTGATCGATGCGCTTACCTGCCATCCGTCGTCTTTCAAACGATGGATGAAGAGGAAGAAGAGACGACATCGAAACATTGCTGTAGCGGACTAGCCTTCACTCTAGTTACAATCCTAATTGGCTTTGATCTAATTACAGATCTTTCGGTCATCATCCACCTTGCTCGTCAGGGTACCTACTTGGTAACAGCATTTTCATCGCTCTTCTTCCTTGCTAATGGTATTATTTGCGCTTCTGTCTACTCTGTGCGAATTGCCTATGGACTGGCGGAACGCCGGCATCCTCTTAGAATTGCACTTTTAACGCTTTTGAATATACCATTGCAATTGGCAATAATAAGTCATCGTTTCGTGATTGCCTCAAAGAAGTGTGATGGTCCAGGACCAGATAGCGAAGCAAGACGCCGACGAGAATGGATCTGTGCACAAATATTACTAGTTCATGCAGTTGTAGATTCGGGGCCTCAATTTATTCTTAATTCTTCGTTGATATTATATTCAACTTCCGACATTCACGTTATGCAAGTTGTATCAACGGTAAATTCTTTTTGTAGCTGTATAGTTGGCGTTGCGGTTTTTGAAAAAGTTAGGTCAAAAAGGGCTTTATCTTCCTACTCTCATGTGACCAGCCTTACAAACTTACTAGTAGTCTCTTTAGGTCTTACGGCAAGACTGTCTTGCTTTCTATCCTTACTCATCAGATACGGATATAAAGTACTCTTATCAACAGTGGCCGTCCACGTAGCTATAATCATTGCTGTCTATTCTGCCATCTACGGCTTCCGAAAGTCGTTAATTTATTCTTATTTTACAATATGGACCTATATTTCACCCAGCGAAGGCTATAGACCAGAAGGCGAAATCTTATTCTGCAACCTTCTCTTTGCAATTCAATCAGCTGTAGCCACTACAATCATTTGGAATGACAGTTGGCGATTTCTTGGCATAATTTCTCTGGCTTCTACTTCCTTAGGGTTACTATTGACCGTTGTGTATTATACAATGTTAAGGAAAGCTATTCGTCACGAAAATATCTGGCAGAATGTCATGAAACCAATAGCAGCCGTTTGTATTTGGACGAATTGCCACGAAACGGAAGTGACTCTCCCCGATCTTCCGCCGGTAGTCTTGACAGATACCGAAACTAAAAGCCGAACATTATTATCACATAGCTGCCATGGTAAAATATCAGAACAAGAGTTTGAAAGGGATTCTTAGATCTTAATTTCGTTTATCAGATATAATTATCAGATTTCCTTCTATAATTAACGAGTTTTCGTTTATAGTATTTTTTTATTAAAGAGAAAAAAAATTCGCGGTAATGTTTAAAAATTCTTTCTTCTGTTCTATTTAGACATCTCTTTTTCTTTTCTTGAAAAGAGTATTTTTTCAGTTTAGTTATATATAGAATTTTTTTTTCTTTTAGTTATATATATATATATATATATATATATATTCTATACTACTACTATATCTAAAAACGTAGTGGGTTTCACTAAAAACAATGATATCAAAGATTTTATGCATGAATGATTTAATGATTTAATCAAAGAGAACTATTTAGAGAATACGGTATTTGGTATATAAAGGTAACTAAATATATAATGAATTGTATTTATTTGTTAATTATACATAGATTAATATATTCAAAACAATGTTTCAAAGCTATCGAAAGTATTGCATCGTGTACAGTAACTCTTATTAGATAAGGGAAAGCATTCTCTTTAGTGAGAACCATGTGTGTGTGTGTGTGTGTATGTCTGAACGTACATTTACTAAAGTACATACACTCTTTAGTAAACGTATATATTTTTTTTGTTTTAAGTTTGTTACAAAGTTGAAAATAATAAATTTATACCTTTAAAGGATTATTTTTAGCAAATCCGCAGCATATAGATTGAGTACTTGCGACACAAAAGCAAACATTTGTCGCATCTTATAGTTGGATAAAATGAGTGCATGACCCTCTTTTTTTATTTTATCCTATACAATTAACAATCTACAAAGAGGTATGACTCCATGAAATTTATTTATCCTTTCAGAATGCATATTTAAATTCTAATCAGATATAACAAGTTACTATGATTGATAATCAAGTATTTTATATCTTTATAATAAATATAATCGTTTATGCAGAATATGTAATTAGTTGTTTATTAAAATAACTTCTATGTAAACATTCTTTCTATAATGCTGAAATACAAACTTATGATGTCGTTTATAAAAATTTTTGTCTTTTAATTAATACATTATATTTACTGTTTGATAAATGATACCCCTCTGTCTTCTTTGTCTAATGAGCAAGTATCTTTTTTAATTCTTGTGTTATAGTTATATAAAGATGGATTTGGTGAAATAAGGTACAAATTTAACAAGGTATTGTCATTACGAGGATAAAAAAGAAAGACAGAAACAAGAGCACAGTCAAATTAATCCACTTTTATCGTCAATTAGTTTTCTTTTATTTTTTGTTTAAATAGGAAATTAGATAAGATAATACTGGTTGATTAATACTAAAAGTGATGAACCAAACTTGAGTCGTATATCACTGTAACATCTGCCTCTATTTACAAATAAGAAAGACGTTTCTCTATTGTCAATATTTTTTGCTCATACTTCGTTCCTCTTCGTTGACGATGCTGTGTATTTTGAGAAAGTCTTAAAAATTAATCGGCAACTTGACAATAGTAGGGCAGCAACAACAACAACAAGTACTATAGCCTTAATAAATTGAAGTTTAGCGAATAGACGATCGTCGTCATCTTTAGAATCGGGCAATAAAGTTGAATTTGTTTCATTCCTCCAAGTTGATAATATTGAAGAATATGTTGTTTGATTGCTTATATTTAACAAAATCTTTTCTTTGCACAATGGCATTCTGCAATTTGCAAGAGAGATAAAGAAGATATAACAGTTTCGAACTATATTTGAATTATCATTGTTTTTCTTTCCGCAGAGAAAACAAGTAGAAACTGAAAAATATAAGTTTAAATTTTCATGATTTTTATAAAAGTATACGACATAGACTTTACTCTAGCAAACAGAGAGAGCTTAATATTCTTCATACAGGACCAAACAGCTTGCTCGAAGAAGGAAAAAGTCACGATCGTTGGATTTATTCGCTCGACTAGTGTAAAATTAAGAAAATTTCGAGGTTCCTTTTTTATATAGTTTGCTTATCTTTGCAGTATTTTCGTTTATCAGATACAGTAAGCGCCATCTACTATTCCCAGTTAATATGTTTATAAACCAGAGTAATTTACAAAACTACGTCAATTAGTTATGGTAAAAAAAAAAATGATTCTGTATTAAATAACTTGAAATTTTATTACATAATCATCGGTTTTCTACTTTTATTTCAAATGTTTATGTAAAATTAAATAAAAACATACTTTTCGGAAAATTACGCATCAACTATTAGTAAAAATATTGGTGTTTATCAATGAATAAATGATTAAAACTTCATGTTACTATTATTATATTAAGAGAAGGAAATTTGTAAACTTACCATTTTTATATTGTATTTTATAATGGAGAGAAGAGCAGCAAGGGTTCTAGATAGAGGTTTCTTGATACTAAACTATAGCTTTAATTCTATTCTATGCAAGAGAGATTAGGGAAGATACAACGGTAATTTTCTAATAATACGATACATTACTTAAAGAGATAGCTGGGGGTGATGGTAACTGTTCCTTGCTATTTGCCTTATCCCATTAATAAATATTATATTAACTCTTCTTTCGAATCGTTAACGGTTAACTATACTTCTATTAATCCAATATAAAATCTCAAATTTTTCTAAGTAAATTAATTATTTGAAAAATCTAAAGTTATATAAGAAAGGGAGGATAGAATTTATAAAAATACCAATCAAATCTGGAATTTTAACCTATTATTTCATCAATCAACGCATTCCTTTTTTATAATTTTTTTTTCATGTTTGATAGAGAAAAGTTCTTTTTATAGGCTGATAAATATTAAAGAGAAGAAAACAAAACTCTCCATCAGATTTTCTTATAACCTAAACTATAAACATCGTTTCTTAGGCAACGGTTTAAAAGTTTACATATATTTTTTAGATAATAATTTATAATTTATGAATATATGTATTGACATTCATAGATGATTTGTAATATTAAGATATATAAGTATTTTCTTTTGTTAAATAAGATGCACTAAACAATCTTTGATAGAGAACATATTGTACCAAAAGGCAAGTTTAAGTTTATCATTATTTCATAGCTCCACCCTTTTAGATATCGATTGCGTTGCTTAGAATTCAATTATCTTTAATCTAGAAACCAAAATTACTCAAAGATCCTCCCATTTTTATAAAGCTCAATAGAAGATCAATATATAAAGTCAAAAAAGAAAATGAGACACAGGCTCTCGTACTTAGCCTTCTCACGAATGTCCTCTTAAGGGTTAAGCCAATCGGAATATAATTATTAATTAAGTTATTATTAATTAAAAAAACGAAACTTAAACCAACTTACAAACTTACATTCTCTTCCGAATGCTTTTCAAAAATTTTTCTCCTTTCTCTTGTCTTTCATCGTCTTAAAAGTTAGATTATGGTAAGAAAGTAGATAAACAAATGAATACCTTTCACAATAAGTCCCAAGAAAAGAACTAGCTATCCTTACTGCTTTTTCAGTAAATAAGAAAAGGCAGCTAGCCACCCAAACCTTTTTACAGTTTTCACTATCTCTTTTAACTGTCTGATAAGAATCTTTCTAAATAGCTCTCTTGCTTATTTTACAACTCAAGTAATTTCTTGGAAATTTTTAAATATCTCTCACCTGAAGTCAGATTATTGAAAAGCTAACATCTTTGTTTGTAACATCTTCGGGCTGTCTGAAAGCATTATATTCTAACAAAAAATATTTCTATTGTCTACTTCTTTGAAACATTATCAAGAATTTATTAGAATTGCATATAAATGTATTGATTTTTACAGTAATCATACCATTGAAGAAATCTTCTAAAAAAGACACTTTACGCTCTCAGCATTCTCTATAACATTTTCAAGTTTCTATCATTTGAAATTTCCGCCTAAAACACAGTACCAGTTTAGGCGGAATATTTTTAACTCACCGCTTTTCTCATTATCGCTCTGTCGATATCACCTATCGAAATTTTAGAAAATAATGGACGATGATTTAAATGCTCTTCGCCAAAAACGTTTGGCTGAAATGGAAGCTAACCAGCGGGTAAAGTTCAGTTAATGATGGTTACAAAAATAAGCTACATCAGTTGTAACCTTGATTAAATAGACAAATCGTGCTGTAGAACTGTAGTTAGGCTCATTATACCTCTAAGAAATACTCGAAATTTTTCTGGTTCAATATAATGTCATAATTTATTAGGGCTTCGGAGGGGAAGGTAGTGAAGATGCCCAAAGAAAAATGGAAATGCAGAAGAAGCAGGAAGACATGAAAAATAGTATTTTAAATCAAGTGCTTGATCAAAATGCGAGAGCAAGATGTATGCCAAATTTAAATAGAAACTGGATAGGCATGACTATATAAATATTTCATTTTTTTTCCAGTAAATTGCATAGCACTAACCAAACCGGAAAAAGCTAAAATGGTTGAGAGCATGCTATGTCAAATGGCTCAAACTGGGCAGATAATGGGAAAATTGGGTGAAGATCAATTAAAAAGTCTTCTAGAACAAGTTAACCAGAAGACCCAAAAGCAAACTACAGTTAAATTTGATAGAAGGAGAGCTGCTTTCGATAGTGATGATGAAGATTATTGAACCTTCACTTGTCAAATGAATAATTGTCTGATATTTTATATCTTAAGTCCAAACTTTTTGGTAGTTAAATAAACAAGAAAATAAATTTACTATCCATTTAAATTTTCCGCGTCAATGAATTACGAAAACAATGGCCTTGTACTCATTCTCGTAAAAAATACTACTTCCGTATCCGTTTGCATTGAGGAGCAGCGATGTCGGAGAAATGACGATTTACCGGTTATTTGATAAATTAAAGTTATAAAATCGTTTTAATAGAAATGGTAATAGTGTATATAAGTTTTTCCTACATTCTATGGTTTAAAAATATTATTATTATGTTGACATTTGCAAAAGGCTCTTTTGAGACTGAATCAAAGACTGAAAAATTTAACATCTCCCTCATATAACACTAATAATAATTCGCTTTAAAAGTTATTTAGTATCGTCATATAGTTTTCAATCTCTTTGCTGCAATTTGTAAGTTAAGCAATATAAAATTTGGGTGAGACTGCCCACTTATTATCTCAGAAAAGTTTCTTTACTTTTCCGAAATATAAAACTTTGGAACTTTCTGTTGTTATCAAAGACGGATAAAACTAATTTAATTCCCGATGCCTAACGAATGATATATCCTACAGAGCCTAAAAACAGATCAATCCGAAATGGAAGAGTCTATGGATGATGTTATAGCTCCGTATGTTGGACCTCAAAATGCAATGAGCGGCTGTGGTCAGACTGTTTCTCTTGCAAATCTGCTAGATCTTATTTTACAGAGAACGTACAATCAAGTGATTGTTCTGAGTGAAATGTAAGTAAATTGCATTAGTCTGAATTTCGATCTATCACTTAGCTATCGCGAACAGATTACCTCGCAAGTCTGACATAGATCGAAAGGTGGACATCATAGAATTTGCTTCTCGTTCAAGAAATGTCTTCATTCGTCTTCTAGCATTAGTTAAATGGGCAAATAGCGCATCTAAAGTGGAAAAATGTGGTGCTATTATGCAGTTTCTCAATCAACAATCGAATTTTTTTGTTGATAGTGCAGATAATTTAGCGAGGATGGCCCGTGAATCGCTAGTGAATGCTCGTTTGCCCTCTTTTGCATTACCAATTGCCATCGATGTTCTGACTACAGGAACATATAAAAGAATGCCAACATGTATAAGGGATCAAATCATACCTGCAGACCCTATTTCAGCTGAAGAAAAGCAGAAAACGCTTAAACAGTTATCTTATATAATAGAACAGCGTCTAGTTACTGAAAATTTACCTTCGTACATGCGTCAAATAACGTTTGGTAAAGTTAATTAATTTGTATGTTAAATTAATTAATTTCAAATTATCCCTAGACGAAGGAACTGTTACATTTACCGTGAATAATGAATTTAGAATAACATTAACTTTATTGGGAAACTCTCCAACTATTCCGTGGAAGGTTGTAAAACTAGAAATGCTAGTTGAGGATCCCAATATAGGAGCTTGTCGATCTTTAGTGCATCCTTTACAAGTATGAAATGACTATACATTTATCAGATCTCAGATAATTTTGTTTATAGGTAAATTACCTTAAGGAAGTTGTTCAATCAAGGCTCATAGATTGTCAAAATCCATTTCATGATTTGTACGACACGCTGCATAGCTTCTGTCAGAGTCTGCAACTCGAAGTTTTGTTTTCACAAGCGCAGCGTCTTACTCATGATAGATGGATAAACTATGTTCATATCGAGCAGTACTTGATAGGGCAGAAATTAACACTAGTATACTGGTGGTAAGAACAAACTACATCATAATATTATAAGAATATGTTTCTAAATATTTCTTTTCAAAATCACAGCGCGAGAATCAAAAATAGTCAAACTCAGACAAGTAAGAACGTTTATATTTCGACTTAAAAGTTTGAATGTATTATAATTATGATTCCTTGATTAGACCTACAATATAAATTGATTGTCCATGTTAATGAAAATTTAAAAGCGAAACCGCTGGTAATAAGCCACTTGCCTGAACTGGTCGGTTCGGAATCTATAATGGTTCCTACAATGTTAAACAGCTGTAATTTATCAATTGATGATATGTTGACTCATGTTATAAACGTCAGGTACATTATTTTTTAACAAACTTCCTATCTGTTTTGTCAACTTATACCTTCTTTTAGATCAATCGCAAAATTGAATGAATTATCAAGGGAACTCTGCCTCTTATTGAAAGATCCATGTGAATTGACAAAGTTACCCGTTATTTTACGGGTCCCTATCGTCAAAGATTGCATTGGTGGAAATCATTTATTTATAGGAGTTGAGGTTTTAACAGGGAATTTTGTAGTTTCATCAGAATTTATTGGCAAGTAGAAGATGGAATATCCCATAATCATAAAAATATAATTGTATGTACATTACAGGTAAAAACAATTGTAAAAAATTACAAAACTGCCTTAATAATCCCTCAAAGCCTGGACTTGGCGAAATTCTTATTGATATTAGGTATTTGGAAATATATATTTTTAATTCATGTGTACTTATAGTTTTATTTTAAAGATTTAAGTTAATTAGAAATCATTTCGAAATGATTGCACGATCGTTTGGGCGACATTTTTTATCTTCCCTTCCGCTATTATCACAAGATGAGCTAAGTCAGTTCTCGAAATATGTTAATTTTATTCCTTTAACTTCCAACACCAAGTTTGAGCATTATTATCTGGCTGTTGATTTTCAACTTAATTGCATAAAGACTGTGAAGACACTTTATTATCTGTTAAAAGCTTCGAAAGCCGATAGAACAGAATACTTCTTGAAAATTGATACTATAACGAATGTTGACGATTTTTCTGTGAAACATTTAAAAAATCGTTTATCCTCCCGAAAGGATCGAAAGCGGAGAGCAATTAATCCAGAAGTTTCAATGTATTTTGATACAGAATTTGCAGATATTTTATCAGTTGTGCAGGACAAGCTGATGTTTACACTACTGAGTGACGAGCTACGAAAGTGTGATGTTCAACATAGTGGTCCTACAATTGATGAAACTGGCATAAATTATTCGCTCAATATTAACAAGTTCTCAAGTCTACCAAACATCGATAAAGAAAGCTTAGCAGCATTTCACAATGGTTTCACAAAATGTAAAATTTTTATTTTCCAAAAGTCACTGGCTAAATGGTCTGTTGAGTTGTCATTCGATAAAAATTTTCTAAGTGATGTTTGTATTGGGGGGAGCGGTGATACAGCTTCTTTACACTTTGTATACAATTTGAATGATCCTGTTGAGAAAACCGTCGAAAGATTATTAAAAGAAATATCAAGCCTGGTCTTATTATATGGACCGGCAAGGAAGTTAAACTATGCCTTTAGACAATCAACAATACTTCAACGATCTATAAGCATTGACAACTATAATTTCAAGAAATTACAAATTGCCTATGGACCTACAAGGAGCTATATTGTTTGTTTTCAGTGTAAGAGTGATGGTACGCTTCAAATTAAATTTGGGTGCAAAGGATCTTCTGGCGGTCCAAATCCTCACGTACTTGCTGCCATACACTTTCAAAAAATAGTAAACGATACTGTTGATTTGGTGGAAATAGTCCAACTTTTACTAGATACCTGTAAAATGTACACTTTGCTAGGAAAAGTTAATTCCTTCCTTCACTTGACAGCAGCAAATGTTAAGCCTTCAATCTTATTTAGTTCTATTGTTCAAACTGTAAATCGTGTCCATTTGATATATAAATCTATATTTGTGCTGGAGCTTATAGCAGCACCGAAAGAACAAGGAATTTATGTTAAGGATGCTACACTTCACCACAGATTATCTCCTTCATTTCACAATATTCCATTCTTGTCGAATTTCCTTCGCAGGATCAGTGATGATAGTTGTCAACCAGCTCAAAGCAACGATGGACTATTTGAAATGATGACTGACGACTACGGTATGCAACCTATGGGATTTAATGAACCTGAAAAGCCCTCGAATGATGGAATAACTAATTTGTTGTCATATCAGGCATTAAACAAACTGTTGACTGCTGGACCGCCGGCTGGAAATAATGTTTCCATTATTGACTGCTCACCCCTTGAAAGATTTTTGGCCTGTTTGGATCAACGGATAAAATTTAAAAAGGTACTCATGGATAAAGCTCAACTAGGATTTTTAACTCCATTGCAAAGTCAGGACAATATGAGTTTACTATTCCAAAACGAATCATTAACTTATAAAGTATATTTAGAAGATAATCACATGCAGTTTTTGCGATTTGAAATTTTATCATCGGCACTGGATATGGAAGAAAACTCTATTTTAACGAAATTCTATGACACAAAAATTGCATCCCCTCCTTATAACACGAATGCCATTACTTCTTTCATGTCGCTGCTCTGCGCTCCCGTCCAAATACTTAAGGATTTTATACAATTAATTAAATTTGAGTTTTACCCAGAGTCGCAGTTTCCATTTAGAATCAAACTCTTATTAACTTTTCCCGTGGCTGACGCTCCACTGAACAGCCCTCCAGGTGTATCAACATTTATTTTCTGGAAGGATCGTCTGAAGTGTATGTTTATGCTGGAATTTATCCCCGAGCCTGAAGATGTCAGGAACAATATACAATTTGTACTCGCTTTCGTTTATGAGGTACAAACAAGAAAACTAAATCTTCTGCCAATCGATTTGAGAAACAAACCTCAAAATACTATTCGACCCGAAATACAAACCATTTATGATCAAGTTAGAGGACATTTAGAACGAATAAATATGATGCCTCCAACATCCGGAAATAGTGGCCTCCTAATCAGTTACATTAAAGATATTATACTTAATATTAATCTTACCACGGCATTTTAGCCAACTCAAGATAATGTTTCGTTTATTTATATTGTTTCGTTTACAGAAAATCATTTGAAAGGAAAGACTAATTTATGCTCTAGTCACTTTTGTTTCTGTCGATGAATAGTAACTCAACTTTTTCTGGCAAGTGAAATACGTCGCTTTGATATTTTAATTTATTAAATCCTGGAGTAGGTTCTAAGCGATACTTTTGTAGTGTAATGACCAATGTCAAATACATCTGGGATCTTACCCACTGCTCACCAAGGCAAGACTTTCGCCCAATACCAAAAGTAATAATATTGTGATTATCTTCCAAATGCCTTTCAGGTCGGAAAATGAAGCAATCCTTCATAGTTTCCTCATTCATATGAACGGCATAAAAGTTAGCATAAATATCAGCATCCTTTGGTATTCTATAACCTTGTAGTGTCGTTTCCTTGATCACTCTATGAGCAGCAGAGTTTGAAACAAAATTAGCGTATCTCAATGTTTCAATAATAAAAGCCCTAACGTAAGGTAATTTTGATTGATCTAAGAACGACGATTGTGAATTCGATATTTCCTCGAACATTTTCTGTTGTTTTTCTGGATGCATTGCAACAAGATGAAATAAACCAGAAAGAACGCCAGGCACCACGTCTAAAGGATCACTAAGTAAAAACATTATTGTATCAATTATTTCCTCAATCTTGGCTTCTGGTACTAATTTCTTGTAGGCAGAAACTAAGTCATCTTCAGTATCATCATGATCTTCCATCATCGAACGAACCCATTGCCTCATACCTTCTATGGCATCTTTAGATTTTTGAATCGCTTTACGATAAATTATCTTCTTTAAAAAAAAGGGTAGTGGCATATTTGTGAAATTTAAAGTTAATTCCACAAAAAACCATTTAAAGTAATTTTGAGATAACTTAAAGAGCTCATCCATCTCTTTACTATCGTATTCAAATCTTTTGCCAAAATACATTGAACACGTAACGTTAACGCTTAGGGCCTTGAAAAATTCTCCAACGTCAATAGGAGTATCATCTTTGATGTTGTAGAATTTATGAAATAGTTCAAACCGAATTCTGTCTTCCAGAAGAGTTTTTCCCGAACCAAAGAGCCCCCGAAAAGCTTGTAAAATCCCTCGCTTGAGAATTCTCACGTCTTCATTATAATCAACCGTTATAAAACCTTTTGAATCAGAGAATGTTTACACATCAATAAATCAGTTAATTTGTTAAAGATCAACAACGTACGATCATGAAACTTGAGAAAATAACTCATATTCTCTGGAGGTGCTTGACTAAATTCATCTCCACGATTTACAAAAGCTTCTTTTATTAAATTATAATCATTTAAGAATATCTTTAATCTATTGATTAATAAATGATTTTGTCATTTATGTATTATTTTAGCACATGAAATAAAGAATAACTTACTGTGTACCAGACCAATATGAGAAAATTACGCCATATTTTTCTGCTAAGCGTTTATTCGTTTCATATACTAGTTCATTTTTTCTTGCTGGACTCCCAAAAAAAGGTATTGTAAAAGGTCCAGGAGGCAATCGACTAAATAGCCTCTTATACGCATAAACACCAAGAGTTATAGACCCTGTTATTACACCTATACATACACCATACGTTCGAATATCTTGTTTAAGCATTCTGCTTAGCTAACATAAACTTGAAAGAATGAAGAATGTATACCGACTATAGCGATAATATAGTAATCAATTTCACAACTCGTTGCAAGACATGATAAAATATATTTAAACTTTGAAACCTGTTGAGATAACTTTTCATTTTTACACTAATCTTATTATTTTTACTATTTCAACAAATAGAAATAATATCTTTTTACAGAAATGAACGTTTAAAAATATGTATATTTTTATGTAAAAAAACATTATAAATGTATAATTATTTTCCTTAAATATATAAACATAAGGAGTAAAAACTATCTATATATCAGAGAATCATTCCTTCTGTCATAATTCCAAGTTTTTTCTGAAGAGCATATGTACTTTTTTTCAATTCTTCTTCCATTTTTTCCATATTTTTCAATTCATCAACAAAATCGTTCATATCTGTTTTTCTTACTGTAACTGACATCTTGTTGACGTTCAGTTCTCTCTCAATTTCTGAGTTTGTTTCAATATCTTCTAACTGCACCTTTTCTTCATTTCTTCCGTTTAAGTTATCATTTGAAGATGCATCATTTGAATTGCTTTCGTCGGCGAATTTAATTACTCTACCATTTGATGGCTTTGCTAGTAAATTGATGATAGATATAGCTTAATATCAGATGTCTACTAAAGTTAACCAATTAAAAACTTACAACTTTTAGGCCTTGATCGTCTTTTGTCATTTTCGAGCATTTGTTTAGAACTGACAGGACGTTTAGGAGGTTTTGAACTTCCATCGATATCTTTTAATAAGCTTTCGCTATTATAAGCGTTTGTCTGAAGAAGGAAAATCCATTTTTATAACTATTCATTCTCTAATACAATAGAATAATATTACTGAATTTCCTTTATATCGACTTGGATTTGTCCATATCTTTTCGTTAACTTCGGATTCGCTTCCAGCAGAGAATCTTCTAACATTTTGAGGTATAATTCGTTTCTTTTGCACACATTTTGTTAAATCATGCACAGCTTGAAAGGCCTATTTTAATTATTATATTTTAGAAAAAAATGAGAATTTAGTAAAAACTAGCTTGTTACCTCATCAACTCTATGATTAGTTGTAGGACGAACAATTAAATCTGCTACGTAGACAGGTTGAACGTTCAAATGTTTTTGGGCGGAAGCAGGTCGATTAACTCTAATTTGCCTTGGTCTTGTAACTGGAGCACTTCCTGCTCTATGTCTTTTAGTGAAAGTTTTCTCGTGATTTTGCAGTATAGCAGTGGTCTTTTGCTGTTCATCACGCTTTCCTGTTCTTGGTGAATTTGGCGGTACAATTGCCATCTTGGAGTGTCGATTCTCAATTAATTGTTCCTCTAAGTACAGTCGTCGTTGTTCCAATCTTAGATTTTGTTCTTTAGCAATGCTCATTTCAATCTTCTTATATTCACGATTTAATAAGCCAATTGTTAACAATGCCCAATTATTTAACGCCTTTGGCTAAAAACAGTAAATGTAAAGTTAAAATTGAAAGACAAATAGCCAATATAATAACCTTGGGCTTGGCCGTTAAAACAATTGTATTGTTTTCGGTCGTTTCAACATCAATTTCTGGTGGAGCTGCTCCTTTATTCGAAATTAAAATTTTTTTAATAAAACTCAAGTCAACAAACAGTAATATTTCAAATATTTACCCACGATCTTTGCGACATGTATGGAGGCGGCTCGATCCCCATTCCATGCGCTATTTTTAAAAAACAAAGTCACCTAAACTGTTGACCTTTATTGAATAAGATAAAATGTCTTCAAAACTTACTTCTTAACAAGTGAAATCAAACAATTCAATTTATCATTCGTTCGTTGATTCTCTGCTTTATATTGGGCCGCCTCCTCTTCAAGACGACATATTTCGCTATTTAAGTAAGAAATATGATTGGACGGACTTCTAAATAAACCAGCACTTTGGACTCTTTTTGTTGACATATTTAAGATGATTTAAAAAAACCTTTCATTTATCCTCAAATCTATCACTTTTAACATTGTTTACATAATTGTCAAGAGACGAAAATATAAACCATGCAGATATAATACTCAAACTAATTAGTCTCAAGTTTCTCATTCATAAGAGTAATAGTTTTTATGAAAGGCTCGAGACTTTATATGCCTTCTGTTGCTCAAGTAAATTGTTGTCTCGCTCTACCACTAATCAGAGTTACGAAAACCTAATTTACTATGTCTGGGTTTAGACCAGCTCATATGTTTGCAGAATTATCCAATGACAATCGACCTGCAACAAAAGCTCAAGAGTTATGCACAATGAAGCAATTAGAAGATGAAATCTCCAAAGTTAAATCTGGTTACAAGCGAGAGATTCAAGTTTCGAGTAGTGCTGAATTCCGCGTCAATACCGATAGAGCTAGAGTAATGTTCTATTTATTTAGTTCCAAGAATTCTGCTGCAGAATCAAAAAATAGTGTTAATCGGAGATTAGATTACCTGTTACAAACTTTAAAAAATCATAACGTAAAAGTAAGTTTTTTTATTAAACTTTCCACTTATACTGTTTTTAAATAATTAAACTCTATGCAAAGCCTTGATTGTTTGAAAGTATGCACTCTAAATTATTTCCGTTTGTACAGGAAACTGACATAACTGTTAGTAAACATTTGGAAAAACAAGAAAGCTTTTTTGCCTATACAGTTCAGGTTAACGCGGACTTTAGCGACATGTCAAAACAGGTTCGTTTTATAGTTTTCCATTTATTTAAATAAAAAATAGATCATTAATTTACATAATTGCTTGATGAATAAAAGGCTATTCCTATCAAAAAGAAGCTGATTTCAAGCAAAAACAAAAACAAAACATAAATGTATTTTTCCAATTCCTAGAGCGAAGCTTGCAACTTTCTTGTAGAAAAATTAGGCGATTCCATTAAACTGTCTGCTCCAACATTTTATCACAGTCCAGCTAAACTACAATCGTCGAGAACTCAATTGGGTTTAAAGGCTGTACAAAATACAACTCAAAAGGCTAGTGAAATTGCTAAATTGCTGAATTGCCAATTGGGACAGCCAGTTTTAATTAAAGAAACCGAACATGAACAATATGAAGAGTCTACAAACTTTCAGCCTTTAGATGGCCTTACTGTTAGGCCCTCTCCCACTATCATCCTTATGAAAGCAACTTATATGATTACATATGAGCTTTTGCCAATTACTAGGAAAAGTTAATTTTTTATTAGCTAACATTTAAAAACGTTTGTTCCAAATCAGCAGTGTATTTTGCCTAAGATTAAGATCAATCTAGATCTACACTTTTCAAACTTGTATTATATGTTTTTATGTTTTCTTAATTTTCTAGTTAAGTTTCATTAATAAATTTTTGGTACTATTTTATAGGAGTGATATTTTCGATTTCGTGTTGACAGTTTAGGCAAAAACTCCCTCCTATTTAAATGTAAAACATAAACTGGTTTACCAGTTTTTATCGACATACTGAAAGCGCCAAACGCTACTTTTTTTCTTTCATCAAATATTCTGTCTATAAAAACCATAAATAAAAAGCCACATACTTTTTAAAAAGCTATATTTCAAACTTGAAGATATATTCTGAAGAACAAACCGATTTCAAGAACTTATTAATAACATATTTATATTATCACTCATGGATAAACATTTATCCGAAGATCTGACAGTATGTGGACGCGAACCGCAGATTAAAACTCTGAAAAGTTTACTAAGGGTTAGTATTTAATAAATTTGCCACATGAACTTAATTTGTGCTTTTATTAAATGCAGAGAGATATAGCTTGCTGCTCTAACGTATTTATTTTCGGATCCCCTGGCTCAGGAAAAACATATACACTAGATAAATTCTTTAATCATTATAAAGTAAGAATTTGTTGATGAAAACAATACGCATAACATAATTGTAAATAACTGTTTTATTCATTAGATACGTCGTTTGCTTATAAACTGTATCGAGCTGTATAATTCCCGATTAATATACGAATTTATCATTTCAACATTAACCGACACTGAGAAAGTATCTGTCAAAAATGAAAATGAATTTATTCATAAACTTCAGACCTCGTTAAGCGACAAAGAAGAAGCTATATATTTTGTCTTTGACAAGGCTGATCGTCTAAGAAGTCTTGAACCTAGGGTTTTATTAAATTTTATAAAACTTAGAGAATTAGTAAGTTATTTTAAAAAAAAGAACATGAGTAACAAAACCTCAATCTTTCTGTCTCTCTTTTTTAGGCAGAATGTAATATTAGTTGCGTTTTTGTTACCCAAAAACTCTGGCAAGAATTCCAAACTGATCTGGGGCTTCCACGTCCTATTCTGATACGATTTCCTATCTATACTAAATTCGAATTATTAGCTATAATGACTGAGGATGTTCCAGATAAATGCAGCCCGGCTCTCTACAAAACTTATTGCTCTCTTTTGTTTAACATTTTTCACAAAGCTTGCAATAATTTGATGGAATTGCGACACCAAGCTGTTTTAAACTTTCCTAAATTTTATCAACCGATCTTAGATGGGGAAGCAACTGAAAATCAGGTTGGAAAATTGTGGAAAAATGTTCAAGGTCATTTAAAAGAGGCCCTTAGAACTCTGTACTTAAGAGAAATTTCAAGGTTTGTATGGGCACATAGTTAGAGAAAGATTCTGGTAGATTCACATAAATATAATAACTCTATAGCAATACAATGGCTGACATAAATTTTCCATTTATATGTTGATGATATTTATACACTTCCTCCAACAGTTCAAAGTGGCAACGTCTGCAAGAACATTGCTTAGCCGAAGGGAAGGAAGTGAAAATTCAATCTAGTAAACAATCAAGCTCGAGAGTAAACGCAGAACTGCCTCTCTTCTCAAAATATTTACTTATTGCAGCTTTCATAGCCTCTCATAATTCAGCGAAAACTGATGGAAGACTCTTTCAAAAGGTTACAATTATTTAAAAGCTCTTTTATACAATATTGCGTTTTGAGTAGTTTTTGATTGATAGCTTAGCAAAACTGTACAATAAATCAATAACATTCGTTAATAGAAATCTGCAAAGATAAGCAAAAAAAGACAACTGGTAGGGGAAAAGAAAAAAAACGAAAGGGTACGTATCTAGAACTTTGCTTGCCCCCATTATTTACAAATTCTTCTTTAAATAGAACAGTACATGGCTTCTTGGCCCGAAAACATTTACGCTTAATAGGTTACTTGATATATTTACTTTTATCGTGGAAGAAAATTTAGAATCTATAAATCTAAATACAAGCATATTTAATCAAGTAGGTATTGGAACGTTTTAAAATCCATATCCTTTATTTCATACATTTCTACAGATTACGTCTTTAGTTTCTATGGGTTTGCTATGTCAGACTAATGCAAGCGACTGCATCGACAATCCCAGGTATAAGTGCTTAGTTAATTTAAGTTTTCTAGAAGGGATTTCCAAGTGAGTGTACTCTTTGTAGTGATTTTACAAACTTTTATGTTTTGAAATTTTTCAGATCAATCGATTTTGAAGTAAAGAAGTATTTATTGGATTTTATTGAAATAAACTAAGTTTTTCGACACAATGTTTCATTTAATATTTTTAAACTCCTTTATTCGTAGTTAATTTAAAAACTAAGATTTTTTTTTAAATAAACAAAACAAAGTTGGTGTTTTAAACTCCCTATATTGCAGCTTAGTCTTTTACAGTATGAATAATTATCTCTCTAGAGGCATTTCTCTCTTTGCACCTAGTAGTTTTTCATTAAATCTGCTGTCCTATTTACTACTCTGAGAAGTAAGGCGAACATGCAATGCAAACAAATTTCATATTCTAAATAGGCTGTACATTTATACTATATATATATAGATATATATATATATAAACAAATATTTAATAACTGATTTGATTCACATATTTCTGATCACGATAAAAGTGATTTAACTGATAGTAAATGAAAAAAGATGATACTTTAAATCCATTATATTATCTGATATTAAATATATAGGATTGACCTATCTTGTGAAAATTCAGAGTGCAATGGATATGCTCTTCCAATAATCACCCTTTATCAAATGAGACAGGTTTACCCCGTATACTGTAGACTTCTATTTTTCTATAGAATATATACATAAATCTTTATGACGTCATTTATGCATGTGACAATTCGGAAAATACATAATAATTTCAAACGCCATCTATTGCACATATTTATGAAAAATCAGAAGTTTGAATCACATGACTTTTGACCGGCCGTTAACCTTGTAGAGTGTCACCCCATTGAAAATCTATCGACAGTTGCATTGTATATAAATAGACTACATTTTCATTTTTGAATATTGTATCTCTCCGTCATTTTTCGATCATATAATATAGCCAATACAAGAAATGGCGCGGGAAGAGCGGGAAGTGACGTCATTGAATGCAATGGTAGATGGGAGATTAATAAGAACGGAGAAATGTTCGCAGAAGCGCTTCTATCGTGAATAAGGCTGTTTGACACGGCTTCTAATTTAATTAATAATTTTAACTGAAGAATATAACATATTTGAAAGAGTGAGTAGAAGAATCGGAAGGAAAATCGAACAAAGCTATTTGTCTTCTCCTGTCAGACTGTTTGTTTTGGTGAAAGCATGTTTATGCAATAGAGTCTGAATCATATGCCATAATAAGCCGATTCATATTTCTGTGAATACAACACTGTGAGAAGATTAGGTAATTGCGAAGTAAGTATTTATTAGAAACCTTTGACTTTAATTACCGCTGACCCAATGTCCCAATTTTCAGTTCAATGGCAGCTGTTGGTGAGAGAACGGCTTCCATATCATCTCATACCCAAAACAAGGTAACTAGGGCAAAGGTGACGTTGGAAAACTACTACCAGAATCTAGTCACTCAACACCATGAAAGAGAAAGCAGGTAAACATAACTTTAACTCTTCGATACATTCTATAAATATACAAAATGTATGATTACCATACATGGCATATATTTATATATATATATATGTATATAACATACATTAATGTAGATATGTAGGTCACAATTGTATTCTAATAGTTGAATGGGGTGGTCTAAGGTACTAAAGTAATTTAAAAAATTACATTTCTGTAAAATTACCGTAAAGCGGATATAGCGACCAAAAAAAACAACAGTTTTCCGCATCCTGTCTTCTCTTGTTACTATTATATATTCAAATTGAAATTGACTATGAAGTCTTAATTCACTGTCGTAATGATTAATTATTGATTTTTTTTCCAGACAAAAGAAACTGGAAGATAAAATGGAAGAAGAAGGCCTTAGTGAAGAGGAAGTGAGTCAATTTTTATTCATTAAAATAAAAGGAAAGAAAATGAATTCTTGTAAATCGAAAATCGATCTCACTGACTCATTGAGCTTATTAAATTGTTAATTAAACAATAGGGAATATTTTTAGAACATAAGCATTTGCAGAAAATAACCCTGGACAAGCACATATTGTTTATATAGACTGGGTGTGATTGATGCTGAAAGCAACGATTTATTATTTCACATGTCGAGTGTAGGTCGTTTATCATCCGTTTTCGATCGTTTGCAGAAACGACTTCGTCGGGAGAGTCATGCTCTAAAAGAAACCGAATTTTTAAGACTGAAAAGATCACGACTAGGAGTTGACGATTTCGATTCGCTAAAAATTATTGGCCGAGGCGCGTTCGGTGAGGTAAGTCTCTTTCGATCTGTAAAACTATTAAATATAAATCAATAAAACAACTATTTCTCGGAAAGAATGAGTAAACTAGCAAGTTTTACTATTTTGTGACTTTGATTTATTGTCATAGAATGCAATCTGTGTTTAGATATTTACAAAAAAACACTTTTGATCTTGACTGAAGAACATGGTTTAGATTTCTAGATATTTTCTCTTCTAACACAAAAGCGGAAGGAGAATAAAGGGCGGCAACGAATATATTCAGTTAGAAGATTCTGTACGGATATAAAATTACAAAGGTCGCTTTTTATTCAGTCAGAATATATTAACTGGAGTTCGATAGCCTACAGATTGACAATTGTGTAGAAAAAGCATAGAAAAACACCAACAAAAGTTGAAATAGGCTTCCTGAAAGCCCGTTGTGCGCTATTTTTAAAAAGAATATAATATAGTATAAAACACAGTTGACAGCTTGACACTTTAATACATGTTGATTTGTAAAGTTGTTAAGGAAATTATCGACCTGTTGATGAAATGTTATCACTAGTCTTATCTTATAGGATATATGTAAAACTTTCACTCCAATATTTGTTTTGACATAGTTTTCTCGTTTTCAAAACAATGCCTTATCCAGGTGCGGTTGGTGCAAAAGAAAGATACGGGTCACGTGTACGCCATGAAAATTCTTCGAAAGAAAGATATGTTGGAGAAAGAGCAAGTAAGTGTCGACACTAGCAATAAAATATTCTCTTAATTAAAATCTTTATCAGATTGCTCATGTTCGAGCTGAAAGGGATGTTTTAGTTGAATCAGACAACGATTGGGTTGTAAAAATGTTTTACTCCTTTCAAGATGCCATGAATTTATATTTGATTATGGAATTTTTACCTGGAGGTGACATGATGACTTTATTGATGAAAAAAGACACGTTGACCGAGGACCAAACGCAATTTTACATAGCTGAAACAATTTTAGCTATAGAATCTATTCATAAATTAAGTTTTATCCATCGCGATATTAAACCTGATAATCTTTTATTAGACGCAAAGGTTGCTTTTATTTTCCGTTCATTAAGTAAATTATTTTTTTAACACAAATATTTTTTTAAAAATTAATGCAGGGCCATATAAAACTATCTGATTTTGGATTGTGTACTGGCTTAAAAAAATCTCATAGAACCGAGTTTTACAAAGACTTATCTCAAGCAAAGCCAAGCGACTTCTGTGAGTAGATTATAAAAATATAACGCTTTCAAAAAAAAAAAACATAGGCTATTTGTATTCTGAAATCAAAGAAATTTTTAGCTGTATCAATTGTATTGATGTGTACTTTATAAAAGCTGACGGTATATTTCAAAGTTTTCTTCAAAGAAAAGCATGCATTTTAAAGCCATGTTTATGAAATCAATGCTTTAGAAACACACATTTTGTTAGACATGAAAATATTTTGTTGTGAATTTTTTTGAACTTATTTTCACGATAATTGAACAGCTTCCAATCCGACTGACTCTAAACGTCGTGCTGAGAGTTGGAAACGCAACAGACGCGCGTTAGCCTATTCAACTGTAGGGACGCCTGATTATATTGCGCCCGAAGTGTTTATGCAAGAAGGATACACCGCCTCCTGCGATTGGTGGTCGTTAGGTGTAATCATGTACGAAATGCTGGAAGGCTATCCACCATTTTGTTCTGAGAATCCTCAAGACACTTACAGGAAAGTGATGAACTGGAGAGAAACCTTAATTTTTCCCCCAGAAATGCCAATTTCATCTGCTGCTAAGCAGCTAATACAACAGTAAATATTTCTTTTTAGTTACTACAATGATGAGAATAATATACCTAACTTTTTCTTAGGTTTTGTTGTGATCCGAAAGATCGAATTGGTAGAAACGGCGTTCAGGAAATAAAGAACCATGTCTTTTTTAAGGGTGTTGACTGGGAGCACATCAGAGAACGCCCTGCAGCCATACATATAGATGTTAAAAGTATCGACGACACGTCCAATTTTGATGAATTTTCGGACGAAGATCTCAAAATTTGTAAGTTTATTGAGTTTTTCATTGTTTTATATGTGTTCTATTAAGAATAAAATTCACATAGGCCAAAACTCTTGATATTTTAATGTATTTATCATCTGTTCATAAAAATGATATATTTATTGTTGAGTACGTATTTAAGAGTCTATTAGTGACCTAGAGTGAATTACCATCAGTTCATACCAGAAAAAATTCACTTTATTGTAATTTGATAGTTTTTTTCATAATATAGGGGTTGATGGGATGATTTTACTGTTCAAACAGCTAAACTCGATTTAGTTATATAAATATCAGCATTCTTAAATTTTATTTGTAGTAAATATGTAATTTTTTTCAGCCTTGTCAGCCAAGGATAAATCAGTAAATGAGTCGACGGCAACCAAGGACTGGGTGTTTGTCAACTACACATACGCTCGCTTCGAACGTCTCACTCAGAGAGGGCACATTAGACCTAATTCTTTTCGGCCACAAGCCCCTCAATGAATAATGTGGGTTAACTGCTGACTTGCTCTATCTTTTGCTCATTCAAATCCTTAGTAAGAAAAAATGTACAACTGTGATGCTTTTAGTGGTGGGAAGAATGTTACACGCGCTTATGTTGTATTTATGCTCACCATAGAAAATCACCACTAAAAAAGGCAAAAATGTGTACAAAAACACTCGAGTAAGAAATGGTTGATACACTTGAAGGAACTATATCCGCCGTCTAATCGATTGTTACGTATGGAAAGTTGCAGATTATAACTAAATATCACTATGCAGGTTGTTGGTGTCCACTGAACTTCGTGTCGTCGCATCATTTTAGCCGTTCAACTGCAGAATGATTTAAATGTTCATGATTTGATTTTATCACAAAATTGTCATTCCTCAATAAAATTGTTTTTTTCTACACAATAACGAATTAATAGAATAGTAAACGCAAATAATAAATAATTATTTGTTATTGTGCGCGATTAAACATTTTATTTTCTGCCTAAAGTAGATATTTCACTTAATTTTTTACTATTACAAATATTTTACCGATCGAATTTTAACAATATAGACTGCAGAATTCTGTAACAATTTGCATGTTCATTAAAATGACTTCTTTAATAAATAAAGCTCAAGAGTAATTTCATGGTAAAGTATTACAAATTGTCTTCTTGCGATTCGAAATGGGTCAGAGTAGAGGTACCTTCATTTCCACTCTTCAATGTTATGGTGTTTTCATTTCCAAATTGCTGTAGCTGTAAAACGTTTAGACGCTGATCTGGAGAGATAGCCTCACAAACAGCTTGCTGCAGCAGGTCATTTCCATTGAAGGTTATCAATTGCAGTTGATCACTAGTACCCTGATCATTTTGAAAGACAAATTGATGCTGAGGCACAAGGAGAGTATGACCAGCTCCACCAGTACCATCCTGTACCAATATCTGTCCGACTAATTGAGTTTGATTATCAGTGGGTAATTTTGTGGCTTTCTTTTTAAGTAACGGTGGGGCCAAATTATGTTGTGGATGGTCTTTTCTTTGATGTTGAAATAATTTTGCTCTACTAGCATATTGCTTATGGCACATATTGCATGCGTGGGGAGTGACAGTCATATTTCCAACTGGCGTGCTAAATGTATTATCTCCCTCATCCATTGTACTATGTCTGCCTGAAGGCGGTAATTCCTGACCAGGGTGATGTTTTAGAATATGCGCCTTTCTCTTAGAGCTGCTTTTATATGTTTTATCACAATACTGACAATAATAATCCCTCTGTGTCTTCAAAATCGGATAGGTCAACTCGGGAACTTCTTCAATTGACATTTGGGGGTGACGCTTGGCCAAATGATTAACCAACATTCCTCTACGCTTAAATCCCAGCATACAAGTTTCACACTTGTATACGTAACGTTGATACTCAGTCGGAGGAACCTTATTTGCGCGACAGGACTGTAGCTCACTATCATCATCTTGTTGATTAGATCGTCTTTGACTTGTACCAATACGGTGACGAGGTTTACGGTCAGCATTATGTATTCGGGCTGTATGATCTTTTAGTTTATCTTTTCTTTTAAATTGCCGACCGCATTGATCGCACATGAACTCTTTTTTATCCGAATGAACTAGCATGTGCAAACGCAGTTTATCCGCTCTCGGAAAGGATCTGAAAAATTAATGAAATTAAAAAGTTAGTAAGAATTATTTTCCATTAGATTCTTAGGCTGTATATTCTATAGGGAAAGAATCCACGAGGAATTTATTGAAAAAAATCTTTAAATTTAATCTCTTTAATTTCTGCGAAATGAGTAACTTACTTTGGACATTGACTGCACTGGAAACATTTATCACCGTGTACGGCTTTCATGTGTTTTCTGATGTGTACATATTCGGTAAATTTTTTAGGACATTTTGGACAAAAATAGCATCCATTCACCGAATGGCCTTTGACATGTACTTTTAAGTTATGAACTTGATCAAATTTTTCGTCACAAATTGGGCAATCAAAAAATTTATCGCTAGAATGTGTCTTCATATGACATGCCAAAGCAGAGTTATTCATTAACTTTCTTTTACAGACACTACAAGTTAATGGTCTGACTTCATCACCTCCAGTATGAACTTTTCTGTGGGCCTCTAGCCGTTCATGAGTTGTAAATTTCTAAATTTAAAAATCAATTGTCAAAATAGCATCAATTTTATGAAAATAGATTAAATTTTAGATAAAAGAATAATACTGGATAGCTTTAGACTTACTTTAAGACAAGTTGAACACGTAAACGGCTTAAAACGTGCTTTCTTCATTGACAGTCTAACCCGAGCGTGACTTGTGGTATGCTCTACTAATTCTCCATGCGACACGAAAGTCTTGTTACAAACTGGGCACGTTAAATTTTCTGTTTCGGAAAAAGAGACGTCAAAGACGATTCTAAAATAGAATATTGATAGTTACCATAGTCTATTGACTCAACAGGATGTTCTTCGTGTGAAGTTGCATGTATACTTAGAATTCTAGTATCATCGAAAGCCATATTGCAGACACTACATGACACTCTTCGTTGTTGTACTCTCCTTAAAGATCGTTTAACAGAATCCCTCGATAATCTAAAAAGTGGTTAATGAAACACACAAAGAGACTTTTATTTAAAAACTACCTATTCAAGTAGATAGAACTTTTGCGCTTTTTCAAATTGGCTTGTATGTAATCATTATCCTTATTACGTCCTCTTTTGCCTTTCAAAGATACTTTCAGTCGTGCTTCTTCCCTTTCTTCTTCTGGATAAAGAAATTCTTTAGTGCTAAGATATAGAAGAAGAGACAGACAAACATACCCGCTTCGTGCTGACTTAAATGAGCTTCAAACTTTGATGGTGTCTCAAAACTTGCCGAACATTCAAAACATTTGTATTTTTTGTCCGATTCGGCTGTTTATCGAAGAATGAAATTAAAATCAATTAAATAACATATTTCTAATCAACATTTTACAAACCGATTCCTTCATGATCAACTTTCAACAACTCAAAATCCCATCTTGCCGCATACGGCGGTGCATACCAAACCTGCAAAACATCATCAATTATCTTTCATATTTCAACAGGAATATCAAAGCAAAGGATCAAATAATATTGCAGTTCTTCCATTTCTAAGCCAGCCTGCTCTGTCAGTGGCTGGAAATCTTAATAAAATTAACTGCCAGCTTAATCAATTTCAGCGTGTCAACTACAAGAAAATAAAGAAAGTGGGCACGTACTCTAAGCTCTTCTCTGACATCAATATCTCTTAAAGCGTTGTAGTAAATATGGCCCCCGTGTTGGTAAGCCATTAAATTTTGATGCCTGTGATCAGTTGCTGGCCTCACGAACATCATCCAGTTGCAGATCGATTCATCTGTTGCCTGAATGTAGACAATATTTTTTGTTTCGCTATCTTCAATCTGAAACAGAATAGAATTAGCCAATCTGAGATGTATGGCGCCCCCTCAAGCTATATTTTGGGCTCATACACGAGGAAGTTACAGGATTGTTGTGTGCGTAAACGTCAGCTTAGTTATTTTTTCCACGAGATTAAGAAAGGGCACGAGAAATATAGAAATGTCTACTCTAAAACGTGCTTATATTAAGATTCGTCACGTTCAACTTACAGGAAGAATAAAGCCTTGCCCATCAGATTCTCTTTCATATTCTGCTTCAAATGGTCCAAATCTTGTTCTTTTCAAAATTTTCTTTTTAGCAAACAGACCAACGCCTTCTTGACCATCGATTTTTCCAATACATAATTGGGCAGGACAAGTGGCACGAGCTTTCGAATCGACAGGTTTATCAGGAACTGAGAGTATATTATGTATAAGACATTCTTCGTCATAATATTTGCTGCAGTCTTGACACCCTGAAAGAAAAATCTATAAGCTTTTGTTTTCTTTTAAGGTTAATAACTTACAAAATTGATTCACGTTGTACTCCATAACCCTAAAGTATCCATCGAAATCTTCCATACCAACACCTCTCTTTGCTTTCCTCTCAGTCGACTGTATGTCACTATCTTGACAAGTTATTACCAAATCTGAATTTTCAATAATTCTTGCTTGGACAACAGAATTAGGTGTTTTCATTGTAGTATCAATACTCGCATCCAACGTGGTCGACGGTTGACATGCGTCAATATTTGGTGAGCTTTGACTGACAGTAGAATCTAAGACTCCACTGGAACTGTCCACAACCGCATTCGAATCGGATATTGCAGCTGGTAAAATGATTCAAATATTACTTTTTTTTTGCAAATTTTTCAACTACAATTCCAAGACTTGAACTCTCATCAATATAATCACTTTTTTTAAAAAATTAGTTAACAACAACTATCTAGCTTTTTTATTCTAATGCTGTAATAATTAATGAACGACAACTATTTAATTATATCTGAATATTAAGATTATTTACCTTCAGCTATAATTCTTTCTGCTTGAATTTGACTTAAATGATCCTGACTGTCTTCTTGGGTTGTATCAGGCTCATTCTGAAAACTATCTAATCCATGACTTTTGACCAATCTGTCTAAAGAATGAACTAAAGGAGAAGCCTCCGAAGTATCGGAATAGGTTCTTGAAGATACATTAGAAGTTGATGGAGCCAGTATATGAGATTCTCCGTTTGGTATTAAGAACTGTACTGCATAGTCTTGGTCGGAAACATTCAAATCAGAAACCGAAAAATTAGTGGACGGTCCTGCTTGATTTTCGTATTGATTTGAAGAGATATAATGGGATCTGGTTATTTGCATAATTTGATCGTATTGAGTGGTTGAGGGCCATCCATCGGAACTTGATGGTTCTCCATTGTTTTCTTCTTCGTCCATTTTTAGGTGACCTGAAAGAAACCATTTCGACTAGTTTATTTGCCGTTAAAATTGTAGACACCCCCATACTACAAGGATTAAATCGCCTGGTTTGGGCGCTACCATACTCAGGGATGACAAATTAATAAAGAAAGTATTTTCTATTACGTGAAGCATTTTTAGAGCTCCTTTTTTTCTAAAATAATCATTTTACCTTATTGGTATCCTTTTTAGTAATGCAAAATTCAGCTAGAGTTTACAATAACTAGATTGATGAAGCAACTTTGTTGTAGGATCGCCTCCGTTAAAAAATGGCGTCGGCTACTACATCTCACGAGATATTTAGGGACACGGCGAGAACATGGCGATTGGTCTAAATCTAATTACGCGGGCTTCTATTATTTAAATACAATCGAGAATTTGTAAAAACTATTTTTAAGTGTTACTTATACGTAATGATAAAAAAGAATAAGCTTTAAACGATATCAGAATGTTTCAAATTTCCAACGTGTTTATTTGTATTTATAACCAAATTCGCATAAAGATACACATTTTGATCCAAATAAGAGACTTTTATTAATTGTTTATACAAATGATATTTTTGTTTGTTTGTAGAATAATAATGGACTAACATGTGTCGAAATTATGGAATACAGTATAGGAGTGCTGCTGCAATGTTCCTTTTAGTGCAATATAAATAACCAATTACAATATGAAATAAACCATGATATGCCATATTTTTGGAAATAAGTACTTTCCCATTCTTGTTACGGAAAATTGCTCGACTCGTCACAAACATTTCGAATAGACAAACAAGCTTCGATAATTGTAAATTGCATAAATTCCGAACTCTATGATTTGGGAATTGATTCCTAAAATATAAGCAAACAGGAGTAAATAGTAAACGAACACAGAAAAGATTTATTTGTTCAATAAAGGTTATTACGATAGGATAGAACTGCGATAAAGGTGCAGTTTTTTGGTTCTGAAAATGTAATGGAAATGAGAAGCAGTAAAAATTTCCCTTTTTTATATTGCATTCAAGTTCTATTGCTTAACATGCATGATATTTTCTCATATGAATCATTGTCAAAAACACGCATACTGTACAACATCGGGGAAAACGAATGTTCTTAAGGTGCTCACCGACTGTACAGACCGCACGAACAGTAAAAAAAATGAATATTCTTTACATCGTACGCTTTTTAACTCGACTATATAAACTATGGTAGCAGTTTCAGAATGTAGAAAGTCGAGAAAAAGTGTATCACAGATACAACTACAACATTTTTTACACGTTTTTGGTCTGCGCTAACTAGGTGCTGAACGAGGTCGATTCGATTTATATATATATGTATATATATAAATAATTAATACTGATTTGAAAGGAAAATATTGTTCGAATCAACCTCTGCAGAAAGAGAGAATTGTAATGAGTCGAAAAGAAAATATGGCGAAATATTTAGTTTTTCCCTTTATTTATTCCTTTTTTCCGAGCTTCTGCAGGAGAAAGCGTTTACAATTGATACCATTTTCGTTTTTCCATCTGTTTAGCTAAGTTATGAGCATTTTCGGCGTAATTACGTGCGGCATCCATCATCTGAGCCGTGTTCTCTTCCAATTTACCCAGTTTTTCACCTCTTTCCAATGCTGCCATCTTTGCTTTTTGAATTTCAGACGTTGCTTGGTCGGCTCTCCCTTTTTCGGCACTTAGTTTATTACCTTTAACAAGATGTGCTACCGATCTACTTGTAGACTTACTGCAGTTTCCAACTATAAAAAAATAAAGAGGCAATAATAGTTTTGTAAAGTAAACATGAAAAATTATCATACATAGTTCTTGCCTATCAACTTTGACAGGCTTACGAATCAAACTAGACCATAACGTTGGTTTTCGCTCAACCGGAGCCTCCTTATTTACGTACAAATCACATAAAGATTCTGTGAACTGTTCCGACTGACTGCATAAAGTTACTTTTTGCAGCTCGCTTGGTGAGCACATATGAGCAGCATGACCTCCAGTTGAGAAACAAAATGTAGATGCAAATTGCTCAGGTAGCTGAGGTGTTATGTAATCAAAGTCCACAAGTGGCCTTAAAGATGGAATACTCAAAATCATTATTCGTCCATTAGAAACGTATGCCACAAGACATAAAGTCTCTTTAATTTGAATAACATTAGCTCTAACGACAACATACGAATCTGTCAACTTGGCCTTGTGAACCACCTGATGAGATGGCAGCGAAACAACACGAGCTTGCTTTTCCGAACACAAAATGACGAGTTGTTTATCATTCGATTGCTCTTGTGAAGTTGTCGGCGAGATTTTGGCGCGCGATGATGACACCGACTGTTGCCCTGTGTCACATATTTTGTTTAGATTGGAAATGTATAACATAGATAATATATTTTCAATATTTTCGGTCGAAGATTTCTCTCTTAGACTCTAAGAATGAAAATATGATATATATTATCTATGAGAAGTACCTAGATATACTTGAAAAACCTACAATTCTACGCTTATCTACCTTTTTTTGGTAAGTCCTGTAAATTTTGCGAGCGAATATTCTGAAATGCCTTTTGCCACTTTGAACTGGCACTACCTTCATCTGTAACGGAAAAAGGAATATTTTTTTCCGTCCTTGTCCCGCTTTCTCTGTTTATTCTTTATCATTTTTTTTATACTTTATATTTTATTCTCATTGACTATTTCTCTGGTGCAAAAATAGCAATTTTTGAATAGAGAAACCCGGCTAAGAATTCTCTGCTAGTTTAGGCAAACACCAAGCTGAAACGGTAATATCAGAGAACTTGCCCGTTTGCGCGAAGAGAGACAAATTTAAAACGTCTGGTTTTTTGTGTGATTCAAATACCTCTGGCTGACGCGCAGCAACAGTAACATGAGAAAAGCTTTCGGTCTGCATTCAATTTACAGTTTAAATTTTTTGCCAGTGACGTGCTTATTCTCTACTTTCACAACGATTGTAACCATAACACTGGGAATCAATATTTTTTCCAATAGTTAGTCCATTTAACATTTCTTTTTAAAGGCTATTAATAAGAACAACTACTTTCTATGAATTTAACTGGGAATGGTTCGTTGTGAAAGTCTAGAGAATACGGTTAAAACGCTCTAAAATACAGCTCATACTAATCTGCTTAGCTTTCGATTTCCTAATAGCTATCAAAAACTACTTTTTTTTCATTTTAATTCCCTAATCATACATTCTAAAACCTATTATTATTATTCTCAAAAATCTTTTAAAATCAACTAAAAATAATTCGTTCCATTCAGTTTGTAAAATAAACCGAACGGAATGATCAAGAAAAAGGTATAAAAATTTAGAAAAAAGGGCATTCTGAATATATGAAATATAACATTGTAACAACAGGTAGTATGGAAAAATTGATACTCGAAGTAGCAAGCACAACAACTTAAGAAAAATTTGAAAAAATTGAGAAAAAATTATAAAATCTCTATAATAAAAGTGCTCTAATTCTAGCAGAAAAATAAATAGCTGGGTATCCAATCCTCAGAGAAAGTGAGAGCAGGGATAGCAAACGTTTGAGATATATGTAAATATAAAAAAAATGTAGCGGTATAATGCTGTCAGTTCGCTGTGAAAGGATGAAACTGTAACAGCTTACATCCTCCAGCATCTCTAACCGCTATCACATTCCGGAAGCTAGAAAATATAAAGGAAATGAAGACGTATAAACTGCACACACGATTACACGTAAGTAAGAATGTAGAAATATATATAGAGAGATATAAATATAAAAATAAATAGATAAATGTATCAATATATATAGATATATATATGTATTAATATATATATACTAATACACATATATATCTATATATATACTGTAGTGGATAGAAAGATAAGTACGTATATTACATATATATATATATACATATATGTTTATATATATGTATACTGCAGATAGTTTGGTCTATATACAGTATAATTTATATGTAATATATATTTATACAGTATAAATACATTATATATGGATGGAATAAAATATGTGCGTAATAAAAAACCGAACAACGGCTTTACGGTTCAGTCAGCAAATTCATATAAAAAAAGTGAGGTGAAAAGAAAACAAAACTCGCTTTAGCGCACGTCCGCTAAAGCACTTACTTTGTATTCGTTGTCTGGAAGTAGTTGAAGTAGGTCCTGGAGGCGTCGTTTGGGAATTTTCCACTGAATTGTCATTGCTACAAACTGGTACTGTTAACACGTCGTAAAATGAAATGCAGATTAAGGCTCCTTTCAACCGGAAAATCGTGCCGGATGGTGATGGCATTAGGGTAATCTGTTTTTTTTTTAATATTAATTTAGATATATAATTCATTTAGTATAATGAAGTAATATAATATTCATTTGGAGAGAGTACAACTAGGTCTAAACTCACATCTTCATCCCCAGCTCCCCCACCTGTCGGTGGTGATAGGGTAAGGACCAGAACCGAACCCAATGAAGTTCCTATCCAAACACTAGCTGATCTATTCGTATCAGTTTTTCTAGTGTATGAATCAACCAATGACAAGCAAGTAATAGACTCGGCAGTTACAATTTGATCCGTCGACGACATGGAAGACGACCGAGATCTCGAGAACATAGCTCCTTCTGTCGATCCTCCTACAATGTTTTTATTAGAAATCAAAACTCAAAGCAAAAACAATATAAAATAAAATATAATTAAAAAAGTAAATGCTGTTTTAGCGAAATTATTAAAGGATAGTATTGTGATGGGAAAGAGTGACGAAGGTTAAGCAAAAACCAAGCTTTCGGAGTGAGATGGTAAAAGGACATTTCGATTAGGAGTTCGTTTCGGTAAAATGAGAAATCGAAAAATATAAAATGAATTTCATACCTTCACTCTCGTTAATTGGATTAATAAAACTTTTAATCAAATTACAACTGTTTTATGTTAGATAATGGCTCTTATAATATCTTTAAACTCAATTAAATAGTGTTTACTGCAAAGAATAAATTTTTATATCTAACGAAATAAGTTTAATCCGAAACGAAAGTTTCCCAATTTTTTATAATATTCTAGCAAATCATTTAGTGTGATATTTAAATGAAAAAATATCATCCAACTTTGAATATATTGAATATAATATCATCAGAAAATGATTCATTGCTGTTGAAAACAACCAGTTTTTTGCAGGGGGCGCTAATCTAATATCTGGTTATTGACTTCTCGTTCAATATTCCAATTAACGGGAGTGCATAGTGTGTACAAAAAGATTGCATGCACTAAATATCATGCAGAAATATACTATAAAAAACGGACGACGCGGTTACAGCGGTGCCAGTTGAACATTATAATTATCACGACTGCAAATGTGCGTAAAAATATTTTTTGCTGGATATTAACAAGCTCGAACAACAAATTTCGCACCAGGCGTTTGAAAATAATCGATAGCATCCAAGCTAGATGTAGTCGAAAATGCTTTAACAAGACGCCTTGAAGTTGGGGTCGTTGACGGACTCGAACTTCCACTAGACGGCGCCGTATTGGTTTTGGATCTCTTCAATTCTCCTAAAATCTTCTTCCCACCTAATCGTCCACCGACACCGATATGAACCGCGCCGCCGTTGTTCTAAGCGATTAAGCAAAAAGGAAACAAGATAAAATTTACGAAGAACGTACCCTTTTTTTTTACAAAAGCAGCGGATAGATTAAAGAAAGTTAATTATGAGTTTTCGTTAAAGCTTTTTAATCAAGCTACGTTTGACTGGGTGTATTGTTTTCAAAATATTGTTTTCTTCCGAAAAATAGAACGATTGGAATAAATTTATATTATCTAATGGACTATTCGGAGAAAAATAACCCAGAAAAACATTGCTTGAAATACAAATTGCGGAAAAAAGTACATATAACGCGTGCGCTATCATAAAATACAATTACGAACTAAATTAAATGAAACGATAAAATTAGGAAAGTAAGAAAAAGCGAAATATTGAAGCTGTGCTGTTTTGTCTGGAGAAGAAAGCCGACCTACGAACCAGATCGTTTCAAACTATCTTCATCCTCTCTCAAATCAGTCACTTCGAACTTTTCAAATTTATCGCATGTTGTTTCCTCTTTTTCCGACTTATAACTCCCTTTTAAAGAACCTCCCCTTACGAGTTTTGTTATACTAGATAAAAAAGATTGCCGAGGTTTACTATCCAATTCATCCTCGCTTTTTGACGATGTCGGAAAAAAGAAGTTAGGCTCCAAAAGGTTTGCATTGGCTGTATAGGGTTGCTTCTGAACAACTTCTACTTCTGAATTTTGTCTCGACAAACTTGGTGTCGAATTTGAGCTTTTTATACCCTCTAAAGGATTCGGGGGATCTAGACGAAGATTAGGTGGTCGCTTTTTCTCCTCAGATGCCTTCTTCTTCTTTAGGCGAGGAGGAGCTTTCGGTTTCTCATCACAACAGACTCCTGGATGTGTCTTTTGCTGTTCGTTTTGTGTGGTTTCGTTTCATTTTTATTCATGTAGTATTTATAGATTTATATAGTAAATAATCATAAATAGGCTTGTATAACCCTTCTATTAATACCCATATAAACACGATTGTTTATACCACAGCCAACTAATTAAATAAATAAATAAATAGCTATATAATTTAGGCTAGAGAATATAGATTATATTATATACAGTATCTAGAAATCCATTTATTAATTCTTTGCCTATCTACTCTGTTGTCTGTCTTGAAAAACTGTAGTCGTTTTTGTTGCAAATAATCCAATCTCTAAAATTGTATACCTGTTTCTTATAAATGTCGATTTATTTATGAAACAGGGCGTGTATAAAAATTTCATACATAGTCATCTTGCAAATTCCATGAGCAAGAAAAAAACATTATATGATTTCGACTCATCAACATCTTTTGTGGTAGGAGAGTGGCGTGCTCAGTTTCAAGTTTTAGTTATCTCAAAACGGGTAAAGTGCACCGGAATTTGTAGAAACTTACTACTTATTTAGACTGTTTTAGTTTTAGTATTCTTTCATAATTAAAGCTCATTACTTTAAAGTTCTTTCTTTTTTCTTTAAAAAGCCTTTATACTCCAAATAATTAAAGAGATATCTCACCTCGACATTGAAAAAAAAGAAGAAAGATACTTTTAAATGTAACGCATTATTGTATGTTAATTATCGAGTTATTTCAATAGGCAGTAAGTTTTACAACGCAGCGCTACAGAATTCGATTACTCGTAAAAAAAACATAAATTGAAAAAACGAATATGTAAACATGCTGATCTTAAAAAACGATCCAGTATTGTTTTAGAAGAGGTATAAGTGATTAAGGTTATCGTAAAAGACTCAAACATGTATAAAATCACTTACAAACGATGGCAATTCGAGTGTTGCCATATGTTGTAGATAAGGTGTTGACGTCTGCCAGTTTAAATGTCAATTTTCTCATTACGACATGACTTTTACTTTTTAAATTCCCCGACTGACTAACTAGGTTCTTTAAAAACATGACAAAAACACTCACCTGATCACTTGTAGGACTTCTGCAATCATCATTAGTCGCATTCGAAGACGAATTGGGGTTATCCTGAAATTGAAAACGGGAGGAAGACGACGGACCAGCCGATTTTAATTTGGGACTCTTTGGATTAGGAGTTCTGGTGTAAGGGTCCAATGAACCATACAAATCCGGCGTACCAATTGACAATAGGCAGGTTCGGTGTGTAATATCAATTAAAGCTAATCCGTATTCTGTACCAATCCCCATAAGATTATAAACAGCGCTCAAAGCCACACATGTAACCGCTCCTGGAGGCTCTCCGTCGACAGCCGATAGGACGCAAGCTATATCTGGCTGGAAACCTGCTGGCCAGTTTCGGGGTTTGGATCGAACCCTCAGTGTAGTCACGTCAGACCTACTTGGCCCGTCCGAAGCAGCCGAACTTTGACTATTTTGCGCCGAAAGATTTGGCGGATGCTCACTTTCTGGTGAATCAAGGTCATCATTAACATCGTACACTATAGCGACCTCCACACAACCAATTTCCACAACTGCTTCCGATTTTGAAAAGGAAAATAAAGTTGCATGAGTCTTCCCACCAACAACCAACATTTTCGATTCGGGATCTAGATGAATAACCTTAATAGCCAGAGGATCTAATTCAGATGCCGTACTTGGGGCTCTTTCAAAGACCCGAACTGTTTTCAACTTGAACAGAATCTGTAGACTTCCTGCAGACGCAGACCAAAATCTTAATGATCCGTCTGCGTGACCTGTTATGACTAATTCCTCCAGTGACGAATTAGAATTAACACAACCGCCCCCAAGTAGCGGCCAAGGTTTGCCAGAATTCGTATTACCAGAGCGAGAACCAGCACTGTATAAAGCCGGTATAAGATCAGGGGTGCAATCAGCTAAATACTGTAAACAAGTTACTTCCGATTCATCCAAATCCATAGGATAAGGAGATTCAAACCTTGCATGTTCTGAAGATTCCAAATCTAGAAGAATAAGATCATGGTTTAGAAGAACTGCCAGGGCTTTAGGATCAGAAACTTCATTACGCCATGGAGTGGAATCTAGCACAAGCAAATCAACAACATCACTTTCTAGTTCGAATTTCATAGTATTTTTTGCATGCTTGATTGTAACCGTTCCAGCTCTCATAGAACTATCTCTATCAATCGGAACACCTCCGCTGAATATAAGATAAGGTTCGTTAGAGGCTTTGCAGAAAGTTTGCAGTATTCGATGAATTGGGGTACAACGGGAGTCGGAACTCTTATGCCGACTGAAAGGTCCATCAGTTTTATTTAACTTCCAAACTGAATAAGATCCAGTCGAGTGGGCACACACGAATGATTTACCATCATAGTGCCAAGAAACTGAAGTAATTCCTTCGTTGCAGTTGAAACGTTCGTCAGCTTCTTTCTGCTGTAAATTCCATAGGACTAGGTGGCCTTGTTCGAAAGCGAGTAGAAGCTATGAAACAAGAAAAAAATTGCATTATCGATTTTTGCTGCTGTTGCGGTAGATTTATTACGACCGCTGCCGCTCAATTTCGTCATTATCCCTTTCCCAATAACTCTTAATGAGCTTAGTTCACGGTTTACCTGATTCGGGAATACCATCAGAGGAAATGTGCCCTGATATATTTTTAAAAAAAACCCAATATCTCACTAACGACCGTAACAGAAATAGAAAAAATTTAATTAGAAAACAGAAAATGTATAAATAATAATAGTAATGAGATTTTGATTTTGTTTTACATTCCCATTACAGATTCAATAGTCGTCAAAGCGATATTGATGAGTATTGTTTTATCTGTCACTGCCCAAGGGAACAAATAAAAATTTATAAATAATTGAGTAACAGGAAGTTAATTTTGAGGTTAAAAATCTGCTGTTTAATTAATCACTAAGCAAGAGGAATTCAGCTATATTAAACACCTATAGGAGATCGTGTTTCACAATTCTAAAATTTGATTGTGCAAGTGACTAATAATATAAAGTCTTTTTTGTTAAAATAGTAGTTGCTTCTCTTACGTCTGTTGCTACTTTCCTCAAAATGAGGTATAAAATATCTCAAATGACAGTAATTTATTGTCATGATTATTTATTATTTACCTGATTTTCTTCGATAGGATTATCAGCCATTTGTACGACCATTCCTGGATGAGAATTACACCGAGTGCCTACCGCTTTATTCCAATGTATAACATAGGAACTTAAAGAAAACTTTTCAACTTCAACAAAATGAACATTGCCGTTCGTCGTTCCAACGTACAACCAATTTGTGTTGAAGCGTATGTGAAGACAGCTTATGTGATCTCTTTGGAATTGTAGTGAGTAGACAATGGACGGTATTTTCTTCTTTAAACTCCATAAATGCAATTCGGCACGTTTTTCTTTTTCGTCGTAGCAGGAGGTGACTAGAGAACCTTCGTTAATGAGGAAGACTATATGCTGTACTTCGACTGAACCATCGTGGTTGACATGACAATCGACCTCGGCTCGCCCCAGTCTGGTGATTAGGAAATCAATATAATAATTTGCGTTATTTTTAAAATCTATACATTTACATTCGCAACGATCCATTCTTCGTTCCGATTGCCAATAAATTCTGTACAGGATCGAAGGCAATGGCCGTGGGTTCGTAAGGAAAACCGTGGCGTAGAGTCTATAAAATAAAATAGAGAAATAAATAAATGATTCGAGGAGAACGTAATGATTAATGAAAATAATGGATTATCTTTATTTAAAAAAAAAATTATAGTAATATAGGCGAAACAATGTCATCAATTTTTTAGTCACTCAAAGAAAACGTAGACGAAGAAAACCCTAAGAATTAGTGACTAATTTTAAGGGCTAACTTTGAAATTTAACATCTTGACTAGCGCTATTTGCCTTTCAAAGAGAAGGCTAAACTAGCTAAGCTTTAATTACACGACTAGAGAAAAAAAATATGATAAACATATTTCACTAAGTGACTAATTAAGAAAAATGCTTTTGAAATACTTCGTAAATGTCTCTTATTTTTTTCCTCTGCCATCAGACTGACATTTCAAATGGCAACTTTTGAAAGGAAGTATACTTTCATTTAGAAAGAGAAACAATTCTTTTAAAATGAATCCAAGACCATTATACCCGAACAGCATTCCAATTAATAAGACGTGACAAACACTACCGCACCAGGAACTGACGTCATCATCATTGATTGATTTTTAAACAAAATGCGCGACGCGCCCTTGGAGTATATGCTTTTGTAGAGATTTTATATTTTATTTTGCAAAATATTTCCAAATTATATTGCATTATTTACGAGATGAGCTGGGAACAAACCATAAATCAATTACGTCATAGAAATCGAGTGTTAATCAACTAAAGCTATATTGTTTGAAAAAGCGTATCCAAGTTGTTTTTGGCCTGCAAGCGACCGACGAGCATCGTCAATTATTTACGGTGACAACCTATACTTGCAATGGTTTGCCCGTTTGAAAATTATCAAATGTTCTTCGATATTATAAATACTACGAAAGAATTTGCAGAGCCCAATGATACATATGATAACGTTACATTCTATAATAACAACAATTATCTGTAAGAGATGAAATACAAAATAACATACTTTTCGAACTTGAAAAAGCTCGGGAGTAAGTTCTTCCAAATCCACTTCATACTTAGGTTGGGAAGTGGTAACGCTCTGCCGAAGCTTTTCGATTCCTGTATTTACATAGTTGCGTATTTTGCCGATTTTACCAATTTTGCTTTTATCCATCTTTTCTTTTATATGATTCGCCCATGTCCGTCCTCGCTTCCCTTCATTTTACAAACTAACGATCGCGCATAAAAATCATAATAAATACACGAATTTCCCGGATGCTTAATAGAATTTTCGTATAAAAAATCTGGTTCCTTTTATTTCACAAAAAAATTGTTGCAATATAGTTTAAACATATTTTTATATTTAAAAAACATGTCCAAAAAAGAAGGGACTAATCCATATTAGAACCTTATTAATTACAGGTCTTTGAACTTTTCTAAAAATTAATTCTAGGGGAAAATATGACCGAAGTAAAATTTCAACTGTATATTGTTCGTCAGTAAGCACCATTTTTATTTGGAGTTTTTAAGGATGAAATTTTAATAAATTCTTAATATGTAAAAAAAAATAACTATTTGTGTTGAATTTTGTGAAAAAAAAGTAAATGATGAAATCTTCGAGCGATTCATTTATTTCGTGCAGCGACCTTTCCATCTTCCTCTAAGCGCAATCTAGATGATTAGTGGGGTTGATAAATGTAAATAAAGACATTGGTGTAAATTCTAGATCTATTCATAGAATTCGCATGAAATCAATATCTGCAAAATTATTTTTTTAAAACAACTTGTCCGATTTTTCGAAATGTCTTGAATTAATTTTTATGAATATTCTGATGAATGATATATAAAGAGCATAAAAATTCGTGAATTTTTCATTGTCTCCAAACCAATTGTCACAATTCAGTGTAATAAACTTTTGTGATGCACTCAAGTAAATAATAATAAATTTCCACTATATGCTTGTTAAATCTTTTTCCATTTATCAAGCAGCAGTTTAGAACCATAAAAAGAATTATTTAGATTTACACTCAAAAAAAAATCAATAAACAATTATGGCCAATTTGATTGCATAGAAAACTTTAATTTAAATGCTGACTACTTCCTTGCAGTGGAGAGACGATGGAAAATAGAAAAGGATTCTTACAAGGTTTACAAGATAAGTGCATTAAATCTTGTAAAAATAATTAGATTCCTCCTCAAAAGGTCATAAAAACACGCAGCTCACCGATGTAGGTAGGAAACAGGCCGAAAGTGTTGGTTCCTATCTTGACACAACTGCTTTTCACGAGGCTTATTCAAGTGATTTGACGAGAGCATTTGAGGTTTTTTTAATTATTCCAAGTCAAGGAATTACTTTCTTTTGATAAGTTCAAACTCATTTCTAACACAGACTTGTCAGCTTATTTTGGAAAAAAGTAAAAGTGAATCAAAAGACTTGCAAATTGAAAAAAATACAGCTCTACGAGAGAGGGTAAGCTGGACGTGATATTTTAATATACGAGGAATAAGGTAGAATATTTATCCATTATTGTATTAATAAAGCATTTTGGAGACTGGGAGGGGATGCATCGTTCAGTTTTTGCAGAGATGGCTGGCAGACGAAGTTTTGAGCATTTTATTCCTCCAGGTGGAGAGTCTCTTGAAGACGTTGGTTATTTTGTTTAAATCAATAAAGCGTTAATTCTTGTTATCTTTATTTTAGGTCGGTGAAAGGGCAATTAATTGGTTTGATGGGCTTTGTAATTCAGTTTTCGACTTAAACAAAAAAGAAACTGACCCTCCTACACGAAATGTTTTGTTGGTATCACACGGGGGATGGATTTGTGCTTTTCTTAGGAAATTAGTTTCCGAGCGCAATTGTGGATTACCTGACGATATTCCTCTAAAAAAGTCATCATTAGGAATTTGCCCCAACGCTGGGTTATCTATCATGGGTGTTACGATCAGCCACACTAAAAGAGTAAAGACTAAGGTTCATACTTTGCACAAAACTACCTATACTGCAGAAGATATTTTAGAGAAGATTAATGCAGAAGCTGCAGAGTAATTTCTATAAATTTTCTTTGTAATATACTACGAATGGCATTGTAATTAGGAAAATTTGTTGGATTTCAGTTATTCTTAAAAATTCCTGTCTGAAAATAATAATTAAACAAATAATTATTGCTCTTTTGTGATTTATGTTGAAATATACAGAGCAGAGGCGAGTCAAAGTCTTAAAGATAACCTCTATAGTGCGTGTACTCTTTGTAACTTTGATATATTAGTATATACACTGTATAAAATATATGTGTATATAAAATAAGTATATATTGAGCGATTACTGTGGATGAATATTATAAGTGAACAATACATTTCCTTGAATTTATCTTAATACGTTTCTCTTGTATAAATTAATTCAAAATAGTCGAGAGATTTATACATCTCTAGATAATTGTATCTATATATAAAATAAAGTATTAGATATATGACATATGTATATACAGTATTTAACATAAAGTCTTGAATAAATTGATGCTAGAAAGCAATAAAAAAAACACTTCTTAATCCTCAACAACCGAACATTTTAAAGCTTTGAGCTCAAAATTAGGATTATTAAGCATGTTAACAACTGCAAAAGAATCGATTTGCAATCGACGCATATTTCATCGAATGGTTAATAATAATAATAAAAATTTCTTTTAGATTTAAATAATATTTCTGGATTAGCAGATTTATAAATAAATATAGAATACTGATATTGATAATATAAACTAAAAACCAATCCTGAATTATAGGTTGAACTTAAAAAGAATAAATTAAGTTGAATAATTTAGGGAAAATCCACGTGGTAGAATACTAAGGAAGAGCTGAGTGGGTTTATGAGATTACATATATATATCGGAAAAGAAAGTGCGTTTTTTATTCCAGATTAAAAACTTTATTCTGACATTTCTGTTGACCCATCTTTTCTGTCGTGTTCAGATGATATGCTATCATTTACTGAAGATGATCTTTGCTTACGAAGAGCAGTTCTGAGAGCCTTAGCATCGTCTTTTACAATATCTAATTCTTCTTTCAATAGGGATATTTCAACATTTTTAGTCTTTAATTCCTCTTTCAATTTATACATTTGTTCTTCTAGAGCTTCACACAGCGCCCGACTTTCTTCTAAGCTATCATGAGCACCCGGTGGCTCGTCCAAACACAAAAACATTTTCACATCTTCACTCTTTTGAACTTGATCATGAGAAAGGATGTTGTTTATAAAAGCTTGAAGCCCAAGCTTTCGGTCGTCTATAAATCTCACATCAAAATTATCCCCAAACCACTTTTTTGGAGGCAAAGCAAATCGAAAATTAGGGAACTGTTCTCTTAGGCGGTCGTGAAGTCTTGAAAAGTCTGAATAGCGTCTAAATACAAACCATTCGTTGTTATCGGATTTCTGAACGTGAATTTTAAAAACAGTAAATCTACTTCTTTGCTCAACAACTTCATGGCCAATGATGGGAGCTTTTACTCCGTGGTCAAAACCACTTTCAACTGTTGAGGATTGGAAGTTCAAATTTCTAGATTCGTCTGCATTGTGTTCTGCTTCTCTCGTTGATTGGATCGATGATTCGTCATTTTGAAAATTTGCAGGTTGCATTTTTAGAATACTCTCATATTTTTCTATTGTGAAAGGGAAAATTGTTTGTTTATAGTTTGCACGGTATACTTCCTGTAGGAAGCACGTGACGTTTGATCCTTAGACAAGAAACAACTTTTGCAAAGAAACAAAAACCGGAAAAGCGACAAAAAAATAAATGATTGAGCGATGGAGAAGGAAAATCGAATGAAATTAGATTTTTCCCATGGTTTTATGAAAGAAATTATTAGAAATCAAATTGACCGGTTAGTATTAAAATATAAAACATTATCTACTATTATTCATATCTTATAGTTGCTCTGTGCCAATAGTGATAACTATGACAAAGAACAAAAATTAAAAAAAGAAAAACCTAACGACTGTTCCAAACATCGACGTCCAGAAAGACAACTATATAAACCTCCCAGCCGTTCTGCTCAAAAAAATTCCGATATGACAACGAAATCGACTGATATTCTCTTCAAACTTGTTTTCAAAGACGAAAAGGGTGAGATTCATAATTACGAAATCGAAAATGACTGCAATTTGAAAGCAATATCTTATAAGATTGGATCAGCATGCTGTTTATCCAATAAGCTGATATTGGCCTTAGAAAAATTTTTGAAAGAGAAACGTTCTAAATTTTTGGAAAACTAAAATACTTGTTGGAAATTATTACCTGCTCTATACTTCAATACTTCGGTACATGGCAAAGATTTTTTTACTTTGATACGAGAATTTGTGATGAACTCAAGTAAGAATTAAAACAACTTCAAGTCTGGAAAAGCAGTTCAGTTTGAGGAAAGCGGATTGCGTAGATTTTAACTTTTAACCATAGACATTTGGATGTAGATTGCATACAAAATTTTGATACACGAGTTAAAATACTCAATAGTATTTCCTTGATACTTTTTTTTAAATAATAAACGGAAAATACAAATATTATTTTAAAAGTTAACGTCCTTCGCTTTGAGGTGGTGCTGGAGTGGGATCAGCTGATTCATCTGCTGCACTCTCTGGTGCCGGGTCCTCTTCCATTTGTTCAGCTTGAGGTGCCGGAGTTCTTTCTTCCCCTTCAATCATTTTCAAATAGCGTCCTATTTCATCTTCATCATAGACAGTGAACTCTTTATCTTTTCCTACTATTCCCATTGAACAGTTCTAATGAAATATGAATTCAAATTTTATATGATATTTGAGCAAAAAGCAAGATATTTCTGCAGGCTTTGCTATTGATTTGTTACCTTAGTAGTGAGTTCTACGTCATTTGGTAAAGTGTCTCTGAGAGCCCTTAGTCCGTGTTTTATCAATTCGTCTAACGGGCAATCTGGTAAAGTATCTAAAATTTTTTCCAAATACGTTCTGGCTGATTGTGAACGAGCTCCAATAGACATTGCTTTGCAGTCAAAGTAGTTAGCCGAAGGACAAGTTTGGTAAATGTGTGCCCCTTGCGTCTGAAACGTAGTAAAAACACACAAAAGTAATCTTAAATTAACAATAGATATTTAGCTAATTAGAGAAAATTCTTTATACATACATCGTAGCCAGCAACAAGTAAACCTACTCCAAATGGTCTTCTACCATATCTTTGGGTTGGAATTTGAGATTCTGAAATAAAATGGATTTGATAAGTTGACTAAAAAATTAGACAACCTCCCACTTACTGCTTCCAACCATGGAAACAAGTCGAGATATTGGTAGCGGTTTTCCATAAGTATATCTTGAATGGAGGCATTCAGTTCTCATGTATTTGCTGTAGGGATACTTGCGATTAAGCTTCAGATTAGCTTTCAAGGACAATTTTACCTTAATAAACGAGCATCTGCTGTAAGTCCAGATATCGAAACACCAACATGATCGTCGATTGGTATAATTTTCTTTTGGTGAGCCGATAATTCCGATGGTGCTCTCTGAAATCAAGTTACAAAAAAGTGTGTTAGAAAAACTGACGAATATTTAATAACTCGAAAAACATTATAAAGATATTAACCTTTAAAGCAACAAGGACGGCATAGTTGAGGGATTTTAGTCCAACGGTTGCTGATCCTTGTTTTACTGCTTCCATAGCATATTCGAGTTGATGAAGTCTCCCCTAGGAACGGATAATGTTATTGATTTTACAAATAGAAGTAACAAAATTATTTACCTGAGGGCTCCAAACAGTGACATCGTTATCATATTGGTTACGGAACTGATAAAAAAAAAATTATTTAGCAAAATTCTAAACTACTATATTATCGTTCAGTATTTAGTTTTCACAGCCTTAGCTTCATATTTCCTAAGGTGTAAATACTTATAAAAAGTTTCATCAACGTTGATTCAAATACAATATTTGCATCCTTATCGTTTGTTATTAGTTAAATTTCGTACTTAAGTAATAATTAACAAATAATTTCTGCATACTCACCATCTTTTACCGATAGAGTAGTATATATCACAAAATAATTGTAATGAATCCAACAAAATTTTAAAAATGACCGAATCATTACTTCTATATCGCGCCATTTTGAAATATAGCTGACAGTTGAATACTATTTCCATCGACAACAGATGACGCCAGTGGTTTCAACAGAAAACTGGCCTTCAAGTTATGTCCTAGATTCTTTAATTTCTCTCAGCCGTATTTGAAATTTGGAATCCTTCAAGAATTAATAAAATAGATATATTGTTTGTAGGATAATTTTGTAAATATACATACTGTATATATGATATATTTATACCTAAGGTTAATGTCATTTAACGGTGAATGCCCTTTTTGTAATTAGATCTATTATTTTAATGCATTGTTAATATGTAGTGTTATATCAAACAAGACTAAACTTTGATATAAATTTCAACTCAGGCCATGTCGAAAGCGAAACCTTTGGATAAACAGATCAAATAGTCAAAGTTATTCAAGTTTTCAACATTAATTTGACCAACTTTTACCAGAAAAGAAAAAGAAATAGCTTAGATATCAATTTTGCCGTTATCAAAGTTTAGCATCAAAATAAAACATTCAATTGAGATATTCTTAAGCATTGCTCTTATTCGAGCTATTCCGTATCAACAGAGTAAAATTATTATAATATATGGTTCATTAAATATTTAATGAACTATTAAGGCTGAGAAACTTTGTTTATTATCTCCAATTATCAGCAAAATTAGATTTGACATAGCAGTAGAACTTTGTTAGGTTTATTTGACAAATACAGTTACAGTCATTTCTCATTTCCTCCAATAGTTCATTTAAATTTTAAATTGTAAGTTTTCTAAATTGACATTCGCGGTCAGGGATGACGTCATTTATCTGAATTAAAATTAGCTAATCTCTTAGTATGATGGAATCTGACGACTTAGAGGTTACCGGCTTACCAAGGTTCCCAATGAAGCTATGGGAAGCTGTCAATTCTGAGCACTCAGACTTGATTCAGTGGGCTGAAGGAGGCAAAGCAGTTGCCATAGATTCTCGCAGATTTACTGAACAAGTAAGAGTTATGATATTTTATAGAAATTATACGGTTCTATCGCTTTCAATGCCCCTTTTTTTCTTAGTCCAATAATTCATTGAGGAACTCACGCAACATCACGTGATGTTTGTAAAACTCTACAACATAGAGGAATTTTTTTCGAAAATAAAACTTTCTTATATATACAATGTTCCATACGCTTTTTAGGTTATGAATGACTTCCCGAAGCTAGTACAGGTTGCTAGATTTGAGAACATTAGGCGTCAAATGAGGGAGTATGGATTTAACTGGAGGGAAAAAGATAGAGGAATTTATCTATTTCAGCATAGAAACTTTCAGAAAGATGTTCCAGAGCAATTACATAAAGTGCAAACTAGACGAAAACGAGCCTATAACAATAATCAATTACGCAACTGTGATGAAAAAGAAATCGCAAAAAAACGAAATAGTTCTTCTGTGACATTGAAACATGGTGATAAAGAAACAACGGCAAAGGTAGTTGCGGCTGCTGCAGCAACCATTACAGCCGCAGCTGTAGGTATTCAAATAAATCCAGGATTTCTTCAGCTCCTATTATAGTTTTGTTTTAGACAAAAGTTTACATACATACTCTGCTTAATGCATCTTGACTAATAAAAAATGCAACAGAAGGATAAACTGAAGAATATATAAAAGTGAAGAAAGTCTTTCTATATTTTATTTTTATATCTTCTAAGTCTCTTTTTTGCTTAGAATTTTCGACAATAGAATAAAATTTCGAAATATATTTCCATCTAACATTTGCCCTTTTAAGATAATGAGAATTGAATTATAGTTTCACATTGCGGAATCGCCTTTGCCAATGTTGTCGATTTAAATGTCCCTATATCAAATTATTTAGGAAACTGCTATCGGAATTATTTCCATATTTTTTCTAGTTCTGAAGATAAACTTGAAATTGAAAGCGTCGCCTTTCAATTGTGATTGAATTGGTTATACTGTTGGGTGGGGTATTATTTATTAGTTCTCGATAACTGATGTTCATTGAAAATATTGATTAATAAATGGATTTATCATATCTATTGTTGTCCTTGCTTGTCCTTAACCCATTTGCCATTATCATACTAGAGAGGTGCTGTTGAAGAGTCCTTTAAGCTAGCGGAATAAATATCAGATCGATTACCAACCATTTTGGATTGAGGACAATCGAATAAATGGGATTTAGTTACGCCTGGGCACTTAAACGCTTCCAGTTCTTTATAATGGCGTCTAAAACCGTAATGCAGAAAGTGCTAAATGATTTGTAAGGAAAAGTATAAAATCTCTCAAACATGCGCCCTAATTATCGATAAAGACATTTACCAGTATTCGGGAATATGCAAGAAGAGAGTACCGTGCAATTAAAGTTTGGCAAAAGAAAAAGCGGATATGATCAAAGTAAACGAAAAAAATGTATCACCTAATGAGGTTTATATTTATTTTTCAAACATCTTTCTGACATCAGATAACTTACATTAAACGTATGATAGAAGAATACTTAAGTATACTTTAAAACGTTTTATCCTGAACATTGCAAGGCTACAACTGCCCTCGAGGCGCCTGTTAGGCGATCTTTTATTTTTATAACCCTATTAACCTCCTTTCTGCCCCTGTTAATAAATAACGTCGAAAACTTGGTTTATTTATTTAAGTTATGCCGAAAATCCAACTCTGTTACTAAAGTAAATCCTGTTGGCTTCTTTCACTCGGTGACTCCTTCGCCTAAACTTCCTTCCGTACCAAAATCTTATGAAGAATAAAACAACTGAAATAGAGCAGAGGAAGGCTAAAATTAACACTGTAGTAGGCATGCTTGTAACCGTATCTTGTTCGACGGCCGGGTTTTTCGGGAAAGTTTTGATTTTTAAGGGTAAAGAAAATAGTTTCATTCGTCTAAATGATCCTTCATTAATTGTAATATTTAAGGAACGAGGACTTGCAAAATGAATCCTTGGACAATCTAAGATTGTTCGATTAGTTTTAGTGAATTCTCTCAGGCGACTTCCTTCCATTCTTTCTGGATCTCTGCCCCTTTTAATTAAATCTCTCTTCTCAAAATGCTCTGAAAGCGGAGAAGATATTACTCCGCTATTCGTATAATCTAGTAGAGACAAGATAAACCAAAAACAATCAATTTGCATATGACTTGAATCCACACAATTCGAATCACCATATATAGCTATTCTTCCACCAGTGCTTTTCTCGGCTTCAAGTATTCCACTAATTGGTAATGGGAGTAGCTTTTCAACTTTTTGAGAACCTATTATCACATCATGACCTTGATCGTTGAGGGATACAGATAATAACCTTCCGTTTGCCGGAAAAGATGATATTGTTGTTCCAGAAGCATAATACATTTCATGACCAGCAACAGAAAACTTACCTTCTAGAACTTTATCTGATAATGATATACCAAAAGGCTTGAGTAGATCATTAAGGGCAGGAATATTTGATCCACCAGTTACTGGCAGCCACCACTGTTGCGTGTTTTCATCAAAAAATTTTACTTTTTTCATGACAGTTGTATTGTACCAGTCGGCTATAATAAGAACAGATAAGCCCTTATTGACAACATCGTCACGTAATTTTATTACTTCTTCAGACCAAAATTCTTCCTCTATGTCGACAAGAAGTAATGTCCCATACTGATAGGCATCTAAGCAATTCAAAGGCGTTGTTAGAACGTCAATATAATAGCCAGCAGAGCGTAATTGTTGATAGAAGTCACGGAAATTGGTATGTAAGTGATCAGCGTTCCAATCCAAAGGGTCGTTTTTCATTTTTAAATCATCCCTTGGTACATAAGCAGATGGATATCTCACCTGGTGCCATTGAGACCAGATTATCCTTCTATTTCTCGGTGGGGGGCGAATAATTTTGACTCTAACGGGAAGTGTAATATTACTATTAGATTTGTAATCCTCCCTCCAAATAGTAACTTCCACATGTCCATGAGCAATTCCTTCAAAATTAACTGCATGTTCAGATGCATACAATGAAATTACCAAATAACCAGACCAAGGCCATAATACAGATGAGTAAGATATTGAGACTTCCAACATGTTACCATTGTGAGGGGTGTATGGATGCCAGATGGGTGTCGAATTTATGTAACTCGTAACGGATAAACCTGATAATACTGTAACGTTCACGATTACAGGTGAAGCTCCGACAAACAAAGGTTGAGTACAATAAGGCCACATGTAGGGACATTCTGTTAAATCAATATAGGGTGGGTGTAAGGTGACCCGAGGTTTGTAATTCTGTAATAAGGCGGCGGCTTGAACAGCATCAACTTGTCCTGCACCCTGTTCAAAAATATTTGCACCGAGTGTTCTTTTTGCAGTCTCCATCAACACTTGCTTGATTGCAATAGGAGAGGATTGTGGAGCAACACTTAATAGCAAAGCAACAACTCCTGCAACGACTGGAGATGCCACGCTTGTTCCGGATAGAGTTCGACATCCTCTTCCTAAAGATGAGCTACGAACATTTGAGCCCAGAGTGACAACATCTGGCTTAACTCTTCCATAGCCATTCGGTAATTCCCAAGTTGTCATTCCTCTAGAGGAGAATTTTGCAACTTTTCTATTTTCATCAACACCACCCACACCAATAACGTCCGGCATGTCTGCAGGATTATTAAGCGTCCCATAAAGTGGTCCGTCGTTTCCAATAGCTGAAACCATGGTTATACCATTGGCCGTTAACTCACGAACTTTATCTAAAAATGGAGCGTCCATAAAATCAGGACCACCTATTGATAAGTTTAAAACTCGAATTTTACGAGATATAGCATGATTAAAAGCATCTAAAAACCAGGAAGTATATGATATTTGTCGGCTTGTAAAAACCCTATATATATATAGCTTAGCATCAGGGGCTAACCCAGGGCACTGAGGTGAAGAGGAGGCGATAACTCCTGCAACAAAAGTTCCATGGCCAACATTATCTTCCAAACTTCCATCTGATGTCCAATCGGTTCTTTCAGAGATGCAGTTAGTTTTGAAATGACTATGATAAGCAGCCAAACCAGTATCAAATATCGCAACTTTAACCCCTTTGCCTGTTATTCCTGCCGACCATAACTCATTAGCTCCAACAACGTTAGTGATGTGGCCAACAGGCCCTGTCCACCTCAACGGATGTCGTTGAGCATCTCTTTCACTTGTATCCTTAAGACTTTGTACAATTTTCTTATGAGCTGTGACTGTCTTTATAGCTGAATACCTAGTAAGAGTATTCTTCACTTTTTGTACTTGTGTCAAATTTTGTGAATCAAAAGATACAACGTCAAAATCTGAAAGAATTGTTTTGAGATCGTTCAAATGAGGTTTTATACCAAATTTGAACTCATTTATATTCCTTAGGGCTGATATTATATGTTGTCGTCGAACACTTTTGGTGTAGAAACCGTTGAATGTTACGAGCAGTTCTGAAAAATAGAATAAGTTAGAATACTACTATTCAGAAGCTTTGAATCAATTCAACTATTCTAAATAAACAGTATACTGTAATTACCAACCATTGTTTAGAGTAAATAACTTAAAATCATAACTAGTTTGCGTTTTGTTTTCATCAGCATCATTTTCATATATCATACAAATTAAACCAATTATAAAGAGCTTCCAATGCATACTTGTTACCAAAATCTAACATTGTATCAAGCATTTCAACAGGAAAATCTTCTTGTGATCCCTTATTAAGGTCAGTGAGTCACTCCCAACTAATCTTGGTAATTTTCAGTGATTAACGTTAATCACATTCTCTAACAAAGTTTGCTATAATTTTAAAGGTTTGAGTGTAGATAAAATAATATCTTGGGGAATTTTGTCCAATTTTTAAGGCCTATTTTAACCGAAACACAAATAGGTAGTTAATACAAACTGGTAGTAAAAGCATAAGCGACATCTGCCTTTTTTCTGAAAATTTTAATTTCTTTCTTGTCAAATCTTAAACTTTTGTGCAAAGTTATAAAATATTATTCTTTCTTAAACAATATTTTAAAGTTAGCTTTCTACAAAGCGGCTTATCTTTGCTTAATTTGCATCAAAAGAAATTATTTCAAGCGGACGACTCTTGAGCGATAATAAGTGAAATTGTATCACGTGCTGAAAGTTCCAATGGGAGACTTCAAATGTCACCGTGTTAAATTTTTTAATTATAAAGCTAATGCTATACATGCTCTGGCGTTCGATGGTTCAATAAATAAACTGGCTGTTGGTAGATCAAATGGATGTATTGAAATTTGGGATACCCGTCACTCCAGCTGGTTTCAAGAAAGAGTTGAGTTTCCTAAAACTTTTAACTTTATCCCTCCAAAGTTAACAAAACAGGGAGGGGTCGTCGAATAAAATACTTTCCTTTTTTATTTTAAAGGAAGGGGGTGGCCAAATAATTTAGCTGAAATATATATAGCTAATGTTTTGCAGTACTACTGTCTGAACTCAGGAAAATTATTTAATGTTTTTTAAATAAGGATTTTCTTTTACAAAGTTGTATGCTTTTTTTGTAACTTTAACCATTTCCAGGTGCTTCCGCCGCATACAAATCACACGATTGAAACTCTAGTTTGGTGTAAAGGCAGATTGTTCTCGGCAGGTTTAGATGGCTTTGTGTTCGAACACGATCTAAATTCTATATGTTTTAAGGCATATATTTTGTTTACAAAACTAGAAAACTGTTTTTTATTGTAATTTTTTTTAAGGCCTCGCAGTCATCAAACAGTGGAGCAATATGGTGCTCATGTACAGATTCCGAAAACGTAATTTTGGTTGGTATTTTTAAAATAAAATGAAAAATTATTATACTTATTAATTAAAGAAAAGCCAGCTTAGCAAAAATATCTAGTTTCTCATCTTATAGGTTAAGCATAAATTATAAAATTACTTACAGGTTTTAAGAATCTATTAACTGACAGATTAATAAATAATGTCTTAAAAACCTTTCAGGCAGGTACGGAAGACGGTAGCGTAATTCGATTTAATCTACATCAACATGGCTTCGAATTCGATGGTTTCGTCACACGTCAGACATCACGAATCTTATCTTTATCTTGGATCCCTAAAACTAATTTTGCTGTTGCCGGTGGTATCGATGTTCTGTATTTGGTAGATGCTCTGAAAAACCAAGTTATACACAGAATGGTACCAGCTAGGGAAAATAAGAATAAAGAAACAATTGTTTGGGGCGTCACTGCCTTCAGGTTAAGTTTAACATTATTGAATATAAAGCTTGGATATGCATCAGTTAAAAGAGCACTTATTCCCTGCAATCTGATATTATTTCAATGATGAAA